TGATTTGCAACCGATTTCAACAGGTTTACTCACTCTTCTCGGACTTCTCGGATTCCTCCTCGTATTCCTCGTAGCTCTCGGAAGAAGATTGGTCTCTCTTCTTCTCCTCTCTGTCCCATTTGTTTCTGTAGTTCTTCTTCTCGGAAAGACGGTCGTTTTCAACTTCGCACTCCTGCAAATTATTTTTGAATTATTTAAAGCAAAAATACAATTGATACTACCTCGTTCTTGAGAAGGTAAGAGCGGTGGAACTCTTCAACATCCTCAGTCTCGTAGTTGTCAGCGGTCATGAACTCGTTGTCTTTCTCTCCGTCGCTGTTTCCGCAGAGTCCGCAAAGTTGGCTCTTGGAGGCAACAGATGGAAGGTTGGTCTTGATGGTATATCCGTCGAAGCGGACCTCTCCTTGTGGAAGGCGGATTACGACAAGGTTGTCTCCGAGGATTTCAATCCTGAAATGTGAAATTATTTGTTATTCTGGAATTGGATAACATACTCGTATTGCTCAAGCTCGGATTGTGGGATGTTCTTTCCGTCAACCTTGACAAGGAACTCCTCGCTGGTCTTCTTGACAATGACTTCTTGTTCACGGCGGATGACCTTCACCAAGAGCTCGTCAGAGTTCTTGTTCATTCTCTTGGCAAGAACGGCGAAGGTTGGCTCCTCAGAGCAATCCTTAGCAATAAGAGAGAAGCAGGTGGTGAGTGGGGCTCTGTAGATGACATCGTCGAAGGTGGAGACCTCGGATTGGTCAACCTTGCAGGTAGTCTCAGTCTTCTCCCAGGCTTGTTGGATCATGGCACGACGAGCAATGGTTGGGAGAACGACACGTGGAACACGGATGTTTTTTATCTCAACCTCTTGTTGTGGGGTTTGGATAGTCATGTTGACGTATTGACGGGACATTGGCTCAACGGTGAGTTGGAGGGTGACACGGCGTTCCTCATTCTCGACACGCTTCTCAGAAACGGTCCAGAAGTTGTAGGCCTTGACGAGATCGAAGAGACGAGAGAAGGTGTGCTCAGCCTCTGGGGTAAGCTTGTACTCGGAGACAACGTTGATTTGGTTGAGACGGGCAGCCTTGATCAAAAGCTCGTACTCTGGAAGTCCGTTGAACACGCGCTCAATGTTACGGATGTACTTCTTTTGTTCCTTGGATTGCTCGAGTTGGGCAGTGACGGTCATCTCGCTCTTCTTGGAAGATCCCCACTTGGCATTAAGAGCAAGTTGAACCTCACGGTGTGGTTGCTCACGGAGTTGACGGAGGGAAGATGGCATTTGTGGGCGGGCAGCAACAAGTTCAGTACGGAGAGTCCATTCCTTGGTCTCCTCGGAGATTGGGGAGCGGCGGGAGTCCATCTCGAATCTGCACATACGAACCCATTGGTCGCAGGTGGTACGGAGCTCAGAGTTGAAGTAGGTTTGTTGTGGAGCCTCGAGCTTGAGGGTGATGAGGTTCATGTATCCTTGCTCGGCCTTGATCTCACGGATCATCTTGTGGAAGTATTGACGGCGGGACTCGGATTCGGTGTTCTCAGAGTCGAATTCCTTCTCGAAGATTTTGTCGAACTTGATCTCAGAAAGATCAGTCTTCTCCAAGTTTCCGATGGTCATGCGGGCAGTGAATTCAGCTGGGCGGTTCTTGTTCTCAAGGGTGTACTCGAAGTCTTGCTCAGTCATGAGGACCTTTGGAAGGGACCATTGGGAAAGGATGTTTCCTTGAGCGTTGACTCTAAGTCCGAGAACTTCGTATTTGCGGTCGATCTCTTCAGTGGTCCATTGGTACTCGGAATGGGAGATGGTCTTCTCTTCAGCCTCAACGTATTGGTCATTTCTTGGGACACGGAGGGAAGCAACTGGACGGGAGTGAACGGAAACGATGGTCTTCTTGTTCTCTGGAACGGCGAACTTGTGTGTGATCTCAAGAGTGTTCTTCTTGAGCTCAACGGTAGATTCGAGTCTGAATGTAGTGTGAACGCGGGCAGATTGAAGAGACTTGACTCCTTGGTCGAGATTGGGTTCCAGAAACGCATCTCTGTGACATGAGAAGTGGCAACAGATGGGACGACGTCAAGGATAAGACGGGTTCCAAGCTTTTGCATTTCAACGGCGACCTTTCCGGTGAAAGAGAGGACGGTTGGCATCTTTCCGGAGATGGTAAGGGAGACTCCGCTGGTGGTTGGGATTCTGCGGATAGATTCGTAGAAGTAGATGGCGCGGTGGAGCTCGAATTTGGAGTCGGCATTCAAGAAGGAGAGGACAGACTTAATGTCGAATTCTCCGTTTCTGACGTACTTCTCAAGAAGGTTGTCAAGGGTTTCCATGTCGAGTGGGAGAACGATGTAGTCCATCTCCTTGTAGCGGAGGTAGAAGACAGCGTGGGCAGATTGGGCATCAGTGCGTTGGACACGTGGACGGATGTTCATCTTCTTGACGATTTCTTGGAGCATTTGAATTCCAGATTGAACACGACGGGAGCGGAGCTCATTGGATTGCTTTCCGTAGCGGGAAAGTCTCTCAAGAGCCTTGACGATTACTTGTTCAAAGTTTTGTTGGGAGAATCCAACTTGAACGAGGTACTTGTTCCAGTTTCCTCCGAAGACAGACTCGAAAGAGGCTTGGACCTCCTTTGGCAAGAAAGCGTTCTTCTCGAAGATGGTGGCGAAGTCGAATTGAACTCCAGAGAGCATCTCGGAGTGGAAGATTGGGAGTTGAGAGTAGGTGGAGAGAAGTTGCTCTTGTGGTTGGTAACGGGTGAAGAGAAGAACCTTGGAGCAGCGAACAGCCAATGGTTGGTAGCATGGGTTGGTGGATCTGGCGAATTGACGGATGACGTTGTAGGTGAAGGCAGCAACGTGTTGGTTGGATTCCTTCTCCATTTGAGCGACGATGTGAGCAAGAATTGGCTCCTCTGGAAGAGTGTGCATCATTCTGAAGAGAGCGGTCATACGGAGCTCTGGCTTGTTTTGACGGTTCTTGTAGACTGGGAGAAGGATCTTTTGGATCTTGCGTGGCATGATATCCTTAAGAAGACGGAGAGCATCAACAGCCTCGGTGCGGATGGCGAGTGGTTGACGTGGGTCTTGGATGAGTTGAACGAGCTCGTTGACAGAGAGATCAATTCCGGCGTTTCCGAGGGTCTTGAGAGCAAGAACCTTCTCGTAGGTGGATTCAGCGGAACGGAAGAGTTGCATGAAGACGCGGACGTACTTTTCCTTGAGTTGACGGGAAGCTGGACGGGTCAATGGAAGGTCTTGGGTCTTGGTAGAGAATCCACGGACGATGGATCCGGCGGCAAGCCAGGCGGATTGACGGAGTGGCTCGTTCTTCTCGGCAAGTGGGGACTTAGCGAGCTCTATGACGAGGTCGGCGATCTCCTCGCTTGGGCTGATGGTCTCTTGAATGGACTTAAGAAGCTCAGCAGCTCTGATTGGAGAGACGGTCATCTTATGGAAGTGGTGGATCAAGTGTTGGATGGTGTTTCTGGTTCCGGCGATAGCCAAAGAACTTTGGACGAGGAGTTGGACCTGTAAGCTCAATTTCTGTAATGCCCTCTGTTTTGAAAAGGTTACCTTAGTCTCCGATTCGGTATAAACCTTGGTGTGGAACTTTTTGAGCTCCTCAATGGTGCACATACGGAAAAGACGGACGGCGCGGGCGATGAGGTGAACGGTTTCTGGGGTGTTCTCCTCGAGCTCTTGCATTTGACGGAAAATTTTTTCGAGTTGCTCAATCTTTTGTTGGGATGGCATAACCTCGAATGGGTTGACCTCAGCCTTGTCTCCTTGTTGGCAGAATCTCTCCATGAGAATCTCATCTTGAGCAGAGAAGACGATGTCGGTTTTTGGTCCAGTAGCCTAAAAAATGTTGGTTTTTTTTTCAAATTTCTAAACGTCTAGTATACCTTCTTGATATCTTTGTTGATCTTGTTCTCCTCAACGAAGACGATCTTGGAGCGAGTCTCAGACTTGACGACTTCTTGTCCGTTGACATTCAAAGTGTAGACGGAATGAACCTCAGATTGTTCCAATTGTTGGTTCTTGAAGGTGTAGGTGTAGACGGTTTGTGGCTTGACGAATTGTCCCTCTTTCTCGCATTGTTGGCACTCAGATCCGAAGTGGAGTCCGTAGGCCATCTCTGGACGGGTGATGCACTTGTCGAAGTTGACCGACTTGGTGTAGATGGTCTTCTCTCCCTCCTCAACAATGGTGTAGGCGACTTCGCAGTCTCCCTCCATGGTCTTCTCGTTGACGGTGAAGAAACGGGAGTCCTTCTCGGTTTCCATGTACTTTTCCCCTTGGATCATCTCGTCAATTGGGGCGGATGTGCGGAGAGAAAGAAGGTTGATGATGACTTTCTTCGAGTTCATGGACCACTCAGCATCTTCGGTGGAGAATTGGATCTCAGAGATAAGTCCGTTTCTGAGTTGAGCGCGGAATGGAAGCTCGAGAAGCTCCTTGAGCTCATCAGAGAGCTCGCGTTGCTCCAAGGAGTTCATCTTTGGCCATTGCTCGTTTTGTGGAACATGGGAAGCGGAGTATTCGATGTTGGTGAGTTGGAGGTGGATATAGCGGTCATCAACAGCTTGAAGACGGACACGGCAAGAAATACGGGTCTGGGAAGCATCGGCAAAGGTGGTTGGGAGTCCAGAGAGAAGAAGTCCGTCAAATTGGTAGACGTATTCGCTCTTTGGGGAGAATGGGCGGTCGAGAGCCGGAGAGGCGGCTATCGCCAAGGCGACAAGAGAGGCAATGATGATCGACTTCATTGCGAGAGTGATTATTTCAGTTCCAGGCACCCCTTTTATACAAGACGTTGAAACTGACACTGAAGCGTCTGAAATTGGAGAATTAACGTTATTGACATGAGCTTACAGATAAGACTCATGCCAATCCATCATTTTTCAACAGTTATCACCCTTAAGACAGTTGAAAGTCAGCTATCAAAGTAGAACTGTCAACTCGTTTCGAGAATGTTTCGAGAATATCGACGGGTTAATGATCGGTGTCCAGAATCTGCTGATAACAGTTTACCGCAAACCATTTCACCAATCTCGACAGAATTTCCTTGAGAATTTTATTCGGCTATTTTTATACAACAGAATAGAATACCAAAATGAATTAAAAAGTACATAGTACCAGTAGTTTCATGATTGTAGAGATACAAAAAGTTAAATGCCAAAATGATGTTTTTTTTTGCTAATTTTAATGCAGTTTTTTTGGGGTTTTTAGAGGTTGATTATGGGGAATATTTGTGAACAAGAAACCGATGTCATACAAGGTAGATAAGTTGGAGAAATTGGAAAGGACAAATTGATGATTTGCAGTAGCAGCCTCAGCAAAACTGTATACATCCGCCTCACGCTAATCTTGACGCTGGCTGTTCTCGCGGATCTCTCTGACAGCGACCACCTGAAACATTTTCATCAATCGTGAAATTTCCAGATTTTCCAAACTCACTCCTTTCATGGCTCCAATATGACCGCGAATGAACTCCATTCCTTCCTCGGTCTCAAATTCGACCATCACCGCCGACTTTCCCATTGGCTCACCAGGAAAGGCCGCCTTGAACAAGTCATTGTCCGGAAAGCTTCCCATAATGCGCACCTGGAATTAAAACTTTGAAAATTCACTTTTTGAACAATAACTGTACCTTGATTGGGAAGCCCATCTCCTTAGTGAGCCAGAACTCGAGATATTGAAGGTTGTCACACTTCTTGAAGATGACGACGCGCTCGAGGTTGACCTGAAAAAAGGAAATTTCTCAAAATAATGATTTTCACAGGCCGGGCTGGGCCGGGCTGGATCGATTCGGATCGGAATGAAAACTCCACGGCCCGGGTCAGAATCTGAAGTTTCAAATTTCTGAGTTTTTCTTCAGAATTTTATAAAATTTCGGTACTTTTGTGAGGGCGGAAGATCTCAGAGTTTTTTTTTTATTTCAGTCCTTTTTCTCAAGAATTTTCGAAAATTCAGCCGGGTCTGCCCAGAATTACACAATTATGCTAGATTTTTTCTGCCGACTTTTCTCCGTGGAACGTTATTTATCAAAAAGTAGGACTTTTCTTCAAAATATCACTTACCGTACTATCTGGTTGCTCGGAGAAGACCTCCTCTGGTGGAGCAGTTGGAGTCTGGACAGCTGACATTTTCTTCTGAAACTTGTACATAATTGTTCAATCTGAAGTTGAGGCAAATTGAGAGAATTGAGAACTCGAAAAAAAGAATAATTCGATCCGAAAATGATCGAAAACAGCACGACAAAGTGAAAATTCTGCTGTTCCCCATACCCTACATATGTTCACGCTGCTGAATTTTCGAAGGAATATATGCCCCTCATATTGATTTTTGTGAAAAAAAAACACATGAAACGAGAGCAAGAGAAAGCCTGGGGTACCTCACTTGTAACTAGCGGCTGAACTGGAGTACAAACAAGAAAATGAAGTAGATGATTAGAACCACAAGATTTGGGTCTCAAAATCTATCGTTAAAGATAGGAATGTTCAAATTACCCTTCTGAGTAATAAGAGATCAGAGTAAAAAAACATATCCCATTTTCTTCATCTCCTGAAAATTTTCCACAAAAAAGAAAAGCAAATTGGTAGGTGAGGAGGCTGCCCGCGCGCTGAGATGATGGTCGAATATATGTGTATGTGTTTGGAAGAAGGTGTGGGTCCTAGACGAAACCACATGAGCGCTCTGTACGAGATGAATGAGAATGGAAAGACGCAGGCAGATGTGTTTAGACCGCAATAGGGGTGGAGCTTATCCTTAGAACTGTGTCCCATGTGATAGCGAAAATTGTTTATGAAACGTTCAATTTGAAACTGGGAAAAAAATGTTAGTGACTCAGACCTTCGATCGCTTGTTGAATCTATGGGAGAAAAAAAACTGTCCACCAATCCAAAGACCAGAAAAAAGGACATGGGCGGAGCTTGCATCCATGTCCCTTGTGATACAGAGTCGATTGCTTATGTTATGCAAGGGGCGAAACTGTGAAAAACCATCGAATGACTCAAAATTTTCTGTGTTGTTTTGAAAACGAAGGAAAGAAAGGGAAAAGGGTGCAGAAGAAGAGGGACCGAGATTTCGACAGTCAGCCGAACGATTGGAGAAAAAACGTGTTGAATAGAAATCATCATTCAACTCTGCCTAATCGCATGGTAAAGGAAAATTAGAGAAATCAAATGAGCGTCTAAATATTCTCTGCTTCGCTTGGAGACGGAGAATGCAGTTAGTAGAAGATGAAGTGATGGGACCAATATTTTGACAGAAAGATTGTAATCCGGAATGCGTTTCTTTTCTAGTGTGGATTCTCACTAGAAAATGTTCTAGACTTCCTAGAGATTGACATTCTGGAGCTAAAATGAGATTGGAAAGAAAGTGCTGATCCTAAGTGAGACTCCTCACCTCAGACGCAAGACCTCTGGAAGGGTTAGTGCGCGGTTTTGATACGAGATGTGGGCGGAGATTGCAACCATGTCCCTCGTGATAAACAGTCAATTGCTTATGTTATGCAAGGGAGGAAATTGAGAGTGAAGAAATTGCGAAAAACTATTGAATGACTCCAAATTTTCTGTCTTGTTTTGAGAAACAAAGAGAGGTAGGAGAGTGCAGGAGGAGAGAGGCCCAGGTTTCGACAGTTAGCCGGATTTCTAACGATAATATTGAAACCCGCCAAGAGATTTCGATAGTTAGCAAAAAGCTAAAGCTGAAAATAGAGCGCAAAGTATCGATCCCAAGCGAGATTCCGCAGACGCACTGCTCCATATCAGCTATTAATGGAGGGACACTGGTGACAGTGGTTGGTTTTGATTCGGGATGTGGGTGAAGCTTGCGACCATGTCCCTCGTGATAGGAAAGCCATTGCTTATATTAGGCAAGTGGTGAAGTTGTGAAAAACCATCGAATGACTCGAAAATTTCTGTGTTGTTTTGAAAAGGAAACAAAGAGAGGGGGAGAAGGTTGCAGAAGGAGAGGGACCAAGATTTCGATAGTCAGCCGGATTTTAAGCGATTGGAGAAGCGAAGTCTTGAATAGTATTTAATATTGAAACCTGGCAAATCGCATAGTTAAGGTGGAATTGAGCGAAATGAGCGACTAAATTTTCTCTGTTTCGATTTGAGACGGAAAAGACGGTCAAGAGAAAAAAAAGTTGAGGGACCGACATTTTGACAATAAGATTGTAATCTGGATTGCGTGGGGATTCTAAAGCACAATGACTTAACGAAACATGGCGAGATTCTTAGTTTAAATTCTCGTTAGAATATCCAGCAGGTTTGCTGAGTATGGACCATGAGCTAAAACTGAAACGAGAGCGGAAAAAGAGTAACGATCCTAAGCGAGACTCCGCAGACGCACTGCTCAAGATCACTTATTAATGGAGGGGTACTGGCGACAAGAGTTGGTTTCGATCGATATATGGGTGGAGCTTACCGCCATGTCCCTCGTGATGAAAAGTCGATTGCTTATGTTATGCAAGTGGCGAAACTGTGAAAAAACATCGAATGACTCAAAATTTTCTGTGTTGTTTTGAGAAAAAGAGAAGGAAAGCGATGAGGGTGCAGAAGGAGAGGGACCGAGATTTCGACAGTTAGCTGGTTTTTGAACAATTATAAAAAAGAAGTATTGAATAGAAATCAACATTGAAACCCGCAGAATTGCACAGTTATCCTACAGGAGGAGAGCTGAACTACAGAATCAAAAACCTGCGACGTTTCGTACTAATAATAAATATGTTCAATTGGGAAACTTGAAAACAATTTAGGCATTCAGTATGGTTTGGGGAGACACCTACTCTGATATATTTAGCTTACGCAAACAAGAAAGAAGGTACCGTATTTCCTCTAATAGAAGCCCACCTCGATTTGAAACCAACTTCTAATCATACTTGTAACGGGCCGGGCCGGGCCGGGCCGGGCTTTTTCCCGAATTTCGGAGGTCCGGCCCGGCCCGGCTCGGCGGGCCTGTCATTCCACAAGTTTTGAAATTTTCAAAAAACACATAAGGGTGATTATATGATTTTTTTCGATCAAAAATTTTTTTCGAGTTTCGTTGATATTTTTTGATCAAACAGACAAACAATCCAAAAACACAAAAAATAATGGAGAAAATTGTATTGAGAGCTCAAAATTTGGCTCAAAATGTCAAACTTTTTGCTACCGGGCCTTCCGGGAAGGGCCCGGGCTTTGAAAATTTCCTCAGGCCCGGCCCGGAGTGATGTTGAAATATAGAAGCCCATGGAAGAATATTCCAGAGGAAATACGGTATAGGTAAAAATCGTACACTTCTCTAGATGTCTTCATCAAATGAGGAATACGCGTGAATGTGACAGATAAAAATTTGGTTTTTGAGCAATGGGCGAAAACAGTGTTATGTCTGTTTTTTGAGTACTCAAAGGTTCTAGAACAGTGAAAGATTGAAATTTCAAAATCCGTCAAGTCTCAACGGTCAAAAAGGTCTGGCAAGTATAAATGAGTGTTGAAAAGAGAAGAGGAAGGAAATAGAAAACTGTTTAGAGAAAGAACTAGCAAGAGTAGCAGGTGAGACTTGCACGGAAGACTTGTGGATGGGGTATGCAATTCAGCAGAGATGTTAGTATTTAGGAGAGGTGTGGACGCTTGCTAGAGGACAATGTCTCTCGATAACTAGCGGACACTTGATGTAATGCAAATGTCAAAATTGTAAAAAAGAGTCTAGTGCTTCAGTTGGTTTTCTCGCTCTTGGTGGGTCGAGGAAAAGATGAAATGCAAGGGACGGTCCTGTTGACAGTCAGACTGTCGAAAACAACGTCAGGGGTTTTAGATTAGAGTATTTCTATAATGAATTGGAGTTAGCTAGCGGCATGAAAGCTTATTTCCAGAAAAAAAAAAAACATACAGTTTGGCTCACAGCAACCTACAGCTGCCCAGGCCGCGGTTCTTTTTCCGACACCCTTCTAGTCATTAAATCGCCCCAAAGTTTGATAGAGTGCCAGGAAGTGTGGGAGCTTTAGAGACCCCAAAATATCAAGAATGAACGCTTAAAATAATCGAAATATCTGCCATACGGTGTACAGACAAGATGTAATGGTAACTATAATTGAGAGACATAGACAAAATCACGGTCCGTGCTTTGTTGGAAAACATGGGAGGAGCTTATTCAGAGAATAATGTGCCTCGTGATAGTAAAAAAAGACAAAAGTGACTCACATTCAGTGAACATTTTCTACCCCTGGTTTAGAGGGTTTGGGGGAAAATATATGGGGATCGAGATTCAGACAGTAAACAACTGACAAGTGAAAAATAAGATTCTTTAGCAGAAGTTTTTCAAGCATAAATATGAATTGGGGAGATGTTCCAATTAGGAATAACCAGAATTTCATTAAGTTTAGGACAGGGAAGTCCTGCTTGATTCATTGATAGAAGTTTGAAAGGTAAACTCATTAATGGCACTTTGAAAGGTTCAATGTTATTTTTTCCACTTATGAAGGGAAACAAAAAGCCGCTCATTCGCACCCCTTTCAATGCGACGAGAAGGAAAAAGAGAATAGTGCAAAGAGTAATATGAAATGTTATTGGTATAAAAAACGCAGTGAACAACATGACCATCTGTCTTTGTTTTTTTTCGTGGACGGTTAGTCAAAAACAAATCTGACCAGAACGGACTTGTGATTGCTCCAAAATGTTTACGAAAAGTTTCGATGTTCCAGAAAGACTGTATTTGTGATGAAAGGGAAATAACAAAATGTAACACACAAGTAAACTGAAATTGAAATTTTAGTAGATTGGTATATCAACATTTCAAAATGGGATCACAGAAATCGAGCTCAAAATTGACGATTTGGGTGGGCTTCTATGAGAGGAAATACGGCAACTGAAAACGGAACTGTCATGAAACATTTCAAATAAAAACTCACTCAGATGCCACTGAGAGGTCCCAGTAAAAGGTTTAAAAAATACAAGATTACTGATATCATGATAAACGATTTGTTAGATTTCTCTATTTTTCCTCTTTTTATAAAACTTTTGAAAATTGGCTCAAATTTGTTGAAAGCGTTGGATGGGAAAGGCTTTTTTGTTAAAGGTCTTATGGTATGACATCATAGGATACAACAAAATTATAACTGGGATTCCTTCGAATCTTTAATTTTTTTAAATAACCGAGCTTTATTTTTCTTTTCAAAAATGAACGAAATAACCAAACCAAACAAGTACCTCACTATGTAACATAACTGCTAGAGAAAAAGAAAATAGTTATCAAATTTGCTGCTATCAATACAATACCCTGTTGCATTCGATCCCCATAGCTACTGATTTTCAAACGAAAAAGAAACGTTCTCTCTGGGTTGTAAAAAAATACTTATTTTGAAAGATAGGGTCGGCTGCCATCGCACATTCAACAGTATCATTCTTTTTTCCCTTCCAATTATTTTTTTCAAAAACTTTCTTTTTTCAAGCCTGCCTTCTTGTTGCCAGCTAACTGGTTCATAAATCTTAACTTTCCCTTTCGCCGAACTTTTTTTCAATTTAAGCCATCGAAAAAAATCACTGTCTGAGAAATAACTCATTTGATAACCGAGTCATTGATGTTTTTATGGGATACTGTATCAATCGACAAGTCGGTTTGAGCCCCCTATCGGGGGCTCAACCTCCTGGTTTTCGTTCACTGTATCTTACACTTGAATTTCTAATGTCTAGATTTTCCACTTTTCCGAGTGCCCGAAACTTCCAAGTATTTCGATTTTTAAATTTTGGATGTTACTAATATGGGAATTTCTAGATAACGTAATTTCTCCAATAGAAGCCCACATCTATTTGATGCCCACCTCTGATAAAACAGACGTACTTTTTTTTCATTTTTCTGATAATTTCTGTTAAGTCTTGTCGCTTTTTTGAGAAAAAAAATATCCGATTTTCTGAATTTCCGAGTTTCTACATGACAGAATACATGTTCCTTGAAAAGAGAATACAATTTTTTGATTTTCTAAAGTCTCGAATTTCTAACCTGAAATCCTTAATTTTCGAATTTCTGCATTTCTGAGTTCTTTAAATACTCGGACTTTCTGAATTCCTGAAATTTTGAATTACCCACATATATCATTATTCCTAAGCCTTTGGTTCTAGATCACAATGAAAGTATAGAGAAAATGTTGCAATATTTTTGTAGAGAAAGCTAAAATTTGAGAAAGTTCGAGACAGTCCTGGAATTTTTTGGAATATTCTTGAACTTTTCTAGAGCTTTCATGAATGTTTTGGGTTTTTTGGAGTTATTATCTTGGCTTGAAAATCCAAAAAATTTGATTTTTTTACTTGCCTATGAAATTTCGTAAAAAAAAATCATTCAGTTTCTTGTACGTCGTCATGGAACATTTAACCTCCTCTGCTGAAAAATCTTAAAACTTAAAATTTCATCACAGTAAAGTGATTCTAATAGTTTTAAACAATAATCAGCAGTTTCAATTGATATGCTCATACTTCTTTGGGGTCCGCTTTTAGCAATTTTGATCGTCATGATTACTGAATTCTAGTTTTACTCCCCTTTTCGCTAGTTTGTTCATGCTCTTAAAAAACAAAAGCTCTCCTCGTTTACCCTATCTATGTTTACATGTTGTTGTTCAGTTGCTACCTTTCCACCCCTCACCCTCGATCTTATCGCGCTCGATTAGTTTCGAGATTTTTCATTGCACTATACGTTTTTCGTGTTTACGCAAAAATTTATTCTGCGAATTTTCATTTTCAAAACTAGTAATTATACCTATACTCTCCAGGGGCGCATGCTATCCTTCTACTTACTCGCAACTTATTTCCGTATGACTCTACTTCCCGCATGATATGTTATTTTTTTTCCTACCCCTAAAAAGTTTTTTTTCCTACCCCTAAAACTTTTCCTACCCCTAAAAAGACATTGTTCCTTTTCTCGTGTGTCAGATTTTGACATTGTTCCTTTTCTCGTGTGTCAGATTTTTGCCAGAAAAAAAAACGGAAAAAGAAGAAGTCTCAGTGGAGCATTTTTCGGAGGATATTCTCTTTCTTTTCTTGTCTGGAGGGTCCCGCCGTTTCGGCTTCTGCGCATCCTCACAATTTTTCCTTTTTTTCACCAAAAAAAAAAGTCGATGATTTCAACGACAAAAACGCACTTTTTTTTTTCTGAAGAACGTGTCTTCACTCTGTCATCAATCTTACTGATAAAAAAACCTCTCGTTTTGGTTCCTACGACCATTGAAAAATTTAGAAAAGAAGAGAGTAAAACGTGTTTTGTTCACGTGAACCAGATTAAAAATATGGTTTAATTTATAGTTTTGTTTGGAAATTGAGTATGCTAGAGATAGTGTACGGTTCGAAGTTCACTGGAAATTTTTAGTAGTTTTTCACAGTCTTTTCAAAAAATTTCCGAAGTCAATTAAAAAAAATAAATTTTCTGTCAAATGATAAACTTACCCAAAAATCATTGAAAAATGTTTCTCAATTTTGCTGAATTCTAGCCCGGGAAAAATTATCATTAGATCCAATGCCAAATATTTTTCAATTTTTACTGCTGATGTTGGATAAATTTTTTCGTAGTAATCATTTTGAAATTTGAAACACGACCAAATTCAGCCCAGTTTTTTTTGGGTCGAGAATTCAGAACAACAAAGAATATCTAAATGAGTACACAAAAATCCAACTCACTCTCTGAATATGAATTTTTCAAAATTTTGGCTCCAACGACTCATGCCGTTTTTTCAAGTATGGAAAAATCCCGTAGTTAACAATATGTGTATTTCCGGTTTGTGTTATCTTAATTAGCATTCGAATTGCAATTTAATGAAGTTTGGTCGATTTTTGAAATTACCAATTTTTAGAGTTGCCGAAAAATTTCAAAGAAATCTAAAACCTATTTTTCAATTATCAGGGGTTTGCAAAAGTAATGCGCGTTTTTGATGCAACTTCCTTTTATTGTAAAACCAAAACAAGAGATCATCAATCAATAAGATATTCTCCATTATTGTTCACTACTTGCTGCCAACGTGTGCGTAATTCAGCGATGCCTTTCTTGAAGAACTCCTCTGGCTGTGACTCGAAATAGTCTGCCACCCAAATTTGCACTTCCTCACCGCTTTCGAATTTTTTCTCGGCCAGATGATGTTGCATGGATCGGAATAGGTGATAGTCCGATGGTGCCAAATCGGGACTATATGGCGGATGAGGCAGCACTTCCCAGCCCAGCTCCTGAGTTTTCTGCTGAATGATTTTTGCAGTGTGTAGTCGAGCGTTGTCATGGAGCAAGAGTGTTGTCGAAGTGTCCACGCCTTGGCGTTTGAGAGCTTGGTCCACACGGTCCAGCTGATCATTGTAAACGTCCGTATTCACCGTTTGACCAGGTCTCAGAAGTTCAAAATGCACGAGACCTCGTGTGTTCGACCAGACACATATCATCACCTTCTTTCCGTGGATGTCCGGTTTTGGAGTCGGTTTCGGGGTCTCGCCAGGACTCAGCCACTGTTTTTTTCTCCCATTATTGTCCCACTGAATCCATTTCTCATCCGAAAATCGAATCGAAGAAACCACGATTTTTGGAGCGGCGCATCAGAATATTGGCAACTTCAACACGTCTTTCCTTGTTCGAATCGGAAAGCTCGTGAGGGACCCATTTTCCACATCTGTTTGTCTTTCCGATTGCATACAAATGTCTGGAAATTGTGGAAAAATCGCAGTCGAACTGCTCCGAGAGACTGAGAGTAGTTTGGCAAGGATCCACTTCAATTGCTGCTCTCAAGGCATCGTTGTCCACCTGCTCTGGACGACCAGGGCGCGATACATCTTCCAATCTTTCATCTCCGCTACTGAAGCGCTGAAACCAGCGGTGACACTGACTTTCGGATATAGCTTCTTCACCGAATACAGGAGAAAGTGAGCGGTGAGCTTCGGCAGCCGATTTTCCTTCCTTAAATTGGTGCCCCAAAAATGCTCGAAGGCGAAATTTTTGGTCGGACATCTTCTAGAATGTTTTTTTCATAGAAATCAAATTGAAACAGCAATATAATATAACAAAATGAAGCCCAAAATCGCGCTTTTTAAAACAAAAAAATTGAACACAAACCGTTTGTTTTGGGTGAGATACAAAACACCAAACTTGACGCGAATTAATTTTGCAAACCCCTAATATCATCATTGTTCTTCTTTTTTGAAATACTCAAACTACTTTTAAAAATTAACAGGGTTGGGTTGTTTGGTTGCCAGTAAGAAATTCCGTGGGACATTTTTTCGGTTTAGTACTTCTTTTTCATCATCTCATTTTCCCACATTCACTTCTTTTTTTTTCATTCTCCTTCACTCCCTATCGCTTCCTCTTTTTACTTCTTCACTCGTCCTTTTTTTCAATGTTATTCTCTCAAAACGTCAATCCAATGAATACGGACACACTGATACAGCCTGGGCACATGAGTTGAGAAAAAAAAAGCTCGGAGTGCTGAAGAAGAAGAAAGTCTGAAATCGAGTAAAAAATTGCGATAACAATCGAGAATCATAAAAGTGCCCTTTACACGACGTTGGATGACTGCGTCTCTCTTTATTACACCTGTTCTCCAGTTGCCTCTTTATTGTCTCTCTCAATTCATTTTGTCTTATCGTTCCGTTCTAATGTCTGTTGATTAGATTGACAGTGAGAGGGGAAGAGGGAGAGAGAAGTGAAGAAAGATAGATGTTTTCGATTTTTTGATCAGTTTTCAAGAATTCTCATTTTAAAAAATACCATCATACTAAAATAATCCTATTTCAGTTTGTGTGGAGAAAGGTATGGCTACTGAATTTCAAACTTTCAACGAGGATCTGTCTCTTACTAGTCAAACGGAATGTGAGGACTCAGCTCGTGCAATTCTAGCCAAACTCAGACCTGAATGGACCTCATCCGAGATAAAATTCGAGGTTAGTCTCGAAATGGGAATTTTCGAAAGATCTACTGTAATAAATGGTTATTCTGTTTTTGAAAGTTTAAAAACAAGTCCGATAATGTTTAAAAAGGAAGAAAACTTTAGTATACAACTGTCTTCCGTCTCTCAATTCCAATTAACTTTTATCAATTTTTTTCAGTATTTCTCAGTCGGCATCACTAACAAAATCTTCTCCGCTGGATTCGGAACCGAACACGTGATCTTTCGTGTCTTTGGTCACAACACCAGCAAGGTTATTGACCGGGAGAATGAAGTGACCGCGTGGAGACAGTTGGCAAAACATGGATTCGCTGCTCCCCTCTACGGAAAGTTCAACAACGGACTCATCTGTGGATTTCTGGAGGGGAAGAGTTTGAAGATCGAGCAGATGAGAGATTCTCGTTTCCATATGTTTGTTTGCATTTCAAAAATAGTCGAAACAAGTCCAAATTTCAGGAACATTGCCAAGAGAATCGCCCAACTTCACGCTTCTGTTCCGACCAATGGAAAGACACTGGTGTTCGAAAAGATGCAGGAATTCTTGAAACAGTTAGACCCGAAATTCGAGGATGCTACAAAACAGGTCAGAAGAAAAAGAAAAGGTTAAACTGGAAAATCATTTACAGGAATTTTTCGTGACCAACTTCCCACAAAACCTTGCCGCCGAAATCGAGAAGGTCGAGAAGCTAGTGATCAAATCCAAAGAGCCGGTAGCTTTTTGTCACAACGACTTGCTGGTCCACAATATTGTGTTCAATGGGGAGACAAAACGCATCGAGTTCATTGACTACGAGTACGCCTTCCCAAACTATGCTCTGTACGATATTGCTAACCATTTCTGTGAATATGCAGGTATGATAATCACTTTTATGAATTTTCTTTGCTAGGGAACCTCAAAGACCTTGTGAACCCACGTTTTTTTTTTTGAATGATACAGGACAGGTTAAAAAGCCTATCTAGGCACCTCTAAAATTTTTCCAATGCGCTCCCCAGTTTCAGCCAAAAATTTTTTTCCAAATTTTTAAATTGTTCCAACAATTTGATTTTTCGAAAATTTGAAAAAAAACGAGAAAAATTTCAATCGTGATTGAAATTTTTAACTGAAAATGCAATTTTTGTTAGAGAAACTAGATTCTAAAATCATCAATAGTGTCTGAATTGGCTATTCTTAACTTAAATGAAAATTTGGATTGAAACCATAGTTTACAGGAGGTTAAAGTTCCCTCATCAGGGAGCTTTTTTAAATCAGTTATACTCCAAGCTCTTGATTTCTTATTAATGCTAAAAACAAATTTAGGAGTCGAGGGCACCCCAGACTATACAAAATGTCTAACCAAGGACGAGAAATGGCTGTTCATCAACGACTATCTTCACTTCAAAGATTCCAAAAATCACTGCGACGTTCGCATGAAAGCAATGTACAAACATCTTCCGTTGTTCGAAGCTGTAAGAACATTTTGCGATACTTCCATCTCTAAATCTTAATTTCAGACTGCTCATCTCTTCTGGGCCATTTGGGCCCTTGTTCAAGCTCAAAACTCAACCATCGACTTTGACTATCTCACGTGAGTTTGAGCAATATTTTGGAATGTCAAACTTTTTTCATGTTTTTCAGCTACGCTCACGCTCGCTACGAACAATATGAGAAACGGTTCCAAAAGTACATTGGTAGCGTCAACCATCATTAATCTGCAAGATATGATTGTTGTGATTTTTTTATAAATTTCGATTTGCCCCTCCCCATAATTTCCATGTACCCCTCCCAGGTTAGAAACCAATTCTGATTTCTAAAATCCCCTATTTTCCCTATTTTCCACATTCCCTCTGTAGTACCATTTGATTCTGTGATAACCAACTTCCAACACTTATAGTCATCATTTGAAATAAAATTTCCTTTTTGTAGTCTATAAAAAGAGAAGAAAAAAAAACAAAAATTGAAATGGGAAGTTTTTATGAGAAGTTCAAAGTTTCAAATTTTTGGTTGGTTCTTATCAGTCGTTGTTCTGGAAATATTCTTCACAGTGTAGTCGGGTGGACCAAAGTGTAAAAACTCTGTGCAAAAAAAGTCTGGGTACACATAAAGATAAATAATTAGTTATTCATCTTGCTCTGAATCAGCTGGAAGCTTCCAGAATGTCTCTACTGAAAAATTAATAAGGCTCTATCATAAGATGTTATCAGACATGTTTATTTTCTGGTTATTATCTCTATTTATGTAGTCAGTAACAGTAATGAGTCACCTCTAAATACTGGAAAAATTCGAAGTTCCCTGAAAAATTGAAGCCCTGTCTTCCCTTCATTCAGTTTTTTAGTTTCTACGATTTTTCCCAAATGGCATTGTTATTTTCTTCAAAGTTTCTGTTTGTTAAAATTCAAAAATTAACAAAAATGTTGAAAACATTAAACAGTAAACCCATTAATTTTCGCGAACTTTCTATGTATTTTTCACCTTTTCCTTGTATCGGAGGTATAAACATGTATGTTTTTCTCACGTGGCCCATCAATTATTTTTGATATTTTTGAGACTGGATGAGTAAACATTATAAATGTCCGCAAATTCGAGAAACAAAATGTCACTGGGTCCATTAGATCTATGTATCCTTCTCATAGATCTTCGATTCAGAACAAACGTTCCTTTAGTCTAGTTTAGTTCCAATCTTGTTAATTTACATTTAGAGTGTAGGGCTATCTATTGCGAAAAATGAAACAAAACCCTTATTACTACCTCCCCAATTAACATTTTCAGGGTCCAAAGAAGTGGATGCTCCGGCTTATTACTTCCAGAAGATCTATTTCGGGAGTATGACCCTCGAAAAATTAATGAACAAGTTTTTTTGACGCAAGATATGTACAACCATAAAACTCGTCATTTTTCGTACTAGTCCAAAAAGTTTTAATCAATCTCCCCTTGACTGCTTCCAGCAACTTGGATTTCTAATTTTAACTTTTCAATCGCTGCGTGATGTCCGCAATCTTGACTGCTGAATTTTAAACGATGACTTCGTGCAGCGGAAACGCATCCCGGAATCTTCAATGTTTTTGATGACGTAGGATGTCATGAAGACGAACATCTTCTCCCTCTCAAAATCGTGCATTAGTCATGAAATGGAATCGTTAAATTTCGAATTCAAAAAATAACTCCCTGTCAGAAAATATAGAATTTCGAGAAGCGATATACTATTTTTGGAAGATATGCATAAAAGAACAAGCACTCTTGTTTTTTCAGACTATTTAGAGGAGATGGGTCTCCAGATGCATCAATTAACGTTTTAGAAAATGAGTTGTTGATCTGAATGCAAAACAAGTCAAAATAATGAGTCCCTTTTGATAGATGGTTTACTCTTGGAAAATGACGCGACAAGGACCGAACTTTTCATCTGGAGCGAAGCCGAGAAGAGAAAAAACTCGACCGACTACAAATTTCGAAACTTGTCTAATTGATAATTATGCAGATCGGTTAAATTGAATTACGTTCCGGAACTAAACGAACACTTGAAATAAGGAAAGAGGAACAAAATGTGTTCTGTCTAGATTATTGTCCTTGGTTAATTCCATTTTTCACGATCAATTTTTTTCTTGATTTCATTTTTTCAAATTCGTGCGTTTTCGAATTTAGGTCCTTTACATATATTGAAGAAACACGAAAAATACACAAAATGAACATCAGTTTATCAACTTGGTCCAATTGAGACAAAAATATGGCACTTTCCGTAACTGCAATATTTCGATGCCGGACATGTCACCACTATCATGAAAATACAGAAAAATAAATAGGTTTTACGCTGAAGAAAATTTCTACTTTTGGGAAAATTCCATTATACTCCCCCCCCCCCCACACACACAGTTACGACCCCCCACGTACTGGAATAATCCCCCAACCCGTTGAAAAGTGGGTGGGGGGGGGGGGGGGGGTTAAAAAGGTGGGGTCTCAAAATGGGATGATCAGGGGGGGGGAGGGGGAATATTTTTCAGTTCAAAATATCTCCCCACCGTTAATTTGGGGTGGGGGGGAGTTATTGGAATCCGTGGAAATCTTTCATTATAACCCCCCCCCCCACACCAAACCAATATGCACCCCCAAACGGAAACTTCGGAATACCACCCCGTGTGGGGGGTCAGATTCGAACAGATTGCGGGGGAGGGGGTCATATTGAAATGATGGGGGGGGGGGGGGGGGGCTTATTTGAAATCTTAAAAAATTTCTAGGGGTCTTGTTTTCAAGGTATACTCCGATTTAGGGTGCTAAGCTTATTTTTATTTGGAACCTTCAACATTTCTACCCGTTATTGCCTAAGCCTATTTTTTGTTGGGGACTGGCATTAAATGATTATTTCTCTAGTAGAATGACAAAAAATGTACGGTAATATAAACCAGAAATCAGGGAAAATTGAGAAAAAAAGTAGAAAAAACGCGGAAATCTAAAGAAAACTAACAAATAACCGGTTCAAAATCGATAAATAACACATGTTTTTCTATGCGTAATTTGGCTGCGTATGTTTGATCTTCAGGCAAAAAATCAGGAAAAACATTTTTTGAACCCCACCCACCTTATGAAAGATGGTGGGTGGGGGTGTATCCCAACATTTATGCCAGGGGTGTTATATTGGAATGTTTCGGGGGGCTATACTGGAATACACCCCTACTTTTCAGTTGTTTTCACATTTTTCGAATTTCAGGGTGTTTTGCATTCTGAAACATATCTGTCTTTCAAGCCTGAAATGCATTTGTTTGCCTGTACAATTTTTATTTGCTTGTTTGTTTTTGGCAAACTTTTCTTCAAAAAAACTTGGAATGAGTTTTTCTATCATATTGTATTTCACTCAATCCATTTTCCAAATCCAACCGGATTCTAAGAATTGAAGATTTCCTGCAAAAAAAAAAACGGGACATCCGCTCATTTTTTCTTGTTCTAAAATCCGGGAATTCGGCAATGTTGTTTTTTTTGTGAGAAACATCTCCTTATTTTTTTGTTAATGGCATGTTGCAGACATCTTCATATCTCTTCGTATCCTACTTTCCGAAGGCCCATCATTTTCACTTCGAGCTTCAGATCTTAGAATTTCAGAAAACTAAATCTAGAATACATTGTTCAGTGTGAACGTCGAATCAGAAGAAATACGTCAATGTGGTACAATTCTTGTTCGTAAGAGAGTCAAGGAAATAAGGAGAGATTGTGTATGTAACCAGAAATGTGACTGGAAATTGTGAATTTGACTAGGAATATTGTACTATTTGGCAGTCTTTGGTACGCAACATTTGTCCCTTCTGATCGACTCCGTCTATGACAAATGAGCACCCAGAAAAACAAGTTGACTCGAAGTAGAAGATGAAGAAGAAGAAGAAGTACATCAAAAACCATGTCTATAAAATCGTGATGAATGAATAAAGAGATAGGTGACCTGGTCTTGAGTTAGAAAAATAAGATCTTCTTTTTGATTTCTCAGATTTGCAAAAGACCTCACGACCTAAAGTGCTGGACCATTAAATTTAGCCAATCATCCCTGGAAAAATGTCAAAAACTTGACAGGGTGTGAATCATTTTCACCCTGCAAACCTTGCACGAACTTGCGTAGCTGATCCCATCTATTGTTTTGTTATCCAGTTCCAACAATATAATACTTTTGATGACGATAACGGAAGAACGCACATCCTTCCCTATTGATGGGTACGCTTCGTACCTGACAAGCAACATCCCCTCGTGTTATCCTGCTCATTTCCGTTGACAATGAAGATGAGAAGCGTGCGCATCAATGGCTTCTGATTAGGTTATCAAGATTCTATTTCAATCATCAAAGGCGTCACAAAAGAGGGGAGATGCACGTGGATTATCATTTCTTTTTGAAATACACTCATTTTTTCTACGTATATAAAAAACTTCAAGACAGCGGGAAACTAAAGAAAGCCCTCATTGCAGATTAAGTACGTCTATTTTCAGCGTTCTGCGGAGACGAAAATAAGTGTGGGAAGAAATGTGTGATGACACAAATGCAAAAGCTTTTAATTTTAATCTTAGTTGGTTTTTTTTTTCTTAAGACCCCTTTTTTCTAGCGTAGGAGGAATTGGATTTGAGCCAAAACTAGATTTGGGTCAAAAGAAGCCATTTAGAACAATTGCAAGGAAGGGGAAGTGCATGATGAGTATATGATCTGTTTCTTTTGAGATAGAGATGATGAATGAATCCAAAATTATATTGTGTAGCTCCCAAAAAAACAACTGAGAATCAAATTGTCTATCAGTTTCATGAAATTCAAAGAATTGGTTGTTTTGAACCTAAGCAATTGTTTTCTCAAGGCAAAGTTTGTATAAACCAACGAACATGGTCCCATTCCCCGTCTCCTATTGTTTTTCAAGAGATTCTTCTAAAAGAGGAGCCCAATTATCCTATTCTAAAAATAGATCCCTTATTGCAGGAATACCCCACTCAACAAAAAAAAACAGATTCTTAAAACGGAAACCCTCGAGTACCCTTGTTAAAAAATGACGTTCATTTTTTTCAGCATAAAAACAACATATATTACGGACCTAGTCTTTTTAGGAATCTGCGAATCATAATTGATGTACTGACCCTGATTTTGTGAGTCCCACGTATCAATGACGTCGGGAAAATTGTCCATGATGAGAGGCATATTTAAGTTAGTTGTGGTTAATCCTAAAAGGTTTTTTTTTCAGTGACTAGGATGGGATTCATAACTCAATTTGCGACTTATTCAGAACTTTTTCACTATAGTGCCTTTTCTCGGGGAGAACACGGTAACCTACACGTATACCTAATGTCAAACACTACAACATAGTTTTTTTCAGATTTGTTCCAGAGAGAGGAAACAGCTGAAATTTTTAGAGCCTCTATTTCTGGAGGCGCTTATAATATATTCATTCTCAGAGAACGGCATTCATCTTCTCTCTCCCCGCCTAAAAAAAGACGATATAAAAAACTACACCACTTTTTTTAGGAGAGCATTCTAAACAAGAAAGAAGCGAAAACGGATAGAAAACTCCGTGTCAGTGTTTTGGTCCCGATAACAAGTTTAATTGCCTTAAAATGGCGTCATCTCCATTTTGGAGTAAAGTTTTTTAATGAGTGCAAAAGCGCAGGAAATACTTTTTTGCTGATGGTCCCATAAAGTGACACCATAGACACATCAACACCACACCCACATATTCAGAACGACTGCTGCTGCTTCCGAGTTGACCTGAAACCCGAGATCATCTATTTTCATTGTTGACTTTGACTGCAAAAATGACTGGTTCTGTGTAAAAAATCTGGAAGATTGGTCAATGCGTGGGAGGCTTCGCTCAGTTACCCGTTCGCGCATGATCATAAAATAAGTAGCCCAAGGAAGGAAGCTATAAAAGAAGAGAAGACGAAATGATAGGTGAAATGATGAATGGTCCCTTCCTCTTGCATAGGAAATGATTTTTCAGACTCCATAGGTTCCAGAATGTTCTTCTATCACTTATTCATGATGGAATGGACACTTTCCACATAGCTGCTTGTTCCAAATCTCTGAAAAAAACCTCTGAATAGTCAGATTATAAACAAGTAAGAGTTCAGAGGCTGAGAATCTAGTGAACACAAAACTTTTCTCTCCTCCCGAATCTGATGAGCGTCGTCATTTCTAGAAAGCCGGTGGTCGTTTCCAGAGAGCCGCCGGTTCCTCTAAAAAACTCTTTCAACCATGTTTGTTGTTTTTCACCCGAAATTCGAAAATCCATTCTGGTGAAAGCAAATTTTGGAAATGTCATTCACCCTAGCCTCGGCGACTTTATACATTTCATTCATCTCCCAGCTAAATTTTACGACTTTTCCTTCCAAACCTGCCATTATTCTTTTTTTTTCTCCCGTTTTCCTTTTAACAAAAGGACACTTCTTAGTCGTGCCTTTTTCTGTTCCACTAAACACATATCCTTGTTTATTAGTGCCCATCAGATGCGAAAAAAAGCGAGAGACTATTCGAGACGAAGAGGGACGGCCCCCGCGCACGCCTCTTTTTGGCTAGAGAAACGAGAGACACAAAAAGGAGAAGAGAGCTCTAGGCGAACTGAACGGTGGGGCGGAGCCGACCCGAATTCAAGACCCGCCCCAATCAGTTGCTTCTTCTCTCCTCATTCCCCATCCCATCCACACCACACTGCAACAATGCTATCGGCTCAGCCGAGAAAGTCTATCATTGAACTTGCCGAAGACTCCGGCCTTTTTGATATCAACTCATCAGACCTTGTTTTCGAAGCCTCTGCTAATGGTATTTATTACTATGACTATGTTCTAAGCTCCCGCCGGTGCCCACCTAATGAGGGAAACGGTAAAATGCTCTATTTGGCCAAATTCGACGAGCGTGTCAACTTGGAAGTATTCGAAACTGCACATATTCCACAAGAACTATTCGAAGATGGTCTTCCACAACACGATCTTGGACTCATGACTCTTGGAGTTCTCATCTGGAAGCATACCATCGCCAAGTCTCGTGTCCTTTGCCTGGTCCGTAACATGGATGGAGACACTACTCAGCCACTGGAAGCTCTGAAGCGTGCCACATACAAATTCTCGGTCAGTCACCATGTCCAAACAATGTTCCCACGTCGGGCGTCGGTGTCTTCTGGCTCTTCGTTTGGCAGTAATCATTCTTATCTTGCTGAAGCAATGCGTATGAAAGTTCTTCTGTGTCAATCTCGTAATCAAGTTGAATATATCCCCGCCCAAGCTGTTCGTGAGACTAAAGCCCTTCTCAACCCATCTAGTAACCCGATTCTTTGTCTTTGCTTCCCAATCGTGTGATCTACTATATTTTTCTCATTAGTCAGTTCTCTTTTCATAACTCGTCAGTTCAGTTTTTTTGTTTATCTCTCTACAACGATTTTGTTTCTTTTACTGGTTTTCTGAAATCCCCATCTCTTGTAAAAATGCCCCGATTTTCGTGATTTCTGTTGGTGGTCCTTTTTCCCCTTCTCTCTTTTTTTTATGAAACAATCACACCATTTGGATACATTTCCTTTTTTGTTTGGGTTGGTCTTCAAATAAATGCTTGTAAATTTGAAAAAAAAACCCTGTTCAAGTGTTGTCTTATTTTTCAGGAACAAAAAATTCAGAAAGCTTCATTCTGAAATATGTAGATAAGTCTCCTCTTTTGCAAAAGGAAAAAAAAGTGAGAAATCATAAAAACATGACGACATGCAGATGTTCCTGTTTCCATTTTTTCGCCTGTCTTTTTTTCTGACTAAAAAATTGGAGATCGAATTAGTCGCGCCTAGTTGAAGCTGTTCGGAAAATTCCGTTTTCCATCTGCATAGAACTCGATCAGTTTCAGGTTTACAGATAGAAATCGAGATTTTTGCGGAGAGTAAACATGTTTCAATATTTCCAGAACTTTTGGGTCATCATGAAGTTGTGAAATCGAAAATCTTTTGAAATCATAGATCCACATTTTCAGTCTAATGACTTTGCCCTAGCGTTCCATTTTCCAGATTGGATGTTAAAATCAGCTCAGATGACCTTCGAATCAAAAATAAGAAAATATCTGAGCGAATAAAACACATTTTAGTCTCTCTCACCCCCACATTTCATCTCTATTCAAAACTCGAACCAGTGTAACTTATTTTGGGACCAAGTCTTCCGACAAAAAAGCAACAAAAAAGAAGTTGTATAGATTGGATCGGTCGCTTGTGCAGGAAATAGTATACCCACCCGACAAAACCGGAGAACCAGCTCAATTCAGCTCAAAAATGTGTCAAAATGGGCAATTCCGGCTCCGAAAGTTCTAGAAAGGAAACCTCAAGGATTATTGACCGAATTGGACTCTGATTTGACATATTATCAGTTGCTTTTAGTTGTTTCTTTTATTGTTAAATTTGTTTTTCGATCTCAAGACTTCATTTTCCTGAAAAAGCAGGTGATATTTTTGTTTTTTCATCTGGTCCACGAATAAACTCGAGAACTACCTCTCCTTGTTTTAAAACTCCTAATTCCTGCAGCTTTGTAGGGCTTAACTTGAGATGATCATCCGAACCTTTTACTCCATCATTCTTCAAAAAATACGTGTTCTTTCCATCTCCACCCACTTCCTCCGGCATGAAAAAAGAACACAAAAAGTCACACTCAAATGCAAAAATACAAGGAAAATTAGTCTCGGCTGCTCGGCGATGAAGCATGTGTTAATCGGTCGGCGAAAGACTTAATTCATATGACGTGTGGCAGAAGGAGAAGAAAAAAAACATATAAGGAAGTCAGGAAAAATGAATCTAGTTTTTCAGAATTGTTTTTTTTCTATTTTTCAGACATGAACTATGCTCTGGTCATTGTTGTGGTGTAGTGTTTACAGATTTTGTGTTATAACAGGGGGAAAGTGCAATAAAAATTTTCGAGAAATTTCTTTAGATCAGCTGAAAAGCTAGAAATCCGGAATTGTGAGGAGGAAAACAATCAAAAAGAATTGTTATTTTTTAAGCCAAATAGATCTGTATATTCAAAAAAGTCCATTATCCGAAATCCAAAATACATTTCTTTTTTTGGTTAAAAGTCTAAAATTAGTCGTTCAGAACCAGTAACTTTGAAAAGTTATTTTCGAACTTCCGTTTTTTCGTAGTTTTTCTTTCAAATCCGGTTCAATTTTTTCCCAAATAAAAATTTTCAAACTATTTATATTTGACCTTTTCTTCACAAAACTACTGCGGGGTGTCCGGAAGTTTGAGATTTGGCACTCTTTTTTTTTCATTCAACAGGTGTTCTTCAGACTAGATGACGTTATTTTGCGCATTGCATAGAAAAACGTCTGGGTCCAGATTCCCACGATTAAGTCGTTTATGGAGAAGCACGTTCTCCAGACACGTAGTTTTTTTTGAGGAAAAATGTTCTAAGAATAGTCAGTGGCGGGGTGAACAAACAAATAAACGATACTAGTCAAAAAATAGAGAGTTCACTTCTCTGATTTCATTTTAGTTTTCCGAAAATATTCTGATGTAGTTTGTAGACACCTGAAGTTTACGATTGTCTTGTCTGTAAGAGAAAATCGAGAACTCAATGATCACGATTTTGCTTCTGAATGCCTGAAGACTCAGGCTCAAATCCAAATATAGAACTTCAAATCTAATTAGTTAGTGAAAAGATGAGCAACCAAGATGCATTAAGTCGGCTGAAAATAACATGACCACTATTGAAAAACAAAAGTATATAAATATCATTGTTTATTGGTACAGTATGTCAATCTTATTGACCTGGAACACTGATAATAACGAACGAATAATTGCACGTTTGAGTGTTCGAGAAAACCCATTTTGAAGGTTAGTATTATTAAAGGGAGAGCAAGTTATTAATATTATTATTATTGTCAACTCGAGTAACGGATCATCCAGCTCGGTGTACAGGACAACAAATTCTGTAGAGACTGTCATGTGATGGGAAGCAATCAGCATTCTCGGGACATCGGCTTGGCGTCCAAATATCTTGATCAAGCCCACACGCAATTACCATATTGGATTGATCTCTGATGGCAGAGTCCTTGGAGCAGAATCGAAGAACTGTAAGATAAGTGTTTATTATCCCATACATCTCTTGTTTTTTGTTCCTTGTCGTCTATATTTTTTCACATGTACTGCAATCCGCAATAATCTTGTTTCAGCCGCGCGGATTATTATCTTTTTTGCACCATTAGTCACATTGAAATAACACATTGAATAAATGTTCAATAATCCGTTTCTTTCATAAAGGGATAAATCGGTTATTGTTTCAGAAAAACTATACAATAGACGTTTGATTTCCCAAGTTATAATTGGAAACAGATGTGAAAAACAAAATCCTGTATTTAACAAATTCTAAGCTCGACTATACGAAAAAAGAGGCACGAGGTTAAGCTGAGCAGTCTGGATTAAAATCAATTGGGGATGTTTTTTCAACTTACTTGATTCTTTCTTAGCTGGTCGGGGCCTTGGGGTATGATAGAAGGCGTTGGGGTCGTAAGCGGTAGTAGTTGGACGAGTAGCACGGGTTGGGGTTGTGACAGGGATCTGGAAAAATGTGAATCAGTTTTGTTTCAAAACTGGAAATATATTTCTTATCTACAGTATCGGTTTATTAAATTCACAAAAAAAACAGGTCTTTCAGTTGGTTTCCGGCCATTTTGACTATTTTCAGGAGTCTGGATCTGGGTTGCCAAGTTTTCAACCACTTTGAAAATTTTAGCGGATGTTAAGCATACCCAGATAGAAAACATTGCATTCACATTTTTGGAAAATTCCTAATTTTTTTTGGAAAATTCCTAATTTTTCAGCTTTGTTTCTTTTATTTCACGTTATCAGTACAAAAAAAAGAAGCCGAACAGGGGTGTCATTCAGAAATCAGCTAATAGTTAAAAAAAAGAAACTTTTAAAAAGTTCTGGGAATTAAAAGATCTTGTTTTTTTAAACTCTCTAAAATTTTCAAAGTGATCGGAAACTTGACAGCCGAGCTCCAGACTCCTGAAAATGGTCATAAGTCAACTGAAGAATAAGTTTTTGTATATCTTATGGACCGGTACTGTATATTCGGAAGCTAGAGTTTCAGTTTTGTTTTTCGATGTTGAGATACGATTTTAATTTTCCTTTCAATATCAGTTCGTTTGATCACTGAATTTTTTTGCAAAAAAAGCTCAGGTATTCAAAAAATTAATTTCTATTTTGCCAATTCTTCTTCAAAGAATCTGCCATCAAGTTCAATGCCTTTACAGTGCTCTTCAATCTTTCAAATTCTCGTTCTTTTGGTTGTTCTGTTCCTTTTTTCTCAAGAAACCCATCTTGTGACGACAAGTAAATTAGAGGATGTAGTATCCGGTTTTTCACACTGGATTTTCTCGTGTCTACCCTCTGGTTACTCATTATGACGTAGTATGCAAAAATTCTCGGCAACCCTTCGGTTTTTCTGCCTATTCAATTTTCTCCGTGTGAGCTTTGTGCTCCTGTTGTGTTGTTGTTTTTCCTGTAGCACTTTTTTCGGTAGTCATCATACCAAGCACGCTGTACGTACGTCACGGACTCGTCTTATTAAAAATTTAGCTCTCCCATATAGTCATATTTGTTGTTTTCATATGCGTAGTTGTGTTGAAAAGGATGTTTCTCATATTATTCGATATGTCCTAATTATCTTTTGTTGATGACAATTGGAATCCTTTTCTGCACGCACATGTGAGGGGGAGCAAGGATTAAAAATGACCATTCGACTGTTTCCTCTTGTTTCCTCTACGACAACAACATAAAAATGATGCAAAAAAATAGGAATATGGAAAAAGATGGGGATGCGGGGGTTTAAAACCAATGAAGGAGCTAACATTCAGATTAGTGCAATTCGTTTCAGGATTATCCTAATGCATTCCTCACCTGATTGTCAATCTCAATCATCTCGGATTCTTCTTCCTCTTCTTCTTGGCTCCCGCCTGTTCGTTCTGAGCTCTTCTCGTCATGTTTCTGGTTCTGACCGGCATTATCCGATTTCGAAGCTGGAATATGATCATTGAGGCGACGAGCTAAAACGAGAATCTAGGCAGTGCCAGGCACAAACTTTCTGAATCAAATCCGTCCAGATTCGTCATTGAGATGGTTTCCATCATGTCCATGTTGTCCATAGCTGAAAACGACATGTTTATAAAAAGGGCAGAGTAGATCAAAATGGATCATCACCAATTGGAAGTCCGTTCCGCGGGATGTGGGTTTTCACGCCGTCCTTTTGTGGAAGTGACACTTTGTCGGCAAATTGAGCCTCGGCAAAACTATTGCGAACTGGAGCACGACGAATGTCACCTCGACGAGCGCTGAGCTAAATGAAACCTTTATAAGTACAATGAAAGTCAGAAATTAAGTATGATTTTGAAAAATAGGGACAGGATAGCTAGCGTGAACAACCTTATAAAAGCCACCCCACATTTGCACTTTAAGCTCAAGCATTTCAACTTCTATAAGAGATATCTAAAATATGTCAACTGATAAGATGTTGACTATATTATGAAAAACATTTTATTAGTTGACAATTTTTTTATCTGTCACAGGAAATAAGATAATTGAGCTCGAATTTCAAGTATACCGTAGCCTTGTTTTAGTGAGTTTAGGGTATTTGTGAAATAAAAAAAAACTCAAACCAAATTAGGAGCAACATGTTTACAAGGACGAATATTTTGCTTTCATGTGAATTATTGGGTTTGAAACTACTACTCTACAGTAATCACATTTTCACTGTTGGAAAATCTCTTGACTCTTCTGACCTTGCTGATCACATCCTCCAACTCTTCATCCTCCTGAAACTCGATTCTTGGCGACTCCTCAACTGGCTTCTTTCTTTCAGATGGAGCTGGTTGCTGAAGATTCTCATCTTTTTCAGATCATCTCATTTCCTGTTCGCTCACCTTGGTCGTCGTTTTCAACTCTTCCATCTCATCAACTGGATCATCAAATGGAGACAACTGAGTTTCCTCATCAATGTATCTAGCGTTATCTTGTTGGTTGGCACGTGTTTCAGCAATTCGTCTGGTCACCGGAAGATCACGACGGGCTGATGGAGTGGTTGTCCTTCCACGGAAACGGCGTGGTCTAGAAAATTATACGATTTTGATTTTGACTTGAAATGTGATTTCTGGAATTTCCTAATATCCTATGATGTGTGTGATCAGTTTATGAATTAGACAGATTTCTCAATGGATTTTTTGAAAATCATACTCTGGAGTTGCATGTTGTCTTCTAGAGGGTCTGTCTCTCTGCTCCATAGAACTGAAGAAAGAACTCGACATTTTTTGGTGGTTGGCTCTTCTGTAGTGGTAGTTGGACGAGTTCTTAGTCTAGTCACTCTGGTAGTTGTCACTTCCTCAGTTGTACTAGGTTCCTCAGTTGTAGTTGGAGTTTCTGTTGTGGTGGTTCTTGGTCTGTGCGCTCTGATCACTTTCTTGATGATCTTTTTGACAATCTGAAAAAAAAAACTTGCAAAAAACATTTTAAGTTTTAGCCGGATCATCCGGACTAGACAGCCCACCTTCTTTGGCGGCATGGTAGTCTCAAAATGCATTTCAACGGATCCGTTTATTTCGGCAACAATTTTATCGGTTGCCTCGTCGTCTTCGTCGGAATCCCAGATATCCTTAACTCAATTTTTCGACCATTTTCTTTTGCGCAGGCAACAAAACTCAAGAAAAAACGTCACAACAATTCGTGAATAACAAAACGCGTTTGTGGGAGTTTATTATGAGAGCCAAGTGCAATCAGAAGTTATTAAATTTGTATGGACACCAAGAAAAATATGACTGTGATGATGTGTGGAAAAAATAAATACATACAGGGAAGGGACGAGTGAACCGAAATTGGGTGGAGGTGGAAACCGGACAAAAACAAAATATTCAAACCGAAATTGAAACCGAATAATAACACAAATCACTCAGAAAGCTCATCAAGGCTTACAACATGTGGTCGGTGAGTTCTGATTGGAGAACGACGACGTCCTTCCATATTGACTGGTTGCAGGTTGGAGAAGTCTTCTCCATCGACAGATTTTCTCAGTGGCTTTAAGAAATCTTTGATAAAATACGGTACCACCCAGTAAAAGTGACTCACCAAAAGTTCTTTCGAGAATCTCTGCTTTCCAGCTGGCTGTGGGAATTGTTCATTCTCGAAATTCACATTCTCCAAGTTTTGTGGTGTTGGTGGTCGAGCGGCTGGTGGGCCGGCGCGTGGAACAGGCTCTGGAAATTATGTTCGGAATATGCTAACTTTCTATTTACTCCTCATACCAATAGGTTTCTCGTTTGCATTCTGCAAAAGCTTGTTCAAAGATTGCTGGAATATTTGTGCAGCCTTTTGTTCTGACTGTGCAGATCCAATTTTCTTCACAATATCCTCGACAAGCTGTTGACTGAAAACTGGAGTTTCCTGTGGGAATGTTGTTTCCTCGTCTGGAATTGGCTCCTCAGTGACAGGCAGCTCTTGCTCGACAGGGACTTCTTCGGTGGTTGTGGTAGTTGGTGGAAGAGTGACGAGGGCCAAGGAGACCTGCATTTTTTTGAAACATTTCAAACACAAGCGAAAATTTGTCAATTTTCGAGGAATGAAGTTACATACTTTATCTGTTAATTGAATACACAAAATTGTGTTTTTCTATTGGTTTTTGAACCATTTTAAGAAATATGGAGCTCGGCTGTCAAGTTTCCTATGACTGTGAAAATTTCGGGAAAGGTAAAACATACTTAGATTGAAAACTTCAAATTCCCAGGATTTTCGAAAAACTCCAAGTTTTTCATCTAACTGCCGATTTCTGAATGAAACCCCATTTTTCACCTTTTTAAATACTGAAAAAGTGAAAAACCGGTGTCTTTCAGAAATCGGCAAATACCTAGAAAACTAGAAATTTTCAAAACATTCTGCAAATACACGGTTTACAATCTATGACTGTTTCAAACCATCCAAAATTTTAGAAATAATCGGAAACTTGACAGTGAGGTCCAGATTCCTGAAAATGGTCAAAATGTCCAAAAATCAACTGAAAAATATGTTACTGTATATCTTATTGACCGGTACTGTATTTTGAGCTAGAATTTCGATTTTCGATAACCTACTGTGGATGGTCTACGGGTTGTCACTGGCGGAAGAGTTGGAAGCGGCTCTAAATCTGCTTCACTGATATCAGCAGCATCTAATGGGAGCTCAACAAGTGGAAGAGCTGGCTCCTGGAACTCAACCACTGGAGCAGCCTTGACTCTTGCTGGTGGATGCATGGGAACTCTCAATTTTGTTGGACTCGCTGACTCAAACGATCCTTTTTGCTGTTTCACGATTTTCCTATAACAATCAAAAATATAAAGTTTCATTAGATACAAATAAATTACAGTGGGTCTTGTTTCTGCTGTAGTTTTTGTTCCGATTCCAAATTCTCGTTCAGTTCCTGGGATACTGGAGTTTCCTCAGTGGTCGCTGCAGGTGTGCTTGATCTGATTTTCTCATCAGAAAGGATTGAAGCTGAAATGGTCCCTTGAGATATTTTTTGAATCCTCCATGCACTAGATGTCACAAGAAAAACGTAATAAAAAAAGCTACTTTCAACATCTGTTGAACATATGTCGAAAATTTTTTACGAACTCTTAGCTTGTCTCAAAAAATTACACTTTTGAGAAATGAGAGGACACTTGAAACTTGATAATCAAGTAAAGCTGCAAAATAGTACGAATTTCGTTCTGCGAAAATACTAACCCGTTGCACGAGGAGCCAAATCGCAGAATCTGACAACATAGTTTCTCTCCTCAATTCTGATGGCGTGGATGAGTTGGTTGTCGTGCTCGATTACTGTACTTCTGGTGAGTCCAATAGGTTTGTTAAACACCAAATCTTTGCAATTGAACTCATCACGAGATCTCAGACGGCAGCACATTGTTTGGATTCTGAAGCAGCAATTTGAAACAGTTGCTGTTTGGTTACTATTAATTTAGTACCTGGTGTCGGAAAGTCGGGTGATTCCGGCAAGATACTCTCTTGGAGCACATGTGAAAGTGGTGTTTTCGTCAAGAATCGGGTCGATCATTTGAGAATAGTGGCAATCTTCGCGTTCGATGTCAGAAACACCAACTGGAATGTTGATCCATGGATAGAGGTCTTCAACGGTTTCACACGACATATCAAATACCACATCTTGACGCTTCTGACCAACTGATTCTACCATTCTCACTGATAACTCGGTGGCAGCTGCCTGAATAAAAGAGAATTTCTCAAGAAATAGAATTTTAAAAATAACTTACTCGTTTGGGACATTCTATTCTAAAATTATCAAATGGAGAGGACACAAAAACATTCTTGGCGGCTACGGTAGATACCAAGGTTAGAAGCAACAGATGCCTCATTGCTGCAAATAAGAATTGGCAAGTGAGTTGATTGGCAAATGACGCGCGGCGATTTTTAAAGGATCGTAAAACTGTCGAAAAAAGAGCTAATACAGGATACGGATGACAGAAAAAAAACAGGAGACTTGGGGGGGAACAAGATGGATGAACAGATAACGAAAGAGAAAGGCGGAGTGAGAAGTTTTCGAGAGTGTGGGCGAGTGGTGGGTGCCCTAGGGCGTGCGCGTCGGTTTCTGCTAAGTGAAATGAGATGATGATGTCGGTTTTCGCTTCTCCCGGGAATGGAAATATGTGTCCAGACGAGAAGGATCGGCGCGGAATCGAGATGATAACGGTTAAACGCGGTCATTTAACTGTGCGCGTTCCGCGTAAACACATGATAATCGTGGAATTTTCACTGATGAAGAGAAGGGCGAGGAGAAGCAAGATGAACCGATTTGAAAAGTTTCATAAAGAAGAAGGAAATTCAAAGATGGCATATATATATATATATATATATATATATATATATATTGTTTGATATCTCACTCAGATTAGAATTTCCATTTGTATTGGAATTTATGATATTCATTATTGCGTTATGGGAAGTTCGAAATAATCTTTTGAACTTTCAGATGAACAAGTTCATCAGACTAGTTGACATTGAGACATGCTAAACCAAAATCCCTTTCCAAAATGAATGAAGAAGCAACTTTAGGAACCACGACTGGGGTAAAAAAGGAATAAATCGGTTTTATCCATCCAATGATACTCTGATTTTTTTTTGGGTCACAGTTCCCGATAACAGGAAGAGGAAAACTCTGGTCACAGGTGAATCAGGAAAAGGAGGAAAAGTTTCTTTTGAAAGCGAAACTTGTCTGATTGACCCGGTTAAAAGATGTAGGAAACAACGGAAAGACGAATGAAGACACGATGCGGGCAGTCGGGGTCGGATATACTTTCGACGCGGGAAATGGAAGAGTTCAATTCGTCTTCTGGATGTGCTAATCGATATCAACGACGTTTCACTTTCTAACCTTTCCAAGCAGACACCTTTATATATTCACAACCAAAATCCCAAATCACACAGTACACAAAAAGAGAAAAAATTGAGTTAACCTCAAGACATTACATCGGAAAACTACAATTATGATTATTCCAAAATGATTTTGTATTTGACATCTTTCCCGAAAAGCTTTCCATGCGAGTTGTCAAAAATGAACACATACTCTCCGGTCTCCTCAATCTTGAAGGATCCAATCTCTGGGTGGAATTCAGTCAGACACCGGAAAACTGGCCATACCTGGAAGTAAATTTTTTGAAAACATGATATCAAGTTTTGAGCAAAAATCCGAATCATTGTACAGAAAATTTTTGTTTGTTTTGCAACCTGAGCTGATAAGCAAAACCGTGTCTTCTAATCATCACAAAAAACCAAAAAAAGGTTTTTTTGCTGACCACTCTCTCTTGTCCACATGCAAAACTTGTTGTCAATATGATAAGAAGAAAATTGAATAAAACTGACTACTCGACCGTCTTTCTCGATGCTAAAATCAATGTCGCCACTGCTAACACGCCAAAGCCAATGGAAGTGCTTTCCAGTTTCACCGTACATTTTCACCTGGAACGTGATAATTGGGGAAGGATAAAAATATGAAAAGAGTTTTACCTCGGTTTTGGATCTGGCAGATACGGAGATTTTGGTACGGTCCACTTCCAGTTTGTGAGAGTCGTTGTACCTGCAAAATTAAGATGGAAAATAGGAATTTTGAATTGTGAAAAACTCTGCGTGTACAAATGACCAAATTGTTTGCAACAGAGTATCACCATTTTTGAAGAAAATTGTATATTCTCAAATAACATTGATTCACTTTATCTCGGTTCTTGTCAAAGATATCAAAAAGCTATCAACAGATAAATTGTTCATCATAATACCATAAGTGTTTTGCCAGTTGACACATTTTTTAATCGTAAAAAAGAAATAGCGTTGACTGCGTTCAAAATTGATTGTATAGTTACCCTTCTATAACAGGTTTTTCGATAACTTGAAAGTTATTGGAGTTAAATTTTAAGGCTTACCGTGGATGCTCAAATGGATCTAAACTTCTGTAGCAGATATCCAAAAAATTAACAAAATGCAAATTATAAACAATTTTATCATTTTTAGATGTTTTTCTTTCAAAAATTCAGATAATAGAGCTTCAAATAATGTCATTGAATGAATTTATATCAAAGCATTTACTGTGAATGTGCTTTCGGACTTTCAAAAATCTGTCCCACCACGTTTCCCCCAAACCATGTCCTCCTAACACTAACCAAAGATTCTCGGGCACTTTTCCTCCCATCCGGATATCTCCGCACGGATGTTCATGTTTCTTGTTTCCTCCCCAATGCATGAAGATGTTCTCCTCGCCAATCTCCTCAATCAGATGATTTTTCCAGTCCTTGTCCAAGAATCGGACCTGTCGAATACAAAAACTGATGCATTCGAAAAAAAATGTAGTGGATACCTTCTCACGCGTCTGCGAGGACAGAACCGGCGACACCATCGCATAAACCACTGACATCATCGCCGGACAGTTGATAATAAAGATTCGACGAGCAAAGTCGGGGAAAATGTTCTGCATTAATCGGTGAAACTAGTAAAAGTGCAAGTAAATAATTTACCTGCAAAAGAGTGAGCAGACTCATGTACACTTTGAGTGTTGGCGTGTAGAGCAAGTCCATGTTGAAACCATCGAGATCCATGATTATGATTACTCCCATTTTGCGTTGGGTTTCTGCCTCGGTTTTACGGATGATTTTGAAAGACATTTCAGTCTCCGAAATACAAAGTTGGAAGAGTTGAGAAGTGGGACCAGCTTTCACCAAAGTTTTTGGATGAGCCTTCAAAAAATTTCAAGATTTTGTTTGTTTCGAAGAGTTTATTATCGTAAAACGTAATTATTTTTCTATTCAAAAACTTCAAGAATTCCTACTTCTGTCCCAAAAATACGAACCTTTGCCATTGCTTGCATGTAGACCACATCACCTCGTCGGCTTTGGCCCATAATACCTCCTGGAAAGTACTCGGCGACAGCTGACATCTTCTTGATGTCTTTATTTATTTGCTCGACGCTTGTTGTCTGGTGATTGTTCATTCCAAGATTCACCAATGTTTCGATGGCGTAGCGCATCTTTGGAATGATCACGTCTGGAAGACGAGAGTCTAAAAAATATTGAATATTTTATGAGCTCACCAATTTTGTAATCCCATCCCATCAACCAACGCAGCAATGAGAAATCGGTATCATATTCAGGATATCTGAAAAGGCAGATTTTTTTCAGTCAAAGGAAAACGTAACCCACGTCGCCAAGATATCCTTAGTTTTTGATCTCAACTCTGCAATCTTATCTTTCTGATGCTCCGTGAGCTCGGTGATATGTGGATAGTGGTTCTCAGCAACCATGTCTAAAAATTAATTATTTTAAGAAAAAAATCAAAGACAAACACAAATGTTTAAATATGTGAAGCCATCTGAATGGGGAAACTGATAAACTTTTTTTCTGTCGAAATTGTGTGATTGACCAATTTTCTCGTTATCAGCAAAAAAAGAATGGACGAAAAACCATTCGAAATGAAACGTTGGTTGATGTGTGAGTTAGTAATTTGAGTATATATTTTGGGAGACTAAAACTTGAAGGAGAAATCTAAAATACTGAAAAAAAAACAAACCAGCGCTTGAAGAGCCTGCCGACATTGTTGAAGTAAACCTGCTCGGTGTTTTTGAGTACACCAGACAGCAAAGATGATATCAATAATTACTGAAAATTTGAAAACATGCTTTAGTTGAAGTTTTTTTTTAACATTAACAAAGAAACCTTAATACCTTGTGAACCATGATTTCAATGGAAATTTTAGAATAGGTCTAGGGTAGCCTACCTAGACACCTCTGAAAATATCAAATTCGCTCACCAGTTTCAGCCCATATTCATTTTCAAAAATTGCGTTTTTCAAAGATGATTGTCACAGCTTTTAATATGTTTCAAAACTTGAAATTTTGTTGTTGAAAGAAATTTTATATTTCAGACAGTCTGTCGTAAATTGTTTCTTTTTTAATTTCCAAATAAATCTTTAATTTTCGAAATAATCCCAAACAAGTGGAAAAATTCGACAATTCAAAATTGAAAATTTTCAAAGGAAAATGTCTGAAAAATGAACTTTGATCTAATTCTGAGTATACCATAAGAAATATTTTGTTTAAAACGTCTTAGAAGTTGAGAGAGTCGCTTTTGAAAATCGCTGTTTTGCACTGAAAACGAGATGTTTTGTGCCAAAACTTATATAACTCGGCTGGAACTGGCGAGCGGATTCTAATGCTTCATAAATGTCGAGATAGGCTCTTCTTAACCAATTCTGAAATTTGAATCAAAATCTAACTTTACAAATCTTGTTGAAATTTTCTGTAAAAGGGAAAATGTGGCTTGTGAGACAAAAAAGCTCTGAGAGCGTTTCTAGGAAACTGAATGAGGAGAAGAAAAAATGGCTCGCGTGTACCTCGCATCGAACTTGTATCTAGCCATAAATTTGTCTTTGAAAGCCAACAAAAATGAATTGTGGCAGATTTTGTGTTTTTTTTTTCAAAACAATTTTTCAGGTTCGATATTTTGTCGAAAAAAAATTTGCACAAACCCTTCTTTCCAGATTTGCATATCAAAAAACCCTTTTTTATTCCATATAGATCTATGGTTTCCTATTTGCATCTTCTTCTTTTTTTTCTCAGGAGAATTTCTTCTCTCCTGAAGCTCCCACTCAGAGATACCGCGGATCTTTATGTTGCTCTTTCTCATCCTCGGTCTCTCTCAATTTTTTAGCAGCGGCCGTTGCTTCTTCTCTTCGAGAGACACGAAGTACAGTGTAAAAATGCCAACGTTGTGTCCCAGTTTCTTTTCACAATCTTTTTCGTCCCCCCCCCCCCCACCACTAGTTGAGCACCCGCTCTATTTTTTCACTTCTGCATTCTTCATTATTGCAGACGATCGAAATATGGAATTGCTCACCTCACCGTCGTTCCACCATATCTCGCCACTCACCCGTTCTAGGAGCGATGTTCGTTCATCTGCAATGAAAAGGTAAGGAGAAAGGGTCAATGATCAAAAGTTATAGAGTTCGGAGATAAGGAGTTTGGGAATGACGAAGTCTTTATAGTATAGTGTAGTCAGGGGTAGTTATATTTTTAATAAAAATTTGAACTAACCAATTAAACGAAAGACTAAAGACACATGTGGTTTGATGGTCAATCGGTAAGAGTTCATAACTGAAAACATGAATCTAGAAACGTTGATTAGGATCTGGGGACGTATTTTCATGCGAACTATAAAAGGGATTATTCTCAAGTTAATTGAATAGGTTATTCAGTTAATTAAATAACTGTGAAAAATGCTACTTCCGAGCTATCCACTTGAAACAAAGCTCAAAAATGATGAAATTACAGTAAATCTGTGATCACGAAAATAAAAAATACCTTTTTTTCCTGTAATGAAGCTCACCCAAACCATAAATTTTGAGCTAAATTATCTCGATTCCCCATATTAATGATATCTTTCACAGAAATCAATATAATTGAACACAAAGTTATCGATTCGAGCGAGCTTCTATTATAAAGATGTACGGTAGTCACTTTTGGATATTTTTACAGAATCCATAATAAAAATATTTTGTTTAAAAAATTTTCTCAAACAGATTTCTGGATTAATATCTCCAAATAGTGTTGTTGTTAACGTCTTTTAATCGTTCGAGGATTTAAGATTCTTTAACGAAATTCGGATCCTTGAAAAAACAATGTAAGTTGCATTTAAAAATGAAGCCAATTCAAAAAAAAGAGGCCAAAATAAAGCCACAATTAGAAAAAAGAGGACTACGAAAAATGTCGAATAAAAAAAAAGTGTTCCAGATCCAACTCGTTCTCCGGCGTGTCCCGCTCCACCTCGGCCAACCGATTCTCTCGTCCCGACTACGGATATGGCGGTGGCTACATGTCTCGTTCCATCAACAAATGTGGTAGGCAATCCTCTTATCTGATTGAAAGCGCGTGCTCTATCATACTCATTGTTTTCATTGGAGTCATCGGCTTCTTTTTCTGTGTTCTAGCTGTATGACACTTCTCTTTCTCTCCTTTCTTTTCCTTTCCCAAATTAACATCCAATTCTTTGCCAATAATTATTTTCTCTGGAATCTTCCATTCAGGATTTGTTTCATATGTGTCGGGTTGTTGTTGTCATCATTGCAAGTAAAGAGAGTAAACCTTGTTTTTGTTTCTGTTTTGTATTCGAATTTGCACCAAAACGAAAACACAGTGGGAATGGTCTTCCAATGAAATGCAATTTCTGTTGCTCATCGTTTTCGCCACTCATCTGCCGTCCTCAGAGAGCCTGCCAGCTGCCTGCTTCGTTTTCTCAATTCACACCCACGCTTTGTCCGTTTTTCTCGCGATTTTCTCAATTCCAAGAAAAAATGAGATGATGTAGAGATGAGAGTGAGAACATTGTTCTTGATGCATGGGACTTTACAAGATTTATAAGATTTTTATGATGAGAAAAAACAAAACACATTGCAATATTATTTCCAGGAGGATCTCTCTTCGGGAGATCTTTGGCCGCCACCGCGCTCACCAAGACTCCACCATTCCACAATGTTGGAGTTCAACGCAGCACTCCACACTACACTGACAAGTAAAGCGAAAGAAATTGAAGATGCTAATGAGAATTATTAATATTTAGGTACCCATACGTCAGATACAGCTATGGAAACACCGACACTGGACTCGGAATTTTGACTCAATCGGAATCGGTAGGCTTGATTTTCGGCCATTTTGGTCATTTTCAGGAGTCTGGAGTTTGGCTTTCAAGTTTCCAATCACTTCCAAATTTTCGAAGGGTGTAAAACTAACCTGAACTGAAAACATTGCATTCACAGAATTTTTGGAAAATTCACAGTTTTTCAGCTATCCGGCGATTTCTAAAAGAGACCTTTTTGCGATTTGTTTTTGTACTGAATTTGTGAAAGAACAGGTGCCTTTCAGAAATGGGAAAATAGCTGATAAACTGGAAAATTTCAAAAACTATTGTGAATACGTTTCAACCTAGATGTGTTTTACACAATCCATAGATCTCAATGCGATCAGAAGCATGATAGCCAAGCCCCAGATTTCTGAAAATGGTCAAAATATCCAGAAATCAACTGAAAAAATATACTGAAAAATGTCTTTGTATATCTTATTGACTGTACTCTATCAATTTTTCAGGTCTACTCGCGTCACTCTGGAATCCGTGACATTGGAACCAAACGCTGGCTCGAGGGAAAGCTCAATGCCTACAACACCTCTTTGTTCACCCGCCCGGACTACCAAAAACGTGTCGAGAAGCCGATCGCCTCGACCAGAAGCTATGTGAGATACATGCCAGTTGATGATGCTTTGGATATGTACAAGAAGAGATGTATGACCGTGGGAACTCTTTCGAAGGTAGATTACACAATCAAAAGCTGCTTGTTCTGAAAAAGTATCATTTTTAGTACTGGCTCTCTCCAGCCACCTGGGCATCTCGCCGTGAGAAGGAGCTCAACCTTTCCTCATCTCTCAGCCGCGGAAACTACTCCTACTCTAGCCGGTTCGACAGGTTTTTCTTAATTTCTCTTTTCATATTCAGGACATACATGCTCATTTATAATTAAGCATAAAAACTATTTTTCAGACTTGGCGGCCGCGTCTACTAACCTACTCACGATTCCCCATCATCGCGATCAAAACATTCACGATACGTTCTTTCTTCCTACTCCGACTCTTTTTTCAATGACGCCGACTTTTGCACTTTGTTTGATATGTAACAAAGTACGATGAGAGCAGCTCAGTTCAGTTAAATCCCATGTTTGCAATTTCAGATAATTTGTTTTGTCTGTTTGAAAAAAAATAAAATGCCAAATAATTACATTTATGAAGAGAAGAAGAGAAGAAAATTTGTCACCGTTAGTTGGGTATCAACACAAAAATGGAAACGAATCTGTTTTTGCATTTTTACAAGTTTTTTTTTCAAAGCGTGTCGGATGAAAAATTAATTATTTACAATGGTCCATTCTTAGAAGGAAGTGGTGGAGCCTCTTGATAGGCATTGTAGGCTGGTGGTTGAGCAGTGGATTGTTGCTGAATGTTATTATAGGCTGGGAGACCATTGCTTGGACCCGCTCCTTGTCCAATATTCATTCCAGGTTGCGGTGGCTGATTAGTGGGATATGGGTTGTATGGTGCTCCTGGCTGCTGTTGCTGTTGTCCAGGGTAAGCGCCAATGTTTGAATACGGAACAGTACCCACTGGTTGGAATTGCCCAGCTGGGTAGGGATTAGTTTGTCCAATTCCTGGGTATGGTGGTGGCATATCGTAGACATAAACGTTTTGTGCTGGAAAAAAATCGGTAATTTTATTTCTCTTAGAAATCCCTACCTGGTGGACGCTCTGGGAAGACATTTGTCGGAGCTTGGAATCCTTGATACGTTCCTTGCACCAAGTAGTAGGTTGGTGGAGCTGCATAGTACGTTGTGGCTGACGCCTGCTGCATATGAGCCGGAGCGTAGGCAGGTGGAGCAGCGAACGGGCGAGCACGAGATGCTGAATAGTTCCTATTATGAGATTATTATGAGATTTCGCAACTCACCCATATCGGCGGCACGAAGAAGAGCCTCTCCGAATTCGATACATCCTCCTTTCGGGAACGACAAACGCCACTCAGGACATCCTTCAAAGTTTCCTCCTGGCATCGGTGTAACCCATCCCTGAAAAGACGAATTGGTCGTGGTCACACTACAATGTGAAAGTGTACCAACCTTGAGGTAGTTTGGAGTGAGAAGCGGCTGTTCGAGTTTCACATCGCGGACCGAGTGGAATGGCATTGCGAAAGATTTGAACTCGTCCTTCTTATTGTCGTTCATGAAGATGATCTGAAAAATCAATTTTCTAGAAGCCACGGCACATATCTCGGGCGTCGCAGGCAACTTCTGGTCGAAGGTTTGTCAGATTTCGAATAAGCTAGAGCCAGTCACAGCCCAACAAACCTATGACAAGGTTCGGGCCACATATTATTCCAATTTTATTCATCATACCAAAATCAGACATGGGTCCCCTAAAAAGCCGCTTCCGACCAGAGCCTGGCCAATAACCGTCCAAAAGCCGATTCTTTAAGGTTCTCTTCTCAAAGTGAGACAAAACGCCGATATTACCACAATTCGAAGATTTGGCGATATTTTTATTACTAATTATTCACAATATGAACAACGCGCATCTTGCGAAATCAGTATTTTACCACCGCCTAATCTGCAATTTTGAAAAACTCACTCTATGCGACGTGAGGTAGAGAGCACCAGACTTTGTCGATTTGAACGCTGGAACGTTGTACTTCTCAAACTTCAGCTTTATATTTGTCGTGTAGAGGAGAATCCTAGAATCGAATTATTTTCTCTCAACTTTCAAATACAATAACTCACATTTCTCCGTTATAAATCAAAATTCCGTGTCCATCGGGAGTGTGAGACGTGTTGAGCGACATGATTTATTGCTGAAATGAAGGGAAATGAATAAATTTGGTGTGTTATAAGCAACCAGTCAACAAAAATTTATTGCGAAATCAAAAGAATCACCGAAAAAAGCGTTGGTCAAGAATGGCGTGATGGCGGTAGGGCAGCGTTTTCATATGACTCGAGGGGTGCGCTGAGTCATACACGGCCTGCATGGAGCGTCGTTTCTCCACTCTTTATGCGCCTGCGTTTCTTTGTTTTGCATTGTGCCTCGGGAGATAGAGAATAGACCAAACGAGGGCAAATAGAGTGTTTACTCAATGACGAGGGGGAAGGAGTAACGAGAGTATCGGGTAGCGATAATAATCAGGAATTGGAGAATTGGTTTATGTGATTCAAGAAAAACGAGAAAAAAGTTTTGTGCTTATATGACTCGTCATATAGTGCACTGTCTTACGTTTTCTGGAAAAAATCATTCATTGCAAACGAATTTCAATAAAAGGTATAGAGGATTAAGAGGAAATCAGAAGGCTTTTTATAATTGAAGAAAAGAAAAAAAAACAAGTCGGAATGGCATGTAAATATTTTTCGATATTTTGAACAAGAATCAAAACATTTTGCAACCACAAAAATTCTAGAAAAAAATAAAATGATTGTTTATCGAATCAAAAAAGATGGAGAATAATAAAAAGATGGATATTTTGAGGGTGATAAGCCGAACAATAAATACAAACTGAGTGAGTGAAGATTAACTGAAGACCGTTAAGAAATTTTTTTACTGAGAAAATATTTATTCTCTTTAATACAAAACTTTGTCGGCGAACACTGGAGCCTGTTCCACTTTCTGTCCCTTGTTGTGTCGGAGAATGGCAACGAGTGGGTGGACGGTTTCTTGCAAATCCTGAAATAAAACTTCAATTTCCAAAAAATTTCCAAACAATTTTTACTCTGAAAAGATTCTCCAAGGAGGCCGTTCCGTGAGTCCAGTAGAGGTTATGTTGAAGCTTTGAGATTCCAGTTGGGAGTGGCGCAAATCCAGAGTTGTTCACTTTGTAGTACTCGAGGAAGGAGATGTTGGCTTGGGTGAGCGATTTAATGGCGATGGGTTGTGGGAGGACTTCAGAATTGGTAATGATTGGGAGCACATTGGTTTTCAAGTCATCTCCAAACATTCTCTTCACATCAGCGAGTTCATAGATGAATGGCCATCCCAATTGATTCTCGTCGTGCTTCAGGACAATAGAGATCGCATCCAAACGGAAAGCTCCAGACTCCAAAAGCTCCTGGAACAAGATTTCTTGTTATTTTTCAAAGAATTCTGAGTTTACAACCTTCTCAAACCATTGCTTGATTAGCCTAGAAACAGTCTTATTTCCCATTCGGTCCTCGACTCCAGGCGTGTCAACAACAGTGACGTTGTACGGAAGAACGGTGTTGTTGAACACGTAGGCGGTGAGCCCAGTGGTGGCGTTCACATGTTCGTCCAAAACAAATCTGTAATTGAGAATGTGGAATTTTTGTTCAATGTTCGTGTATACCGTATATGCTCTTGTATCTCACCCTAAACGCGCACTTTGAGTTATATTATCTCGGCCCCCATAAAAAATCAAACAATTGTCAACTAATGAAATGTTGATATTTTTACAATCAAGATTTTATCAGTTGACAGGGTTTTGATATTTTTGAAGAAACCGATATCATAAAGCTCAAAGTGCTCGTGTAGGATGGGTTACTGAGCGTTTACAATACCTGAAATTGTTCTCCTTCTTGATGTCATACAAGAAGTTCATCATGCTAGTGATAGCAGAAGTCTTTCCAGATCCGACGGGTCCGAACAAGAGAAGAGTTTTGTCATCGTCGCTGCTTGGAGCGTCTCCTCCAATAATGACTTTGTTAATCTTATCATTCTTGGAGAAGTTTTCAACAACATAGTATTGTGGGACGATGAGCTCGTACTTTCCGCTATTGGCAATCTAGAAAACTTATAAAATATCAGGTTAGAGAACAAAACACAAACATGCTCTCCAGAAGCCTTCTGCTTGGCAGCGAGTGGACTGACACGAACTTCCTCCTCTTCGTAGATGCTAGAGTCGACGCTCTCTGAAATTAAGTTGTTTTTGAAGATCTCTTTTTGAATATAGAGAAATTCCAAGGCCCAAAAGAATTTTCTACGTCTAAACTGACTTACTGGAAGAGTGACTTGATTTTGGCTGCGGTGGAAGATGATGATGATGGTCATGATGATCATGACTGTAAGAGCGCACATGGTAACCGAGTGGCTTAGCTCCTTGTCCAATGTTGTGAACTTTAAGTGAAGCCTCACGAGCCAAATTAGCATGAGCTACTCGGTCGTTGTCAGCGCGTTGGCGTTCGACTTGGTGAGAAAGTTGAGCTTTCTTTTGACGAGCATCCTCGACTTGGCGTTGAAGATTTCTCAATTTCTGAGTTCCGCCAGTATGGAAAGAAGCCTGGGTGTGATGAGATACGACGCTTCCTGGGGACTAAATCAAACAAATAGAAAAGAAGTTGAAACTAAGACGCTTACGCTAAAAACGTGAGTGGCTTCTGGGCGCTCGTAAGCAACTTCGTTATGATGGAGGTTGATTTCCTCTCCATTGTAACGGTCATGGTCGTCGTGGACGTCGAATTGTCCGAAACGGCTCTCGGCAAACGATGCAGCACTGTCGAGGGTGTTCGAGCGATCGCGGTTGATGGGCACTGGAATTTATATACATTTTAGAAATTCAGAAATCATTTTGCAATATTTGCTAACTCGAACAAACAGCTTAGTTCTCATTATGTACCTACCCATGTGATCAATGTAAAAATAGTCGAACATTTACCAGACTGGAAGGGAAAATGTGTGTGACTAGGTGTGCATAACAAAGGTGTACACCTCGTTTTACAACTCAACACAGCTTGACTCATTCTCCCTCCACAAAAAACATCTAATGTACAGTTCTCTTTTCAATTCTTCCTTTCAGCACAACTTACCAGATCTCACTGGGTATTGATGATGAAGATTGAAATGGTCACTTTTCTCATCCTCGTAATCCGGTTGGGGCTCAGATCCATAAGCGTCGTAGTGCTATAAAACTAAAGTTAATCAAAGAAGTATGATACAAATACATGCATAAGGTTGGGAAGCGATATCGAGGTCTTGGAAAATGTCGTTTACAATGAGGCTCGCGGTTCGGGCGGCAGCGTTTCTCTGCAAGCGAGCAAAACTTACCTGATAAAACATTTCAAAACGCTTACCTTGACGGCAGAACCATTGGACACTACGCTCGAAGCATTTTGTGGGTGGTTAGCGCTGGCGTAGTTGTGTCCATGAGAGCTGACATGGGAAGTTACATGTGACGAGCTAACATGACTCGGGGCCTGGAATGGTGGCTCACTGACGATGGATTCGTGGTCTTCTCCATAAAGAGCTTCGTCTAGGTGACGGAGAGCATCGTCATGACCTCCGTTCAGATTGACAGTTGGGAGAGTCACAGCGGAGAAAATCTGGAAGAAATTGTCTGTTCTTGAAAGTTGGCCATTGGGGACCTTACCGAATCCAAAAGTGGGTCAGCAGTTGGAGTAGCGTCGTAGTAGTGAGAAATTGGGGTTGCGTTGACCGGTGGTGGTGGTGCAGACACTGCTTGTTGATGATGTTGATGGTGGCCAACAACAGTGGAGGTAGTGTTCGAGCGAACTCCATTCCCGATCTAGAAAATTTCAGATAGTGTCAATGATTTAACCATTAACAGATATTTTCAGAATTTCCCTGTTTGTACCGCATCAAAAACCCCATTAAACAACCTAAGAGGCTTGCAAGGTCGGAATCAGCTCATATTTCCCAGTTTTTCCCGCATATAGATAGACAAAACGAGTGTTACCGTAATCTATGAAACTGCTTCTGCATCTTCGAGGCCCACAATAACTAGAAAAGAATGTTGATATACGAGTTTCCAAATGCAGTCAAAGATTGATCATAAAATTTCGGTGATCCTCGTTTTGACCGTGAAAATGAAAACACAATTTTTATCTCGAAAAATGTACACATTTATTCACCATAACAGTCAACTTTAAATTCAATTTTTCCAATACTTGTATGAGATATCAAAAATTGACCAACATATGTAACGTGTTGGTGGCATTATGATTGATAATTTATCAATTGGCAAATTTTTGAAATCTTTCACAGAAATCGAAATAATCAAGCTCAAAGTTGACAGTTTGAGTGGGCTCGTATTAGAGAAAATCGGTACAAGATTTCTGTAAAGAGGTTAGCCAGTTTAGAAGAACATTAAAAAAAAGTAAGAATACCAAAAATTAAGCTTCTTCAAACTATTCAATTTTTTCACGTTTTTGAAATTTCGAAAAAAAAGTTTACGATTTTTGCCCCCAACCACTTACAGGAACTTCTCTCACAGTGGACACACTTGAGGCAGTTGTTTTACGGCTTCTACTTCCGGCCTAAACATGCTGGTGTATTTGTGTACAGTGGTTTCAGACAAACCTCGGACGACTTGAAATTGTCGCCAGTGGTCAATGTTGGAAGGTTGCTAAAAACGTCATCCAAGTTGATGCTGACAGCCCCACTTCGTGACATGTCTGAAGAGATGGAGCAGTTAAAAACAAAGAGTGAACTGTGAGAAGAACATGAAGAGCATATAAGAAAAAAATAAGAGAAGAAATAAACAAGGTTGGAAGAGTGAACAGTGTGAGTCATGGTAATTTTTGGAGACCTTTTAAATATGGAATGTTTCTTCGATCAGTTACATGACTCACTACAACTCCCACTGACACCCCATAAAATATGGAACACAAAATTTGCAAAAACAGAATGAGTCCAGTTGCTCAAAAATGGTGATTGACCGCGACGAAAGATCGGGAAAAGACAAGAGCAGAAAGTGTGTGAAAAGAAGTATTGCGGAGTTGTAATGGAGTGCAAAGTCGGCAATGGCATGAAGAGCACCACAACCAGCGGCCTCTCCTGCCAAAACTGTGCCTTATCAGCGCATGTGCCACGCATTACACCTTCTCGCGTCAGGCGCCATACGTATTGTATGCAGCTAACACAAAACCCCCACTCTCCGTACAACAGAATGAGAGTATTGGAGAGGGTGACTATATTGACGAGTAAAAAAATAGAACAAAATAAAAAATAGAGTGAACTGGAGGGATAAAAACATTGTTCTATTCGTGTGAGGCTAGCACGATGGACGAATTGCTTTTCTGTGTTTCTAGTGGTCATATTTTAAACGCGCGGGTTTAATAGTTCAATTTTAGAGGTTTACAGTAATGGGAGTTTACAACTTAATTTGAAAGAGAAGACGGCATTTTTAAAAGGTCATTTAAAAAACATCTGAGTAGATAGATACCATCTGAAAGACACCAATAATGAGGCAAACGATTCGATTTGAAACCATAAATTACGGAACTGTTGGATAGGAAATTAGTGAAAGTTTTAAAGACAGGGTAGATGTGGAATTGAGATATGGAAATTGAAGTAATTGTGTTTACAGTATGTTTTTTGTTTAATTTCGTATTTTGAGGGTCTAGTTTAGGAATTTTTGTACTGGGAGTTTTTTCTAGATTTTCCAAAAAAAAAATACTCTTCTGAATTAATATATTGAAACAAAAATGATAACAAATAATTGTTAGAAAAATTTGTCAAAAATTCAGAAGCCCAGATTTACAGTACTGGTTAAAAAACGAACAACAACGTATTTTTCATATTGTTTTCGTTCATTGTGATCATTTTCAGGACTGCAGCTCCGTTTTTAAGTTTTCGAGCACATCGAACGCTTTGAAGGGTGTAAAACAGATTTGCGTTTGAAACTTCATGTCCACAGAATATTTTGAAAATGCGTAGGTTTTTGGTTATTTGTTATGTTTTGAAAGACACCTGTTGTTTCACGTTTTCAGTTCGAAAACCGGCAAAGAAGGTTTCTTTCCGATTTTGACAATTAACTAGAAAACTAGGAACTTTAAAACATAATTGCAAAGGGCCGGGCGGGCCGGGCCGGGCCGGGCTTTTTTCAGGATTTTCAAGCCCCGGCCCGGATTTTTGGAATAAAAGTTTTCTGTATTTCAAAAAATTTTTGGGGGTTAACAGAAAAAAATGGACGATTTTTCTGAAAAGAAAAAAAATTTTCAAGATAAGAGTGTAGTTCTTTTACAAAAAAATTTGAAAAAAATTTTGAAATTTGGAAAACCCGGGCCGGGCTCTGATTTTGCAAGTATGCTTTAAAAGGGTTTGATTATTGCAAAGTTACCAATCTAGGTCTGTTTTACACCGTCCAACAATTTCAAAATGAACGGAAATTTGACAGCCGAGCTCCAGACTCCTGAAGATGAACACAAAAGCCGAGAATCAACTGAAAATTGCGTTTTTGCGTATCTAATTAACCGTTCTTGGCTCCCAGGAAAACCCACAAGCTCAAAAAATATGCGAAAAATTGAGAAAAAAATACCGTAGCGATTTCTAGAATGCAGTTCATAAAACTGTACAACTATAAAATTGTTGGCACTACTTTCAACTGATAAAAGCACGAGCTAGGCAAAACGAAGGGAAGAAAAACGATAGTGTTACATGATAAACTTTCCCTGAATATATTCAAAACTATATTCAGAATTTTTATGTTTGCTTGTAGTGGCAAACATCAAAGTTATTTGAAAAATGAAATATTGCTTTTATTGAGAAAAAGGTGAAATTCAAGTTGAACCGAGAAATTATAAAATCGAGAGTATAACATTTTTCACAATTTGATGTTTTTTGCAAAATAATAGTTTTTTGCAAAAATAATAGTTTTTTGCAAAAGTTTTTTGCAAAATAATATCTAAAGAAAAAAAACAACCCATCTAATACAAGTCTAGCAAAGAGAAGAAAACGGGAAAAAGGGTACTGGCATTGGGATGAAGGCTCTGGAAAGATGAAAAACATTTGAACAACAGATTTAAGCAAAGGAAATGTTATTGGCAAGGATACAGATGAAAGTAAGAAATTTTTAGGGCTCAATTGAAGTCAGGGAGTCTTTTTAGGTGGTTTTGAATCTGAAATACTCCAAAACAACAACGGGTCAATAATCAATGACACTGAATTTGAAAATTGAAACATAAAAATATGGATTTTTCCATTTTAAAATTGATTGACAAGAGGATAGTACCAACCGATGGTACCTGAAACCAAACGCTAGAAAATTATTAGGAAAAAAACCAAAACTTCTTTCCCAACATTCGATTTCTGGACCTGCCACGCGGCACACATATATTTTATGATAAAAGAGTCTATACGGTTGCTACTTGACAAGTCCAGTCCTCATGTCAAAGGGGCGGCACAGTTTCCGACGTGCGAGTGGTAACCACTTCCATATCGACAATTTTTCCGTTTCCATTACTGCTCGGTGGTTTAGAAACGGATCTGGCACTGGATGGGCTCTCTCTTCGTCGACGCCTTCTAACATCACGACAATGACGAGACTCCTGATCGTCTCTTGTTTCTCTGGTCCGCCTCTTCTTTGGTTTCATTGGGCAGGTCCTGTAAAAATTTTTGTTGTGTTCGGGGTTTTCCCATGTTATTACCAGTACAAATAAATGTTCTTTTCAGAAAAGGCTATCAGATGCATGTTTATGGCTTTCACTCTCTCCTTATTTCACTCTCTCACTCGATAAAACCGTAAAAACCTGAAAAGTGATGAAAGAGGTACAGTGACAACAGCAAAGTGTGCAGCAGTGTTTTTATCGCGCTTGTTAATACACATACACACAAAATGATAATTTAAGACACGTACTTGTGTGCTAAAAATCGTGAAATGTAGATGACAATTTGACAGAGAGAAATCAGGGAACCTCCGGCCCAAAGGGAAAATTGACCTGAAAAAATGATGATAAATTACGACCAAGAAAAAATTTTCAATCAGAAAAGTGGTCATAAAAGTTTGAAGATTGTTGTTCATAAGACTACTGATTACGGTACTAGCCAATAAAATATTTAGAAATCATAGTTTTCAGTTGATTTCCTGCCATTTTGAGCAAATTCAGGAGTCTGGAGCTCGGATATCAAGTTTCTGATCACTTTGAAAAATCCGGAAAATGTAAATCAGACCTAGATTAAATACTTCATGTTCACATAATTTTTTGAAAATTCCCAGCTTCTCAGCTATTTTCCGATATCTTAAATACTGAAAACTGAAAACGTGAAAAAAAACATGTGTCTTTCAGAAATCGGCGAATGACTGAAAAATAGGAATTTTCGAATGATCGTTAACGCGAAAATTCAAATCCAAGTCTATTTTACACCTTGCAAGTTTTCGATGTGATCGGAAACATGGCAGCCAAGCTCCAGATTCCTGAAAACAGCCAAAATCCCGGAAATAAGATGGAAGGTACGTTTTCGTATATCTCAATGACCGGTAATGTAACAATCTAGAATTTCCATCGATCTAGTTTTTCTATTTTTCAGAATTGTGGTTTCACAGGTGCAACATACTCTCAAAATTTCAAAAACAAATTCACCTCCAATTTGAGCGATAAGACTGGATAGTGGCATGGCAACAACATGTCGAATAATGGTGTAGTCCAATTGTGAATAATAAATATCTAGAATAATCCGCCGCTTCATCTTATTATACTCCTCCTCAGGGATCAGTTCTCTACTCTGAAATTTGATAGTAGTCGACTGAAAACAAAAACAAAAACAATTACCGCTTCAGATGGAATATTGGAATAGCTAACTTGTTTGTTATAGCTCCATGAGTGGCACGGCGCCTTGCAGTTTTTCTTGCAGTTGTCAACTTTTTCCTTTGGAACTTTTCCCTCATCAGTGAAAAGATGCGGGAAGAAGCAGTGATAGAGTTGTGTGGCAGTACAAATTTTATTCGGATGGTCAGGATCGTGAGCGGCGGCGGGTGAGCATTTACAAATTTTTTGTGCATCAGAAGTCAGACATCCTTCATAACAATGGACGCGGCTGTAGTTTCCGTGTGGATCTTCTTCGCATTCGTAGCGCGGTGGATCATTCATGAATTCGAATTGAGTTCCAAGCAGAGGCATGATAGCATGGACTCCTGAAAAAAATTATTTAATGCCGGGCAACAATTTTTTGACTATAATACCAGCCGGGAGGAAAGTCAAATCGTTATCAATCCCTTGCCCACGCTCAGCCAATTTAATAATGACACCACTGTTGATCATTTGATTGATTCCAGGATGATACAATTCTTCGGGTAGATCAATAATATACCTATCTCCGTTGCCGAACCCGCTAGCTTCCTGAACAATGACCATAATCATACTCACTAGTAAATTTTCACTAGTAAGAAACTTACTTGTTTTGATCCCGGCAACCTAAAACATTTTCCAGCAGATGTCATCATCTCCGTAACATTATCACATCTTCCAGGTTCTTTGAAAAACGCTTCACAGCTCAATGAAGCCTTTTTAATAAATTCTACAAATGGCATATCCAGTCGAGCTAATAAAGCTTCTAGCTGGAAATCGAGCAGGTCAATTTTTTTCAGAATCTCCTCGGTTATGATTTGTAAATTTTTGAAGGGTAGCTCTATAGATGGAAATGAAAGTTCCAAAAATTGAGCGAGCTCAAATGACACGTTATATTGTGCAAGGAAAGTTCGGTTGAATCGATTGTACGGGCAGAATACAACATCAGGGACGTAAATTGCGGCTGAAAAAAAATGATTAAAAATGATACATTTCTAGAAGTTTTATCTCACGGGCTTCTTGTATGAAGTAAGAAACCACAATTCTCCGCGCCTGATACTCGTTTATAATCTGATGGCATCCTTGCAAAGTCATGAACAATGCCGAGACAACAATCAGGACCCAGATAATTCGGAGACGACCTGATGACGATAGCATGACATCACGTAGGCCATGGAGAGTGGATGTTTCTCGGAGAAGATACAGACTGTCGTCATTGTCGTCAAATTCATCACTCAAACTAGACACATCGGTTGGTTCTTGGGACCTTGTGGAAGCTCTGTAAAGTTTCAAATGAAAAGAGAAATCTAGTCCTATGTAGAATCTTCAGGTGAATATTTAATTTGCCCAATAGTCATACTATTATTCAAAATGTTTTTGTGAATTCAATATAAGCCAACAAAGATAGAAAACACTTACAAGAGGGGGACGTAAGTTTTTTGGGGCATCGAAGAAAATGTGAGCGCGAACACAAACTTGTGACACGCCTAGACTAACAAGGTTTGCACCACCTACCGGATATAAAATCGAAAAACACGAACCTGCTGCGGCCGGACCACCTCCGTGATAACGTCTTTTTCAAGCAGTGGTTCTCTTTTTTGAGCTTTCGAATCGCAGATTCAGCCGACTCGCTGATGGATTGACTTTGTGTGAGCGAGTTGCTCCTGACCACTGTGGCCTCCGGACGATTTCCATTCATATACATTACACAGCTAGCTTCATCGAATCTCGTCCTTCGGATTGTACTTCGTCGCTCCTGTTTCTCTTGCATGATTAGGAATATCAGACAATTTAAAGGAGAATAAAACACGACGAGAAATGTTTTTTCAGCAAGATAAATGAGCCACAATTGTGTCGAGGGCTAAATGTGAAGAGGGTTGAAGATCCATCAAATATTTGTTGTCTTCCTTTTTAGGGGTTTTTTTTTCTTGCTCTACTCAAGTATATTCAAAATGGTGGCCGAGGTCCTCGGGAGGTCAATTCATGGGATGATGCTTTGAAAAAGCAGAAAAAGGGGGAGGAGCGCGGACAAGTAGAGGTACTCCATGAAAAGAAAAACGGGAGTAGGAGAAAACGAAGACGGAGTTCACTTTCAATTATTTTCTTCTTGCATAGAGCTTCGCTCCATCTAGTAAATTATTATAATGCCACCATCTGGCCTATCTAGTTGCTTTTGTTCCGGGGGATAAGTTTGAATATACACACTCTTTTTTAATTAAGCCAAAACACATCACTTATTTTTGCGAATTTCTGGGCAACAAAAAAACATACAAACGTTGTTATCTCAATTTAAATGCCTAATAGTTTTTCTTTACACTTCAAATGACCCCATCGTGTCGAAAGATTTTTTTCGCATCTTAGAAAAGTCCCAATAATGTGACAGCTCATTGCAACTCAATGTTACACCAAGAATAGGTTTTTTCTTGTGGAATGGAGTTAAAAAGAAGAGGTTGAACTTAAAAAACATGCAAATTCAAGAATAGTATGCGTATTTTTCAGAACAGAAAAACCATGAAACAAAAAGCGGCAAAATTCCGAACAATTCAGTTAAACTGAGAGGTCCCGAGGACGCTCCGACAAAATTTGTTTATAGATTAGGCCCGGATGAATGAGAAATCAACGGTCAGTGGGAGGAAAAAAGGGGAGGGGGATAAAAAGAAAAGATAAATCAATTTTTTTCTTATTGAAAACAAATTGGATTCCTCTTCCGAGAGAAAAAGTGCAAGATGAAGAGAGATCTCATCCTTTACACTTCATGCACCAAAATGTCGGCAAGTTCAGATGTCAAAAGGTGAGAACAATTTGTCATTCGGGAGATTATTAACAAGGTGTCAAAGAGAAAAAAGAGATAAAGAAAATTGGAAAATTTGGTCCTTGTGTTTTGAGGTATGTTGAACAGGATAAAGATTTCTTTTTAAATCCAATTGAAAATTGATGAAATTCCGATTGTTAAAAATTTTTGTTAACGGGCAAAAAAACATATACGTTCTCATCAACTTCAATTTTTTTGGATTTTTTCAGCTGCTTCTTGTCACTATTTCACTTTTCAAAAAGTATATTTGTTTTCACAATTTTTTCAGAATCTTGAAAAAAGACATGACATTGCTCTTAGTCATACAATCAGCTACATGTAACATGATCTATCACCCAAAGACATGGAAATAGAAACGGAGGTCATATTGAACGTGCGAGATCATCAAAAAACAATAGTGTCAAAGTTCCATTCGGCATGAACAGCTGCCGCAAAAGATTTTAATATCTAATTTTCAATTATAAGGGATAAATGCAAAAATTGACCAAGAAAAGCATATTATCTTCAAATTTAACAGAGTCATATTATTTTTATGTTAAAAAATAACACGTCTCAAATTTCTTTGCGTTTTGTCTACCCAACCATGATAATAAGATGTAGAAGAGCTCATGTGAAAACTTCAGTTGCTAAAAACTGGATTTTCGAATGTTCCAAAGCTTTGTGAATCGACCTGATGCTTTGAAAAAAAAAATGAATACAATAATAGTAATAGAAAACTAAAAATATAGTACCTGGTAAAATTTTCAAAAAACATAAAGAGTATAAAATTGTCTCTGAAAACAGCATTATTTTGAAAAATTCGGAAACTTGGTTGGCTTCGCGCTCTTCTTCCTGTAGACTAAATTTCTACAAACGAATAGTCTATTACATAATCTCTATTTTGGTTTTGTAACTTTGAGCATTTTCACAAAAAATATGTACTCTGTATTAAGGACATCCAAATTTCAATTTTCTCAACGAAAAAACATAGAGCTTTAATTTTAAGGTTGAAAAAAACCTTTGCCTGCTTTTTCTAAGAAGAGAGCGGATTTGAAAAATAAGATATCCAATTATGAGACGACAAAAAATCGGTAAATTACTTAATACTTTTTCAAATTTGCAAAAAATTTCAAGACAATGTTTTCATCAGAAAATTACAAATGACACCAGTTTTGAAAAATAAAAACTTGAGATGGTTTAACGGAGTAGCTGGTACAAAATTTAAAAAAAAACTATCCTAAAAGCAACATAGAGGTATTTTTGAAAAAAGAACTATCGAAACCATGACGTTCAAAAGAAACTCACAAAAAATCATCTGCAGTTATTCTGACGTTTAGTAAGAAAGTTCTCGGAGAAAGGTAGTCCGAATCTATTCTCCCAGAAGGTCGGTATTTTATAGTAACCCCTCTCCATTTTCTGCACACTATCTTATACCGGACCCGATCACACTTTTTAAAAAATCTTTGAGCAGTCATAAATTTACCAGTTAATTGAGTAGTTTTTCGTACTCCACGCTAACTTTCTCTATCTGCGTTTCTTATCAGAAGTACAACGCTCATATTACAAAAAATACCAATTATCATATATCACTTCAACGAAAAAGTCGGTTTCAATCAGATAACACCTCTCAGGTCAACGCACGGACTCCCAGCCAATAATTGTGAATAATTAATGGTAGCCAATGATTTGAGGCGAGGGATAATGGGCTCCAACTCAGCACACCTGACACCCTCTCGATTCACCCACATGATAAATCGTGTGGGTCCTTGGGATGCGCGTTGACCCCCCAATCGAAGAAAAATCCTTTTTGTTGAAAGTGTAACGAAAAAGCGATTGAGAGCTAATTGCTTGGTCGCGGTTGCTCATTCCGAGGAAATTCGCTTTTTGAACGCGTTTATTGGATTTTTTCATGACCTTATTCGAAGGCTCATGCTTTTTTAACCAGGAAAACAAAAATCACCTAATTGTCATAGATCGAGTACGGAAGATAGGCCATGTTTAGAAAAATTAAAAAATTTTTTCCGGGTTCCCTTTGGTTCACTAAATATCTTTTATAACCTGGATTGGATTTTGTTCCGGGTTTTGACTTCAACGGCATTTTTTCGGGATAACATAAACTTTGTAAAAAAGAAAATAAAAAACAAGAGATCTTCTCTAAGATTTCTTAGAACATCTTATTAACCAGTATAAATTTCTCGATGCACTCAAAAACCACAATTGTCAAAACACCAATTAAATGGGAATGGAGATGTGCCTGGAGCAGTGAGAAGTGCACACGGAAGTTAGGAATATGGACGCCTACTAGTAGAAGAATCACCCACCGGGTAATTTGATTATCATAGTCTCATGGTCGGCAAAAAAATCGAACAAACGGAGAAAAGAGAAAAATGTCGCAGAGTTATGAGAAACAAATTGTGAGAAAGACTCTGTGACAAACTTGTCTGTTGGGACCAAACGTGTTCGAAATTTGAATCAAAAAGAAAAAGAAGAAAAAACGAAACGAAAGACGAGTCGAGATTTTTTCAAACAGATTAAGGTCAAATGCGTTGTGATAGAATAGAAAACAACGAACACATAGGCGAAAAATTGTTATTTCTGAAATTCAAACTGCCGTTCGCTTTTCATCGCCATAGGTTCCACGTGTAAAAAGCCAATCTAAAAAAACTAACGGTCCTCACATTCACACGCTGTTTGAAAAATATGAAGTGACCGAAGTAGGTGATAAACCGGTCCCTGGAGAAAAATCAGGAGCCTCTCCCTCAAATTTTTCGTTGAAAGAGACGACACATTTTCGGACATGTCTTGCAGAGCCCAGAATCGCAACATTTTGCTGTTTTCCCATTTTTCTTTTTTTCCTGGTGAGAAATGGATTGGTGTCTCTTAACTGTTCCGAGGGAATTGAAACTTTGAGTTCCGAGTCATTTGTCCTTTTTTGTCACCGCCAAAAAGCCAACACTGAAGCAAAGAACCGATTTGGGACTTTTCAATTTTTGTTTTTTGTTCAGCGAAAGATCAAATAAATTACTCAGAATGGTCTATGAAGATCGGTATCAACACAATAGACAATTTTATTGTGAGAGAACATGAACTAAACTATTAATCCCCACTCAAAATTCAAAACCTTTTTGGAAGAGGGGTTGCTTCACGTGGGTGAAAGATTTATCGGCCGTTTTGTCCATTCATAATTGTACCTGATCTCAATAGATCAATACCAAAAATGGGATTAAACTACTTTCAAAGAGCGTTTTGGTAACGCCCACTGGAGAATTCGGAATGAAATACTGAAATTCTTCACTACTCCCAGACCTGCAAGAATGACCCATCTAGTGCCTAGAATACTGGGCTTTGTGTTATTTGTACTAGGTGCTGCAATTCTTTTAACGGAAGTCATGCATTCTTATACTCGCTATATTAGGCAATCAGAAACATATACTGTGACAAGTGGAGATTCACAGGATCCACCGAAAAAGCAGAAACAGCTGAAAACATTTTTTAGTCTCTACCGAAATATGGATGAGATTATTGAGCAAAACACTGATGTGAGTCGAAATTATTTTTTTTTCATAACTTTTTTGACTTCTCAGTTTACTAGAACTTAGACTATTGAATCTCAAAAATTGAAACCATTCAATAAAAACATTGCAGTTTTAGGGATTTTTAGAGATGACATCAAAATCAGATAGTAGAAAATAAAAACATTTTGAAAAACGCAGAAAATTCTGAAAGCAATTTTTTCAAAATTTTTGAAATAAGCTCAATTATCTCGGCTTCAACAAGAGTTATCAAAATGTTGTCCATGAACAAAGTGTTGGTAAAATATTATGGCAAAAGTTTCATCAGTTGATAATTTTTCGAGATCTTTGACCGTTGCCAAATAATTAAATTTATATTGACAACATTCTAATATCTCTTATTGGAGCCGAGATAATTGAGCTTTATTTCAAAATGTGTGGTCTTCTGTTAGTGCATTTCTGGTGTGTAGATTGACGGCAATCACATAGCTCAGCCGGTGGCCTAGAAAATTCTTCCCCAATGAGTTTGAGTTTTCGATCAACTTTTATAGCCATAAAAAAATTAAAAATTCATTCTACTTTCCATCTTCACTTTCTCAGGCAAAAAACACTGTTTCCTTAAAATATGTTCAAATTCATTTCACTCTTTTTCAGACAATCCAACCTAGAGTTCTAAACGGATCAGCCCACGAGTTTTGCAACAACACAGATCACTGTATTCGACCGTTTATGCGCCACGAGACTAGATACAGAGTGAGAACAAAACACTACGACAAAGATCACAATAATCTTCTCAATTTAAGGTCGCGCCGGATTATAAAATGGCTCACTGTGTGTTCACAAAAGTATGTCTACAGTCATTACAGGTATTATGTGCTACTTGTACAATCGAAATTACTATTTGAAAGTTGACAAGCAGATGAACATGTCAGAGTGGGATAAAGCTGCGTGAGTTTCAAAAACAATGTCGCCGGGAGTGTATTCCTACTATAAAATTTAAGACTATGCCGAGGGGACAACACATTTCGACACTTGAAAAGTCTTCAAAAAAAGTACAATGTTAGTCAAACGGGTGGATGGAGTTATTCAATGATTACCCGCGACCCCATTGACAGATTCGTATCGGGTTATGTGGATAGATGTATAAGGTTTGTTTAAAAGTCCAAAATGCCCCCATCTTCAAACTCTTTTCTCACTTCCTTTTATTGTGTCATTGCAGAGTGGCGGAAGGGTCCAGTCCGTGCAATGGGTGCGATAAGAATATGACATGCTTCATTTTGAGCGAGTATGAGAGATTCAAAAAGCAAGCCATCAAAGGGGTTCTCACAAACACTTTTGAAGATCGACACTTTTATCCGCAAAACTGGTGAGACGAATACTAAAAGGAAGGATTCTCGTGAATTATTGAGATTCTCTTTTTTTTTTTGTTGGTGGATGATATCTACTTCACGCTTTGGGACAAAAAATGAGAGAAAGATTTAAAATGAAGGAATATAATCTAAAGAATCAAGGAACTCTAAACGGCTTCGGCTAATTCGAAAGCTCAATTATGTTAGAGAGATAGCATATAAATTCAATAGCGAAATGAACATGAGAAAATCCAGAACTCCCAAAAATAACAGAACTTCTGCGTCAGATGAAGAAAGCGGGACAAAATGTCTTTGTCTCATCAAAGTCCTATTTTTGAATAAAATCCAATTTCCTTAGTTTTCTTCCATTCAACTGAATTCAAATCAGGAAGATTTCTGGAACATCTAGTAAAGAATCTTCCTTGTTTTCTTGGATTTCAGACGAAATATGTAAAACTTGGGAAGATTTGAAACGGTGGATGAAAATTCTCAAGATTGTTTTTCAGCATTAGTCACGAAAAAGCCAAATAATCCAATTGGTTTCTAAAAGTCTCATAAGGGAACTTCAACACCTTGTCCACCCAGATTATTATTAATATTTCAGGATAGGGTAAGGATAGACAATCTAGGCACATTTGAAAATTTTAGAATCCGCTAGCTGGTTTCAGTCGAATAATGTCAGAAAATCGAAGTTTAATACATCGAGTGTAACGAAATTTGAGATTTCAGACATTAACTCAAATTCTTTTCATTTTTTCGAAGTTTTCGAACACTAGGATTCATTTGAAAATTGAAAAAAAAGCTGAGAAAATTTCTAAAATATGGTTGAAAAAATCGTCTTTGAAAACCATTGTTTAGCAAGAAAAATACTACTCTTAACTTAAAATTTTCATCGAAATCTGGGTTTTCAAGGTATTGGTACCTTGTTTGAAAAATAGAAACTCCATTTGAATTTGATTTTGAAAGTCTTAGTAATATACAAAAAACACACAATTCAAAACTTGAAAAAAGGTTCTACTGTTTTCGTAAACAATTGGAAATCATTTTCTGAACTACCGTAATTCATCTCGCATTGTTTTTCAGGAGATGTGATATTAGATCAATGAGGCACAAATACGAATTCATCCGATATTCCAGTGACCCATCTCAACAACTTATGGAGGACTTGTTCAAAATTGCCCGACGTCAAGGGGTTAGTTTCTTTAAAAGCAGCTACTCATTAAAAGCAAAATGGATTGTTTTGGAACATAAACAATCATGAAGCCACTTTTCTCTCACTAGAGTGAAACTAAGTAAAAATAACGGAAGTCTGAAAAAATAGAAATGTAGTGTGAACGGTGGGACCTATTTTTCACAAACGTTTTGCTCCCATCTGTCACAAATCTATTAGGAATTATTTGATTTTTCAGGTACCTGAAAACGAATTAGAGTTCATTGAAGATGAGCTCACCAAGAATCGAAAAACAACACATACAACTGCCTACTCGCCAGCACGAGAGTTCTATCAAAAAAGGTATTTTATGCTAAATAAGACAAAATGGGATTTCACGCAGTCCGTAGAGTTTTGACAAACTTGTGACCTAAGAAAATTCCGGAGGGGACCAGCGGAAATGAGTGGCATCTTAGAAATCACCACATTATTCTCCGCGACACGCCCACTTTTCTCGACTCTTTTTAGTGGGGGTCCAAATAGAGTGCGGTAATGGGTGATGGTGATGCACATTGGGGTGGTCTTGACCCCGCCGTCTTTTTGTGAAATTCTAGAATGTAAAACAACGAAAAAGGGCGCTTCAATTTGTTTTTGCAGATTGCGAGAAAATCCACTGTTAATGGAATATGTTGTAAGAATGTTCTACCACGACTTTGTCATCCTCAATTACCCATTTCCCGAGGGCTTCTAGAAGTATAAAAAATTTGACAACACGTTCCTGAAGTTATCAAAAGTGTCATAATTCATATCTTGTATCATTTGATCTTCAATTATCAAACTATGAACTGAATATAATACAACTTTTTTTATTGGTTTCCCATTGTGTTTTACGACATCATAGAGATTACAGACTTAACACTAAATCTCTTTTTTCGATCGTTTTGGTGGATGAGTACAACTTCAGTCATTTGTAAAATATGTCCTCAGCCAAATCAGACTCATCGGAAAGAGTTGAAATCGACGGTATGTATATTTTGAAAGTAGCATTGATCCCATTAACATTGGCTGCGAGTATTTTATTTCTGTATTTGTATGTGAAACCGATCGAGCAACAGAGTGCAACAATGTTGGTAGCACCGAAATCTCGTGATATGAGGGCAGAGCAGATTAGGATGTTTGCCCTGAATGAAATTGTGAAAGCCAATTCTCATGTAAGTGGAAAAATTCCATATTCTATGACTCCGAATAATTCCGAGTTATCCGAGTAACAATAGTTTTTCGAAATAAATGTTTTTGTTAATGAAGTTTCGAATTTTTAAGGTACAATACCGACAAGAGTTTCTAGTTTTATTTATTTTTTACTTATTTTTGAAATTATCAACTCTTGAGAATGTATTACAGAATCGTTCGATTGACCAGAACATTCTAGAATCCCTGTGATAGAGGGCTCCTTAACTTCTGACTTTGAGACAAATTTGCTTGGTTTCTGACAAAAATATTTAAAAAATTGTCAACTGATAAATTTTTTATCATAATATCATTAGTGGTTTGTCAGTTGGATAATTTTTTAAATGTGTTGCATAATGCCTCTTGATTTACTCGAACTTGAGAGTGTGAGAGCCCTTTTATTACAGGTTTTACGGTATATTAAATATGAAAGGATTTTTTTTCGGTATTCTATATCTTTTAGCATGACATTGATAGATAAAATCAGTAGTATTTTGACAGTTACTGTAAATGTTACAGACTAAATTTACATGGACCAAAAACAAGCTAACATGGAATGACTCCCAAGTGTTACCCTTGAAAAAAATTGAGACCTAGATGATTGGAAAGAGCGTAAAAGATTTTAAAAAAATGAATAGACAATTTATTGTTCTTTTGAAAAAAAAAAATTTTGATTTTTTTCCCATTGATTGGATTATTGATTTTTTGAAAAAACCGAAGAATTTTTCAATATCTCAAAAATCCCAAGTTAACTTTTTTTCTTATTATGACCATTGAATTCAGCACGTTTGATTTACTATAGAAACATATCAACACCCCGGGGGAAATCATGCTCACACAAGTTATGCCAAAAAAAGTCGATTTTTGGCACTTGGCTGCTTTGAACTCGTTGTCCTATAGCCATTTTTTGGTACGTTTTGGGCCATAACTCCCCAAAAAAAATTTTATCAACAATTCCTTTTGGATTCGAAGATAACTTTTTACGCTCTTTCCAACCATCTAGGTCTCCATTTTTTTCAAGGGTAACACTTGGGAGTCATTTTATGTAAGGTTTTTTTTACTTTTCTAATTTTTGAAATTTCCAGGATCTCCCACCAAGAAGTCGGAACATATCCGCCAAGGCCCTTTGCAAGCAGAAATTAGCCTGTGCACCATTCAACCGTAGATATGAGACAATGATTAGAGTACCTGACTTATCCTGTATTTCAAACCGTTTAATTTGCACTCCCAGGTTGCCCCACAATACAAAATGGTGAACTGTGTCGTACAGAAATCCATGTCTACAATGATGACTGGTGCAATGTGTTACCTGTACAATGAAACCCAGTATGAAAAATCCGGTAGAAGTTTCGATGATGAGTTTAGCGGAAGGTAGATTAATAACTGCATAGGTGTAGTTAATCTCAACGATTTTAAGACTATGCAAAAACCAAAACGAGTTCTCCAGTGTGAACTCGGTACGCGACGCATTCAACATTTCGTATGTGAAACATGACTGGACATTTTCAATGGTAACTCGAAATCCAATCGATCGATTTGTTTCTGGTTATGTAGATCGATGTGTTAGGTACCATTTTCAATATTTGGTTCAAAAGTGGAATTTCAAATTTTTAGACTTGCATTGAAGAATGAAACACAATGCAATGGATGTGGGTTGAACATGACCTGTTTCATAGAAACCGAGTATAAGCGGCTCATGGAGATTTCGTACAAACGGAAAACGCATAGAACAATGGAAGACGCTCATTTCTTCCCACAAGTTTGGCACTGCGGCCTAAATGAGGAATTTGAATTTTTCGAGTTTATCCAATACTCTGGAAACGCAGAGGACAAAATGGTCCCACAGCTTCAAGACCTCTTAGAAAGACAAAACGTGAGAAATTATTTTCGTGTTAACAAAATTCTGAAAGTTCGGTTTCAGGTTCCGGAAAAATCTATCGAGTTCATCAAAAACGAGCTTATCTACAAAAAATCAAGTCATTCAACAACGGGTACACCTGCTAAACGCTTCTATTACTCTAGGTAAGTCTGTGAGAACAATTTCACCATTTCATTTAAATTAACAAATTTTCAGACTCATGAAATCCCCATACCTGCTTGAATTCATCGTCAAAATGTTTTACTACGATTTTCTCCGCTTTCATTATGAGCTGCCACCAGGATTCTGAGTTTTACGTTTTTTTTTTTTGGATTTCTAATTATATTTTGTAGTTCCTTTTGAGATCCTTTTGTGTTTTGTACGAGGTAATTTATTTATAAACAGAGTTTGCATTCCCAAATGCATATTGTTTTATTCGTTCAGTTTGTGAAATTGTGTCAAAAAAGGAATAGAATCTTGTTCGAGAATTGGAAGAGATTAAGGATTGAATTCGGAATGTAGCGGATTACAGTTGCCTATTTGTAAATCGGATGAAAATAGGAAAAATAGGTTTTTTGGTTGGGGTTGGAAAAGAATTTTAAATACATTTTCGTTTCAAATTAAAGCAGAATAGATTTTATAGCAGATGAGATGAATTAAGATCAAAAATCTACAGCTCAGTTTTGAATTTTGATCACTAGAGCGTTTTAGAATTCTTTGGAAATATTTACTTTTAGTTTTCAGAGAGATTTTGAATTGAGAAATGATAAGACAATATTTAGGCCTCTGTCTTTGGGCGAGAGTTGATCCATTGCTTGATGGAGTCAATCGCAGAAATCTTCTCAACAAACTCATGGAGCTTTGGGTACTTGCGAAGTGCTCCCGGAAGGATTTTAGAGTTCATGAACCAGAAGATGTGGAAGATCGCGAGATCGGCGTAGGAGATCTAGAATAATTTATTATGAGAACATAGTGTAAGATAAGTGAGAGATTCTCAATTGTTACTGAAAATAAATGTAAAACTACAGAGATCCAAAAACGTTCTAAAGAGCAATCATATTTTACAGTACTCTACCTTGTCTCCCACGAAGTATCCGGTTCCATTGGTAACTAGAATGTTCTCGAACGCAGTGATGAATGGAATGATGGTGCTCTCAATGAGCTGCTTGAAGATTTCCACCTAAACAAATCTCAGAATTTGCTATTTGTCATCGGAGTATCAGATTCCATACCTTCTTGGCATTGTCCTGCTCTTTGAACCACGGCTGGATCTCGATGAGGAAATCCTCAACACACGCCTGAAGTTCCTCCATCTTGGCAGTTTCCCACTCATTCTCTCCAGCGAGCCCTGTAAAACATATTTTCCCAGAGGTGTTTTTTTCCACTGACAGGTTCCGGCTAATAGCCGTTCCCTGAAGCCCCCATTATTAGACACCTTTGGGCTTTTTTCTTCTTACAAACATGTTTTTCTCTCACTCACCAAAAACCTTGCCGAGGTAGCGCTCGATGACACGGCTTTGAGCAAGTTGCTTCCCGTCGACATGGAGAACTGGAAGTTTTCCGTGTGGAGTCGCTGAAATCCCAAAATTAGATAGGAAATTTTCTTCCTAGAGTCAAACGTCAACCCTACAAAAAACCAGATTGTTTTCCGAAAAAGAAAACCTACGCACTTGGTTTAATTTCCGGCCACTGGGACTTTTCGATTCTTTCGTCCTTATATTGGACGCCGGCGTAGGCGAATATGAGCCGTGCTGGCTCAGCTCTTCCCATCATGTTAAAGTATTGAAGTTTGTACTCCGCCATGGCTGGAAAAGTGCATGTGACAAGGTATACAAAAAAATAAGGAATTCAAAATTATGGTAAGAAATATACCGACTAGGAATAAAATTTAGACAAGGTAGAAAAATTCAGGTTCGTTTATTTTTATAATTTCCTTAACCGAATAATACCTGGTAAAGTTGTAAAATTCTGATATTTCTGATATTCAACATTTGAAAATCCGGTTTTTTTATTGTTTGCCACACATTGCACAAAAGCAGCATAACTCAGAATAAAAAAAGAATATACAGTAGGTCAGTAAGATATACAAAAACTTATTTTTCAGTTCCCTTTCGGCCATTTCGACCATTTTTAAGTTCCTAGTCTCTCTGCAATTTACCGATTTTTGAAAGACTGCCAAAAATCTACTGAAAAATTTGTTTACTAATATCTTACTTACTGTATATAAAACTTCAAGATCAATATTACTAAATTCTATTTCAAATCAATAAAGCTAAAGAAACACCAGTGAGAGAAAAAGAAGAGATGTAGTCTCAATGAATTTCGAGAGTTTCAAAAGGAAGAAAATGAGAGAGAAGGAAGGCGTGGTGAGATGCAATTTTTAAGTGCCGAAATGATTTCGGGCAGGCGCCGGTGCGAAATTCAATTAACTGCGCCCCTTGCGTGTCTGAACGAGAAAAACCCGGGGCGGGGTCTCGTTCTCAATCTGACGTGTATGTCCATGCACAAGCTCACCCACCAAGCACCACCCCTTTTCTTCTTCCTTCTTGTTTTTTTCGGAGTGCTTCAAACCACACCCTTTTCCCACCTAAATAATTGGAAGAAAAAGGTATAAGTTGGCTGACGAGAAGGATAAGCCGTTGATTGGATTTTATTTTCTCTAAATTCCAATTGAGAAGAGGTTGTCGACTTTTAAGCAAGTCTCTCTTCGAAATCATTCACTGCGGAAAATTTCGAAAAGGCAAAAAAAACACGAAAAACTAAAAAGTAGAAAAAAAGAAGAAGAAGAAGGAAAGAAAGGAGCAAACACTATTCTGACAATGAGTTTGAAAAAAAAAAACATCGTCGTCTTTCTGACGTAGGAAGAAGCTAGGAAGCTTTGTTCTGGTTAGAAAAAAAAGTGCAGAATAAAGAATTACAAAGAAAAAAAAGAGAACCAAAAAGAGTTCCGACGGAAAAGCCGTCGGAAATGAGAAAAGAGATATTGTGATGTTATTTTTCAGTGAAATCTAGTTCCTGTGTTACTTCTGTCAACAACCTGATTAAAAATGTCTATACAGAATTTTCAGTTTTTGTCGGGTCAGGCAAAAAAAAACCAAACTAGAAAATATGAATGTTTTGTTCTACTCGTGTAAATGGGGATTTCCTTTGCCAACTTCATCGGCTCAAATGTATGTACAAATTGACATCATTAGGCGCGCTATGAACCTATTTGAAGTGGAAAAATTGAGCTTTTGAGAATATATGCATAACACATGTCAGATGATCAAAGTAGAAAATTAAAAAAAAACAAATAGCAGGAGATTATTATTTTAATTACTCCAAAAAAAAACATTTTCTAAGTACTGTATTCCAAATATAGAACCGGTCAATATAATGCACAAAAACGTATTTTTCAGAAAATTTTTGGCCATTTTGACAATTTTCAGGAGTGTGGAGCTCGGCTGTTAAATTTCCGATTGCTTTGAAAATGTTTGAAGGGGAAAAACAGATCTAGGTTAAAATTTTTGCATTCACAGCATTTTTTGAAAATTTCTAGTTTTTCATCTATTAGAGGATTTTTGAAAGACACCCGTTTTTGGCCCGTTTTTGTACTGAAAACGTGTAAAAAGTGTTTTTCCAAGAATTGGCAAATAGCAACAACTACGAATTATCAAAAACTTATGTGAATGCAAAACTTTTGATTTAGGCCTGTTTCACATCCTCCAAACTTTTCAAAGCGCTTGGAAAATTGACAGCTGAGCTACAGTTTCCTGAAAACTATCAAAATGGCCAAAAATCATCTGGAAAATCTGTTTTGTGTATCTTATTCGCCGGCACTGTGATTCCTGAGCACTGGAACAAACAAAAATCAAATGAAAAATTGATAACAGTGAGTGCAGAATGATAATTCTTGAGTGGCACGACTATCAGGAATTCCAGCTTTTTATTTGATAAAACGCAAATTCTGTACAAGTCCTGTTACGAAAAATTTCAATCCACTTATATGCACATTCTTGGTGTTGATCTTAAATTATCAGACTTTTTCCATGAATTAAAGACCTCTTCATAAATCAACACCTAAATTTTTGACCATCTTAACTTCATCGTAACTTATCTAGTTCCTATTTTTTGGGTTATAAATAATTAATGAGAAAAGAAGCATGTCTGATGTCTACTGAAAATATTCAAGATATTTTTCTGAAAAATAAGGTTTGGTGAGACAAAAATGGTTGTCTAGCGTATCTCGTCCTCAGTAGTTAAGTTCTCGTTTCACTACCGATTTTTATTAGCTTTCCGGGGGAGAAAAGGCATATTGCCCTTTGTTCCGCATGCCCGAAACCTATAAATCTGCTAGTAAAATCTAGGCTCCCGTACTAGTACAAGATGCCATTCTAATTTTCTTGATGGTCACGTCACCTTAGTCAGGACGCGTGATGACCAAATACTTTCGTTCATCTTATGCAGTTTTCCCTCCGGTTTTCCTGGAAAACCCATTAGTTCGATGGAAAAAAAATGGTTGTGGGGCGTCTTCTCCATCTGGGTAAATGAAGTCCGAGCACTAGAACACTCAAGTATTCAAGAAAATGAATGCACTACTTCTCAGAAAATTTCACCAAGGGGAGGAATTCAGGAAGATGGAGCTTGCACTGAAAAAAGGACATGAGTATGTGTGTTTCAAATCTTTCCAAAAAAAGGAATGTGATGAAAAGGAAAAAAAGAAAATAAAGAAAAGAATAGAGGAAGGGTTAGTGTGCATATCTGAAGCCTACTTGACAAGGGCTCTCAGGAGTCAACGTCTCGTCAAAAGTGAAACTTCTCAAACAGATTATATCTTTTTGGGACGTATAGAGAGAATAGACAGTCAGACCCACATGAAGATGGCCCTTTTGAAGAGGTCCACTTGACAAATTATTCATCCTTTGAGATTAACAGAAGTTTTTTTTTCTTACGTTTTAAAGAATGGAAGTCTGTTACGTTAGTTAAGAAGGAAGGAAGATGCGAAAGGATATGTGAGCCTTGACGATGAGCACATTTCAGAAACTTGAGAGATACACCGCACTAAAGCTCATGCAAACAAGAGGGTGAATCTTTGTCAGTGGAAATGAGACTTTTTGAGTGTGTAAGGGAACTAGGAACTGCAAGACGTAAAAGGAAAATATTGAAATTTGTAAAACACGCAAAAAATGCATGCTGATAAGAAGTGTGGGCTCGGGGACAACCTAATGCCTTTTGATGATCATTGTATGCTTCTAACGTAAGAAGTTTATATCTTTTCACAGTCAAACTTTTCAAAATTTCAAAACATTCTATGCACAGAGTGAGAAGAATTGTCGTTGGTCAAAGTGCCAAAAAAAATTATTTTCGGGTCCAATTTGAAAAAATTGGTTCGTGAAAGAAGGTGGTGTTTGATTTGTTGAGGGGCACCTGGCCTTTCGTGTAAATTTTGGCACAAAAACAGATTGAATTGATTATTCGATTTTTGAAATGTGTTGTGATCTGAAAACAAATTGGCATAGTTTTCCGACAACCATATGTAGCTTCACAAAAAACTTGATTTTTTTTCTTGAATTCAGAAGTAACTACAAGTTCAACAGAAACATTTCTGATGGTTTCTAAAACTATTGTCAGAATTTGATAAAAAATAAGTTTTTTTTTGAATTTTAAGTTTTTAATTTTTGTTTTGTCGCAGCACGTGATATCCTAGTTTTCAAAAAAGAACCAAACAAAATTTTAAAGACAATTACTAAGATTCCTAAGACATGCAAAACAAGAAAAAGAAACAATTTGGAGTGCACACGAAGACGACGTGTGTCAAAAACGCCGAATGAAACAGAATACGATGATGGGGCGCGAGGCTCCTTGCTCCGCCGCGCGGGGTTTCTAACGGATAGACATGAAGAAACGTGGTTGGCTCTTTGAACGACAGGGGAAATGTGATATGGACAAGAGCGCTCAATTTGGAATAATTCAGTGAGCTTGGGACAAGGTTTTTCTGGTCCGGGTAGAAACGACAAGGAAGCAAGAAAACGGACAGACTGCCACAATGACATCAAGAGGAAAAGTGAGGGGACGTGTGTCTTTATTGGAAATAAGAACACAAAAAGGAATAAGACGCCCAAATTAGCTCTCAGTATTAAAGAATTTTTTTCATCGCATGATACGACTTGGCCAACGAAACTTGTGTCTTTCTTTGAAGATTGATGAGTATGATGATTATGGATGGCTATGGAAACTTTTCTGTCTGTCTGTCTCTGTGTTTGTGTGTACGTCTGTTTTGGAAATTTACTTGAATAACTTCGGGCGTTATGCATGAACCTTCAAAACTAAAAGTTTTAGGAAACTTTTTTTTTAGGAGATTACTCAGAACACGCCAACCTTGCAAATAATTTATTCCAAATCATGATATTTCATTAAATGCTTCTTCTTCTTTCTTTTTTTTTTTGAAAAATATAACCACAACAAAATTTTACTCCAAACAAAAATAAGAAATTTTCTGACTACTGAAAAGTTCTGCTGGAGTTATTCATCAAGTTGAGGGACAGGTGAAACGAAATTGTATTCTGGTGTTTTGGGTTCTAAAAATATATGAAAAAAAGTTTTTGAGCAAAACTAGTAGGTTTTTGAGGTTTTTTTCGGTATGAGTTTTGATAAAATTTCTAAATCGAGAATTAAGAAAAATATGAATGAATGACAGACGGCAAGCGTAATTGTTTCTTCAATATATTTTTTGATTTATATTTTTCATAGTTTTATAGTCCTTCGCTGGAGATGAATTCTTCTAATTGGTAATGACTAAGGTAGTGTGCCCAGTCCACATCCTTTGCACTGAAAATAAAAACTTATACAGGAAACTTAGAAATACTTTCTTACATTTGCAGTTTGGATACAGTACTCTGCGTGCAGAAGGCGTCGGTTTTATAGTGGCATGTCTTGTGGCACACCATTTTGCAGTCTGAAGTGAGCAATTGAAAATGAGTTATTCTTGTACAAAATCGGACAACATAAAATCATATTTTTGTTTTTCAAGAGGAAAATAGTCTTCTCTGAAATCTTTTAAAAAATTTGTCGAAATAAAAAAGTGCCGAAAATGCTAAACTTTTGATAGCTCTAAAAATAGAGTTACGTCTCTTCGAACCCCCTTTTCTTGTTTTATTTAATTTGCAGAGAAAATGAGTCAATTACAAAATTGAAGCCCTATTTTTGTTCAATGTTCTCGAAAATTTTCAGACAAATCGAAAAATTTGGAATATTTCTTCAGGACTTCAAAGTTAGCTATATCCGACTGAAAAACAAAAAATATGATAAATTTTCGTCCTGTAATGTAATCATGTAATCACCTCTACACTGATAAGCTTGTTTCGAGAAACTGCTTCTGATCCGCTGCTGGCAAACGTTGCACGTTGCTCCGCTGCAACTAACATTAGTATCGTGTTTTGGAAAACAAACATAAAATGAGACGCAGGACCAAATTGGACACAAAACAAAATGAGCATTACACAAGACAGCAGAGAAATGTTTACCCTTTAACTTTGACTGCCACAAATGTGTGATCGTTGTAGATGTGCAACTTCTTCCCTTTTCTCATCAACCTCGCCGCGGCTGGCTCATTGAGCATTGCTGGAGGGATCAAGAAGTATCTGAATAATTCGTTGATTTGTTTAGCTCTCAAGGAAGCACTCACTTTGGCTGTTTCTCATGATCCAGCTCTAATATAAGAGTACTATGCTGGTATAAACTCTTGGTAGATTCTCCACTTCTTCCACCAACCGAATGTGTCTCACGATATTTGTCATTCGTGGATACTGAAAATTGTAAAAAGTGTTCTCTTCGTTTTTGAAAGTCTCACCTGTGTACCTGGTCCTACTTGGATCACGAGATGGTGGAAGAGAAACTGCTTCTTCCAACATTTGATTATTTTCCAGATCCACTGATTTTGACCTCTTCTGACTTCTTCCTCGTCTACCACTCAATCGATCTCTAAGCTCACCAAAGAATGAGCGATCTCTCTTCTCGGTCGGGGCTTTCTTATTCTTATCTCTACTCTGTCTGACATCCAATTCTTCATGGAATTCTGGTGGGGCAGTGTGATCACGATAGCTCTGTCCATTGTTTCCATTCTTTGATGGTCGGTCCAAAGTGCTGGATGCAGACATACTCTGAGCTACAGATTGAAGTTTAGCTTCAAGTTCACGTGTCTTAGGGTCATTCTTCAACTGCTGTTCAATGATTTTCTGAGTAGCTGGATCGATTGCGTTTTCTAGGGATCCATGGACAGACTGGATAGTCGGTTTTTCCTTCAATGTCTGTGATACGGTCTTTACTGTGACAGTAGTAGTTTTTGATGGGATAATTGGCTCGTGTCCATCAAAGTTGTCTGTAAAATTATGATTTTTTTAACGTGAGGGTTTTTTAAACCTACCATGTGGATCATATATTGGTCGCCTGTGTGTTGTCAATGTCTCTCGGAATTCCGACCCATTTGGATTGGTAACCTTGACAGTGTCGGTGAGTTTTCCAGCGGTGAGAAGATTGGGATCATAGTAGAAATCGAATTGAACAGTGAGGTCCCCAGAGATGGCGTCTTTTCGATATGGTCTTCCTTGAAGTTTCAAAGAGTGAACTGTTTCTCCACTTCTTCTGATTTCTTCAAAGTTGACAATAGCAAGGCCAAGGAATCCTTCATCATCGTTTATATGGAATTTGTCGTTTCCTTCGTAGATTTCGAAAAGGATTTCTTCTGTGGCCGGGGTCAAGTCACTGAAAAAGTTAAAATAATTTAGAAAATTATTAGTACAGTGAGCGTAATAATATATATTTCTGGAGAAATTTCACTAAAAAAAACAAATTAAAGCAAAAAATCCAAAGTATCCCAGTTACGCTGATATTATAGAATGCCTCTCTCCCAACTCGTTGACTTTAAGCCCATTTATCTCATTTTCTGTAACAGATACGAGCAAGTGATCAACTGACAAAATAATTACCATATTATCGAAAATATTTTATCAGCTATCCGCTTTTTGATATCTTGTCCTTGTTTGAATTAGGTTTCAATCACTCACAAATCGAAAGTTTCTTCCCAGTACGGATTAGCATTGATTCCTTTTGTCGTTGAGTATTTTTGAGCGGGCTCGTCCATCTCAACATTCACAAACGGCTGGGAAACTTCCTTCCCAAGACGGTTCGCTTTGATAACTTTGATTCTCATTTTGTTCGGAATAGAATTGCTGTTGTAGGATGGGCTGATCAACTGAAAACCGAAAAACCGATTCAGAAAAGTTTCTGTAAAACTTACATGAGATTCGTTAAGCTTCTTGAACATTTCAGGAACATCTCCTGATGGACTGTTGGATCTGTGATTCGAATGGTTGTTGTAAGAGTCGACGTGAAGATTCTGTTGTTGATCATAGTTGTTATAAGAGTTGCGCATGGTTCCGGCTGGGGAGTGGGTCTGAAACCATGAAAAATATGAAGATACATTGATTATAGAATTTTCCTACCGGTGGGTTATAGATGGTTCTGCTGAAAGTATCAGCGAATGTATTTCTTTCTTCTGGCATCTCCTCGGACAAATTAATATTGGTAACCGCTGACAACAGGCATCTTCTGATACTTTCCTCTACCATCGGAGTCGAGACTTGATACTGAGCACTTGGATCAGTATTTCTCAACTCGATATCCATTTCAGGCCTTCCACTAAAACATCCCATGAGATACAATTGATTCGCAATGCACGCCATACGACACTCAACCTGAAAAGACACTTTTATTGGTCCGTTTCTATTTCGTAAAACAATTTCGCCAACTACTCACTTCTCCTCTCAAATCCACAATCGAAACGTCGTAATTCGAGACAATCATTCTCTCGGGAGTTCGTTGTGATGAAACCAACCGCAGTTTAACACACGGCAGATGGATGTTCGAGCGGACGGTCTAATAAAAGATTCGAATTGAATGGATGGGAAACTGAAGAACGAAAAAATATGCATACCAGATGATCTCTAGGGCCATGCTCGACGCGAACATTGCTAATCTTTGGTGGTTGTGAAACGTCACTATGATCTCCGAATCCCTCGAAAAGCACCTCACACTTTGTCTGTAACATGAGATTTTTGAAAATTGAAGAGGGAATAGGTAATTACTGGAGAAGTGACTTTTTTAGCAGCTTCGTTCAGAGACTTGATCCATGCATCCATTGGAGCTGGTACCTTGTGGAAGTTTGAGTAAAGCCATGAAACTATTTCGTTCGACCATTCGCCGCTTGAGCTATGAGTTACGCCATTTGCACCTTTTCTAGAATAACTATTTTCAGTACACGACAAAAAATATTTTTATTCAATATTTTTAGTCGAAAATTGGCAAATTTGTAGAACCGAAATTTTACAATTTTTTAAAAAGTTCAAACTATCGTATTCCCTCCCTCCCAAACCGTCAACTTTGAGCTCAATTATCGGGATTCCTGTAAACCATGTCAAAAAACTGTCAATCAAAGATTCACTTTTTATAATATTACAATTGTTTTCCCTGTTGACAAACTTGATATCTCTCACAGAAATTAAGATAATTGAGCTCAAACTGGACGGTTTGAAAAGTAGTTCAGAGTTTGTGGTATGTGTCGCTTGTGAGCGAAAAGTTGCCGAAAAACTCGTAATAAGCCCTGGATGAATAATTATGTTTCTTGAAAACAAACGTATCTTTCTTAGTTGGATTTTCACAAAAAAGTTTCCAATTAGAAAAATGAAACTCTATTTTAGTTTAATGTGCTCTGAAAATCCCAGATAAATCGAAACATTCTGCCCTACTTTTTTTGGCAAATAATTCGGAGGGTAAAAAATTCGAAATTCTTTGGTACAAAATTCAAATATTTGAAGGTGTTTTGCATCCCCGAATTGAGGGTTTTGCAACTCTTAAACGCTTTGTACCCCAATGACCCCAAAATTTTTGTACCCTGCAAATTAATTGCCTATTCTTAGAACCTCAAACTCAACTATTTTCTACTAAAGAGCTCAAAGTTGGTTACTTTGTCATTTTTATTCTGTTTCTTTCTTGCACCTCGATCGAAAAACATGTTCAAAAAGGTGAGACGTTGAAGTACGCGCTTACCCTCTATTTTCTTGTGTCTAATATTTGAACAATAAGATCTCTCGAGCAAAATCTCGATGCTTGAGCTCCGAGGGTAAATCTCTACCTACACTGTTTCAAGATTCAAAACTACTTACCCGGCATTCAGACCGCCAAAGGTGGAAGATGTGTTGGCGGCGTCGCCGGTGGTGTTGCCAAGATGGTTGAGGGCAAAATAGCAGAGAACTGCGACGAGACCCCACGAGAGGATCACCCACAACATCTCGCCAAACAGCCAACCCAAAACTGGAAAATAGACATTTATGAATTTTCCGTAAGAAAAAATTAAATCTGGTTAGGTTGAGAGTTTCAAAATGTTCGATTTCAAAACGAGACCTTGCAAGAAGTTGATGTAATATAATAACTTCCAAATCACACTGCAGATTAGAATAGTAAGCACTACGGATACCATAACGGCGATTGGGAGAATAAGTTGGCCATAAGTCGCGAAAGTTTCTGATTCAATGGCATCAGTGTATAGTTGAATGGCATATTGATAAGTGGATATACATTTTTGTTGAAGTTGTTTGGCACGGAGTTTCGCGCTTTTTAGAAGCGCCTCCAAACGCTCTTCCGACATCATTTTAGGGCAAAAATGGAATGGCGGGCTGGGTTAAGAGCCAGGGACAATAAGTGATTTCAACCTCCACCACCCAACCTCAAGGCTTTTCGAGAGGCTACCGATGTGCAAATAAAACTATAAGCTTTTCTTTTTCTACACATTTGAATTCGATATCGCACTAGTAAAATTGGTAAAGATCAGTTGCCCCCTCCTTGTGAGACTACATTCGAAAAAGTGTGATGATTTGAAGCGTAGGATCCCGTAACAAAAAAAAAGTTTCGCTTGTTTGTGGCCGAGCAAAGAGAAAAAAAGAATCTGCAAGAAGATAGATATGGGAGGAAAGGTGACAAAGAAAATCAATTGAGTCAATATATTGTTGGGGATGAGCGAAGTGTGAGTGGGGGTAATACGAGACATCTGATATTCACTGGTCACATACACACAGTATCCCGATTGGAAATTGAATACTTTTTTCTTAAGAACAATAAAAATAAGTGAAGTTTATATTTTGAAGTTGCCAGAAGATACAGTATGATATCTTGCCGCTAAATTGGGAATATATGAATATGAAGAAAATGCATATTTGAATTACGGTTAATTTTATTATTTTTTTGAACCTCAATGTTTCAGTTTTTGTGCTATGTGATTGTTTCCAAAAAAATTGATTTTAATATACTGTATTTCTCTCATAAAGGACCACTTATACACGCACTTTGCGTTAAATCATCTCGATTCCTGTCAAAGATATCGAAATAGTGTAAACTAATAAATTGTTGATGATAAAATGACAAATATTTATCAGTTGACAAGTTTTTGATATCATCAACAGAAATCGAGATAATTGAGCTAAACGTTGACGTTTTGGATGGGCTTCAATTAGAAATTCGATAGTTTTTTGTGATTCTCAAATTTGTTGGAAAAATCTTAATATAATTATCTATGCTCTGTTCAATATTTCCAACCATTGTTACATCTGCAACATAAACCTAATAATTGAAAATATCAGGTTCTCATTAATCCTACACGTTTCCCATACATTCTCGTGTGGTTTACACAGTTATATCCATCTCAAAGAAGTAAACTATCTGGTTATACACTATTTTTCTCAACACGAGCGTAAAAAACTTTCTCTCAACAAATTTCAAAACGAAAATGAGTAGCGATACTCCCGCCCGTCGAGGATAAGAAAAACCGGCGCGGATGCACACACCTGGCATCGTCTTCCTCAAATCATTGGCAGGTTTGTGCCGAAACAATAAATGAAGTGGAGGGAGATATGAAAGAGAAAAAGAATTTCGAGCGACGAGAAACCGAGAGAGCGATGCGAAAGGTTAGTCGCGTTTTCATCTGAACATATCTTCTTCTTCAGCTTCCCACTACTGCCTCCGATGCTTCGGGAGCTATAATGAGAAGGCATCGGTTGTGTGTGTATGTTGTAATATATTGTGTTCTTCTTCTTATCCCAGCTTCCTACAGCAGTCTTCTTCTTGGCGAAACGTTTCGATTTCTAGAAGAACAACAACTCGGGACCCTCTTCCTGCCTTTCGCACAGATCTGACAAGTAAAAAATGATCAGACGGAAGTGTGGGGAGAAAAAAAGATGCAAGAGAAGAAACACAACTTATTTATTGTTGTTACATACTGGTGCAGAGTTATTTTTGTTCGTAGAGAGAGAGAGAGAGAGAGGGTGAAAAAAACGCAGTGACTATAAAGCTAAGTGCATGGGGGGAAACCACAAATATGGGTGGTTGTAGTAGAGAGAGAAACAATTTTTTCGGAATCAAATTGAACAGAGAGAAGAATGAAAAAATATGTTCAGGCAGGATTTTCAAAGGGCATCATGATGTCCGTATATATTACATATTTTGATGTATTTCCAATATATGAAAATTCTTTGGTTGCAACAAGAACAGCATGGAATGAAACTTAGTCGGAACTTCCTTGTCCTTTCTTGTTCTTCTTAGCTTGCTGAAAAAATTGAAAATGTTAGTTTGAGTATAATTCTCCCGAGCTAAGGATACTTAACCACAATCTGGTCTCATAATTGTACTAATAACAAGCGTAATTATACTAATAACAAGCGCTACAATACTCCGCCCTCACGCAAGTGTCAATTTTTCGAACAGTTTCTGAAATTCCTAAAGTGCAAAGTTTTCGCGGTCTTTGACAGGACCAGACCGATTTCAAGACATTTTTTAATTTAATCCGGCTATGTGGGACAGAATTCGCAATTTCGATAATTGAAATTTCAACCTGATATTTTCGGAATAAAGTTTGGAAATTTTGAAAGATAGGTTTGCTTCTTAGTGGATTTATGTTCCGATTTTTGAAAATTCGAAATATCCACAGATCTCCAAGTTTCAAAAAACTTTAATCCGCACACCCCCGAATCCGGCCTGTGGCATTCTGCTCAGGTTGATTGAAAAGTTTGACTCAAAATGCCATCTGTAGGGTTCTACCGGTGTTTTTCATACATAATTACCGAATTTTGACATAATTCTCCGAGTCGTATTTTCTATTCTATTTATTCTATCAACTTTGAGTTTTTCGGTGAACAACATCGCTCCTGGTTGTTAACAGTGAGTTAACAGAAAAATTTAAAAGCTCACCTTCTTCAAGTCGCTATACCGCATCTTCTGTGTCAAACCATCGAAGCGTTTGTAGGTGAAATCAACGAACTCTCCACGCCGGCCAGGCTGCTCTTCAGGACGGATCAGTGTCGATGTTGCTAAAGCTATTTCTTATTATTATTATTGTCTGCTAAACGACTTTATGACACAAAAATTCATAGCTTGAATACTTACGCCAAGATAAGTCCTCATCCGGGAAATCGTCGAAATTCGATGTGTCATCGATGCTCTTCACAGTGACGCGAATCGGTGGTGGACGCTCTCTGATATGATTCCAATCGATTCGGCGGAAGAATGGACACTGCTTGATCTCGTCGAGTCCTCCATGATTGCCAAGACGGCGTTCGGCTTCGCAGCAGAATCTTTTGATGGTCTGAAAAAGACTTATTTTAAGAGTTTCTGTAGCTGGCGCTACTAACCGCTTTGGCTTCTATGCTAATTGGAACATCTGATGGGAAGACGAGGGTTTGTTGCCAGTTGATCACTTTCCGATAGGTTTCTTGTGGAAGTTCAGAGCAGAATGGAGGATATCCTGAAAAAATTCAAGTTGAGAGAAACAATACAACAGTTTTAACATACCAATAAGCATCTCATACATTATCACACCAAGACTCCACCAGTCACAACTCTTAGTGTATCCATTTGGCTGGAAGACTTCGGGTGCAATATAATCGGGAGTACCAACGGTAGAGTAGGCCTGAAATAAAAATTCAAATCCTTGAATAATGATCCTAGTTTCTTCTCACGTATGCACGGCGATTTCTCTTCCAAGTTTCCGCTTTTCTCTTCGATTCGAACGGTTTCGAGATGAAATCCGGTGGAAGTGTTACCGGCCAGTTGCGATAATGATCGGTGCGATGGAATTTCTTAAGTCCAGTGCACAATCCAAAGTCCGACAGTTTGACATGACCCTGAAAGAATATGATGAGAAGGTTAGCAATAATCAGTTAAAGACGAACTCTTGCATCTAGGAGGAGGTTGTCCGGTTTGATGTCGCGATGTATGAATCCGAGATTATGAATGAATTGGATGGCAAGCGCGGCTTCGGCGACGTAGAACTGAGTGGCTTCCTCGGTGAGGGTGTCTTTCTTTATGAGTAGAGTCATCATATCACCTGGAAATAATAGATGAATGTTATGTGAGATAAATTTATTTGATTTTAGGTTTAGAGAAACTGTTTTAAAGATAAGGTATTCGTCGACATGCCAATTCCAGGCCGGCACAGACTGGCTAATAGCTCTCTTCCAAAAGGAAACAGTGGGCAACATCATACCGGATGATAGAACATCATACCGGATGATAGAGCTCGGCAAGCTCTGCAACCTCTGGAAACAATCAACCAGAATTTCAATCAGTACCCTAGTGTGGGTCGACATTTGCGGGTCGATATCGCTTGCCAGGTTATCAAAGGCCTGCCCAGACCATTTTAAAGCTTGCGAAGCCTGTCGATTTTTACTGGCGGTTGTGAAGCTCTCCGACCTTTATCCTCTTGTATGCTAGTTGCTCACAATTTCAATTTTGGAAAGAGTTATCAGCCGGTGCCGGTCCGGAATCGGCCCGACAATCGTGCAGCTTATTCACGATCGTATGACAAAAGACGTGGTTTGCTCTGTTTTGAACTTCTAGCCAAGTGTGACCTACCTCCGGGCAAGAACTCCATGACCAAGTATAGATTCGAGTAGTCCTGGAACGAGTAGTACATCTTCACGACCCAATCACAGTCAGCTTCCGACAATATGTCTCTCTCGGCACGAACATGAGCCGTTTGCTCCTTCTCAACCATTTCACTCTTGCGAAGAATTTTCATCGCATAGATATGTCCGGTATCGTGTTTTTGAACGAGTCGCACCTGCAAATTCGGCGTTTTTTGAAAAGAAAGAAAATTGGTAGGCTGTGGTTTACCTCTCCGAACGCTCCTCTACCAATCACTTTAAGACTTTCAAAGTCGTTAACCGTCAGACGAGTTCGTTTAAGACGGAGGTAGTCGGTTTCCTTGGAATGATGAATTTTGCGTTTCTCGTCTTTCTCGTCATCGCTGAGTCCTTAAACGGTTCATTTTCTCAAATCTTGTCTATATATTTTGTATTACCTCTCGCAGACATATCCTCCTCCAACTTTTTCAAACGATTCTCGCGTTCGGCGCATTGTGTGACACGTTTCGAGTAGTAGGATTCAATTGAAATTCTTGTGCAACTCGCCTGAACATTTCGTTTTTCTTGTCTGATAAGTGTTTCGAATACTCACCTTATCCTTAGTGTACTGTGATATCTCGACTTCTGGCGCAACATCACCCATTTTTGAGATAATTCAACCTGAAAATCGATATTCAATACGAAGAAGGAAGAACGGGACAAGAAGGGTGTTTTACGAGAAGAGAAAGTGTGCGCGGTGGAATAGACGTCGAGTAAACATTAGGGGAGGTTAACTACGCCAGTGACTATAACATACTAAAAGTTTCTAGATATAGGGTTGGAAAGAATTTTGTGGTTTGTAGGGAATGAAGTCTAGTTGGAAGAGTCCATACACAGTAATTCATAGATTGCGACCGTTTTGTGAGGAATAGTTTTTAATTTTAGTATATTGTTTGGAAAGTTTTGGTCGTCATAATCAAATGAAAAAATTGACTTTTGTCGCTTTTCGTGGAAAAATACGGAAAACGGAAGCAGAAACGAACAAATGGTGTTTATGCGATTTGAAGACTATTCACATCTTTTGCAACGAGTTTCAGAGGAAACTACACAATTTTACGTTTTTGAATAGTTTTTACCCTAGAGCGCCAATTTTCTCAAAAAAAAACTCGATAAAACAAAAAATCTTGGAGAACTGAACGCGTCGTGTGCATACACGTGATGAGAACACCACGCCTCGGCTGCACACAATGCATCACACCCGACGACATTTATTGCTGTCGAGAGGGGGAGAGAGTGCGGAGGGGGGGGGCACACTCTCACACAACAACACATACTCATCGGGAGAACAATGGAATTGGGGGTGTGTATTGAGGTGGACACAAAACGGACAGCCGGGTTGGATTGTGTGGTCAGTGGAATGGTTTTTCTTGTTGGTCCCGAACAGATAGGCGTGTTGAAAAATTTATTTTCGTTGATTTCCCTAAAAACAGTTACTCGAAAGAATCTAGTTTCCGAAAAAGTGAAATTCAATGTCATTTGGGTGTATTGGAATCTCTTCATTTGGTATCAACCACCATTACAAATGAAAAAAAAAACAAAACGTTATTTTTTCCCATGGTCACAAAGATATGATAAGGCAAGAGGGTCTTAATGACTCATGATAAAGATTATTTTTAGTTCAAAATGTACCTCCTGCCTCCTATCCCTTTCCGATTTCCTCAGATTATCCATTTCGTGTGACCTTGTTCCTGTTGTAAAACGATCATAAAGTTGTATACCATCTCCAGACTATTCTAAACAAACTATTGTTGTTAATCCTAGTAAGTCGTTTTTCTAGAAAAATGTATTCTTCAAAATTTTCCACAAGAATCTATTCTATTGTGGAGGGAATTCCTGTTTTTCAACCTCACCGCAATCGGAGGCAACATACGTATACGATTTACATTTTTTCGCGGCTAGTGGTCTTGTTGTTGTTTACCAGACGTTCTAAGTATTTATACTTGTGAGTATTGAGTTAGTAGGCGACCAGTCGGGTAATGACATCACTTCTATTGCTATACAGTGCACAATGTGCTCCGATTAGTCGCAAAAGAACTAATAAAAAAACTAGTTGACTATTTATAAACCCTTTTTTCAATGACAAATATGTTGCCAATTTCTGCTCCCACTTTTTTTTGATTCCAATAGCTTGACCAAAGAGTTTTCTAGAATTATTGCTAATGGAAGATGCGTTGAAAGAAGCTGTCAATGATCATTTTGCCGCAATTACCACTGAATTCGAGGAAAACAGAAGTGTACTCTCAGTTTTACACCAGGCAGTTATGGAAGGATCCGGGTTGATGTATCCAGTAAGTTTCAAATGAGAACAGAAAAAAAAGCAAAAAAAAAACTTTTCAGTCCAACTATGAATTTAACGAAGAAAATGAGAATGCTGGAGAGGAGGCAAAACATAATGCGGAAATACAGAAACAGAAGAAGGAGAAAGAGATTGAAATTGCGGAGGAAGTTGGTGAGTAATGGGTTTTTCAATAAACGGAGTTGTTGAGGAACCGTCAATTTGAAAAATCAGCTACAATTTTGAAAACGTCGCAAAACTCAAATTTCTTTGCCGCTCAAAGTGAGAATTCACTAGATGGAAGGTAAACCACGACTAAATTTTCTCCACGAAATTCTGAAATAATGTAAAACTGTTCTAAGCGTACGAATCTGCCAGAAATATAAGATACTACTTTTGCTTAAGAATACCGTTTCTGCTTTAAAAAAAGGCTGCATAAAACTCAACATTGAGCTTAATTATCTTGGTTCTTGTGAGTTATGTTAGTAATTTGTCAACTGATAAGTTATTAAACAGAATTTCAGCAATATTTTATCAGTTGACAAATGTTTGATATTGTAATTACAAAACGATTATTGGCGGTTCATTATCCTTACGGATAGCCAACATCCTGTAATCAACTAACTGTAATTCCTAATTCTGTGTAGGAGAACTTATGAATGTGTTTCATGATATGTACTTAACACTTTTAAGCCATTACTTTATTACATCAAATAACTCAAGAATATAGAAAACCAAATGTTAAACAAAAGTCAAAATGATAAAGAAAAGAGCGCCCCGAAACTAACTGGCAGCACTTTTTTATAGAGACGCTTATCAGTTAGATCGGAAAAGTTGAGGCGAAGACTTGCGCCTTGACAATATCATGCTCAGGAATCTAGACAAATGATCTCAAAGTATATCGAAACCTGCTCATCTTATCAGTGAAACTATGAATAAAAATTTGCGATTAAAAACTAGAGTTTAAAGAAAGAATGAAGCGAAAAAGTAATGCTCTCTTGAACGCGCTTCAAAAATTTTTCGAAAAATGATTCTGAGAATTCAGAAACATTTTCTGATTCCGAAAATTCTGTAAATAGAAATTCTCCAAAAATGCGAATATCCACATTTTTTGCTATCTATTGTGTAATTCAAAAATTCAGAATATCCGCAGTTCAGAAAAATACCATTCCTTCATCAAAAAATTTTTTTCAAAATACCAGAAAAATGCTTGAAAAGTGTCGAAATTACAGTTGAACGTGTTATTGCTTTATTGCCTATTGAAGCAGAGCTTTCGACACACTCAGGTTCTGAACTTTCAGTAGAAAAAGCAACTGTCAAGTCAATCGTGCTGCTCATGGACTCCGACGGGTGGTTTTTTGAAGAAGACGACGATGATGAAGAGAGCAACGATGACTAACCAATATTATCCTAATTTTCCGACATTGGTCTTTCAAAACTCCCACACCACATTTCCCTTTTTGCTTTATCTCCCACCATTTCTCATCTCATTTCTCAATCGCACTGTGCTTTTCCTTTTTTCTCATAAAACACTTGATTTTCTGTAATAAATCAGCTGTCGATGTATGTACATACACAAGAAAAAAACATGGTGCAGCAGTTGGAGAGAGATGACTGTCATTAATCTTATTTAATACGCTATTTGAACAATTCATCATCACAGTGATACCAGTTCTTGCCCGTTGGCCCCTCGATAACAAGATAACATAAATATCATTAGAAACAAATGAACCGATAAATAGAGTTTTCTGTAATAGGATGGATAGTTTTTCTTAAAACCAATATCTTCATTTTTTGCGCTGCTATCAACAAGATTACAACAAAATACAAGATTTTACAGTAGGGATAAACGATATTACACTCATATCGGCTAATTCGAGATTTTCAAGCATGACTGATAAGGCTTGATCAGAAAAGTGTAATGTGTTGAGAAGATGTGATACTCGAACTTCCAAAGTTCAATAGATGATAGTGAAAGTAAAGGAAGGAGTGTGATGAAACTGTTTCCGCAAGAAGAGTTTGAAACATGCGGATTTTTCAACGAGCTAGGTTAAAAGTGTAAAGCTATGCTTGTTATTAAAACAATCGGATTGGAATTTTCTGTTTGGGAATGTCAAAACGCCCAAAAAGTGCAATCCCTGCACTTGGAAAGCAATGTTCACCTTGAAAAATCTGAAATAATGAACTCTCTGATTTCCAACTTCAAGCTAATTTATCTCGGTTCCTGTAAAATATTTCAAAATTTAGTCAACTGATAAAATATTGGTAATATTATATTTAAAATATTGGTAATATTATATTTTTTTTTCAGTCTCGTTTCGAAGGTTTTGAAAAAAAAAGAAATACAATTTAATTAGTTGGTACACGAAATTGTCTCACATTGATCTGTGCCTTCGAATTTATTTGGCATTTGGATTTTCAAATATAACTTTTCAAATGAAAACCAGTAAAGTGTCTTATATACCGTATCTCCCCCTATAAAATTCAAACTTTCACCTTTGAACTTAATTATCTCGATTTCCGTGGAACATATCAGAAATTTATCTACTATTGAATTAATTTCCATAATATGACCAGTATTTCATCAGTTGACAAAATTTGGATATCTCTGATAGGAGATAATTGAGCTCAAATTTGACTGTTTGAGTGCAAGCAATCAAATTTGAGCTCATTTTGTAAACAATTTGTAAACTGCTGAAATTTTGGCGATGTTATGACAATTAATTTTTCAGTTGACATACTTTTGATATTTTCTACAGAAACCGAGATAATTGAGCTCAAAGTCGAGGGTTTGAATTGACTTATATTGAACAAATGACGGTATGTATGAACCCAAACGACTGAATCGTTGTTTCTCTACTTTTGAATTCTGGGTCTTCAACACAATGTACTCTGTTCACTGTTCTTTTGAAAATGCAGTTCCCGACGTTCAATCAAATTTTGCACTTGTAAATGACATCATGTTCTAATTTGATAACATTAAAAAATGGCATTTTCATTTTCCCACCGATTCAAAAAAGATCGGAAAGTCTTCAAAAGAGATTTCGTTTTTTATCGTTTTCCCAGATGATGAGGAAAACATTATCAATCAACAAAAACGAGGCAGGGTGACAGAGATATCTGCCTGCTGCTACTGCATTCGGTTTCTGAAAGATGAGAGACAAACGTTCAGAGACCGTCAGGTCATGACGTACGCCCTTCCTCCACTCATATTTGCCTTTAATTAGTCCAGTTTACAAAACCAGTCTATAAATACCAAGCGAATTAGGCCGAGATTCTCATTCATACAATGCTTTCCGTAATCAGCTACCTACCACTGATAACTACTGTTCTCTTTCAAGGTGAGTTGCTTACTTCCGATTTCTGTTTTACTGTTTTCATTTCAGAATGTCTATCACTGTCTCTTTCGAATGTTTATACCAGTTATATAAATCGAGAAACAATAGATCAATCCGACACTTTTGGGTACCATATTCCCAAACCAATTGGCTACAAAGGAGATGAGCCTGTAAGGTTTTTTCACTACATCAGAATCTACAAAGAATTCATTAAATGATTTCAGATTTGGCCTAGAAGCTATGGCTACTCCGCTGAGATGTTCTTCGATGAAAATGGAGCCGCTTTCCCTGTTCGGCCAAGGAAGAAACTTGGGAGCATTATCCGACCATTGCACCAGGGCGTACAGAGATATGATGATGATGAAAGCGCGGAAGTAGAAACACCAAAATATGACGAGAGAAAAGCACTCCGTGAATTCTACAAAAGGTTCAGAACTCGCGCCAAGACCAGTTAAATAACATGACCGAAGCTAGGTAATCTGTTATAATTGATAATGCTTTAATTTTTTTTGACACAGAACTCGTTTGTTCTTTCATGAATAAATATTTAATTTTAGTTCACATTTTTTGCAAAAATTAATTTTTTTGGTGTTTCTAACCTCTTGACATAACCTCTTGACAACGAAATCAATTCGGCTCAATGGAGATGACAATTTGATCCAGTTTAACGAAAAAATTCGAACCAGAAGAAGAAATGCATCTCTGGAAAATGACCTTTTCCTTTGTGAAAGTTGAAATGAAACGAACAACTTTTTTATATTGTTCCCTTCTCCACACTCATTTTCCTAATCTACCGTATCTTCGCGAACACTTCTTTTTTAAAAGAAACACATCCTCACTATATTAGATGTGTTGGGTTACGTCATAGAAAAAGGGTGAGAGGGGGAAGGAGGATATGACGGTTGCGTATATTGCCAGTTGCTCTGTACGTGTTACGGTGATGACTTGATACACCTATTAGTAGGAAGGGTTATAAACAATATAACGATTATCGGAGTATGTCGACGAAAAGACGGGTGTAACCATCTTTAACACAGTTTTTCTTCTGTAAAAACATGCATAATTCAACGGTTCGGTATTTTCCTGAAAATTGAGTAGAAGCGATTTTGGTTTTTTCAAAAAATGTACGTGAGAGAAAACAAATTTATTTCTCACTTCTCACAAAATAGGATGCCCATGCAGTTAAATTCAGAAATATGAGATAATAGTGATTGCCAACAGTACCGACATGGAAAAAAGACAAAAACAGAAAATGACAATAACGTCAGAGGAATTTCCAGTTGAATCAACTGACGGATCATTGAGACTGAGCGAGACGTTGAGGGAAACCGTGTTGCTTGGCTGGGCCATGAAGGCCTAGAAAAAAAATAGATGAATGGTTCAACTTTTCTCCATTTATAATGTTTACCTCTGGCCGGATGAAATATTCTGGTGAAATTGGGAGGCGATCGCAGAGTGGCTGAAATCTTGCATATGCCATAGTCGCGCGGCGAGGTTTGGGGGCACCGGGAATCATGGGGGTGTCGGCAAGCAGTGGATGTGCGGCCTCTTTTGTCTTCTGAAAATTATTTTTAAAAAAACATTGAATTCTTAAGTTTCACTCACAATAGAAAAAACTCGTTTCACGGTGCTGAAAAAACGAGACACACGACGACGACAACGATCCTTGCGAGAAGAACGCTTTGGAGCGGTGGAATTGGAAAGCATATCTGAAATGTCATATATGAAAGAGATACTAAAAGAACTATAAAGAACACGCGCAAGAAACCGTCCGAACTCGGAAGGGATTGAGAGCAAATGAATACTTCACCATTCACAAAGGCGAGGTAGAATGAGGAAAGTGTTATGACGAGGGAGGGGCAAGGAGCATCATGGTGATGGATGTATCGAGAAGGAGTGACCCACGTGTTGGCTCGTATATGTGTCCACTTTTGGTCTAGTTAATAGAGATCAAAGAAAGGGTATGGAAAAAAAGATAATCAATGGTTGAATCCAGGGATGTTCCGAACGGAATTCGTAATTCGGAATTCCAAAAATTCAAACCATTTTCGGAATGCAATTCCGACCGGAATATTTCTGAAAAGAAATAGGAATAAAATTCCGGTCGGAATATCTCGGAAAACTTTTTTCGGAATCCAATTCCGATCGAAATTTTTCCGAAGCATTTTTTCGGTATTAGAAATTGTTGGATTACGGTATGTCAAGAAAAACACGCTTGCGGGTCTTGAACAAAAATTATTTTGATAATGTTTGCGCTGTCGAAATCTATCTGTCAATTATCATAACTTTTTTTGGCATTTTTGTGATGGGAAAATGGAATTTCTGCTTTAAAATTCGAATTTGAAAAATCCGAAACTTCCGAAAATTCGAAAAATTTAAAATCGGAATACTTAGAGTTTCCGAATTTTCACATAACCAGTAAATTCCAAATTTCTGAATTTCCAATCTATTAAAAATCGGAGAATTCCAATTTTCCGAAATTTTGGAAATCGGAATTTTCGACATTCCGAAAAATTCCGAAAAAGCTATTCCGAACATTTCTGGGCTGTCTCAATCAATGGTCAAATAACATTGAAAGCGATGAAAGGAGATCGAACGTCGTATGGACATTCACAACATCGTTTTTTTTTTCGTAAAAGGTTTTCCAGTTATTGATGACAGGTTCTCCGACAAATATTTATCTAAAAGATTTTTAGCGGCATATTGAAATGAATCCTGGTTTTAGCTGATTTGCTTTTGCTAACTCCTAATTACGTTTTTGCCGCCTACCCTCCCTTCTTTTCTCCATAACACCTTTTCGAACATCCTAATAATACTATAGTATACCAAGGAGGAGGGGAGAGCATATTCCTGTTGCGCAATCGCTTCTGGTGGCTCGAAGGTCACGAAACAAAACCAGATGGATATTGTATATATAAAAGTTAGAGTGACCGAGAGACAGAGAAATACGTGTGTGTAAGAGTCTCCCTACAAGACTAGCTTGCATATATGACCACCGAATGATCAGGGAGTCTGATCACGGTGTTCACAAAAAATAACTTGGAATTGTTGTTCTTGGGCTTCATTTGCTCACACAACTCAACTGATGAGAACGAGAGCTTAGAACAAAACTATGATTGTGACTAACATTTTACAAGATAATATGCGTGAATTCGATAACTCTGAAAAAAGTTTGAAGCAAAATTCCGATTTTTGGGCTCAAAAACAGATTTTTCAAATTTGTCACATACGAGTTTTGTGAAAAGACCGAACAAGTAAATGTTAAAACAAAACTTGAATTGTGACTAGTGTCTTACAAAATGATATGCATGAATTCGTTTACTTAGAAACAAGTTGGAAGCGAAAATTTGAGATTTTGAGCTAAAAACCAATTTTCCGATTTTTCACAATCGAGATTGTAAAAAGACAGATGAAGCAAATTTTAGAACAAAACTATAATTGTGACTAGTGTTTTACAGAAAGATATGCGTAAATTCGTTCATTTAGAAAAAAGTTGGAAGCGAAAATTTGGGATTTGGGGCTAAAAAACCAACTTTTCCATTTTTCGCATTCGATTTTGTAAAAAGACAGATGAAGCAAAATTAAGAACAAGTTAATCTATGAAAATGATAGTAATGAAATGTTGAAAAATCATTTTCAGGTGGATGTTGTTTCTAAAAATCACTTGTTTTGAAAAAATCGAAAGAATTTTTTTCAAATTTCGACATTCTCTTCTTTTTGTGGACAAGCGACATGTCAAACCCAATTGTCCAATTTTTGAATTTTAAAAATAGTAATGTGTTGATAGAACAACATTCAGACTATGTTACTTCCTAAACTCAAAATGAGGTTTTCATTCACGAAATTTCAGTTATTGTTTCTGACGCCACGACTCCAAAACGTTCTTCTCGCAAAGATCGTTGCCGTAGTCGTGTGTCGCGCTTCTTCAACACCACCAAAAAAGTTTTCTCTATTGTAAGTGAAACTAAAAATGTTGATGTATCAGAAACATTTGATTATCAGAAGCCAAAAAAGATTGCTTCCAGTGCTGGTCAACACCCGATGATTCCTGGCGCACCAAAACCGCGTCGCGCGACAATGGCATATTCGAGATTGCTCCCTCTCTGTGATCGGATTCCATTTTCTTCAAGAGTTTCCATTCGCACAGAGGTAAACTACTTTTGAAAGAAGTTAATATATTCATTGATTTTATTTTCTGGTTTTCCTTTTCCATCGAAGCAACACAATTTCTTTATTTGTGTCTTTCGGTCTCGATGGTCCTCTTGTCGATTCAATTCAAAACGCCTCAGACTTCAAAATCATTTACTGTTTGCCTCTTCTCTCCATTTAGGTTGTCATGTCATTCAACGTTATTTTGATGAAATTTGTGACATTTCGATATAATTGTAATAACGATCTGTTTGAAGAATTTCCGTCTTTGGAACATCATAGTCGTCTTAGAAGCGAAATCCAATTTTACTAAACCTGAGCATGTTTAGACTTATTTTAAAGCTCTTATTTCAAAACATTTTAATTTAACAAGAATATTTTCAAATTTTGGTAACGAAAAAAGTTATGGTCAAAACTTCAAATTTTCTCTATTCCTTCAATCTCTCATTCGATGAGATATTTGACTTCGATGACGAATTTCGAGATTGTTCCCATGACTGCTGAGTCAGCAGTGCTGACTTTCAACGACCAATTTTTTTCTTGTACAGCTAGAGAAAAGAGACGCAGAGAAATACATCCGAAGTAAGCCAGCCACACATATTGTGTCCTCGCCATTTCATTTGGCCCCTAAGACGACTTCCTGAATAGACGTCTCAGTTTTGAAAAGAATTTTCCAGAGAACCTTAAAAATGAATGGGTTCCTGGATCACTTCTTCAATTTTTCTGCATATCAAACTTTATTCTAGTAATCTCCAAGGACCCTATGAATGAAAGGGTTCTGGAAATTTCTATTTCTATTGTATTTTTCTGAAGATTTATTGATTTTCTAAAGGTGAGTGAACAAATCTGACAACCCATTGTTCTCATATTAGCGGGTTCAGATATGTTAGTCAACTCTGAACTTTGAAAATCAATCATTTAATCGAAAAAAAAACAAAACGACAAAATCACTTTTTTTGAGATTTCATGTCTTACTTCTATTTATTTAGAAACATGACTCATAGTTGGGATACGGCAAGGAGCTGGAAATACAGGAAACTTAAAATTGACACAATTTTTTTCAGTTCGTCATAATGAACATTCCAAGAACCTTCCGTTCAAACCCGATACCAGCCATATTTGGAAAGTATTGCTACCACATCACGGACGTTTTCATTGAGATACTTCGACACCTCATTTTCATCAGAGGTCTCTTCCAGCTTATGATGAAACGACTAGGAAAGCTCTTCGTGACTATGAAGGAAATCATGAACTAGTTCACGGATCAATTTGTAATTTTGACAATTTTCGATCAATTTTTTCTTCAAAACAACCCATTTTCAGCCAGCCATATGATCACAGAGCGGAACGCCCCGTAAATCAGAGCGACTATCGAGCACGATTCCTGGAAATGTGAAGAGGATCCAAGAAGAATCTGAAGGAGGAGCTCAAGAGATTGGGAATCGTGTCAACGTTGTGATTGAGAAGTGCATCTTGGCTCACAACAAGTCTGATGTGAGTTTTTTAGACAGATAGGATAAAACCTGACGAAGAAGCTTTCGCCTAAGTTGAATCAATCTGTTTTGCTTTCTGGCATAATATCGGAACGTGATTAAATGGCAAAATGTTTATCATATAATTAGAAATATTTCTCAGTTTAACACTCTTTGATATTTTTCTCAGAAACTGAGATATATTGACTCTAGCCAAGAAGAGCGGCCTTGGACCGTAGTCGGAGTAGGGACTGGGATGTCTTTTTGGAACTGACTGTTATCATGAAGCTTTGGACCACTCTTCTGGGATAGAGCTGATAAATTTTGACGATGTTAAAAAGAACTTCTAACTTCGATTGCTTGAAACAATTTTTCAGATGCGCTCCTTCTTCCACAAGTTCAATTCGTGCCAGAAGATGTATTTCGCGTGTGCAATTTGTGCTCAAAAAAGTAATTTAATTATAGATACTGTGATAATGATTTTGTATAATTTCTCTTTTTTTGCATTCCATTGTACAAATTTGAAGTAGAAAATAAAATTCTGACAAACTTGAAACGTCTAGAACACCTTGAATTTCAAAAATATCTAGTTCTTGATTTTCTAGTCTCTAAATATATAGTTCTAGATTCTCTAGTCTCTAAAAAGCCGTGAAGCTTGAAACTATCAATATTGGTTTTGTTCGGCTTGCAGTTGGGATATAAGAACGAAGGCGGACGCTACCGTTATCTGTACAAACGCTTTCCAAGAAAACGTCTCACACACTTTCAAAAACTTCCATAAATCCATCCTATATTCGATTAGTAAAAATTTCTCTAGCGGCTGCAGGTTCGCTATCCTGCACTGGACGGAGTTTGGCTCTAGCATCCACAGAGATGACGTCCTACTTGATCGTACACACAGAAATAACACTACAATTTCATTTTCTTTTCCCTTTCTTTTTTTCTCTCGCTGGCCCGTGTGTGCCGTGCAAGGCAAAAACGCATACACAACGCTCACAATAGAGCGCGAATGTTATTTTGGTTCGGAATATTTCGTTATTGTAGTCCGAAATAGAATTCTCGAAAAAATCTAATGGAACGTGTAAAGTTTTTCAGGTAAAAAGTTTATACAGATACATATCTCAATGATTTCAACTTTACTATCACTCGCAACTGCTAAAGTAGTCGAATATAATCAGATTTCGTTCAGCCAGAGCAATCGAAGAAATACAATTATCAAAGACGCCAGATAACTTCAGAATATGTTCTGACCAACTTTTTTTAAACTCTATGTTCGACTTGGATGTAATCATCAAAATAGTCGACTTCGTGATCTGAGATATTCATTTAAGAAAATGCAGCCATGGAGACAAATAGACATAAAAACAGTACGAAAATGGGGAAAAGACGCTAGACAACTTTGCAACAAATACTTTACTTATGAGAGTGAAGTTGAAGCTGTAAAACATGATTTCCTATTCAGGGATGACCATGAAAATGCAAAAAAAAAACATTTCAAAACAGATTTCATTAAGTAGAATACTGATCAAACAGAATACTGGTTCAATTTCTGTTCTCGAGTGCTCCATTCATCAAACAGTAAACTTGTAAGAAGGAGTTGTTGAGACTGTTTGAAGACAAGTAACATGAGATTCCATCATTTTCAGAAATAAATTATCAATCTGACCCAACACAGGAATGTTATAACTTGGACTTCAAAAGAAAACAGATCAATTGGGCCAGGCATTACCAGAACATTACCAGAATGACTAAAAGTGGGCCCGACATTACCAGAATGACTAAAAGTGAGCCCGACGCTTGTTTTGGGTTGTCTCACAGTTTGTAATTTCAGTGTTTGGAGCTTAAAGAAATACCTTTTCGAGTGGGAAATAATCAGATATTGTAGAATAACATCTGAAAAATGATAAAAACATAGAAACTACTAAATATTGATCATTTGAAATAGTGGAACTATGGTAAAACAAGCCCAAAATCCGGAAATCTCTAGTTGACACTTTGAACGTCCATACCATACGCAGGAGTTTGTTTCAATGAGGTATTAGTAAGACACAATCTCTGTGGTCACGTTCAAAACGTTATATTTTACTTTCATGATCATTTTCTATTTTTTCCAGATTTTTGAAAAATGCGTCCAACAATCCGAAATTTTCCAAAAAAGTGAATTTTTTGATACATTTTTCACGTTTTTTTCAAATTGAAAATACTTTTGCATCATGTTTCCTAAATTATTTGCTACATTTTACAAAAAAGGTTGACTCCTCAGCTCTATTTTGAAGAAAGTTACATTCGAAAAAGCAAAACTTGATATACTTTTCGGCTGTACAGTAGAACTACGACATTCTCAAACTGCACAAAAAAAATCATGGGGCTATCTTTTTGTTCAATATTTGAAAATGGTTTTTTGAATTGGGCGATTTTCACTGAATGCCGTGCCTATAAGACTTCTCATTTTCACTGATATGAAAGGAAAGGGTTGGAATCATTCTCCAATTGGCACCGAACACCTCCATACGCAGCCGGCATTCAAAATCTTCCTCTGAGCAAGTCTGCAGAAGATCTGCTATTGGGAAGCCATCCGCTTCGTTCGTCGGGATTATCTAAAGATAACCTCCTCTCTTCATACCCTGTCGAATCAATACATGTTTTAAGCTCTAATTCCATATTTGACTTTGCTCCCGCAAAGTCTCACCGTTCACGTGTGCAACACTAGCACTTCATGGCAAAGCCTGATTAGTCAAGTTTTCAGATCTAATGAGGTTTTCAATTTTCGAAAATGGGAATTATAGAGAGATGTAGTTCAAAACGTTCAGTGCTTCAAAATAATTTTAATTATGATTTGTTTCGAGAATTTCCGTTTTCGGAAACAAATAACCAATTTTAAATCTTCCCCAAGCCCAATTTTCATCAATCCAAGCATGTGTAGACTTGTTTTGAAGCTCTCTTTTTGAAACATCACAAACTAAAGAAATTATTCAACAATATTGGAAACAAACAAAGCTATGGTCAAAACTTCAAACTTTCTCTATTCCCCCAATCTCTCGTTCAATAACACATTCGAATATGAGTTCGATCCCATGTCTACTGACCTTTTTGCTTGTACAGTGAGAGAAAAGAGACGCAGAGAAATAGAGATGAGCAAGACAGCCGCATATTGTGTTCTCGAAACTTCATTTTCTCCCTATGAGGACTTACAAAAGGAGCGTCTAAATTTTGAAAAGATTTTCTGAGAACCTTAGAAATGAATGAGGGTTCCTGGATGATCTTTTTGGTTTTTCTGAACTCCTACTTTTCTTCTAGTAATGAAGTATAAATGCAATTTTTAAAGTGTCTTTCTGAGTTCTAATTTGTAACCTTAGTTTTTTTTCCCTGTTTCAGCATCAAATCACCAAACAACAACGACACAAAGGATGAGTCTCATGAGAACAAGGTAACATTAGTTTTACAAGGGAACCTCAACATCTCACAAACCCAGATTTTTATGAAAACTCCAGGATATGTGGGAGATTGCCTATCTAGACATATCTGAAAATTTTAGAATCCCCCCGCCAGTTTCAGCCGAGTTATATCAGTTTCAGTACCAAAAATCGCCGTTTCAGTGCAAAAGCAGCGTTTTCAAAGACAATTTTCTTAAGTCCTAGGACGTTTAAAAGCATAAATTTTTTGTGTTATACTCAAAGTTTTTGAAATTTGATATTTCATTTTTTTTCTCTAAACAATTTTTTTATTTTTGAATTTTTTGACAATTTTCCAGATTTATTCGAAAATTGAAAAAAAGTGTTTTGATAGAAAAATGAAATATCTCATTTCATCAAAATTTGAGTATAACACAAAAAATTAATGCTTAGAAACGTCCTAGGACTTGAGAAAATTGTCTTTGAAAACGCTGCTTTTGCACTGAAAAGACAATTTTTGGTACTGAAACAGATATAACTCGGCTGAAACTGGCGGGCGGACTCTAAAATTTTCAAAGATGTCTAGATAGGCGATTTCCAACCTATCCTGAAGTTTTCATCAAAATCTGGGTTTGTGAGGTGTTGAAGTTCCCTTGTTAATCTATTCTCAAAATTTTCAAGAGTTCGCAGGAGAAATTAGATACATCTTCTGAAAATCTCACAACTCTGAACTCAGTCTCTGCAATTTTTAGCATTCGGTTAGTTTCGAGCGACCTATCTTTGGATAAATATGCACAAAGTAGTTGTCAACTACAACATTTTAGCTCTATTCTCGATTGGTGATTTAAAAAATTTGTAGGAAAATGGAGCTATTCCGAGCTACTTTTTTAAGACTTTGAACTATTTTCCACTTTGAACATGTAAAATCAATATACCTTTGACCGGTAGTGTATACCGATTTGATATAGTCATTTCTTTCAATTAAATTTTCAGAAGGTGCAGTAGCAAATGCTGCCGTTGAGCGAGCTGGTCACGTTGCTGTTGAGCCACGACATGAGATTCATGCTGCCACTAAAACAGAAGATGCGAACGAGGCAACGCAAGGTAATTTATTTCATAATTCGAAAACAGTCGAAACTCTAATATTCCATTGCAGCTGTTTCCGTCAATGCTCCCGTCTCGTCCATGTTTATCGATATGTCAGCGCTCTTCAACCCAGGCCATTTCAATGGAAACAGCCATGGCCTGGCAGAAGCCCTTCCCCCTCCGCCAGTTAATGCTCAGCTTCCAGGAGGTAAGAATTTTCGCTTTTTTTTTCGAATTTCAATAGACTCAAAACATTATCAAAAATCTTGTTCTCCAGGTCTTCTTGGTGATGTGGATCAACGCAACCGTCGTATGATGTAGATCAGGGAATCTACCCGTCGCCGTGAAGTTCTTTCGAGAGCAATTTTCCAACATGCCAAGGCGGATGAGCAAAGGCCCCTGGCTATGGCTCGAGAGTGGTACGGGGATCGTCAGGATGTACTTCAACTCGTGCACGACTCGACTGCTGCTTTAAAAGAAGCTGTAGCATTGCAGCAGACGACAGAGCACAGCAAAAAAAGGAAAACAATGACGTGGCTCAATACGAACGTCGTGAGAGGTGCAACAGGGAATCTATCCGTTAAGCTCTCGAGAGAGCAATACTCGAGCATGCGAAGGCGGATGAGCAAAAGTCCCTGGCTATGGCTCGAGAGTGGTACGGAGATCATCAGGATGTACTTCAACTCGTGCAGGACTCAACTGCTGCTTTAGAAAAAGCTGAAGTTATTGAAGCAGACGACAGAGCACAGCAAGTGGGAAATGGGAACAACGACGTCGCTCGATGCAACCCTTGTGAGAGATGCATCAGGGAATCTATCCGTGAAGCTCTCGAGATGCTCGAGCATGAGAACGCGGATGAGCGAAAATCTTCGGCGGACGAAGGAACACAGCAAGCTCAACAACAAGAGGCAAATGAAACCAACTACTAATCTCATAAGATCTTGTTTGTTTTTGTTGATTTATATTGTTTTTTACACCCATTGTTGTCCTCGTATATCTTTCAGAAGCTATAAAACATTGATCAAGGTTTTGACTACTATCGCTTGGTACGCTCCCTAAAACAATATAAATACACCGCTTGACGCTGATGGTCAGCAGTTCATAGTCATCTTAGCATTTTCTAGAAATCTAGAAATTAGGTTACATTATCTTCCATATCTAACCAGAAGATAATGTCAATTATTGACCTCATGGTAAGAATAAAATTTGATGCTTTGAAATTCAGAAAGGAGGTGAAATGATTTACAATGAGGAGCTGTCTTTTCTATTTCCAGCCAACTTTCATTTGGAATAATTTGTGATGCGTACCTACAGTGCGTAACATAAGTATAGGGCCACCCCGAAATCTAGCTATAACTTTTTTAAATCGCAATTTTTTGAAAATCTAAAAGCAGAATTGTGATCAGCATCCAGAATTACCCCAGGAACATGATTTTCGTAATTTTACTCATAAAACTGACCGGATGCCGGAACAAAAGCTAAAAAATAGGCTTCTGCAAGCGTAACATTATAGGACCACTTTAGGAATTAGTGGCTGGGCACCCGAAAAACGTGAATCCAGTCAAACAAAAATCATATTTTAAATAGCCTGTCACTATTCGAATCAAAATTTCCCAAAATTACTTTGTCTGGGTCCATCGGGTGAGTGCGAGCCGCCGTTTAAGGTCAGTTCCGGTTCAACCGTCTGGATTGTCAGCTGGAAGATCAGACGTTTATGTTAGAGAATCTCTAGGGCCTCAATATCAGTCCAGTAGACATTTCTTAGGTTCGCAAACTTTTTCGGGCTCATATGAAGCCGTGTTTCCGTAGAGTGCCTAAATTGATTAGAATTCCAACCAACCAAACCGATCCAAGTTCAGAAGAAGTGTGAAAAGGAGACAACATGTACATATTTATACAGGAACAGAGAAAAATTTTCAAAGATTTCTTCTTTTTTCGTCATTTTGGTGACAGACAGATTCATATCTTTCATCTCTTAGATCAACATTGGAATTCGACAAAAACGGATACAGAACCAGCCACACAAAAAAAAACTTGAAGATGTTCCTTCTTCCTCCTTTTTTGTTCTTCTTGAAGAATTTCGGCGCCAAGTACAGCCAAAAAAAATTATCAATCTCTCACCTCCCTTCCACATCAAATATCTGTATTATCATTTATATGACTGAATGATAACAACCAACTACCTGCTCGTAAAAATCTTACGATTCGTGTAGAGGTGTTTATTCCTTTTTTATTCACTGCTCGATCATACGATTCGGGTTTTCTTCATTTTCTCCTACCCCGTGTTGTATGTCAATTTTGACACCAAACTCGGTGAGGGGGAAAAAGTGCATTTCATCGGGAAAAAAGTGCGAGTGGGAGGACGTTTTTTTTTCATTTCGATGACATCTTTTTTGACTGGAGAACGACCACACCTCCAGATTGTATTGTTCCATGGGTTCTGTGTCACTTTCATCGCCTGCTTGTTTCACCGGCGGGTAACAGAGAAAAACTTTTGTTTTCGTTCTCCTAAAAAGGGAAGCAATCATTTTTTGTTCTTTTGATTTCTGATCATAATAATATCTTCCTGGTTCCCACCTACTGTTCTATTTTTGTTTTCCCAAAATTCGGTTTTCAGAAGATGGCTTCTACAAACAAGGTACCAAAGATCGACGTTAATAAACTTCCACCATACTTCCTCCAGATGTTCCCACAAGCCAAACAGATCCTCACTACCAATCCCATGCCGGGAAGAGAAGCGGAGCACGCCGCAGCAATCAAAGTGATCCAGGATTTTTTGAACACCGATTTCCAGAAGCCAATCGATTTGGACAATGTTTGCGGACACAAAGCTCCGGGAGTTGCGATGAAGTGATAAAAAAGATAGAACTGAAAAAAGGAAAAAGTTGGTAAATTTACAGAGAAGGATACTGTCCAGCCTGCTATAAGAAGGAGAATATTGACGAGTGTCTTCAGTACATGGAATTGTGCGAGTGAGTTGGAATTTCTAAAAGAGAAGAGTCGATTTCTAGAAAAAAAAAGTTCAGTAAAAATAAATCAGCCTGTTCAGAACCGATTAGAAACAAGTTTTGTTTTTTTTTCTCACTTTGAAAGTATACCTTGTTTCATAAGTATTACTGTATCTTGATCTGTAATTTCTTATTGATACTATTTAATTCAATTTCAATAAATTACTGGAATCTCGACGAACCGGTGAGATTCCAAGAAAAAAATTAAACCAAAATTTCTCTGTTGAAGAAGATCGGCTCATAGATATGATTTGATTTACAAGCGAACACCTTGTAAGCTCAGATTTTGATCAAAATTTCAGGCTACGTTGAGAATAGTCTATCTATGTGAAACCATCCAGTAGTGGGATCAGTGGATCAGTTTGCAAAACACTTTCAATAAGTTTCGTTTACAGGAAGTATGGCCCAGAAAGAGCTTCAAATATGATGAAGGAAGCAGCAATGACCAAGGCATCTACCTCCGGGACTTCCAGCTCATCGCAGGGATCGTCTTCCTCCCAGAAGAAAAATTAAATGGATATAACATATTCATCCCGTTTTTTTCTGTGTATGTGTGTGAACAACCTACTAATTTTATCCTCTCGATTTCTCTTAATTTTCATTTCCTAACTTTTGAAATCTTTTAATGTGAACCCAAAGTCAATTGCTGTGTCTGTTGGTGACAAACTCTCGTTCACTCTTTCTACTTTTGATAAATGATGATAAGAAAAATGTAAGGAATGCATGTCTGTGTTAGAACATTCAACAGAACACACATCCAATGACGTATTTTCGCCGAACTGAGATTGAAATCATAACGGAGAAGGCCGTCTCGACGCTTTCACTATCGGTTCACACTTTCATAATGACGAGGAGGACAACCGAATTGGATGCAGAACTCAATAAGCCAGGACGGACTAATATCGTGTGACCTTTTACGCTACATAATAAGAGCAGACAGAGAAACTGCCAGACAGACGAACGGGACCTTCGAATGCGGATAGAACTGCTACACACATGCGAGCGAGGGTGTATTCAAATTGGCCGACGGTCAGCTGACACCAAATGTTGTTTTATGATCCACCACCCAACCATCCTTTATAGTTCATATCTCGTTCTGACAAATATGATCTTATATTTCCGAACGGAACTATATCATGGGTTCTATCCAAGAATATTTTTTCTCTGAAAAAAACACATTTTGAATATCTGATATTCTTTTAAGACCTTTTTATTTGTATAATTTCATTTTTCAACTTCATATCTAATTCATTTTTGTTCACTCTAAATTTAATATTTCCAGAATGGTTTGTTCAACACCACCACCTTCAACTATTCCCGAAACCGAGAAGCCTGAGCCAGAAATGAAAAAAGAGAAGAAAAAGAGAGTATTTCGGAGAGAAACAGTTGCTGACAGATTGTTGGCGTCCGCGAAAAAGATGGCTGAGATTATTCGATTTCGAAGTGTTTTCACAAAGATTTTGTATTTTGGAAATACGAAGAAATATTTTTCCATTTCACTCTATTGAAAACCACTATTGAAAATGAAAGTTGGGAAAGACAGAAAAATTGGACAGCGGATAGCTCACCATTTTGTTTTAATGTTTAGCGGCGAGTGAACATGAGCATGCAACTTCTTACTCTACTCGGGAACTTTTAGCGGCTGAATTATATTATCACCTTGGACACGAAGAGGATCATATATACTAACCATCACAGAAAAGCCCAATGCCTTGACTTCGTTAAACAGCTAGTAGACGTCATCAAACAGGAATTTCACTCAAAAACAATGGGTATCAAAAGGGGCATCCCGTTCGCAAGTGGAATGAGAGCAGCGAAAATGATGGTTATTGTGAACAACCTTATAATCTTATATACCATATCCGGTTACACACATATAAGATGGAGCGATTTTCAAAATTTTCAGTTTTCATCCCAAATCACTTCGATTTCCAAAATTTCTGTGAAGTTTCAGTAATTTTGCATTTTCTTTGCGGAGCGAAAAAAATGTTCAAATTTACATAAAGAACTATAAAGCCTTTTCGAGTAGTATTTCCTGTACTTGCAATAGAATTTTTTCGATACACAAATATATATTATTCAATGATAAAAAAAGAACACTTGATGTACAGAAATCGAAGGCTTCGAATTCTGGGAATTTGGAAAATTTACGTGATGCACAGAAATTGAACGGTTCAATTTCTGGGATTTTTCACAGAACTCAATTCTAGAAAAGCATGGGGTGGGGTAGGGATTCAAGAAGGGTCGTGATAAAGCAAAATGAATATTAGGAAACTATCGTTGGACTTGTTGTTTTCCATAAACCGGATCCTTCGAGCTTGAAGATAATTTTTCCATGTGAGCTCTCTGTTGGCTGAAAAACTAGTTAAAAATTCTCAGTCGCATTGGAAGGGTTAAAGTAAAAATATAAATGCAAAGCTTAAAACTGACCTTTGTCACATACAGTACTTTAAAATGAAATTGATCGAGATAGTGGAAATGTTTTGTTCATAAGCTATGAAAGATTCCACGTGATGTTTTGAAAATTTGAAAAAGTTTTGAAAAATTGGCAACACGGATTTTTATTGATTTTCCGTCGAAGAAAACTGAGTGTTCTTCGACGTTCAGTTTTTCAGTTTTCTTCGACGATAAATCATTGAAAATCAGCGTTGCCAGTTTTTCAAAACACCAAGTGGAATCTTTTATAGCTTTTGAACAACATTTTTCCACCATCTCAACCAATTTCATCCTAACGTACTGTATGTGACAATAGTAAGTTTCGAATAACAATTTTTACTTTAATCCTTCCAATACGATTCAGAATTTTCAACTAGTTTTTCAGCCAACATAGAGCTCCCATGGAAAACAATTATCTTCAAGCTCGAAGGATCCGTTTTATGGAAAACAACAAGTCCAACGATAGTTTCCTAATATTCGTTTTGCTTTATCACGACCCTTCTTGAATCCCTACCCCCCATGCTTTTCCAGAATACCAGAAATTGAAAGTTTCGAGTTCTGTGAATCACATGAATTTCCAAATCCCAGAACTCGAACCGTTCGAGTTCAGTGAATCACGTAAAATTTCCAAATTCCCAGAATTCGAAACCTTCGATTTCTGTGCATCACGTAACTATTCACAAAAATTGAAAATAAACAGAAATAATGTAATTAAAACCATATTTCTCATGATTGCGTTGAAATAAAGTATTTCTGAACAAAAACATGTCGATTATGACATTTATCAGTAGTTTAGTATTTTCTGTGACGAATTACAGAAATTTGGACCATTTTTGTTTATTTCTTCGAGAATTAAAAATTTTGAAAATACTTCTTATATTATTGTTCTAGCTTAATTAAGAGAAAAGAGGAAAACAAAAGTGCACAAAGACTTATTAGCCAACCTAATATATTTTTTTAAAAAATTCCAAATGTTCAAGCCTCAGTCTAGTTTTAACTGGTATAATCAGATATTCTGATCTTTCTATGATTCCTCAAATTTTACAGTCAATGATTTTTTCTGATCACTCAATTTTTACAGCTGCACACGAGATCGACGACCTATCGGCATTGGAATGGGAGACATCTTCCGAACGGAGTGGACCAGTTGTTTGATCTTCAACTTTACCTAACTGCCAATATATGAATTTGTTCCTTTTTTCCCGATTCTTCACTGTTTTACAAAAAAAAAGAAGTTTCTCGAACTACAAGCAATCATGTGCTTTTTTAGCTCCGCCCAGAACCCAGAAAAAAATTGACGAAATCGCAATGCAAAACATAATAAAGGAAAATGTATACATACGAAAATCGCTTGGTGGTGAGTTTTTGAATGGACATTCAGGGTAATTTTCTTAGGACCTTTCTCTTTACAAGTGGACGTTGGGGAGAAGGGACGGAGAAAATAGGTGGGGAGTGTGCGGTCAGTTCCCGGGGACTCGAGTCTGGAAGAATAAATAGCTGTCAACTACTTCTTTTTGAACACTCTTTTTTTGTGGTGTTTGACTATAGGTCTACTAGCTTGGAATTTCATATATTTATGACGTGGCAAAGATTCCAGTAGCCCTCAAATATCTTTAAGGATCGTGCTATAGTTGCAAGTTGCATCTCTCCCAAGTTTTCTGCTCGATTTCCTGTCATGTTCTTTGTCAAGGTATTTCTTCATATCCAGACCACCAAAAAATATTTCATATGTATATATGTGAATGTATACTTGTACCGGAAGTCTATGTCTTTTTTGACTCGCCTTGTTATTTTTTCCAACTTTTTTCATACTATACTAAATAGCATTACACTTTCTAAGGTACTCCAGGATGTTCTTCAATGAACTTATAACGAGAGGTTCATACCTTTGTTCAACATGACCCTATAATTTTTTGAATGCTACGTAGGTTTTATTGAAGCCCGGTGAAGACGAAAATTTTAAGAGGTAGGTCAAAGTGAGCTATTGGGGGGTAGACTGAGTGGTCAGCAATGGGTCCAGTCCCTCCCAACAAAACGGAAGAGCATAAAAGGCGCACCTCTGTAGGGAGGAAAGCCAAGCGTCCATGCGGTCATCAATTCTTTTGCTGCCCACTTACCCAAAACTATACTTTTTTGTTCGAATACCAACAATTGTGTGTGTTATCTGTGTCTTTTTGCGTTAATCATGCTCAACTTGTCGCATTGTTCGACTAGTAGTCTCGTCGAAAGTGCACTGACCTTATTTTTTTCAGTTTTTGGGACCACTGAAGTCTAAATTTAATCTCGTTAAGTCTGCAGTTTTTCGGTTAGTCGGAATTCCAAAGTTTTCGCTTATAGAGAAGACAAGAACTTTCATGAACTTCTTCACTTTTTTCATGAGAGCAGTGTTTTTTTTTTGAAATTCTTCTGCTTCAAATGACTGAAGTTTTCTTTTTTTCAAACAAGATATGAACTTGAAATCGATCTTTTTGATTACCAATCACGTTTTCACTCACGTTACTTAAAATTCATATATTGTATTTTTTTTAAGTATTTGATTTTGATATGAAACTTTTACCAATTTTTCTTTTTGTTTAATTACCGCAGACACTCTGATAGAAGGCCACACTGTACTTGCACGTTGAGTTCAATTATCCAAATTCTTTCGAGAAATTAAAAAAATCTGATAAAATGTCAGATAATTGAGCTCAACGTTTAATAGATTTTCGTTCAACTAGAGCGTTAACGAAATTTTATCTGCATTACAGTTGTATCTGTATGCTTACCGGCCCGATTTTTTCAAAATTTTGTTTCAGACCTACCAGATCAAAACCTTACTTGGTAGATCAAACCTGATCTTGTAGTATTTTTTTGTGAAAACGTAAAAATGCCCAAAAAAAAGATCCGTCACCATTGATTTCTTAAAAGAATACATTTTGTGCCTATCTGAAACAATTTTCTATTAAAATGTTGCTGGAAATATTTTTTCGCAAAATAGGCCCTTGTCTCCTTGTCCCCTCTCTTTTCCCCAAAAAAATTATACTCATACTCTCTCACAATTTGTTCTTTATAAGAAAAGAACTCAAAAAAGATTGATGGAAAATGATCGGAAACGGAGGTTGCGGCGCTGCTCTCTTTCTGTCTCTCTTATCCTTCTCGTGTTTTCTTGTTTCAACTCACCGCTACCCGACTATAGTTACTGACGCATTCCAATGCAGGCTATTATTGCTCAGCATGTAATGGACACTGAGACCCAATTGTTCCAAATCTATATGTGCACTTTAATTGCTCGCTTATACTTTTCCTGTCCCGTTTCTCCTCCTTCTTGTCCTCCCTTGTTGTATAGTTGGAATCTTTCTTTATTACCTTTATTCTTTTTTTTTGCAATTGTTCAAATAACATAAATTTTCAGATCTTACTCTCCGAAAGATCACAAGTTTTGGATGAGTGAGACATTCTGATGTTGTCTGCTCACGAATACACATGTAACCAGTTCCAGTCTTTCCATGCTGACCGTCTTTCTATATTTGGTCGTCTTTCCAATTTTTGCCTTTTCGCAGTTTTTATCCTATGATGGTCAGTCTTTTTTCTCAAGTTAATTGAGAAACATTAATTTTGTTCAGCAATTCGAATGAGGGTACCAGGACGTTGTATGTCGGGTGATTATGATTGCGGGTTAGGTCAGTGTGTTCCGATTTCACAATTTCGAGATGGAAAACCAGACTGTATGGATGGTAGCGATGAATGTGAGTTTAAGAATTCTCTCCAACTCATACTTTTAATTTTTAGGGTGTTTCATCGGTCAAGTTAGTTGTGGTCCAGTGTATTGTGCAGACTACAAAGATGCATTTCCATGTATCCTATATCCAAAATGTGACGGGTCCACAAAACAATTACCCTGGTGTTCAGCATCCAGTAAGTCAAAAATTTAACTGATTCTCAAGTTAAGACAAAAATTTCAGAAGAAAAGCTATGTGCTGATAAAACATCGTTTCCGTGTAAGGGTTATGGAGAATGTGTTTTATGGGAATGGCTGTTGGATGGAAAAAAGGATTGTATTGATGGAAGTGATGAAGGTGTGTGGTATACCTTTCGTTAGAAGTTCGAAAATTCTTTGTAAAAAATGAATTTCTAATTAGTTAGAGTACGGTAACTTGTCTAATAGAATTCTTCTCTGTATTTGCACTTTAAACGTAATTACCATCATTTCTCTTATAGAAGGGTAACCAAATCTTCAACTTCTAGCTCAATTATCTTGATTGTTGTGCAAGGTTTCGAAATTCTTTCAACTGATGAAATACTGGCGATAGTATGATAAATAATTAATCAGTTGACAAAGTTTTCATATCTCTATTTTGAATCTTTTATATCTAGTGTGAAAAACAACTGAGCTCTAATATTAGACGAAAAAGTAGACAGTATTCTAAAGATTCAATCCAGAATGAACAATATAATAGTTTTCATATTTGCTTTTTTTGTAACAAGTTCCATTTTTGCTACCTTTATTTTTCAAAATTTCAAACTAGGATCACTGACTTCATTAACGGATTTCTGAAACTTAGAAAATTTGAAAAAAAGTTTGATTCAGCGGACGGAAAACTGGCTGACTGGGACTCTTCATTTTTCATAAAATATCTGATTTTCCCAAAAATATTCCTTTTTTTCAGATGAAAACTATGTTATGCCACTCGAACATGCATATCGTTGCGCTCGTAACCAGACCGGTCTGTTTCTCCCAAAACCCATCCCACCACCACCTGAAGATCATCCATCGCTTTATGTGGAAGGTTGCTCGATGTGCTCAAAACCACCCGCATCTCTCGTCCCGTCCACTTCGATTTCATCAGAAGGAACAATGGACCACACCACACCAAAGTACCCTTTCATCACATCCTCACCTTCAGGAAATACACAACCACCGCTGAGCAATTTCCCAATTTTTCCCAACGAGCAAGAGACACGACCCGGGGATTTCTTTTCAGTAAATGTTCCATCTGGTGTTGAGATCTCGAGAGTAACTAGTTCTCAAAAACCAAACGAACCAATTGGAGAGTTCTTTCCATCACACTCATCAACACCACTTCCGCCTCTCACAGATGCCACAACCCAATCTCATACATTTCGTCTAATCACAATCCCATCCATAAGTCAAACGCAATTCCCTCAAGCACCACTCATCTTTCCGGGACGTCCAGATTTGCCACCCATCACTGCAGCGCCTTCACCTCTAAACAATTGGCCAATTCCAATTGTGACCACCACACCGGATTCACATCATCAAGGTCCACTTCCGCCGATTACCTACCCGACTATCGAGGAAGGGGGTTCCGCCAAGATTCCACCTATAAGACCGGGTATCATTATAAGTCGACCTGTGACTCCAAAAAAGCCAGTGGATTTGCCTGAAGATGATGATGATTACTATGGGGATAGGGGAGGAGGAGGATCACCACCAGGAATAAATCCATTTGATCTACCGACACGTCCACCGGCCACATTTGCTCCAAGTGTGTTCCAGACTGCTGGACCAGTTGGTTTTCGCCCAATCACCAAACCTAGTGAAGAACCTGTTGAAAACGAATCGGGATATGGAGAAAGCCCCAACAAAGGAATCGTTGACACATTAGTCCCTCTAATATCAGGCCGTGTGTTGCCCAGCATACCAACACGGAGGCCTCTAACAATCCCAAGTTATTTCACCTCACCTCCATCTCCACATTTCCCAAACATGCCAGAATATCACACAACACGCCCAACTGGTGGAATGCTACCAACTCTAATTCCTCAGACAGAAGTTGACAAATATCTTCAAACGCAGATTCCTTCATTAAAACCAGGAGCTACCAGAAAACCAGAAGGCTTCATCGAAGAGAAACCACTGACACCACAACCTACACATTCTCCAGAAGTACCAGGACCTGGGACGAGTGAGAAAGAGGAAGTGGACCAGGAATCAAGCAAAGCAACAACAACGCGATCAAAGATCATTCACGTTGGACCAAATGGAGTTGTAGAGGAAAACGAGAAAAATTTGCCGGGGTCTGACAGAGAAGGTGTACGGAGCGGAACAGGAATCGAAAGTGGCACGGAATCAGTTACCGGATCCGACAAAATAATTCACATTGGCCCTACAGTTCAAACAACTCAGTCTACTTTAGAGCCTTCCAGTAGTTCTACAGCATCAAGCAGTTCGGAAGCTAGTACTGTATCCTCTTCAACATTACAAACAACGACTGTAAAAACTGGAGATCCAAAAATCGACGAATGTCTCTCAAAAATGTCAGACTCTGGGACATATGTTGTTTGTGATTGTCCTAATGGCCAGTTAAGAAACTCAGGAACAGGTAATTGTGAAGGTAAGTCACTTAGCCATACGTCAAAGTTAATTGTGGTTGATTCAGAAACGCTATCACTAATGAATATCAAAGTTAATGTTGGAACCATTTGTAACACCGACAAAGCTTCGTTTGAGCAGAAGCAAAGAATATTGCACCAGAAGGTAATACATAAAATTATTTATAAATTCAGAAGAAGAGTTCTCAGATTGCTCAATCCTACCGATCTTGCATCCGCTCTTCGGAGCATGAAAACGCATTAATTGCAACGATTGATTGTAAGGAATGTGATGTGCAGGAAGTGAACCGACTGATAACGACCAGATCCTTTGGAGAGCCAGGCACTTTGAATGTTACCGCTGAAGGTGATTTCGAAATTCGTTCGTTTTTAAAAGTTATTTTTTCAGCACTTGGTTCAAGTCTCTGCTCTGATTCCGATTTCAATCACTGTCACGTCTACTCGGATTGTGTTATAGACAATGAAAATCTCCGATATGCCTGTCGCTGCAAGAAAGGAACCACAGACACGTCTGAAGGGTACGGTAGAACCTGTGAGGGGTTTCCAGAGGAGTCTGAGTGAGTTCTGAGATTTAAAGGTAGAGTACCAGAAAATATTTCAGTTGCATATTGATTTTGGGAATCTGCTTGATTGTTTGGTTGTTATTCTTACTTGGAACGCTAATGCTATCACTACTATTCTGCATTTTGTGTTATGCACTTTGTCGAAACCGATGCTGTCGACAAATCGCTATTCATCCAGCGAACGCAGATGGCTTACAAACAGTGGTAATTCTCAAAATCTCGACAAGACAAAGAATTTTCTGATTTAAGGTCATTGGACCGAAAGCCGCCAAAAGTCTAGACCCCAACCGTGAACGTCTCCCTCATATGAAAGCAATATTTGCGGAGAGCTTGAAACATAGTGCTAAAGGATCCACATCAGTTGCCAGTGCTTTCGCTCTAGCTGATTTCAGGCGGAAGAAAGTTTCAAGACCACCAGATATGAGTCAGGTTATTGAAGAAACTGCTGAGGTGAAAAATTTTTCTTTTTTCTTTCTTATTTTCAAATGTTGTTTTTATAAATTTTAGTTCCCGGTCCCGAAATTGTCAACTTCTGAGTCAATGCCAAAAGTCAATAGCCTTGCAAAACTATCAACGAACTCTGAGCCTCCGACACCCGTAGGAGTAATCGAAACGCCGATTCTTGAGAAGGTACATCTTTTTTTCATCATAAACACTTGAAGGGCCGTGATCATTTAAAATTTCCATTTTTAGAACTCAAGCTCTGTGTCGCTTGTTTCCGCAAACGACAACGCACCTCAACTTCCCAGTTTACCACTGCCTCTTCCTGTCCCAATCACTACAAATGCTTCAACAACAAATTTAGAAGACGCGGGTTCGAGCAACGAAAAAAGAGCAGGCAGCGCTCCTCACGAACAACATGTTAGTACTAGCAACACAAAAAACAAAACATGAGTGTTTTCGGTGAAATAGAATAGGAAATGTTTTTTGAGGTGCCGGAAGCGGAAAGACCAGCGTCATCACATTCAATCGGTGTGCAGCCAACCATCTGGGAGACGTATCGGGTACTGGGACAACAATACTCGAAATCTGATCTGACTGGTGGGAAAAGTAATATATAATAAAATTAGTCACGAATGGATTACAGAGAGAAAACCGAGCGTAGATTCTTTGGAACAAATGTTCGAAGCAAGGTTAGCTGAAACTGCGAGGACAGCGAAGACAATACCAACTGTCAGGACAGAGAAGTCAGACACTTCTGCAATAACGTTCACAGCCAAACCCAACAAAGAGAAGACAGAGTTAGTTTGAGGGCAATATTCGGACAGGGGAACACTTTGTCCACCCAGAAAACACTTTGTTAATCTACAACATTTGAGGATAGCTTAAAAATAACCGATCTAGTCCCCTTGCAAACTTTTAAAATTTGTTCGTGAGTATCAGCCGAGTTTTTAAAGCTTCAGGACTAAAAATCATTCTTGCAGTGTACAACCAGCAATTTTCAAAGCGGACTTTCTCAATTTCTAGGATGACAAGAACATGAAATTCGTTGTGTTATACATATAATCAAACGAATTTTCATGTTCTGGACATTTTTTCAGATAATTTTTTGAAGTTTTGAATTAATCTCCAATCTTAGTGGTGGGAAAATACGAAAATTAAAAAATTTTAGTTGAAGAAATATCTGGAATATGAAATTTCATTGAATTCTCAGAATAACGCAATTAGTTTCATGTTCTAAATCTTTCAAGAAGTTGAGTAAATCGTATTTGCAAGTAGCTGTTTTTGCACTGAAACGCAGTTTTTGAAATTGGCATACCTTGGCTGAAACTGGCGAGCGGCGTTCTAAAATTTTCACAAGTGATATGCTATTCTAACCCTATTTTGAAAATTTCATAAAATCTGTATTCAAAAGGTATTGGAGTTGTTTCGTGAGAAGAATATCGTTTAAAAACCTATTCAATTCATTTTACAGTGAACCACCACCGACTGTTTCAAAGGAAGGGAAGACATTACCTAATCCTTCGGAAACCAAAGAAGAGAAAGCAGCCGCTGTTGCAGAGCAGATCGAACATAACCTGGAAGAGCAAGAAGAAACAAAATTGTAAATTCATTCCTATTCAGATTTTTCGACTTCACTAATTTTCAGAAAAGAAACCGATTCAAAACTGGCAGATATGATTGGAGTTACTAATTTTCACACTTCTAAAGATGTGTCTCCGTCCCGACCGGATTCTGGGGAAGGACCATCCAAAGAACCCGTAGCACCATGGGTTCTAGTTGAGGATAGGCCGATTGCAGACACCCTGGAAAAATCTCTGGAAGCAGCGTTGCTGGTCGAGATGGCAAAGCGTGGAATTGAGTTGCCACTGTCCCCTAAATCAGATACCCCGCTCGTCAAAGACTTGGAGAAAGTTGTGATAGATCCAGCATCTCAAGTAATCAAGCCAGCTGCTCCTGTCGATCCAGCAGAAGATTCTGATATCATCCCAGTGCCTCCGAAAAAGCCAGAGACTCCTAAAAAACCAGAAAGCCGAAAATCGTCTGCGAAACCCATGAGTGCGTCATCACGTCGGTCGAAAATCCCGAGCACGTCGCATTCGCGTGTGGGCAGTGCGAAGCAGATTGGTGAACAGGATAATGAGGAGCCGGAAGTGTTTGTTCCACTAGGAGCCAAAACAATTCTCCAAGACAAGAAGCGATTATTACGACGAAGTGGTGGGGCTGGTGGCAGTGAATTAATTCCATCGACAGATGAGAGTGATCCTGAAATCGCATTCTTCAAGCGTCTGGAGAAAATGAAGCAAGACCCGATGCGTTATCCGGTGCATCCCTATCGAAAATATGTGCGAAGGAGGAGACCAGAAAGAACACTGTCTAGTATATCGGAAAAAAGCGCTGAAATCGCCGCAGAGGCTGCACTAGAATATCCACAGGATACTTCAATATCGTGTCCACCAACAACAAGGTAATAAAACCTTACAACATTTCAGATACAAAAATTAAATTTTCAGAGCATTCCTCGAAGCACCACCACCTCCCCGTCCACGATACAACTTCAGACGTAAAGTTATCGAAGCAGCCGACGAGACATCTGATGTGGACCTTCCGAGACTTTCACCTGCACGACATCCACATCCAGTGGTTAGCTCACCAGAGATTCCAGATGTAACGTTGCAGAGGTCCATGGAAAATTTGCATAAAACAGAGATGAAAAATACGAAACCCCCATTCCATCCACAAACACCAACAAAGAAAAGCGCATTGCTGAAGAAAAAGCCTAGCAAGGTATCATTACTTTGGAACCAATAGTTTTTAGCTGCTCATTTTTCAGAGTGGCTCCGCCGCTCCCTCTGCATCCAGCATTCACAGCAGCCGACATAGTAGCAAATTTGCCTCGAAGGCTACAACTCCTCGTGGTGATGAAACGCCTTCTTCACTGACTTCTAGAAGTACAAGGCATTCTGTAATCAGCCGGAAAATTGCAATCAGAAGACAAGAGCTGAAAGCTGTCACCGGATCAGCTCGTGATTTGTCATGTTCGAGAATCAACAGTCGAGTCACACCTACACATGCTTTGCGAGGTGTGTATAATGTTTTTGTCAAAATGTTTTTGAAACAAAATTTTGGAGCTTTCCAAAGCATTCATTCATAACATTTTAATGAGCTCTAGAAACTTTTGATCTCAGTGAATTTTTTCACTACAAATAATTTCAGCTGCAAAATCTGTTGGGGACCTGTCCAAACCATTGAAACCCAATTGGGACATCAGCCCGTACCGAGACACTCCTGGACCCTCAACCTTCTTGCCTCCAATCACACCATCCCGCGGCGGAGCAAGAACCACCTTGACCTCCCCACAACCCAGACATCGCCGAAGTGACAGTCACTTCTCCAACACCTCGCTCCCACTAATATCTCATTCGCCCACTTCTTTCTGGAGTTCTCCTTATTTTAATCCCTCGGAAGATACCAAAAAACCGCCGAAAGAAGATTTATGGTGGAATCCAAATAAGCGCATGTGACCCCCATTATCATTCCATATTCTTTCACTTTCCCCATCCATATTGTCACAAAAATGTCTTTCTAATATTGAAAAAGTGCTTTCATGAATTATTCAAACCTACTGAATTCCTCCCCGTCATTGTCTCATCTTACCCCTTTTCTTTAAAAGCCCAGTGAAAGATTTCAGTCACAAAACGCGTGTAATGAACATACTTGTTAAGTTCAACCCCTCTTCTACCCGTCATACAAACGTCCTTCATTCGATTTTTTTTTTCATTTTGTACCCACTGCGATCTCTAATAAACAATGAAATTCTAAAAAGTGTTTTTAAAAATTTTCAGGATTTTTGACCTCCATGACGATATAGTTTGGGCCCTAACGTTTGGTGTGGTGATCAATGTCCGTGGTGAGGGTTGTTTTTCGAAGAAGCTTTCTTGAATTCGATGGGAAATGAAAATCTAGAAACTTAATGAAAATCCTCTTTCAGATGAAATTTTTGTTTGTGTGCCACGCAAGCCGAGAAATCGTTTATGATACCTTTCTTAGATGGTTGTGCGTGGTGTGCTCACGAATGTCAAAAAGTTCGGTATTTTCAATAATAATTCGTTCGATTTGTTGGCAGCTGTTTTTTCAAGGTTACTCAGAAACACTTATCAAGTACAGCTGTATGTCTTGTCAGAAAAAAAAAACGAATAGAATTTCGAAATTTCGCACCACTTTTAGAAAAATCAGAAGTACAATTTAACTACAAGTACTGTTTCCGCCAAAAAGAGATCATCTTTACCTGGCTTAAACAAATGTCGGAAAATAAAATTCTCACCGTACCGCCAATTTTGAGTTTTCAATCTCCATGTTTGTCAGATAAGACTGAAATATTTCATTGTTATCTAACAAAGTTTACTATATTTTTTAGACATTCGAAGTTGACCACTTTCTACTCAAAAAAGGCGAAATTTTACACATTTCCAACCGGTACCCTAACCTAGAACGAATATGATACAAATCTCAAATTTGGAGAACTAGCTGAAACGATTCCTATAAAATTCTGACCAAACAATAAAAATGAATTCCAGTTCTCATGAGACTTCTGGCTTTGTTTCGAGCCATGATTCCAATTATTGACTTGATTTTTTTAATCGATAATGTTTCCTTTAAAAACTCTTAGTTGAATTCAACAGATTTATTGTGTTAGAAGGAGAGAAAAGGAATGACCAAGACAGCAAGAAGGGTATACGGCGACAAGTGGAAAAAAGTTTATCAGGGGGGAACTGAACATTAAGAACGACTGTCATGTGATGGTACGCGATACAATGAATTTATGAATGTTGTTGTTGTTGTGTGTGTGGCTCTTGAACTGCTGACATAGTAGTGCTGCAAATTCATCATCGTCCTCCCTCGAAAGAATAAAAATGTGGGCTCACGTTGAAATAAAGGATAGGGTTTGATCTCACAGTGTTGGTGTTAGTAGGTGGTGGTGAATTCTGATAATAAAAAGTCTCAGGCTCATTGCGGCAACTCTGAAAGATAACTGAATGAATTAAAAGCTCTAACTAGATTCAACGTACCGTTCTTGGCGTTCACAAGACGGTCTCGAAGCCAGGACATGCTGACGCAGTCTGAGTTGGCGATCAACGCCTCGTCTTCGATGTTACGGATGAGGAGCTCCATCATCTGGATTTCGCGAGCCTTCTGAAATAGGAGAGTTAGCTACTCGTATGCTATTCAATCAAACTCACAGCGTTGTCGAGAATTGGCTGAGATTGGTCGACGACCATCGGGTGACCACCGGACCGTTTCAGCATGATTCCGCGGCACGCAGGTGCGAACGAGAACTTTCTAGAATCACGGAGCAACTTAAAAATAATTAATCTAAGATTCAGAAACTAACCTGCAATCCAATGAGTAGTACAGTGGCACTAAGGCCAAAAGGACGAGAAGGAGAGGAGTGAAGCGCGCCATTCTTGTTGAAGAGAGCGTGATGAAGAGTGAGATCTCTCGGCTCGAACCGGCCCTTTTATCTACTGACTTTTTCCTCTTGGCTCCGCCCCATTTTTTTAGGGGCACACACGTATAAAGCTCCGCCCACAACTGCTTCTCTGTGAGATGTCGAGATTCCGAGAGGGGAAGAGAAATAAATCTAGTGGAGTGCATTGAAGTGATATTGTTTTTGAGAATTGAAAGTGATGTAGATAATTCTAGACAGTTGTTCTTGATTTGCGTGTGACGTGGAGGAAATGCTCAAACATAGAAAATGTGTACTATTGTATGAGCTTGTTTCATGAACAATTGATAATAAAGTTTTGTCAATACGATGTGTCACTCGGATCAGATCAACAGAACACACGTCAAACCAAGCGGTTCGAATTCCAACCTATTGTTCACGACGCTCTGGATTTGATTAATCTATTAGGTTGGCGGGAAAGTCTTTGTCACTTTTTCAATAGTTTATTTCTCAAAGAAAAAATAACCGAATAATTAATTATATTGTCCATCATTATCAACAACATGTCTCCAACGTTCCCTCAATTTATGGATTCCATTGCGGTAGAATCCAGCCGGGCGTGAGGCAAAGTATTGTTTGAGTGCCGCTTCGACCGCTCCACGGGAATTGAAGCTTCTTCCTTCGAAGGCACGTGTCATATCGCCAAATAACCAATAGTCGGAAGGAGCAAGATCAGGAGAATACGGGGGGTGAGGGAGAACATTCCATCCATATCCCATCAGCTCCTGCTTCACTTGTTTCGAAACATGTGGGCGAGCGTTATCATGTTGATAGTACACTTTCTTGTCTTTCAGGGCCGAACGGTCGACTGCTTTCTTGAGGTTTCGTAGTTGAGTAGTGTAGAGGTCTCCAGTTATTGTTTTGCCCTCGGGCAGAAGTTCCCAGTAGATGGGGCCGTCCACTCCCCACCACACAGAGAGCATAACTTTTTTCGGATGAAGGTCGGGTTTTGGGACATCCTGTGGGCTCTCTCCTTCTCCAACCCACTGGGATTTCCTGTGGTGATTATCGTAGAAGACCCACTTCTCATCTCCGGTTATTAGCCGGTCCAGCCATCGATCGCCCGCGTGGAGAGTGAGAAGAGTAATCGAATCGTCGACTCGGCGGTCAAGGTTGGCTTGAGTCAGGTGATGAGGTATGAATCGACCAAAAAGTTTTCTCTTCCAAGAGACTTCAAACCTTCAAGGACTGTGCTATGGTGAACTCCGAATGTGACAGCTAGTTCACGGCTAGATTGAAATGGATCCGATTGCAATGCGTGCTTCAGCTTGTCCAAATCCAACTCACGGGGTCTCCCAGAGCGATCCTTTTCATCGAGCGAGAAGTCATCTTTTTCGAAACGATGGAACCAATTGCGAATAGTATTGTAGTGAGGGGCATGTGTGTTGTACACATTCTTCAAGAAAGTTTCCGAATCCTTCATCGTGGTGTGAGATAGGAAGAGGTAAATCAAAACATGTCTGATGTGAATAGCAGTGGGAACAAACATATCGTTTCAATTACAGATGAGGAGCAGGGAAGGAAATGGGGACTTGTTTATATGGAAGGTTCTTATCACCTTGTTATTCACTAGAGTCGATATCATACACAGCCTCCATATACGAGAACAGTGATTAAACAAACAGAGTGACAAAGACTTTCCCGCCAACCTAATAACTCCCGAGTAGCTTTGTAAGATCCTTCTTCGAAATGTTTTGTTTACTCGTAGATCATACTACGGATTGATTCATTATTCAGAAGTGAAGTGAAAAGGAAAACAAATCCCAAGAACAGTTGCCCTTCTCACAACACACATTTTCTTTGTACATATAAAACATACATATTCTTGTGAATTCAAACGAGCAAACTTTTCACATTAATTAAAGCGAATGATGGTGAAAAAGTCTTTCATCTTCTTTTGCTCTTATGGGATAATACTTATTGTGCCTGAGGTCAACTATTGTGGATTTTGCATAGAGTTTTGCAAAATGCTGCATTTTTCATCACGTTTCTTTCAAAAATCCTCATAAACTTCCGGGAATGTTCTTTCCATACATCGGTCAAAAGTCTTGGTACATGTGTATTGAGATTAGGGCACTATAAGTGAGAATAAACCTCCGAGCGTAATAACTCAATTACAGAAGCTTCTAGAAAAAGCGTCTGGATTGCCTCAGGCTAGATGTCTACTTATGAGACACACTTTGACGCATTTCTTGTAACTTGACTTTTCTAGAATCATTTATTTTTTATATACACATATTATATGGGGAGTTGAGAATAAGAAGTTATTGGCAGCAATGTGCAGTCCATTTTCCTTGGATACAAGTTGAACCAGCTGGACAGAATCTGAAAATATGAATAATATGACGAAAGACTTCCCCGAAAAAACTTAGGATGTTAATTACCATTTTTGAAAAACAGGCCCTGGCTGGCGCTTGCGGACTTATCAATAGTTTTTTTTTTCAGAATTCATATATGTGAACCAACTGAAATAGAACTCAAAAAGTACTACAATATAAAGCTACTTTGAAAATGGTATTTTGTTTATGAACGATGTTACAAACCAGAAACCTTTTGAATTACGTGGTCACAGTTTTAAGAATTGTAAATTCGTTAATAGACGAGATACAGTGTTTCAAACAAAGTCATTTTGTAGTACTAGTCGAGTTCTATCCTATCTAATGCAGTTAATGCGAAATTATCGGCTCCAGAAAAAAAACTATATATAAAACTTTTTGGGCCTGTTTTCAATTGTGTTAATTACTAACTTATGTGCACAGTTCCTGCCTATCAACGGAGTCATTCCAAACCATTGCTTGAATTGGACTACACTTCCCTTGGAGCACGTTGGCGAGTGCTCTTTGTTCCATTCATCTGAAAAGTGGCGATGTGGAAAATACATTCTGATGAGTACTAGACACTATCTATGCGAAGCGTGAAATTTTTTGAAAAAAAAGAGTTTTTAGACTCGAGAAAACTGGTGATGTACTACTCGTGCTGACAACGCATCAACTATACATATTGCACATCATGGAATTTAGCTCTCGCTTCGATTCACTTTACCGAGAAAGATTGGGCAAATAGCAAAATTACGAAATCAGGGTAAAGAGCACTGTTACTTCCGGGTCCACATACCTTGTGTAGCCTTATTGCAGCAGAATCCGATATTCCCTCCCATCACACAATCCGTCCCTTTTTTACATCCACTGTCACTTGGAGAAAAGCATATACCATCAGCGTCAGTGTTTCCACCGCACGAAAATTGGTCGGCTGAAAATTTTATTTTTCTAATTTTAGACTCTAGAGTTCTAGACTCTGGAAAAAGCGAAATTCAATTATTCTCACCTGGTTTACAAGATTCCAGGCAAATGTCGCTGGACTCAAAAGAGTTTGATCCTTCATCGCAACCAAGGAATTGATATGGGTAGCAAAATGAGAGTTTGGCGTCGAAGAACCACTGAGAAAAAATAGAAAAAAATGTTTGGGTATGGCGAATATGTTATGGTACCTTAGTAGATGTTTTGTTTTGAGGACAAGCCTTGCCAAATGTCAACTCTGATATGCATCCATATTGGGCAAACGTTGGGACAACAGAAGAAAAAATCAATACAGCCGCAGACCACACAAACATCTTTCACTGGGGCACGTAGGGTACTGATGGGTTCTTTTCGTCCATTAAATACCTGTTTTCTAGACGCCGGAATGGTCAACATGATGTTTAAAGTGACCCCCAATCATTGATCTTTTCGGGTATTTCTTTGTCCCCCAACAAATCATTGAAACTAATTAAATTTTGCGGAAACCTTGAGACCTATTTCAAAACTTTTCTTAATGACTCAGAAAGCACAAAAAAGTTTTATTGGAATTCGAGAACAGAGACAAGAATAGGAATCCAATTTCCGGCGGTACAGACACAATTAAGCACTCTTATTATTGTTATCATGATTATTATTATTGTAGTGAGAATCAGTGGACAATGGGTACGGGAAACGCGTGGGCCATCCTTGGAAAAACGATTGAAGATTAGGCACTGGTTGTGTGGGTGCTATGTATTGCAGTGGGGATGGAGAGCGGTCCTCGGACTTTATGATTTGACTTTTTCGGAGAGGAGAGTTGCACCTGAAAGTTTCAGTAATTTTAGATTCGAAAAGGCTGACAATTACAGTATCGGTCTCACAGAAACACAAAAAAATTTTCAGTGTTCAGCCATTTTAGTCATTTTCAGTGAGTCTGGAGCTCGACATTCAAGTTTCCAATAATTAAAATTTTTGGAGGATGTCGAACTAAATTTAAGATATTGCATTCACAGAATTTGTTTTTTTTTGTCAATTTCTGTACAAAAACGAGCAAAAAAGTATTTTTTAGTAATCGACAAACAGCTGAAAAACTAGGAGGTCTCGAAAATTCTGCGAATGAAAAGTTTTCAATCTAGGTCTGTTTTAAACTCTTCAATTAGTTCCAAATCATCCGAAACTTGATGGCCGAGTTACAGATTCTTGAAAATGACCAAAATAACAAAAAATTCGACTGAAAAATACGTTTTTCCTGTATGATTTACCTTCTCTTCTTAGTTCTCCGATTTTGAAACCATGTCTTCACTTGACACTCCGTCAGATCAATCACTTGAGCGAGTTCACCTCTTCGATCTTTGCAGATGTATTCATTCTTTGCAAATTCCAATTCCAAAAGTGTGACCTTAAACAGAACAAATTGACATGAATAATTGAAAATGCCAAGAGCCATTTTTTCACCTGCTCGGATGTGAAAGTTGTCCTTTTGGTCGGTCGGTTGTTTCGTTTTGTTGGTGGTTTGATGTTTGGGACCAGTTCAGTAATCTAAAATAAGAGAATATTACGATTTTAAATTCATGTTAGACTTACGGAGTTGATATTATTGTTAGGCCAAGAATGAAAGAAGTCGTAGGAAAACTTATTGTGAGGCAAATTCTAAAAATTAATATATAAACCAAGGAATCTTACCAAGGGAACTCACCGATGCCGTGGCCGAATTCGACGCCATGGGTAAACCAATAGGATACAAAATGACAGCTCCCGGATAAGAATGGGTGTTTAATTTGATGCCAAAACGACTTTATGTCTTCTTATTGGGGGAATACAAGGAAAAGAGCTGAGCAATTAGGCGTCAATGTCGTTTCGCATGTAAAAACACGGGTCCGATTAATTTGCGTAAGCCACAATGCGCCCTGGGGGTCATAAAGCCAACACCACGGATGACTTTAATTTGTCATCACACATATTTCAATGAAAGGAACTCGAGGAATAGGAAGAGACAATTGCTTTGATGTTCTTGTGATTCGTGAATCATCCTTTGTGAAATTGTTTTAGGTACAAAGACTCTGGAAGAGAAGAGACAACAAACACGTCGTGTTGATGAGCTTTTTTTGTTTGATGAAGCCATTTCTCATTAGATAGCTTCGAAGATTGCCGTCCAGTTCAAGGCTATTAATTGAAAAAAAAACTGACAAGAATATAACTTTATTGGAAAGGGAATCAATATTTATATGACTTTGATGAGATCAAGTGCCATGATTAGAAGTTAAAAAGAATAGTAATGATAAAAGGTAAATCATAAAAAATTAGGTAAAGCGTGAAGGGTGTTTTCAGGCAATGACATAGATTGTGTTAATATTGGGGTATTCTGTTCACATGATGGAGCAGTTATTGCGAACAGAGTCGATGAGCGACATCTTCTGGTTCTTAATGACTGGCGGCGCTGACTCGGTTTCCCACCATGGACGTGGACGTTCTCCTTTGACTTTGAGCTCGATGTCGTCCTCATCGTTGTCGGAGTCGTCGTCGTCGCTCATCATGTTGAATGGCTCCAAGGTGCGCTGAAACAGTGGTATGATAAATGTAAAAGCGAAAATTGGTTACATGATTTACAAAAACCATCATTAGACCAGTTCAAAAATGTCGGCGGATCTGTCAAAGAGAAACACCGGTGGCAGTAGCCAAAAGACTTACAACTACAACTACCTTAGCCTAAATTTGGGCTTTTTATGACAAGTGGGGGGCCATGAGAAAAGGTTTTTTCACTTGGGCCCCAATTTTGACTTAGGCCTCCCTTGTCATAAAGAGCCAAATTTTGTCCGTACTTACGTCCTCAGTTTCATTGCTTTTTGTTGAGTTTTTTGCTATTTTTCGCCAAACAATTCGGAAAAAAGTTGACTGGAAACGCACAACAATTGAGATAAGTAATCCGGAAAACCAAATATTTTCAATTGTCTTTGTGAGACTATTAGCCACGAACACCGTTTCTCATCCACAGCTCCAATTATTATTTTTCACCAGAATGACGATTTCTTGAAAATTTTCAAAAACACGAAATTTTTAGAGTGATATTCGCATAAGTTTGTTAAGCATACCTGCTGATAGCTCAATTTGCGAATATCGTCGACTGCGAGTTGACGACGTTGTTGCTTGGGTGGTGCGGAAGCAACCTGACGGCGGACACCTCCTGGACTGCGACGACGGCGATCCTCCTCATCGTAACTGCTAACGCGACGAATCTTCTTGTTCTCTCGCACAAACACTTCATCTTCAGTCCAATCAAACTCTGCAGTCCAGTTCTCGTCAATCGAGCTTGGCAATGGACGGTTGTGCATGGAAGCAATTGGGTGCAATACAGTAGTTGGCTGTGTAAGAGTGACATCACTCATTTCTAGCTTCTCGATAACGTCCGTCCCTTCGTCGACATTATTGGTAGGTTCGTCGATCTCATAGGAGTACACTTCTGTAAATATTCAAACGTCACTCTAGCTGATATGATGATAACTTACGGCGAAAGCGTTTTGGTGGAGACGCCGACACAACCCATCCAATGCCTCCTATATCGCTACCCTGTGCGTCTTCAAAGACTTCTGAAATTGGAAATTAGTTAGAAACCTGGTTCTTTTCAATTATACAAACTCACGGCGCTTGCGGTTGGATGCAATAGTAGAAGTAGTCCACTGCCCACGAAGGAAGTCATTCTCACCGAGTTTCGGAAGTGGCTTCTTTCTCGAGAGGACACGATTCAAGTGTGGCATCACATCGTTGGATAGTGTGTTGCGAAGGCGATCGCGATTTTTCTGCCAGAATCCTCTATCAAAAACGATTGCCTTTTGCTTGAAACTCTCTTTGCGCAACGTATCACGGAGCTTCTTGGCGTTATCAATAGCGTCGCAAATGTCATTGTACCACTCATCGACACTTCCCAGTGAGTAGGCAGTGAAATCCACGCCGACGTCTCCACAACGGATCTGAAAAAAAGAGAAATGTTAGTTTTCAGCTGTGATGGTGAAATAACTTACGAAAATGCTGCCACCAATGTCATCAAGTTGAACAATGCAGTGACGGAGTGAGAGAATCGCTGATGGGTCGTACTTGCAAAGTGGCATCACACTGAGTTTCTTGGTTCCGTAGAGAATGATGTCGTTGAACAAAAAGACCGCGGTCTCCTGATAGTTGGCAGTTCCGTTGAGTTCTCTCTGTCAGATAATAGGTTATCTCGGTCCGCACGCCAAAAATTATACTTACTTTGTACAACATTCCCTCTTTCAACAACACACGTCCTGGCTCGAGAACATGTCCATCCAATCCAAAGTTGAGTTGGATCTCGAAAAGACGCTCACCATTCTCATAAGCCAGCATGCACGATTGAATTTGTTCCGTAAGTCCTTGCATTCCAGACAACGCTTCTGAAATTACCAATATTAGACATCAATTCTAAGTTTACAGAGAACTTACTATACAAATTTCTCATGTCATCCATATCGGTACTGTAATTCATCAAGTTCTGAATAAGCATAATGTAGCGAGGGATGCGTTGGATTGGCATGATGAGGAAAGCCTGGAGTCGGCGTCCTTCGACACTTGGTTCGGCTTCTATAGAGGCGATGGCTTTGCGGAAGTCACTGCGAGACATCAATTTCTGAAAATTAAGACTTTATTGGAGAATCGTTAGTGTTATTTGGTGGTAGACTTCCTTGAGTCGTCAGGGAATGAAAAACAACCCAGCATTCCGAATTCGACAATTTTAGCTTTTGCTCAGCTTATTACCATATTGACAATGAAACTTTTAATAATTTTATTAGCTCGGGCCGGCCAAAGCTAACAAATTGGATCAAATTATGACCTAGAAAACCTAATTTTTCAATTTTAGATGTTTTCTTCAAAGAACCGACATTTCAGCTTCAAAATGAGAACCAAATTTTTCCTTTTTTCCCTTCCTGGTACTTGGATCAACGGACCCTCCTTTTTATACACATAAAAGGTACCTATGAAAAAATCGATATCTCGGGCGCATGAGGGGAAAGGACCACTGTCGAGTCTTCTTCTGTCTCATCTCCCTAGTTTTAGCTTTTTGAAAGCTTTTTTACCCCATTCTCACAAAATACTTAAGTACTCACAGCGTGGACTTTCAGCGCATTTGGATAGTGTGATGCGTAGCTGGTGTACAACTTGAGAAAAGGCATAAATTTCGAGAAGACCTCGGCAATTGGCTTGGTGCGAAGGTGTTCCAAAAGGATTTGGTGTGTCTTGCCGATGGCCGATATCTCTCCGAACATGGCGCGAAAGCATTTTCGAGATTTGGGACACATCACGTCGAGTTGGCTGATGAAAATCTGAAATTTTCGCATTAATCCCTGATTTTTTTTTCCATAAAAAATGGCCACTAACCTCATCAACAATGGTCAACGACGTGACATAGGCACGCTCGGTGTCGTAAATCTCTTGAAGGATGTTGATTTTCTCTTGCGGCTCATTTGCATACATCCTCGCCATGTTGAATTTCGCGAAACTGTCCAATTTCAATTGGAGATAGTCGGTTTCCACGATTGGAAATGGTTTGGGCAGCGTGCTCGCATGCATCACCTGAAAAAAAAAACGAAGAAAATAATGGGAGAGAAAGAGGAAGAGAAAAAACTACTGCCTGAGCAGTGTCAGTAAACAGAAAAGAAAAAAACGCGAACGCCGAGGGGCAGCAAGAGAAATGAGGTGTATTGAGGAACGCACACAAAAACAACACTGTCGTCCGGGGGGGAGTGGAGGCCCCGTTCTCTTATTCAAATTGGCGGAGTGTCAACGGAGCGCGATTGCTACCGTTTGGGAGGGCCTCGCGCGTCCTTACTGTCTGTGCGCACACAAGAGGTAAACCGTGTAATGGGAGGCCGGAAAAAACAGGAGGCACGCAAGGACATTTTGCGTAAGACGGGGTTGATGATCGAATGTCATGTAAGAAGAACGAAGATTGTGTACAGAAAGGGAAGGCAATGACACACATTATCGCCATCGGGATGAGATGAAGAAGATGGGGGAGGAAAAGATATGCATAGTATTAAAGGAACGACAGAAAATGAAGAATTGGAGAGTCTTGAAAATATATGTCAGCTGATACGGAACAAAAAAAGAGCACATGTCTTAAATTTCCAACAGAAAGCACTAACTGTCACATGTTTATCAGCGTGTTAAAAATTATCAGTGTTGTATAGTAGGTTACAAACTGAAGAACAAAGAACAGTGAAAAGAAAACAAAGGATTTGATTAAATGGGAATTTTTTTTAGTGTGAGAAGAGCAGGAATTGTAGAAAAAAATAAATAAAGATTGAGTTGGAGAAATAGAGAATGCAAGAAAAAATAAGCTCTTCTGATCCTTCTCAAACAAATTTTTTTATATGTATGTCCGATATGAATACAAATCATTCTAAAAGAAATTTTATGAATGTAAAGCTACAATCGTCTCACATGAGATGTGATTCAAGTTCCGAGACTGAAAAAAATGACTAGAACAAACACAACTAAAAAAACACCTGGATTAATGGCGCGGGATTTTGTTAATTCCAATAAAATTGTTTTTATGTGTAAATGTCATGTAAAAGAAAGTTGGCAGGTTTTAAAAGTGTTAGAAGAGGAATATGCGATGCGGAGGAGGAGGGAAGGGAACAAATTATTCAAATGAAGGACGCATAGCTTGCATAGTCGTAAGAGATTGCCAACTGGTACTAGTAGATTAATGAGAAGATTTGTATAATTGGAAAAACACTGGGAACAATGTGGCAACAGGAAAACGGAAAAAATTCCGAGAACCGGGAATTTCAAATTGAATAGCTCTTAAAAATATTGATTTAATGAAGACGAACCCGTAAATAAGCCATAATCAGATTCTTATTTCACAGAGAACCGCTTTTGTTTACCATGAACCGCAAAAATGTCAGCTTCCATTCGGAAAATTTCAAGCCAAAATAATCTTAGATCGCTGAAAATATCACATATGTTCTGAACATGTGAACGATAATTGTTGTTGTAAAATGACAGTGCTGTTCAGAAAACCAGTCAAAAGTGCACTCGAAATTGTCGGTTTTGGTTTGACCCGAGTAAAATAAACGGAAAGTTCAACAAATTGAACATCTGAAAATCGACAGCATATACAGAAAATGAAAACCAGACTATGGGAAGTTCTAAAGGCTATTGTTCAAAACACGTGAAGAATCCAGTTATAATTTTTTGAGCGAATGGCTTATATCGATATCGGTTGAATTTGAACCAAAACAACTATATTTGTTTGAACTAGATGTTCTAGACACACGTTTTTGAACACTCCTCAAGCCTAATTTACAGCGAATAATTCAATGGAAGCCCACCAGGTATTGGACTTCGAGCTCAATTATCTCAATTTCAAGGAGGAATGACAAAAATCTGTCAACTGATAAATTGTTCATCATTATATAGCCAATATGTTGTTAGTTGACCGATTTTTCATGTATTTTACAGGAACGTAGATAATTGAGCTCAACTTCCCCGTATATGGTGGGTTTCTATTAAAGCATTTACGGTTTTATCGAATGCGGTGTCCATTAGGGCTCGGCGTGAAGTATTTTTCATAAAAAAAGCCGAAATTTTCGGACTCAAAATCCGTTAAAAAATATTGCAAAAAGACTGTTTTTGGTAAGCATGACCTATTTTTTCAAGCGCGATATTTCAAGTATATAACTTTGCGAACTTTCCATTCAATAATTCAAAAGGTATAGATTTTCACACTTTTATCAACAAAAATCTCAATGTCTCGAAATGTGTCGGTGAAATACAATGAGAGTCCGAATGCTGTTCAAAAGGGAAAACGTATTTTAGGTCATTATGCGTGTCAATTTATTTTTTGCCGATTTTTTCGAACATTTTCCGAAATATCAACAAATTTGTGCTAAAATTGACGATAAAAAACAATTAAATGTGAAATACAAAGTAAGAAGTGAAAAAAGTGTGAAAATAAATACTTTTTTATTTTTTCATTGAAATTTAACAAAGATACATAGTTAAAATAGCGCCAAACTCGGAAAAAATCGGATTTGCTTTTCAAATTCAGTCGTTTTGCAAATTTTACAGTTTTTACGGAGTTTAGAGATTCAATGTGAACTTTTTTTATTAATTCATTTTCAATCAAATCAGTACTTGAAAATGAGAAGTGAATCAGTTTATCGCCCAGTCAAACTTTATATTTTCAGAATGAAATACGTAGATATAAATTTCATGACTTTGACACTCATTACTTTTTTCGTTTCACACACGTAATCTACAGATTTTCAAACAGTATTGTCTTGTAGTTTTTTTTTCATGTTTCCATTATACAGTGCAGTCAATATCTTTAGGACTACCCTCGATTTTGGCGGTTCCAGGAGAACGGGAAGAGATATCAAAATTCTGTGAACTTCATTCTATTCAGGATAGAAAGAAACCCTGGGGGAAAAATTTTCATGATTCTACCACTTTCCGTATAAGTACCACCAAAAAGGCCTATTTCTGGCCGGTCAATATCATTTGGACCCCCTGAAAATTTCGAAATTTTGATCATTTTTTGTCGAATTTTCGCTTTTAAACTGGAAATAATTTTCAGTTTTGTGCTTTACACATTTATATAAGTATCTCGAGTACATTTTTATAAGAATCTCGAAGAATTTTCATAATTTGTCGACTTTCCAAATCATCTTTTTTTTCCATTTTTTCCTAATTTTTAGGTATTTTTGTAAAAGTGGCCCAATTTGTCAAAAAATTCAAACTATTCAAAAAGAACGGTCATGGAACATAGAGAATATGATGTTGAGAATCTAATTAAGGTATTGGGTGCGCAGTTAGAGCCTTGATTGTGTACAGACACTGCGATGTTCCAAATATTGAGTCACTTTTCTAAAATTACGAAAAAAAATGGGAAAAATGATGATTTGGAAAGTCGACAAATTATGAAAATTCTTTGAGATACTTGTAAAACTGTACCTAAAAAAAATTTGTTCCCTAGGGTTCCTTTTTATCACGAATCGAATGGCGTTTACAGAATTTTGATATCTCTTCCCGTTCTCCTGGAACCGCCAAAATCGAGAAGTGTCCTACAGTTATTGACCGCACTGTATCTAATTCAGTTGGCTGAAAAATGAAACTTAAAGAAGTTTTGAGCTGATTCATTGGCCCATTTCGCCTTTTTTGAGTGCTCTATTTTTCGGACCTCGAGAATCATTTTACACTCATTTTCATTCAGTAGGTATTTTTTTAGATTGTTCCATATTTTATTCATATCAGAAGACGACTCATTAGCAAAACTATTTCTCTCTAATTTGGGAAAAAATTTTCGTGTCATTCTAAATCCCTCAATTACGTATGCGAATTGCGTAGTTCATTAGATTTTTTTATGTCGAAATCTCTTATTTTCAGAAATTTTGGATGACTTTTTCTTGTAAGTACCGCCCCTTTGGGATAATGTGTCAACGCACAAGTGCTATCGCTTCGCTTATCGCTTTTAGTCAAACGTTATACAGTGCTCCACAAAATGATGCTTCCACCCTTCGCTTGCACTGAAACACATATTTAGGTCAATGTTCGTGAAAAGGTGTCAACATGAAAAATAAAGGTCTCCCTTCAAAACCTACGTTCAAAAAGTTTGGAGCCATTAGCGTGACCCGGAAACGAGAAACCGGAAAAATTCCGAAAATTACGTTTCGGCCGATCCACAAAATGATGCTTCCACTCTGAAAAAGTGAAATTTTGGAGGTTTTTGGGCTCTGCGGCTACCTTTTGAAGGTCCGAATTTTAAGAATTTTGAGATTCTCACCTCCGTACACTAAGATCCTAATGCAGGTTTACTAAATACCGTATTCCGGATGTCGGATTTCCGTAATTCCGGATTCCGGAATCCAAATTTCCAAAATTCCGGATCACGGTTTTTAGATTCTGGATTATGTGTACTGGATTGTGTGTACTGAATTTTGGAATATGCACTCCGAATTCTGTATTCCGGAATCCGGATTTCCGATACCGGTTTTCCGGATCAGTTTTTTGAATGAATTCAAATGTCACGAGAATATGGTATTCAAGTTTTCTTGACGAGCAAAAATTTCAGGAAGTTTCCAGGTGGTTACGAGAGTTTCTGACATTCTTAGGGATTCTGAATCACCTTGAAATTTTGATAGATTCTCCAGGATTATGAGAGACTGCCCCGGATTCCGCTCTGACTACCACGACCATCGAAAAGATCATCGTTTATGAAGACGAATCACCGATTTTTGTTTTTTCTCATGAAAGTCAAAATTCTGCGACGAAGAGTCGTCTGTCGAATCCGTTCATCTTCTTGGAAACGAAATTCAGTTTGATCGGACCTTCCGATAAATTTGCCGTTCATATCATCACGTCATCTCCTTTGAAATTTCTTCTGGACAGTTTTGGTAGTCAAATCGGAATCCGGGACAGTCTCTCAGAATCCTGGAGAATCTTTCAAAATCCCAAGTTGTTTCAGAATCCCTCAGAATGTCAGAAACTCTCATAACCTCCTGGAAACTTCCTGAAATTCTTGCTCGTCAAGAGAACCTGAATACCATATTCTCGTGACATTTGAATTCATTCAAAAAACTGATCCGGAAAACCGGTATCGGAAATCCGGATTCCGGAATACAGAATCCGGAGTGCATATTCCAAGATTCAGTACACACAATCCAGTACACATAATCCAGAATCTAAAAACCGTGATCCGGAATTTTGGCTCCGGAAATTTGGATTCCGGAATCCGGAATTACGGAAATCCGACATCCGGAATACGGTATTCAGTAAACCTGCATTAAGATCTCAGTGTACGGAGATGAGAATCTCAAAATTCTTAAAATTCAGACCTTCAAAAGGTAGCCGCAGAGCCCAAAAACCTCCAAAATCTCACTTTTTCAGAGTGGAAGCATCATTTTATGGATCGGCCAAAACGTGATGTTCGGAATTTTTCCGGTTTCTCGTTTCCGGGTCACGCTGATGGCTCCAAACTTTTTGAACTTAGGTTTTGAAGGGAGACCTTTATTTTTCATGTTGACACCTTTTCACGAACATTGACCTAAATATGTGTTTCAGTGCAAGCGAAGAGTGGAAGCATCATTTTGTGGAGCACTGTATTTTCAGAATGAAATAGATACACCTTTCATGACTTTGACTCTTTTTCCTTTTTTTGTTTCACACACGTAATCAGATTTTCAAAAAGTATCGTCTTTTAGTTTTTTTTTTTTCATATTTCTACTATTCCTAGTTCAATTGACAAAAAAAATTGATACCGAAAGAAGCTTTGAGCCGACTCATTTTTCGAAAATTTTGTCTTTTTTTTTGAATGGTCTATTTTCCGGACCTCTAGAAGCATTTTACCCTCATTTTCATTACATTTTCATTACAATATTTTATTCATATCAGAAGACGACTCATTAGCAAAACTATTTCTGTCTATTTCGGGAAAAAACTTTTTCGTGTCATTCTAAATCCCTTAATTACGTATAAGAATTGCGTAGTTCATTAGATTTTTTATGTCGAAATCTCATATTTTCCGAAATTTCGGATGACTTTTTCTTTCAGCTACCGCCCCTTTGGGATAGTGTGTCAACGCACAAGTGCGATTGTCTACCTCAATTAGTTTGACGTCTATCCAATCAGAGTGAATTTCATTTTCAAACTGCAGCAGTCACCCGATATCAGTTTTTTCTATTTTTTCCATTGCTATTCTCAATTAAACTCCTACTACCGAAAAATGTTCTCAGCTATTCAAAATTTCTTCCTGTCGGACCATGAAATACGGGCAAAGAAACGGGAAGAAGAATTTCGGAACAAAAGCTTTTCGAATTGTAAGTGAAACTTTAGCAGACGGTCTACATTTATTTGTGTTTAGAATTCAAATTGTGGACGAGATCAATTACCTGAAGATCCTCAATCTCGAGACCCAAATGCTGTACCTTGCTCCTGATTAAGAAGGGGTTGAATTTTACAATGGACATAGCTATACTCTACACATAGTGGCGAACAATATTCCTGAAACATGAGCCAAGTTTGAGTGAGTTTATCAATGAAGAAGAAAAAGTATGGGTTGCAAAAATTTATTTTCAGAGAATCTAAAATGAGCCCACTGGAGTGCAATTTTTATTTTCAAAACGCAAAAGACGGGCTCGAGTATATATCACTTATGGTTAGGGAACGCTTTAATCGTCAAAAGAAGTATATCAGGGAATTTTCGAGCAAAGACGCACCCGTTCACAAAGCCATTAACTTCTGTCATCTGAAGAATTTTGTTGGGTTTAAAATTTGCCGACATCTTGTGTCCCAAGAAGAATTGTGCTTTTTGCAGTCGGAGTATAACAATCTGCAAAAAATTGAGCTATTCGCAACGCCACCAAGCGGTATGGAAGCATTTCCAATGTTTCATCGAGAAGCAGCCATCACATACGCTATCGAAATTATACCGGAGCACCTAACAAGAATGACATGTGAGAGTCTATCCATCAAAGACACTAAAATCAGCATCTACACTATCAACGAATTTTTGAAGCGCTGGCAAACGCAAGGAGGACCAAAAAGCATTCGAAAGCTGTATGTGAACGAAGTGTATATACCCGTAATTACTCCAGTTATCAATATTGTCCGAGGTCTGAACACAGCATCATGGGACGCATCGGGAAAACCCAACATTCACAAAAGCGGCCAAGATTGCACGAAAGGATGGGCAATTAGACAAGATGGTACTGGAGGAAAACGGGCCACCGTTCTCATCGAAGATTTCGGAATTAGTAAATCGTTTTTGTTTCTCGTGTGGGATTGAAACGACTCCAAGTATGATTTTTGATATTTTCTTTTGAAAACATTTCAAAATTCCTACAATTCATCGGTTTTTGATATTTTCTTGAAAATTGTAAAAATTAATTAAGCAAATTGAGCGTATGCTAATTGGTTTCCAATTTGTTTTGAGCCCCTTTCTAATTTCAATTTGCTGTCGTCATTATTTTTACTTCAAATTCGGTTTCTTCACTCATAATTTTTTCCTTTCCCCAAAAACTATTGAAAACAAAATGCCTCTTTTTTTCAAATTTTCCAACTTTTTCCCTAACGATAAAAGAAATAAGTGATAATTCTTGAAAATTTTGCTATCAAGTTTATACATATCCCATATTCTGCTCTATTAACTTTTGATCATTTTCACTTTTTTTCGGAAACTCTAGCTTGCAAGCGTGTTTCTCATCCACACATCTCATTCCACACCGCTCCTCATTCTCATTTGTTTCCTTCTAAACCTCATTTTTTCCTGCACCTGAAATACCTTCGAAATAAATTTCCGCCTCGAAAAAATCACTGAAGTTAATACATTCATTAACAAAAAAAAAGAAACTTCTAGAACTAAATCTTTCAAAACAGTCCCGAAACACACAACATAACATCAAGAACAAAAGAGAAACAACGAAACAGGAACAGAAAACTCATCAATCCGAGGACTTTTTGGCAAGTGGCGATACCGGGTAACTCGTAGTGTTGCCATCTTCGTGATCTTCGATTACCTTGACCATTTTTGTCCAAGGATCCGGGCAGGAACCGCATTTGAACTCCTCTTCGATTCGTTCAACAGCCACTTGAATCTGAAACGCAAAATTGTTCGATCGGTTCTCACGAAATAATTCACTTACCAAATCTTCAGTAGCGCCTTTGGCCTCAAGAGCCAGAAATTGTCGATTGTCAGATCCCTCCAGCTGATCGGAAAGAGTTTGACGAATTTCGTTGATGAACTTGCGTCTTCTCCGGAGGCCATAATCGAGGACACACAACGATTCGAAGACGAATTGATCCTTGTTACCTCCTTGAGTCGCAGCAATATGAAGCTTGAGCACTTCTTTGGCGCAAGCGTATGGAGTTCCATCGAGCAAGACTTTTGCGATATTCATGAAATTCGATGGAGCGGCTCCGGTTTTCACCATTTCGTGAATGGTTTCATGGGCACATCGAATTTCATATGTCTCCTTTTCGTGCTTATCAATGAGCTTGTTCACATTCTTCCGAATTTCTACATCGGTCAGTTGGACATCATTCGCGAATCTGACCTTCTTTTGGGTTGAAGAAACTTGGGCTGGTTGGTTTTTGTTATCCATCTGAAGAAATTATAAATTTGAAAAACATTAATTGAGTTTAGAATTGATAAAGATCGATGATGTGAACAGAAAATAACAATCATACGTTGAAAATGTCTCTATCACAGAATTTTATCATAAAAAGAACTGTCAATCGAAAGAAGAAAAAAGAAATTAGCATTAAAACAGTGAAGAAACAACTATAATAATTCAAATAGGTGTTTTTCCCGGCACAAACTTATTAGCCTGCACATCTAAGTCTTTGTATTATACATGGATAAGAGAATCAGAGGTCGAGAGAGCATTCATGAAGAAGACACAATAGAGAAATAAGCGAACGGAGGGCATCAAACGGGCAACCTGATGGAAGCGACGTTCTAGGACAAAACCTATGACAACAGGTGTTTCAGGAAAGCAAAACATAAGACGAAGGGACCATAATTCTGCGAGAGACAGTGCGCAGACTATGAGACATAGACAATGGGTATCCACGAGACGAGGATATAGAATATCGTATTTCCTTGGATAGAAAACCACTCTTTTGCTTGTATGTTAAGTGGAAGTGATCAAATTGGGAAATCGGAAATCCCGCGGAATTTGAAAAGTTTTTTTTTGTAATTGGCGCTGTCATTTTGTTCTGATTACAAAATTTCGTTATAGAAATGTTTTTTTTTTGCCTTTTTTTTTTGAGAAATTAATTTAATAAATTTGCCGCGGCTCCGCTTCTTCGCTCCACATAAAATTAAGAAAAATATTTTGCGAAAAAAGACATGAAGACTCGAACGACTCAAAGGAAAGTGGACCAAAACCAGAACAGACATACCGTATTCACTTATCCAACATTTTCAGTTGGACCAGTGTATGGGAACTAAAATTGCGCTAACATCGGAAAAGAAGATTCTCTCTCCATTTGTCACATTTCACGCAATAGCTTGAATTGCGTCACCAGATGCAGTAGTTACTGTTTGGGTAAGAATTGCGTCAGACAGGGTTCGGCAGAAGAGACCATTTGGCATGGGTTCGGTAATTAGAAAAGTTTAGTAGATCAAGTGTTAGAGATACGGTAAAAAATAGATTTAAAAGCGGAAGATAGTAGTTTTTTAGGGGAGGAGGATTGTTTTTTGGGTAACAACTAGACAAAGCGCTCTTTAGAGAATCCAAATTCTTTGTTTATTAGGACAACGTTAAAGTCAAGTTTACCGCCAGGAAAAGGGTAATGAGTAGGGTTGGTGGGGATTAGAGAAGGAGGCTTACCGAGTTTCACACCTTTGGATTAGGGATTAGGACATCTACCGCGACGAATAAAATAAAAGTTGTTTTGCTGAATGGATTATGACTGAAATCAGAGTCATATCGGGTTTCAGGTTAGCACTGTTAAGGTTTAACGTGGACAAATAAGGATGGGCAGAATATATTTTCTAGATATCAAAACGTTAAATATCAGATAAATGTTTTTCTTCAATGTTCAATTTTTCAGAGAGCAAATGGATTACAAAACCAGACGTGTTATTATAAAATTGAAAATATTAAGATTGCGTGGAAATGATTCTTTTCAGAAACTTTTACAAACAATCCTGTATTTCTTTTTGTCTATCCCAATTAATACTACCAAAAAGTAATGAAATTCATTTCCCAGAATGAAATAAACTCAATTCTCCAAAAACCCGAAAAGTAATGTATCCTGTAATTATGATGTACTCAAGTTTCCGGTACCGGTATGCTTTTTAAAGTTCCCGCAATTCAAATTGTTGTGTCCTTTTTTTGCAGCATGGTTTTCTCATTCTCTAAACGTAATTTCTGTAATAATTACTTTTCATTAAAAATTTTCACTGAGTGCACACCACTGATGCGTTGGTACAATCGAATGATACCCAACAAACACCTTCCTTGTGCTCTATGTGAACACTATGAGCAAAACTACTCACGGCCTCTCCCAATCGCCCTTCACGATTACCAGTCTCGTATCGAGATCCCCATACACGTCTTTCTCTGCGTCTCCCCGTTTCCAACCTCCCTCCTTCCAATGGACGGCTAGTTTTGTTGCGTAATTTCCGACGAGATCATTTCCGACTAAAGATCGGGCAACAGCCTTAGATACCGTAATCTCGGGATGTCCCGCCCCTTTCCGCCCAAAATAGAAATGTAAAAAAAGATGGACGCGATTCAATGCTCTCGGTCTGTTGAGCATATTTTCCAGCTCTCTGTTCTTTCTTTCTTTTTCTTTTCTACCGGACTATGTATGGCAGCGCAAAGACAAAATCTCCTGCTGAAAAGTCTCTACGTTTCCAGTGTTTTCATCTCGCAACTGTCCTCTGAGTTCCCAATTTAACCTTGTTTCTTTTGCCTTTGAGTCTGCAATAATCTTGTTGAGCTTTTTTTGAAGCAATATTCAAATTTTTGGGGAAAAAAAATCAATTCCAGAGTTTCACATTTTAATCTTCACGAAATGCCGTCATTATCAAAGAATCCGCGACGAAAAGGCATTCCATTTCTGAAGTTTACATGGCATTTAAAAGATGAAATCTTAGGACTATGTAAGCCTCCAGAGCTGTGAGTTTGTTAACAGTTATTATCGAATGTAGACAAAATTGAAATTTAGAATTAATTTTTCGTCCAAAAGGTGCAAGCGGGATGTGGGTAGCTGTCAACGCTTCCGTTTTACAATTGATATTACGATGGACCACGATTTCAAAATATTCGTTTTCGATCGAATAAAACCAACGTCTTCTTTCACGTGGCTACTTGGAAATTACTTCACAATCTCACAGAACCTGCATTTTTTATTTGAAAACGTATTTCCGACTCGGTAGGCACTTAAAAATTTTTTTTGAATACATAAGTATTGCATGAAAACACTGTTGAACTGTTTTTTTTGTTTTCACAGTTAAATCGAGCTTCAACGAAAACATAGGCCAACGCGAATTCCATACCCACTGCTCACGCCGAGGAACAGCTTGTTTGCGCGCAGCCCTGTCCCACCTATTTCTAATTTTTCTCAATTTTGAAGTTCGAAATTTAATTGTGAATGCAAAACTGTGGGATTCAAGTGCTTTCGGTGAAATGGATATGAAGAAAATTTTGGAATGTGTTCAAGAAGCAGAATTCCTGAAAATTGGTGCAGAAATCATCAATAAAGAAATGATAAACTTGATGCAAAAAGTCAGTTGTACCAAGAGATTTCATTCTGCTGCGACAAACACGATGGGAAGCATATCCAACGGGATACTTCAATGCTCAGATGTGATTCATGCAAACAACTTCCAATGGTTCGATCCTGAACGATTCCAAGATCTTTGCTGTCGATCTATGTGTCTATTGAAGGCACGTATAACAACGCGAAACGTTGAAGACTTGATTATAGAATGGGGAAATAGTGAAGAGCAAATGGGAGAAGGCGTCAAAAATATCAAATTATTCGAAGTTCAAGTTTACGGTGTAGCTCAAAACTTTGATTTCACAAGAGTTGGAGCGCAACCACCAGGAAGAGTGCAGAGACCAAATGAATACATGTGAATTTTATCAAACCTTATTACTAAATTTCGAAATGTTGCTTTTCAGGGACTTCAACGTGATGTATGACTTCACTACCGCTTTTGATATCATTCACCAGGATGGCACATTAGCATCGCTGACGGCAGTTGAAGGACTTGACCACGTTCGGTTCATCGTTTGGGATCAGTAAATTTGAGGATCGTAATATCGAAATAATTTGCTGATGTTTTCTAGTACTTATAAAAACGTTTTTTGAACTGTTCAAAAACTCAAAAAATGAACGATTTTCGAAAGGTGTCTTATCATTTTTGGACGGTTGAAATCGACACATTTTCAAGTTGACTTACTTTCACCGCACGGACCAACCCAATTACTTTTGTCCTAAAGTATTTTTCAATTTTAAGACGAATGGCGTTTACAGTTTTTTAATATCTTTTTTTCGTTTTTGAGTTATGCACAAGAACAAGGGGTGTCTAATCATTATTAGACGCGCTGTATATCGTTTTTATTGAAAATTTTATTTTAAAAAATGTGATTTGTTCAGAATGCTTTTCGGAGTTTTTATGGAGTTAGGTTATGCATACTAACGTAATGGATACATCGATATTTTCCATCTTCCTGGCCCATTTTTTTTCAAAAAAAAAAAAAACTTATTTTGATCACACAAAATCAAAAAAGCTTGTTTGGTTTTTTTGTGTCATTACAAAATCGATGCATAAAAAATTGTTCGAATTTTCTATACAAAAGCCAATAGGGCAGAAGATGATTTTTTTTAAAGAACTTGTCTTGAAAAACATTTCTAAAAGTGCACGCTCCATTGGTACATGTGTGCCGCCTGAGAACAACAATTTTCACATTTGCCAAAACGAAAATTATGCGCAAAACTATCCACTGGTCGGTTGATAGTCATAGATCGGAACCAGTTTTGTATAGAACCTCTCGCATATGTGTTTCGCTGCCTCTCTGCGAACCTTTCTAACTTTTCCCCATCCGGTAAATTTCTTCTTTTTTTTGCATAATCTCTGACAAGTCAAGTTAAGAAGCGGTTGAGCAACAACAGTTTTCTTACCCCTCAGTCTCCTAGGATACGGTAATGTTAATGGGATATTCGAAAGGATGTTATAAAACGGAAACGGAAAAATAAACTATTTCGTATGCTTTACAAATTTAATATTTTCAAACCGAAGGATTTTTTTTTGTCTGGAAACTTGAAAATCATTGCAAAATTTGAACCATGCAGTAAATTTTTGAACTTTAACGTAATTTTTGTTTCTCTTGTTTTGTTTTATCTTATAAAAATAAACCCGGATCGGTTGTTTTATAAAACAGTTTTTTTAATTTGGTTGATAGCTTTCGTTGAAAAAACACTACAGCTTTAGTGTCTCAGATTTCGAAACTAATTTCTAAACATGTTCAGATATTCTTGAATTCTTTCTTGCGTTGCGATGAAAATATGATGGAAAATATATTCTCCAGAGTGCTATACTTTTTTTCTAAGCAAAGCGTGAAGGATTTGCAATTCTCGGTGAACGATACAAAATTTATTGAGTATGCTTATCATTTATATCCGAACAGTAAAATAGATTCGTTTGAAAGCACTCGTGGAAGATGAATCGGAACTTATTTCTTATTTCAACTTCATAAACGTTGTGGTCCTTATCTCTTTTAATCGTGAACTACTCGAAATTTTCCATACTTTCTTCCGTCACTCTGTTCAACTTCTCGTCCACCATCTTTTTCATGGCTTTGAATATGATCTTTTGCTCAACGTCCGAATTTATTGTTACACCCTTGGCCTTTCTCACTATATGAAGTAAATTTTTTGCGATTTAGAATTAATATTCTCAAAATCACCTCCATTCCTCCATCGCTCATTTGATCACAGTAGCAGTATGTCTTTGGACCTGTCGAGACAAACTCTTATTTCACCCTTCACCTCATCCGTCAATTGTCCCAGATACGGACCCAAGACTCCAGCCAATGGGTTTTCCTTGCTCTATGGAACGCAGCTCATGTTACTGTCCGTATAGTGAGAGTTCAACGCTTGAGTGAGATTAACAATGGTTCATTTAAAATTGGTCTAAGACCTAAATTACAATAAGACATGGAATACAAGGAAAAGCCCTGATTAATCGAAACTGGCGTTATCTATGTGGATCAATTCTGTGGGCGTGGAGCGGAGCTGCTAATCGATGATGTGATGGCATTCCAGGAGCTTGCGGAACGATCTGAAATAATAACGTTAGAGTGTGTGTACAGAACGGAGGCGCTGAGAGGAGAATGTGGTGTTTCCGCATATGTGTCATCCCGCTGCGATTTCCTATCACCCGTGACTGTTTTGGGCTTTGTGCTCTCCCTATGGGAATGCGGAACTGAGATTATGACCTGCTGGGGGAATATTATGGTAATGTAAAATCACACTGAAAGGATATTAATATCCTTTACATTGTCAAGGAACCGAGATAATTGGGCTCAAAGTGCGCGTATGGTCTAAACGAGGAGATAAAGTTGTAATCAAAAGGGCTGCGCTGCTAGCGACTAAGCTACGATATTCAAGAAAAAGGTGGAATTTAATTCTAATTTTAATACCTGCATATTCCAACTGCTTCTCTAACATTGGGATCGACCTTTGCTCTTTTCTCGCTAGCACTGTCAAAAGATGTTGTTGGTCTGGTTACTCTGAACCTCCAGAATTCTGAAAACAAAAAATAGAAGAAATTCAATATTAATTCGCTAACCTCTGTTCTTCCAACAAATACTTCTGATTCTTCAGCCCCTCTTGAAGTTCTGCCATCTTCTCCTCAAAATCCTTACTGACATTCTTGATCTTAATTTTTGATTCCTTGACTTCTGAGGACAAGTTCACAATGCTCTCTTCTTTTTGGGCCGATCTCTCCTAAAGTTCATATAAATTTTCAGTTTAAACGTTAATTAACTAACAAATTTTCAAAAATTCTGCCGTCATCGTTTCTTTTTCCTGGCGGTGTAGCTCTTTACGGATAAATAATTTAGGAAAACCTGATGGATTTGCTGTTCTCCCACTCCTATTGGAGATCGAACGTGCTGCGCAGGTTGGATTTGTCGTTTCTTTTGGGTAGTTTCGGCTGTAATGCGATTATGAAAAAAATTTCAAGGAACGTCAGAACTTACTTTCACAATAATTGAATAATCAGAAAAATCAGAAAAATCAGAAAAATCAGAAAAATCAGAAAAATCATTAGGACTCCAAATCAGACAGGTGTCTCGTAATAATTAGTTGAACAGCTATCGAAAAAAATCAGATTAAAAGGTCTCCGAAATCAGATGGAAACCATGGAAGACTGAATGATGGCCAGCAGGAGAAACTTTGCCCCGTGCTGCAACGCAGAGAAAAAGAGTGATAAAAAAATAGTGTGTGAGATCGAAGAAATGTGGTAACGACTCAGAGTAAGCGAGAGAATGACCAATTAGAAAAGACACTAGACTGCCGCTTTTGTCTGTCCCAAAAAACAGTCAACAGCTTTGAGAAACAATATTCGAAAGTGAGAAGCTCAAATTTCAAAATTGCCAAGAACAAAATTTTAAGAAAAAAAGAAATAAAATTACAATTAATGAATAAAAACTAATATTTTCAGTCACGCTATCGATTTAAAAAACTCCGTCAACATGCTTTGAATGCAAGTCAGTCACCGCATTACTTTGAATCCCTTGGACTTGAGAGCAAAGCGTTGTGGATTTTTAGATTCTTCGAATTCGTTGGGAGGAGCTCATGATTTTTTTCCACAAATTTCCTTTTTTTTCCACGCACTAAAGGACAATCATTTCCACATTTCGTGTAATATGCTTGGAGAAGAGAGCAAGCAATAGGAGGATATTACCTTAACAATTAAGGCAGCAGACTCCATTCAAACGCTCGGAGGCAGAAAATGAGCGTTTGGTTGAAAGTATGAATTAACGACAGAAAATCCAGGTGGAAGGCGACCAAAAAGAAGGTTGTGATAGAAGGATTGAAATTTTGCAAATAATTATACTCCCTCGGTTGGGTCATGTGGTATACAAAACGGAATTCATTCGTATTATACGTATTTTCAACGATTTGGAGAGCTGTGTCTTTTCGTGAATTCATTTTCGTTTTTTTTTGTTTGAGGTTACAGTTCCACTAAATGGAAGCAAAATTTTGAATATTTCTATTCTAAATTGGGTACATTCATTCATTCATATGTCCGTGTTGCGTTTTCATCAAATTGCATGGTTCTTTATTTTTCTGCGTTTTCAGACTCGATTTTTTAATTTCTAAACTAGCAGGAAATCGATGGTTATCATCGAGTTTGATTCCCTTCTTCGTTATCGCTTTTTTGAAAGATTTTGGTAACGGTGTACAACGCTTAATGTCACTCTGCGTACAGCTGTCGTCCTCTATCTTATTTTTACTATCGAGCGCCCGGTTTACTTTCGCAAATTCGATAACTTTTTTTTTTCATCCCTCCCATTTTCAAGGTTTCCTGAATTTTCCAATCATCGAACGATCGGCTTTTGTGGATCTCAAAGATTTCATTCCCTTGCTCTTCTTTACGCGATAGGACAACCATTCCTTCATTTCATATATTATGCTTGAAGAAGAGAGAAAGCAATAAGAGGAAGTAATACTGAATCAGGCAGCAGACTCCATTAAAAGGCTCGGTGGCAGATAATGAGCGTTCAGTTGAAAATAGTAATTAGTGGCAGATAATCCAGGTAGAAGGCGACCAAGGAGCACATTGAAGGGAGGATTAAGATTTTGCGAGAAATTCGACTACCTCAGTTGGGTAACGTGGTATACGAAGTTGAATTCATTTATAAATATTTTCACAGAAAGATTTCAACAAAATTGGACCACATAGTCGAATCCGCGTTTTTTAATGGAAAATTTCGTGAAGTTTATTTAATTTCCGGAAAATTGTTGCAAAACCTATTGCAAAATTTTATGAAGTTTCACCGAATGTGCGCATATTTAAGTTCGATTATAAATTCTGAAAGTTGTTTTCTCCTCCTAACTGTCCTCTCAGTTTCCCAACCTTGTTTCTTTCGCCTCATATTCTGCAATAATCTTTTTGAGCTTTGTTTTAAAACAATATTTGATTCTTTAAAGAAACAGTCAATTTCAGAAATTCTCATCTTATCAAACTTCACAAAATGTCGTCATTATCAGAGAATCCGCCGCCGAAAGGCATTCCATTTCTGGAATTTACATGGCATTTAAAAAAGGATATCTTAGAACTATGTGAGCCTCCAGAGCTGTAAGTTATCAGTTATTATTGCATGCGAACAAATTTTTTGAAAATTCAGAATTAAACTATCCTTGGTGTCCAAAAGATGCAAGAAGATTGTTGGTAGCTGTCAACGCTTCCCTCTTTTGATTGATATTACGATGGACCAAGAGTTCAAAATATTCATTTTTAATCCAAGAAAAATAACGTCTTCTTTCACGTGGCTACTTGGAAATTACGTCACAGTCAAACGAAACCCGCATTTTTCATTTGAAAATGTATTTCCGACTCGGTAAGTATTTAATCAATTTTCAAAATTTGGGAATAAATAACTATTGCATGACAATACTGTTAAACTGTTTATTTCGTTTTCAGAATTGAATCGAGCTTGAACAAAAACATAAGCCACGATGAAACTTCTGAATTCCAAACTCACTGCTCACGCCGAGGATCAGCTTGTTTGCGCTCAACCCTTTCCCATCTCTCTGAAATCTTTCCCAATTTTAAAGTCCGAATTATAGATGTGAACGCGAAACTGTGGGATTCGAGTGTTTTCGGTGCAATGGATATGAACAAAATTATGGAGTGTGTCCAAAAAACAAGAATGTTGCAAATTGATGCAGAGTTTATCAATCGAGAAATGATACATTTGATGGAAAAAGTCAAATGCACCAGGAGATTATATTGCAAGGCGGAAAACACGATGGGATGTATTCTTAACGGGACACTTCAATGCTCAGATTGGATTGTTGCAGAAAACTTTCGATGGTTTGACGCTGAACAATTCCAAGATCTTCACTGTCAATTAATGCGCCTAGTGAAGACACGTATTACAACGCGAAACGTCGAAGACTTGATTATAAAATGGAGAAATAGTGAAGATCAATTGGGAAAAGGCGTCAAAAATATTAAATTCATCGATGTTCAAATACACGGAGGAGTTCAAAATTTTGATTTTTCAAGGGTTGGAGCGCAACCCAAAGGAAGTGTTGAGAGACCTAATGAATTCACGTAAGATCTATCAAATCTTTTTACTCAATTTTAAGATATTGTATTTCAGTGAGTTCAATTGTGATTATGACTTCACTAACGCTTTTGATATCATTCACCCAGATGGTACCCTAGCATCACTGAAGGTAGTTGAAGTACTTGACCGCGTCATGTTTGTTGTGTGGAACCGGTAAATTGGTATATTGTAATATTGTAGCTTATTGTACATTATTGTGACTCAATTTCAAATCTTTTTAGACCTAAATTACCACTTTGAATGTTGTTTAATGTAAACTATAATCCTCTTTAGTGTGTTTTATCAAAATAATTTAAAAATAATTCCTGAAATTTTGTTTCAGCTTCTTTCTTTCGTCTTTTGGATTCGTTTTTGCTTATTTTTTCTTGTGAATTTTCAAAATTTTTATTCCCCTCATCGCCGCCATTTTCTACACTTTTTGGCTGAAATTGTATTTAACAATATTTGCTCTGTTTGAATAAACCGTGATTAATTACGCTCAATGACACGTATTATAGAATTTCAGCTTCTAATTTGCTGGACGGAGCTAACAAATTTTTTTTCACAAATTCTCTTGCTCTCGCCATTTTTCGAGGTTTTGAGAAAAACTAAAAATTGTGGAGAAAAACGGCTGATGCCATTAGATTCAGCATCCCAAAAAACCTATAGGTTCCCAGTAACAAATGCCAGTCAAGTGTTTTAGGACTACAGTAACCAAAAGTCTCTCTGCACACCGCGTCATAACTACAGCACCACCCTGGAAAACAGAAAATCTCATGTTTATTTGAATAATAAAGTGAGAATGTTCTGTTGGAATTTGTTGAAATAGTCTTAAAACAGTTGAAATTGACAGCTTGCACAAAAAATTGATGTCTCTATTCAATTTTTAGAAAATTTTATGTTCGGACGTTTTTGTCTTTTTTAAGGTTTTTGGAATAAATCCTGAATAACTTTGCACCTGGGTGAAATTTTGAGCTGAAATTGGTAGGAAATAGTTTGAGAATGCTCGTAGTCATGGTGCAATTGTTAAACCTAAGAACACAACTATGATTGTGACTAGTGTTTTACAGAAAGATATGCGTGAATTCGTTCACTTAGAAAAAAGTTAGAAACGAAAATATGAGATTTGGGGCTAAAAAACCATTTTTTGCAATTTTTCACATTCGAATTTGTAAAAAGACAGATGAAGCAAACTTGAGAACAAAACTATGATTGTGACTAGTGTTTTACAAAAAGATATGCGTGAATTCGTTTCTTTTCTCCACAAAAATGTATTCTAAACGCATGTATGTAATTATTATCATTATTATGGCGACAATCTCTTGAGGAGCCACACATCCACATCTCTTTCGAACACGATTCTATCATGGAGACGGTCGGATTGTCCTTGCCAAAATTCGAAGTATCTTGGAACGAGATGATATCCTCCCCAAGAATCCGGCTTCGTGATGGCATGGGATCCTTCACGCTCAGCTAGCTCAATGAGCTCCGTTCTCTTGGCTTCTAGGTACTGAAACTCGGATTTTTAGCTCAATTTCAGATATTGTCAAACAAATACCTGTCTGTCCGGAACCACTTCAGATTGAACACTCAACTTGGATGATATACGACTAGAAAGTGGTCTTTGGTTCCAGTAATTAACGGCCTTTTCGTCTTGAAGTTTCTCGACCACACCTTCCACGCGAACCTGAAAAATTTTTAATGTGATTCTCAAATTCGATCTTGTTAGATTAACCTGACGATTGACTTTCGGCCAGTAGAACAACATAGAAGCATTTGGATTTTCATCCAATTGACTTCCTTTCCGACTAGAGTAATTTGAACAGAATGAGAATCCGGTTGGTGTGTAGTCTTTCAGCAGAACCATTCTGGACGATGGACGGAGCTCCCTAAAACGCAACATTTATGAATTATAATTGCTCATTGAGAAACCCACTTTCCCACGACACACAAACCGGGCTGATTTCCTCGAGAGTCAGGCCTGTCTCCGATGCGACTTCACGAAACCAAATATCGAAAAGCGTGAATGGATTTGTTGATGGGAGATTTTCTTCAAGAAGATACGTATTTCCATATTGTGCTCGAATATCTGAAAAATGTCTGAAATCAAATGTTTTTTTGAAAAATAAAACTCACTTTGAATATCGATTGATGGCGTTTCCATTGTCGTTTTTCGTCGAAAAGTGATTGGAAAGTTTTCAATGGAAACTGATAAATAAATAAATAAAATCAGTCAATCACAAGACAGAACCGAACATCAAACAACATATTGATGACACTTTCTTATCTATTGTTGACCAGTCGAAATAACAAAAAAAAAACCGAAGAGAGCGGAAGAAATGTGGTCAGGATGACAATACCAAATAAAAATAACTTTTATATAGAACAGCTTCATTGTCGGCGATAACTGAAAATCAATAATTTTGCGAGATTTGGCGAAATTCTCTTCAATTAAAAAAAGAGAAAATAAGACGCCAGTCATAAATTATGGGTCCAAATATATTTCGCCTCATTCTTCCATTTCCGACTGAATTCTCAAAGAAATAGTTGGATACCCGGTTTTTGGACTACAAACTTCTCTTTGGCTTTGGAGTGGATGGAATGCTTGGATTGATCGCATTTCTTCCTGAAAATTGATGAAAATACTTTAAATGAGTTCCGTTTTGACTTAGCTAGAAATTCAAGCAAAGAGAAACAGACGAAAAGCGAATGTCATGAAGAACTAATATTTAAAAACTTGCAGTGCGATAGAGCGCGTTTTCTGGACTAGCCGTGCGCGCGCATCAGAACGTTTACTGCTTTTTATGTTTCACAAAAATACGGTTATCCAATTTTGGGCAGATAATTTTTCGAGAGATTCATTTCAGACAGGAGCAAAGTTAAAAAAAAACAGTACACATTTCACAACAAAACAACTAATCTGAAAGAAAAAAACAATGGGAAAACTGAATATTTTCAATACAAAAACAACACAAACTAAAAAAAATTATTCAGCATTTTCAAGTATCCTGTTTGTCAATTGCCTTGCAAAGTTCTCGTATCGTTTTATCTGGATGATCTTTGTCGAAGTTGATTTGTTCAGCATTCACCTAGAAATGAAACTTATAATTATCAATTTTATTCTTGTTAGCGTCTTACCGCTATCTCGTTGGCTCCCTTGGCTTTGATAGCTTCCCACGGTGAACTATGACAGTCTTCCAAATATCAGAGAGGATCTCATGTATTTCACGAATGTAACAAAGTCGTTCACTCATCATGATTTCTACCTGTTCGAACGTCGGCATAACGTATACTTGTTCGAGAGGTCCACGGATGTCTGGCCAAGCCATGGCAACAGCAAATAACTGAATCATTTCTTTGACATAGGCATACGGTTGTCCTTTTGTCAACACTTTAGCTTCATCCAAGTATATTGCTGGATAATTACGAATATATTCCTATGTTATTGCTGGCGATTTGAATATCAAGCAGTTCGTGAGTATGTTTTTCTAGAAGTTCGGCGAGTCTGTCTTTCAACACTCTTCTGTCCATTGGAGGGGAGATTTCTTCTGAAATTCGGATATTTCAATTTAAATCACATTAACTGTATCCTAACTTTCTAATTGTTTTTCCTTTTTGATTGGAGGGTCGTCAAAATAGGGGGTATCAGTGGATTTTCTTTCGTTTGTAACAGTGCCTTCTTTAGTCAGTGGATTGCTTTATACAGGATTTGCAGAGTCGCCTGTCAAATCAAAATCCATCTGAATGTGGCTTTCGACAACATGTAGTTTCACTATTCATAACATGGTTTATAATGGAATCGTTTATGAAAAAATGTATATCAACGAAAAATTGGAAAATTCCAACAAAAATGATGACAAACATGATGAATAAAAGTTTCTGTTCCTGCCAAGTTTCGAAACCAAGAAGAAGGTATCCACCTTTTAGTTCATAAACACATTCGATTTTTTCTTAAACATCTTGTCATTTGCAAAATGTCCGAACTGCTGTTGACTTTCAGAAATTGTATTGTCGGTTGATCGTCTCTACAAATGAATACGTTTGTTGACAAATGATAGCACTGGTCTGCCTGAATTAGTAAAAATTTACGATTTTTTTGATTAAAAACTCACATCAGAAGAAATGGCGAAATTCCGACTTTCGACAAAACTTGCATCTCCCTCGGTCCATCGGTAAATAATGTTGTGATTGCCGAAATAGAAGTTTGGAAAGCATCTTGTAGTTCTTCCATCATATGTTTTCCTTCACGCCCAAAATTGATTATTCCCAAATTGCTAGCATCTAGAGAGGTTGTTTCACACCAAGTTCGAAGTATCAGTAGACCAGTGTCTGAAAAATTTCTCTCATTTTCAGCTTACTAATATCAATCAGAATCGAACTCACAATTAGAGCAACTTCTCGAATTATCGCGGTCACCCGTCTGCAAAAACCATCTTTCTAGTGTCCATCGAGCAGTGCAGAAGAAAACAATTAAATTCATATTGTTCATCAGCCATCAATTCGCATAACACTGACATTTTCCTCAATTACAGTTCCAGCTACGTCGCAACCTTCTTAAAATGTTGTGACGTCTGAGGATCTAGTTTGCCCAATCAACGCAGCACAAATGTCATTAGCATTTTTATGTAATTTTTTTGGTTTCGCCTGGCAGCCTTTAATAGCTTTGTTCTGCTGACTTCTAGTGTTGACTGCCATCCGATGCTGGTAGTCTGGAAATCCAGTATGCTAAGGCCATCTCGTCTGTAAGTTTTTCGACAACGCCTTACACGCGAACCTGTAAATTGCTTGATGGGATTTTCTGATAGAAAATTTTTCGTTTTACCTGAGATTCACATTTCGCCAGTACTTTTCGCCAGTAGTTCTTTTTTCTATTTTATAACTGGTTGTCATTTTGATTGAATAACTTGAAGGTCTTTTTGCCAGGCAAAACGACATCGATCAATCTTTGGTAAAATTGAAAAATACACCCAATCGTCGCTCATCAGCTCGTTGCACGCAATTTGAAAATTGAGGTTCGGGGGTCAGATAAATTACGTCGATGTGTTGTCAATGTCTCTTATCTGGTCTCACTAGTCCTTTTGGTAAGACTGCTTTTAATTTTGAGTAGTGGTGAAGAAAAGCAAAAATCTAATTGATTTCAGCTGGTTTCCCATTTCCCGTTGTTTCGACATGCTCTCGAATTTTCGGAGCAACCCTTTTCCGTTCTGGTGGTGGAATCCTAGCTTCCATCTTCCGATCCGCCCAATTTAGTTAAAATGGAAAGCATCATCAGAGGGCGAGTTAGAAAACTCCCATACAACCCTCAAATATCGAGAAACACACTCTCGGCATTCTCGTCAAGGAAGTTCATTGCTTTATTGAAGTTCCATCGGTTGTTGCAGATCCATCGGCTGACGAAACCTGGAAAAATCAATAATTTCTCAAAACATTCTTTGCAAATATGGGTTTTTCTAGCCATTGTTCTATGAAATAGCCAGCAAAAATTATCTCAATTTTTAGTAATTCACAAAATTCACCTTATTTCCCGCGAATCAATCACACTTTAACCAGAAAATCAGCTTTTAGGAATGTAAAATTTATTTGACCAGATGAAATCTTGGAAACGAAGAAAACGCATTGACTCTATGTACATTCTTGCTGAAAATAGAAAATTATGATTAATAATATTTGAGTTTGGATGATTATTTCGAAGAAATTAAATTTTTGACTGAAAATAGGCCATAAACTGAGAAAATCCTGTTTTATTTGTTAAAAAAGTAGCAGTGCGAATGAGCGCATTTGCTGGTGACCTCGCGCACACTGCTTTTTTCGTTGGAAAGGAGGAAAATGGAAACAGACGGGTGGAAACTAGAGCAATAACTGAATCTTGAAATGATATAACAGCAAAGATTGTTCCGATACAACATCAGAAAAATTTTAATTCAAAACTTTACAAGGTTTTGAATGGTATTGTTTCTCGAGAAAGTGGGTTTTAATTATTTCTCAGTAATTTTCAAGACTAAAGCTGATGTTCTGTAATGAATTGTTACCTAAGATGACCAACTTCGGGTATGAAACCGAATTTGAATTGGTTCGAAAGCGTTAGAAGGATTCTAGAAGCGTCCAGGAAATGTTGAGCGAATTTAGAAAGTGTAAAAAGATCAATCATGTTTAGTCTTCCAGATAACATTGCCATTGTTTTTTGCGCCTGTAAATAGAGAATCACGAATTTAACTTTTTTTCAAAAGTCTAAGATTATTCAGTTAACGATTCTTAACTGTTTTGTTTTAACAACAGCCATTTTGCCATTTTCGTATTTGTCATCGGGCCGGTGCCAATGTATTCCTTTTTCCGTTCAACTCTGTTTGTTCACACAAGAGAGATGATGCATAGTAAGAGGTCAAGAAATTGTTTGCCAGGTAGATGCTCTACCTCTTCCCATCTTCCCCTCGTTTCTACTCTTTTTGCGTGTCTGCGGGTGCATCTTTCTTTTGGTTGGTGTATGTGTGGCGAATGGTCAGCTGTGTGATTTCAATTTATCAGTTGGCAACGGCTTGCGGAGAGAGAGAAAGAGTTTCAAACGGCAATTGGACTCTTTATTGCTTCCGTGCCTGGGCGGCATCCAGCGAGACACAATTTGAAATTTCCATCGCCACCGTTTGATTTATCCAACAAGAAGAAATATGTTTTGGTCTTTTATTTGCACTATATTGATTGAATGTTACTAGGCTGACCCTTGTATGGGTCACACTATCAGATTGTCTCACTGTCTGTGCACTCTTTATCTCTACAATTCTATTCGAAAACAAAACTATTTTCCCTATTGCTCAGTTGTATAAAATTTCGTGTTGAGGACTTGTGAATCATCATTTTCAATTATTTTTTGTCTCGATTTTCATTTTAAGTGAGTTTAAAAATTCTATTTCAGATAGAATTGCTCACAAGCACTGTCGTATGGCAACAGAGCGAGATGGTGGGAACTGCCTGCGGGTAGCAGTTTCTATCTTCTCCATATACTACTGGGTGAGTAAACAACCTTTTTATTTCCAGATTGATAACCGTAATTTTATCAGATATCTGCCCTTGCTCACGTTTTCCTTGGATTATGGATGTTATTGGATCCCAAACGGAACTATATTTTGGACTTGGTGCACTTTTCCGAAAATGACCCACTGCTGGTGAGATTTAGAAAATTTCAGAAGTATTTTGAGTTGAAAAATTTCAGAAAGCCTCTGCATATGTCTCATTGGTTTGTGGATGTGCCCAACTGTTGGTCGGGTTCCTTGGGCTGTGTGGTGCAGTGAATAGAAGTCGATTTTTGTTGCTCATGGTGAGATTAATTCTTGGTCTATAAAGTTACAGGGTTTTTTCAGTTCGTGATGTTCCTGATCTGCACTTTTCTGGCTGATGTTGCAATGGGAACACTGTCGCTATTCTACAAAGACAAGGTGAGTGATTTTGTCGTTTTTTGTGTTGGTTTCAGTTCTGGGTTACCATTTTTCCTCTAATAAGAACCCACCCACACTATCAACTTTTAACTCGATTATCTCGACTCATCTGAAGTATATTAGGAATTTGTCAACTGATAAATTATGTATCATAATATCACCAATATTTCATTTGTCGAATTTTTTCATATCTTCTGACAAAATCTGAATAATTGATCCCAAAGTTGACGGTATCGGTTGCCTTTTAGCAGAGGAAATGCGGTAGTTGTTTCTCTCTCTCTTGACGTTTAGTTAGTTTTTAATCTCCTCAATTTCTGTTTGTTTTTATTTCTTTTAGAAGTTCGAGAAAACATTGTGATGATTGTTAATGTGTTCCATGTTTTTTTAACTTTTACAGTAATCCAACATAATCATTATTTACATAAGGTTTTTATTTGCACTGTGTGTTTATATAACTTTGAACATTAATAGAATTACTTCTTTAACTTTCACTTTTGAGCTCATTTATGTTAGTTCCTTCGAAATATGCCAAAAAGTTTCAACATAATATCCAAAACGTTATCAATTGTAACATTTTAATAGCATTTATAGAAACCGAGGTAATCAAGCTGAAAGTTGACAGTTTGCATGGGCTTCTATTGAAGAAAATGCGGTATATCGGTTTTTATAAAATAAATCAAACATGTGAATATTGATGAAAGTTAGATAATAATAATATCCCCACGATTTGTTTAGTTAACATTTCTTCAATATTTTTCTGAGGAACCAAAATAATTGAACTAAAAATGAAAATTTGTGGCTAGAATTCTGTCAGAGGGAAAACGGCATTTTTAATTTTCTCGATTATTGTCCGTTTGCAGTTCTCTAACAACTATATGGAAGTGTACTTGAAAAACCTAACCGCCAATCGTTATTCTCGTGATCGTTGGGTGATGCCATTGATGGATACCATCCAGTTTTATGTGAGTTTTGTTTTCCTGTAAATTACATTTGCACGTTGTTCAAAACCGTCCAGTTCTCCGTCTATTGTCACTGAAGTCTCATAAAAAGTATTTTGTTTTCTAATAAAACCTAAACTTGTAGATTTACTCTCTTAAAGAGAATGTGCGAGAGATTGTGAAATCCAAATATGGCGTGGAGACTGATGAGCCAGAGAACAGAATTCTCACTCAGTTCATTGACAAACTTCAGTTCTATGTAAGATTCTAATTCTTTTGCGTACAATATTTGAACATAGACTCTATTAGGAACGGTGCTGTGGTTCTTTGGGTCCCTCCGATTATATCGGTAGTCGTTGGTCGCAGTCCGGTGCCATGGAATCCGAAGAAATGGAACTTCCACTGTTTCCGGTGTCATGTTGTACACAAATAATGGGCGCATCGGCGTTGAACCCTCTCGCTAAAAGTTATGCTCGTTGTCAGCAGTTCGGCGCTAATAGACAATGGAGGCATCCAGTGGTACGAGAGAATTGAGTGTGTTGTTGTGCAAAGTGCGTGCCGTTATTCTTCATTTTGAAATGAGAAACCTGATGTAATAAGCTTTGAAGTTCTATTGATAGAAGGTGTGTTGAGTGAGTGTCAGGTGACAATCGATGGAGAATTAGAGAATAATCAAATCTATCAAAAACTCAGTGTGTGTGAGAAAACAATTAACCAATTTAGCACCAATGTTGCGGAGGAGAAGGGCCACTAGACTACAAAGACTCATTTTGGTACATCACAAACACTCTCCGAGGAACCCGATCATTCGTCCCTCCAAGTTGCTGCAAGCAAGCACAGGCCGGAAGAGCATGGGCTCCGGTTCCCATTGACCCGATGTGCATAACATATCGTTACCTATCATCACCATATACAACATCTGTGAACACTGTTGTGAGTGTGTATCTAACAGCTTTGATTTTTTTTTGGTGTGACTCAAAAATTGAGAAAGTCGGAAAATAGTGATTTATTTTGTGATTTCAGGGATGCAGCGATCGACTTATGTCATGGTTTAATGAGCAGATTTGGATTTTTGTTGGCTTTGGTTTTGGATCAGCACTGACTATGGTAATATTTTCATAATACAGTAAAAATTCTAACAGGAGAACTTCAATACCTTCTAAACACAGATTTTTAGGTGAAATGAATAATCCCAAGGTAGAAAATTTCGAAAACTTGAAAAAAATTAGTATGAAGAAAATCATTGAAATTTGAAATTTCATCGAATTCTAAGTGTTTTATTGATTCTACACGATTTTTGGTACTGAAACTGATACAATACAGCTAAAACAGGCAAGAGAACTCTGAAATTTACAGAAGTGTCTGGATAAACTTAACCTATCCTAAAACTTTGATTAAAATCTGAGTTCACAAGGTTTTGCAGTTCCCTTGTAATAGAAGACCGTCTTATACTTGTACTTTGAGCTCGATTATCTCAATTTCTTTGAGAGATATCGGACATCTGTCAATTGATGAAACGTTTTTCATAGTATCATAAACATTTTATGAATTGACACTTTCTTGTTATCTCTACTAGAAATTGAGATAATTGAGCTTGAATTTGATGGTTTTGATGGGCATCTAGAGGAAATACGATATTTTTTCTTTCACTGCTTAAAAAATCCTAAAAGACGAAAACTACAAAACAAAATTTTCAGATGCTTGGAATCAGTCTTTCATGTTGCCTAATCTCTCGCATTCACATCTACCATGTCATTCCAGAAGATTATTAGACAGTTTTTTGATGATCAACCGAGAGAATGTGGACCTAATTATAGTTTTTCACATTTTTGAAAATGTTTTGTGTTCTCGTCCATTATTTCTACCCCTGATTAGGGTTATTTCCTCTTTTTTCAAATGGTTCCTCTCATTATCATTATCACACCTTTTCTTTATTTTTCTACTTACTCATTTCTCTAATTTTTCTTGCCCTCCCATTTATTTATCGAAGTTGAAAATTACAAATCTCCCTTTGAATTATTTTTACGAATCACGCAAACGAGAAAGTATAATAAATCATTCATTTGCAAGCCACTGACTAAACGTCATAGCAACCAAGTAATAAAAAGTGAATTGATATTGTGCCATGATCTGTTTGTTGGTGTCTGTAGGAGCGCATGAAATATACAGGTAAACGTTTTTTGAGGTTTTTTGAGCGACAGGGTCGTAAAAAAGGTAAAAATTGAGAACAGAGGATTCAGAGAAAAATAAAATTGAGTGAGATTAGAATTTCCAAGCGGGTCGTTTCTCCGAAGAGGAACCTTCCTTCTTGGACGATTTGCTGAAGAGTGGTCGTGATGGAGAACTTCGTTCCATTCGTTTCTCAGCATCAAAAGGAGAGAGCAAATTTCTGAAACTTAGATTACTCAGATTATTTCTAAAGTTCTGATCTGATACCTGCTAGAAGTGGATTCGGTCGTCTCCAGATTGTCCAACTTTGATTTCGCAGGACTACGATCACGGAATCTGGTTAGAATGGATGGTGACTTTGCGCGAGCTGGGGATTTTTCACGGGCCAGTCTGAAAATCAAAATTGATTGCAATTTGAATAGTATTTTTTTTATTAATCTGTCTCACTCTTTAGCAGCTTCTTTAGCTGCCTTTTCAGCTTTCTCCTTCTCCTTTTCTGCTTTCTTTTCAGCTTCCTTTCTGGTCCGTTTCTCACTAGCCTCTTCTCGTTTATCTTTCATTTGGCTTACAAAGTTTTGAAAGACACCATGAGAAGTGATGCTCTAGAAATGTGAACTGTTATGACATATATTCGAAATAATTAAATTACCATTCGTTTCTTGATATGAGGTTCTGATGTGGATTCATCTGTGAGCCGTTCTTGTAGCTGTTGGATTAATTCGTTTTTTCTCTGAAAATATATTTCAAGATTTTCTAACTATTCTGATCTTTCAGGATACCTGAAGAGCAGTCTCTAGATTCTCAACCTTCTCCTTCCACTCAGCTTCATGCTCCAATTGAAAAACGTTTCCTACTTCAGCCTCAATTCGTTGCTGCTCTGCCTTTTCAGCTTCAAAGTGCTCTTTTTCCATTCTAAGTTCTCTCAACAGCGTCTCTTTTTCCTCGTATTTCTTCTCAGCCTGTCGTTGTTGATTATTCATTTCTTCGTGAAGTTGGGCGATTTCAGAATCCCTTGACTCCAATTTCTGAGTCAATTCGCTAATCGCTGTCTCTTTTTCGTTTATTTTCTCTTGAATGGAGTTGTCGAAAAGCACCACTGTCGTTTCTTCGTTCAACTGTTGGGTCTAAAAATCTTAATAGATGTTTGAATCCCCAACTAAGAAGTGTACCATATCCTCAAGCTTATTTCGCATGTCTGTCAGCTCTACTTCACGCTCTTTCAAGCAAGTTTCAAGTTCTCCAATTCTTTCAGACTTGGTTGACACTTCCTTTTCCTTTTCCACAATTTGCTCTTGATATTTCTTCATCTCCTCCTCGTGTTCTTCTGAGACAGATTCAAGTTTGGCTTTCGATTCGGTGGCTTGAGTGATATTGATTCTGAAATATTTGTTTCAATATTTATTGCTATTCTTGTGGTTTACTCAGTTAGTTGAGTTGATCTGGCGGTGATAGTTTTGATTTCCTCATTCTTTTTCACCAACTCCTCTTGGATGCTGCCCACCTGCTCTAGCATTTCGTTGACTCTGAAACATGTACTAAAAAATGTTCTGAAACTTTTGAGTTACCTCGAATGCAACTTCTCGATCTGATCTGTCTTTGAGCTATTGTCATTTTCAAGTTCAGCAATTGTCTTTTCCAACTCATTGTTCTTACTCGCCTCTTGAGCAGCAATCTTCTCATTGAGTTTGGCAACCTCTTGCTCCAAAGACTCAATATTCTTGTTCTTAGCTTCAAGTTCATTCTGGAGCTCTTCGTTTCCAGAATTTGAAGCTTCCAACTGCACCGCTTCATGCTTGACCTTCTCCAATTCATTGAATAGTGATTTGTTTTGAGCTTCCAATTCCCTAATCTTTGTGGACTTCTCCTTACCGTACTCCTTCTCGTTCTCAAATGCACTCTTGAACTGGTCAATCTGAAATTTAGATAGTTTGATTTCTATCTAGATTTTATGTATGTATTACCTCAGCATTAAGAACGCGTACAGTCTCGGAGTGCTTCTCTTTGTGATCTTCCAGCTCTTTCTGTGTGTTCTCTTGCAACAATCGGTTCCTATCCTCGGTGTGAGTGATTTCCTTCTCCAGTTGTTTTCGGAGAGTCATGATTTCGGCATCTAATAGTGTGAGTTAAAATCAAGAATCAAAAAATTTTTAACCTTTTCCAGTGATTCTCTCTCGGTATTCCTCAAGAGTCCTGGTCAGTTGAGAAGTGTCCTCCACAATCTTCGCGAGCTGTTCAGTGATATCATCTTGCTCTTCATCCTCAATCTTTTGAGTCAACACTCTGATTTCAGCAGCTAGAATACTCTTCTCGGTTCGCAAAGCTTGAATCTCAATCTGCGAAGACTCGCGAAGCTCGTCTTTATCAAGACGTGCCGACTCTTCCAATTCCTCCTTCAGACTGGTATACTGTTCTTCCAACTCATTTAACTTGCAACTAAACTCCTTTTTCATCGCGTGCTCTCTGATTTCAGCTTGTTGTCGTTCTTTGAGAAGGAGACTTTCATAGTGCTCTTTCGTGTTCTCCTTTTCCTTGGTTACACTATCAAGAACAGCTTCAAGAGCATTGACTTGAGATGATTGAAGTTGAGTCTGGCTTTCGCTTTGACTTTGAAGGTTTCTTCGCTCAGTTTCAAGGAATTCAACTTTGTTCTTCAATGCCTTCACTTCGATTTGCAAATCGGAAATCACAGATTCCAATTTCTCTTTAGCAGCTTCAACAACAGTGAGCAATCGAGCTTTCCGTCTTAATTCTTCCTCTTGTTGCTGGAATTTATGTTTGCATTCTGTGAATTCAGAAGTGACTGCTGTCAATCGCCGAATGTTGTCATTCGTCTCAGTCTTTACTTGATCCAGCTCCTTAGTCAACGCCTGCACTTCCTTCTCCTTGTTCTGAAGTTTCTTCTCTAGAGCCGTAACCTCATTCTTACAAGAGTTCAGGTCTTCGCGACTTCTTTTGGATTGAAGTTGCAATTCTTGAAGACGATCATGAAACTCGTCTTGTCTGAAAAAAACAGGGGTTGTACATTGTGACTCATTGTTAAAGTTACCTAGCCAGAAGCTCTTCCTTCAGTGCTTCTTCATGATCTCTCAAAGCCTCCAGTTCCTTGGTATACAGCATTTTTGCAGCAGTCAACTCGGTTTCATACAGAGACTGTGCCCGTCTCAACTTCATCTCAAAAGTCTCTCCAAGTCGTTCTTTTTCGGATCGCAAAGATTTACGCTCTTCTTCCAACCGTTGAATTTCAAGAATATATTTCTGTTCGAGATTGAGCAGTTGGGTATCTGAAAATCTCTGCTCCAAAACTTGAATTTCCTTCTGATGCTCTTTTCTCAGCTTCTCCAAGGCTTGCTCTTTTTCTCGCTCGAACTTGTCTTGTAGCGCTTGAAAACTCTTCATCCTTGCTTCGAAGTCCTTCTTAGCACCTAACACTTCCTCTGATAATGCAATGATCTTACTGGAGTACTCGGCTTCTAGTTTTCGTTCTCGTTCAGCAACTCGTTCTCTGAACATTTTTATTGGAAACAATGTCGCATAGGATTTGTGGTTACCTGTATTCACTGAATGTACCCATTACATTGTTTTTTTGTCGTTCATATTCTGCTACAGTCTCTTCCAGAGTTTGAATTTTTCGCTTGAGCTCTGTTTCACGACCGGCAGGCTGGGCTGAAATGAACTTATGTGAACCCTACCTTCTTAATAATATCAACAAACGAGAATTAGTCCTAGATGTGTTTCTTGATGAGTCTCGGGCTACATGAGACATTTTGAGTACTGTGAGAAGCGAAGTGTTGTCTATGTCATGTTTGGAGCTGGCACGTGAATGTTGGCTAACTGGTGATATTGGTGAGGGTGATATCGGACCACTCGGTGCTCTTCTGAGAACTGGGGAAGGTGGAGCTGGTCCTCCAACCGGTGTTCGAACATTTCCAGATAAGCAACTCAATTGATGAGCTGGCGGTGGTGCAGGCCATGCAGCGATTTCCGGATGGGATTGTCTCACGAAAGGCCGCGTCACAGCGATTGCAGGCTCACTGTGAAAGGGTGTAGAGTTAAGCGAGATAGGATATCAGGTTTCAAGTTTTGAAGTAAGTGAAACTAACTTAACTAATCATTGAAACACAACTTACTGAGCTCCGTGAGGTCGCGGTGATCGGCTCATTCTTCGTGGAGAACGACTACCGGATGGAGAGGCGGATCGAAGGCTTCCATCAAACTCCTCGGATAATAAACCCAGCTGAAATACGGGATAGCGTTGCATAATGAATAAAAATTGAAGTTAGGCTCAAGCAGAACATTTCTAAACTTTTTTCTGTTAAGTAGGCGGAACAAGTAATTGGCAAACAACATAAATTACTCACTCTTTCTCGAAGGCGCTCTGACATTGGAAAAGGGCTTGGGAAGCCCTCTCGGATATTGATGGTTATTGGTTTTTCTCGAAGTGCGCTGGAACAGAAAAGTGTAAGAATCGATTACGGGTGACGAAATGGAATGCAGTAAGTGGATGGAAGTTTCAGAGATCGGTAATAATAATGAAGCAAGATACGGTCATGTGCAAAACTGCCACGTGTTGATTTTTCACTCAATTTGTTCACCAAGAGAAAAAAGAAAAAAATTCACGAAAAGACAGAAAAGAAAGATAAAAATAACAGAGTCTAAAAAGAATCCAACAGAAAAACTTTAATCTTAGATAATGGGTTCGAATTAAAATAGTCTCACCGGAAAGACATAAAACAAGTTGAAATTGGTACACAGAAACTACTTGAAGAGAGAAAGGCTATCTCTTGATATAATCAAAGAGAAGTGATTCAGAGTCGACCAGAGACAGAGGTATATAGAAGTGACTGGGCATTTTCCACTTCGGAGCAACTGTTCGAGACACGAGCAGCTCAGCCTGGATGATATGAGAGATAGAGAAAACGCCGGACCAACTGTTGTCCTGCGCCTTGTAGTCGACATGATACTAGCCAGCCAGGGTGGCGACGGCGGCGATGAGTACGAAATGGACGGTGTTTAGGAGGAAACATCAGACGGCCGATATCATCAGATAATGAGTACGCACACAGACACATACACACTAGTGCACATATGATACGTTGACAGGATACTCGATGAATTTGTGACGATGTATCACACTGAGCCACCCTCCCGGGAAAGGGGCTGTTGAAAAGTGTACGAATATCAAAGGGGCTATTAGTGAAGACAAATGAAAATAACTAATTGCTTTTGTGCCTTTTGATTTGGGCGAAGACTAGCGTCCTCGGCCTACGGCCGACACCGCTAGGCGCGGCTATGCCGCGCAATTAGGTGGAATCAGATGCAGGGCCTTCGGTCCTGGCTCAGTGGAATCAGATGATTCAAGGTTTTGTCTGTTCTCCCTTCGCGGTCGAACAGACCGGACAGGGCCTTCGGCCCTGTAACATGTGCCCCAAAACAATTCATTAATTTTTCACTGAAAACCTATTAACTCTTTTAATTTTCAAGCGAATCCAGTTTTTTTTAAAATTGTAGCCATCAAAATTACGCATTGAATGGGAAAGCCGGATTTTTGATTTAGGCCCTAGTTCGGCAGAAAAAACCGGAAAACCCTGAAAATGGTATGCCTTTGTACGTTCGATTCAAGGTTTTGTCTGTTCTCCCTTCGCGGTCGAACAGACCGGACAGGGCCTTCGGCCCTGTAACATGTGCCCCAAAACAATTCATTAATTTTTCACTCAAAACCTATTAACTCTTTTAATTTTCAAGCGAATCCAGTTTTTTTAAATTGTAGCCATCAAAATTACGCATTGAATGGGAAAGCCGGATTTTTGATTTAGGCCCTAGTTCGGCAGAAAAAAACCGGAAAACCCTGAAAATGGTATGCCTTTGTACGTTCGATTCAAGGTTTTGTCTGTTCTCCCTTCGCGGTCGAACAGACCGGACAGGGCCTTCGGCCCTGTAACATGTGCCCCAAAACAATTCATTAATTTTTCACTCAAAACCTATTAACTCTTTTAATTTTCAAGCGAATCCAGTTTTTTTAAATTGTAGCCATCAAAATTACGCATTGAATGGGAAAGCCGGATTTTTGATTTAGGCCCTAGTTCGGCAGAAAAAAACCGGAAAACCCTGAAAATGGTATGCCTTTGTACGTTCGATTCAAGGTTTTGTCTGTTCTCCCTTCGCGGTCGAACAGACCGGACAGGGCCTTCGGCCCTGTAACATGTGCCCCAAAACAATTCATTAATTTTTCACTCAAAACCTATTAACTCTTTTAATTTTCAAGCGAATCCAGTTTTTTTAAATTGTAGCCATCAAAATTACGCATTGAATGGGAAAGCCGGATTTTTGATTTAGGCCCTAGTTCGGCAGAAAAAAACCGGAAAACCCTGAAAATGGTATGCCTTTGTACGTTCGTTATCATATCTCGGTTCAAACAGTACAACTTCTGACGATTTTTAGTAACCGCGTAGCCAGAGAGATTTGCTATCGATCAAAAAAAGATTTAGCCAGAACGGACTAAAATGAATAGTTAGGAGGTTTCAAAGAAAATTTCTAGAAAATGTGAAAAATGGGGGTGCGCGATCGCTACGGTATTTAAGGGAAGAAGGGGGGGGGGGGTTGGCGGATCACTACTTGTTGTTTTTTTTATTCTCAAATTATTCCAAAAAAACCCACGTCATAAAAAACTGAGGCGCTATATGGGTTGAGGGGTGCCACTCAATTTTTCAATTTTTACGCGATTTTTTCCCTTTTTGCGTGACATTTTTTATTTTTAAAAGTGTTGAAACTGAAAAATGTAAGTTAACAGCTTCATTAAAAAATACATAAATACATCATAATATATCCAAATGAAAATTGAAATACATCGTAATATAAATACATAATGAAATATGACACGAAATAAATGAACAGGGCGAGAAAAATGAATTATTATACCGGTAGGGTGGGTCATTGAACGGGTTTTGTACAAGTATCATCACAAATTTCTAAAACAAGTTAATGAAAACATCTTCTAATTGTTCAAGATCATTATGGGAGTCGGCAGGAATGTTCATCAAAAATCGTAACTCAGTTTTCAGAGCATTCGGAAGATCTACGTACAAATTTTCATAAATTGTGATACGTGAGAATCCGACGGCAGGTGGGAGCTGAAATTTTGAGTAATTATGTATTTTCAAAAAGTTATGTCAGGTTACCTGTCGGAAAAAGGCAAGACGTCCTTCAATAAACTCTTTAATTCTTGGCAAGTCATCATCTGCAGCGGCAACATGATTTTTTCGAATTCGTTGACTTTCGTAAAGTATACTTGGCGAAATTCATGAGCATGCGTAGTTGGAAATCCGTCACGTTCTAATATTTTGGCGCGAACTGAAATCGCTGTCCGGATACGATGCATAAGCTGTGGAGCAATCAGTGGTGGTTTAGGAGCCGATACCATCACATTCTCTACAATCACTTTCTGAGGTTTCTCTGAAAATAACGATCACTGTAATATTTGAAGCCTAGTGTGTTTTTTCTCTTACTTTTATTCGTTTTATTACTTTTATTCGGAACCGTAGCTGCTTCAGAAACCGCTTTTTTCGCCAACAACTCCTTGTTAGCATTTAGAGCTGCTTCAAGAATAGCATCATCTGTCTCTAATAGTTTGACTTTTTCAGCTTCTCGCATGCGTTTTTGTTTCTTTGTCAACTTTTGTTTGCTGGTAAAAGAGGACGGTGACGGGTGGACGTCATCAATATTCACGACTCCTGGCGCGACTTCAGCTTTGTGCTTTTTGGCAGCACGTTTTGGAAGAGGGGTGATGACGAGAAGTGGAGGCTGAGAACAGTAGGCTGAAAATTTTTAAACTCTGATTTCCACAGCAAACAGAAAATGTAATGATGGTCCTTAAAATCATACGTAAAATTCCGGGCCGGCCCGCCAAAGCCCGGGCCGGCCCGCCAAAGCCCGGGCCAGCCCGGGAAAGCCCTGGCCAGCCCGCCAAAGCCCGGGCCTGGGCGCGTGTCGGGCCTGAGGAAATTTTAAAGGCCCGGAAGGCCCGGTAGCAAAAAATTTGTCATTTTGAGTCAAATTTTGAGCTCTCAATACAATTTTCTCTATTTTTTTGTGTTTTTGGATTGTTTGTCTGCTTGATCAAAAAATATCAAAAAAACTCGAACAAAATTTTTGATCGAAAAAAAAATCACATAAGGGTCCCTTATGTGTTTTTTGAAAATTTCAAAACTTGTGGAATGACAGGCCCGCCGGGCCGGGCCGGGCCTCCGAAATTCGGGAAAAAGCCCGGCCCGGCCCGGCCCGTTACAAGTAAGCTCAAAATTATAAGAAAAATACTTACGCGGATTTCTTTGATGTTACTACTTTCCATGGATTTTCAGCCGGCTGCGCATTGTCAGTGAGTTTCATGAGGTCGGCTATTGGAGTCTCGGGCCTAATACCTTCCTGAGAGTTTTGCCGATGATCCTCATGAGAGCTTTGCTCAACCGATGGTTTCTCAACATGACTTTCAACTTCAGGAATTTTCTGTGACATTGGTGTAGGAATAGGAGTCTCTGATACGTGTTCCAGCTCTACGATAGTTGATTCCAAGTTGTCAGCATCGGTACCTTCCGTGAGCGTGGTTTCAGTGTCATCCAAAAAGGAAGTATCCAGCTCTTCCACAGACCCGATTCCCGCTTCTCGCGATCCAGCTGGTGTTAAAGTGCCACAGTCTTCGATTCCAGTGTCCGCGTCGTCGGGCCTCTCTTGACTACCATCTTCGTCTTCAAACTCCGACTCCAAATCTTGCAGCTCGTCATCATTGCACTCCGCCAAATCACTTGCGACAGATTCACTCTGAAATCACGAACTTTTCCGTTAGAAGATTCTATTGAGTGTCTGTAACATTTACAATATTTAAACATACCTGGTGTGACTTGAACTGTGAAACCATATGAATCGGAACAAGGCACGTAGTTTTAACTACCATCCGTTGAAAAGCAAATCCATTACTGTCGTAGACAATATCTGGATGGCTAGGATCTATAGGCTGATCGGCAATCGGTGGATGAGAGGGTGGTGGAGCAGATGTAGTTTGTTGGACGTATGAAGCTGGAGCCATATACCCAGTTGGCTGATAATTTTGTGATGGAAGTTGCGGCGGTACCATCGGTGGAGCTACTGTATTCACTGGAGCTTGTTGTGCATAGTTCTGATGTGGTGGTATTATCGTATACACTGGCGGTGGTATTTGTGGAACGGTGCAATAGTTTCCAGTAGTCGGCATGATCATATTTTGATTCTGCTGTGGTGGGAACTGCTGCGCTATAATTGGCATAGAAGGAGGAATCATGTTCGGTGGAGGTAGACTATAATTGGCTGGAGGAGGAGGTGCCGTTGACCAAAATTGCGGATTCACTCCTTGTTGGGTGTGATTTTGTGGCATACCAGTTGGAAAATATTGATAATATTGGTTGGCAGTTCCTGGATTGAAATGCGGATCCGACATGTATTGTATTCCTTGGTAATACTGTTGAGTAGGTGCTTGTTGAATTTGTTGATTACAGTTTTGATTATTAGGCATTTGTACAGTGGTCTGATCCTGTAGTGGGTTTCGAACAGCTTGTTGTAGTAGTTCGACAGGTGGTCCGGTTCTCATGAACGTTGAAGCGATGCTTGGAAGCGGCAAAGGCTGAAAAAGTCGCTAGATTAAATCATGAAGTTGTAGACAGGTTCAAGAATTTTTGAAAAACCTCCTACATATGTATCCGTTAATAGAAATGTTGTTGATTGTCAGCTGTAAACCAATTTTTCTTGGGTCTTGTGAAAGGTTTCAGGAAGTAATCAACTGATATAACGTTTATCATGATCTCGAACAAATGTCGTTTGAACATGTTTTAGTATTTATAAGAAATCGAGAAAAAGTTGTCTCATTGCTTGGAGATTTTTTCTCACTAAGAATTCCAGCAATATTTTCTCTTCGCGATGACCTAAAAACAATTCGAAACGGTCCAGAAATCATATTTTCAGGAAAGGGAACCCTAGTTTCTCATGGAATTTGAAAACTATGAGCTGAAAGCTAGCCTAAATCAGTTTGAAAATGTTTTTCTCAGCATATTTTCAAGCTGTTTGATTGCCCTTTTCAAACTAATTGTAGTCTATTATCAGCCTACTTCAGCCGATTTTAGGCCTATTTTGACCGTATTTAGAACTACAAAAAGATCTTTTCAGCGTGTTTTTAGTGGTTTTATAAACGTTCCGTTTTTGTCTCCGCTCTTTAAAAATTTAGCAAAAACTCATGGAATGTCTTTTTAATGACGCTTCTGGAGAATAGGGGTAGATAAACATTTTTAATTCAAGAAATCATAAAATTAAATAACGAACTAACCTTGTATGATTTGTCCAACGTGCTGACCAAATTATTGTTCTTTCCATTCTGTTCCATGCCAGGATTAGAATGTGAATTGTCGTCGTGGCTTCTGCATTCTTTCTTCATAAGGTCATCTAATTCATGTGAATTCAACAAGCAATCGTTCTCAAAATTCCAGAGGAGCAGCGGATTTCCCGTTCTAAAAGCCTCGGAGACCATTTTGGTATACGACGGATGAAGACGGTACAAGTTGTGATAGGCAAATGTGATCTGAAAATTTTTTTAATTATGAAAAACATGAAAACTAAAAAAAATACCTTTTCCAACTGCTCTCGTCTGTATACAGTTTGTTCCAGCAGATTAAACGGTCGTACGCACTCTGTCTTCTGGTTTTGGCTCCGAGACCTTTCCGGCTTCATCACTCCTGAAAATAGAAACATCAAGAAATGACGGCGGCTTTGAATACCAATGAGAAAGCGGACGGATGTGAATTGATGACGTGTTTCAATTTCTTTATGAGGATTTCCGGAAAGAAAGAGAGGAAAAAGAGAAGGAAGCATAAAAAAAAGAAACATTGTCAGAATAAGCCTAGAAAAATCGATTATTATTTTCTGACTTTTTGTTTGATGTCGGAATGCATCGAAGACTTGATTGAATTTCTTAAGGAATGGAAAACTTGGAATGAAACAAGATTTATTAAATTTTTCTATTTTTCATTTTTCATTTGAAAGAAAGTCTGAACGGAATATGAAACAATGTGGAGTGTTGCTGCTACAAAAACCAAGAAGCGGAAGAAACATCGAAGCTTTCCTCCTCAGCGGGGAAGGACGTGATTCATCGAAGCAAGAAAAAAATTTCAATCGAAAATGTTGCAACTAACGGAGGCAAGGACGGAAGAGCACGGTTTCCAAACGACGAGCAGACAATAAAATGAAAAACGGGGCCCCATAAAAACAATAGCGCACCCTCTCAACCTCCGACCAGCGGAAATTCATAATTCAAAACGAGACAAGATCATATATTTTTAACGAGGGCCGCTGGGGGTGGTTGTTCGACAGATGTTGGCCTTTATTAGTAAATGTCCACGCCAAAAACAAATTATGAAAAAAAAAAGAAGAGATTCAAAAAAAATTGGAACCAATAACGTTCAGTGTAAACATGAACAGACGACAAAAATCAGAAAAAAGGATATATTTTGTTGTTCTAAAATGTGTGGGTGTCTTTATTCTCAGAATTATTTGTAATTTTGTTTTTCAAAAGCTTTAAAATTTTTCAAGAATTAATTACTTTCTTATTTTTTAATGAAGTGAAACTCCTATAAAACTTAATGGGAATCTCAAAAGTAAGAAGAAAGGGGTGAATGAAAGTGAAAAATGGAGAGATTGACCTTTAAAAGCAATCGAATCCGAACAATTTGAAAAAACCGTGGTAGGAAAAAATTTTTTGGAAGATTTCAAAAGAAATTTAGCACTGAAATGAGTCAATAAGATTCTAAAATTCTAAAAATCGAATACTTTAAAATTTTAGCCTTTTTTCTAGAAAAATCTTAGAGCCTTATTGCAACTAAAATGCAACGAAAAAAAACGAGCAACAGCAAAAAGAGAGATGGACACATAAAGGGCAGCAGGACGGATAGCGGGCAATCCAGAAGACGAGGGTCCGTCACAAGCCGCCGCGGCCAAACGACGGCACCACACACACATACACCCACACCCACAAACAGCGCCGCAAAAAACCCCCCGTTTTCTTAGTGGTGAGCGTGCGCACTCCAATGGGGACCCCCAGCCGCTCAACGAACACGCACATACTCACCCGCACACACATAACGGGCTCACAAGGACAGCTGATTTTTGACCTACCCCGCTGGCCGCACAATAGGGACCCCCCGTAAACAATTAAACACATGTTGAACAGTACTGTGTGTCTCTTGTCCTACGACGGTCTGTTCATTCAACGGCACACCTGTAAATATTGTGACAAGGTCATTTCGAGGGGAACGAAAGTGTGTAGAGGAAATGGATGGGGACAGTACACGGATTAGTTGGAAACCGAAAACGAATGGGATGGAAAATTGATGTCTACCATTATTTTTCCAGTAAAGAATTTTCTGAAGATGACAAGAAATCGAAATGGTTTTCCAATGAATCATTCCACATGTGATAATCATCTATCTTCTTTTTTCCTTTCATATTGTCCGACAGTCTCTTGTTCACTTCACGAATCTCACAAGAAAAGTTTGAAGGAGAAACTCAAGAATAAGACGAATGAATTTTTGAAAAGTGAAGAAAGTTCATACTTCTTGAGAACCGCATGATATATCAAGTGTGAAAAAAGATTATCAGATTACGTTCCCATGGAAATGTAAGTTCTAAAAATTCTCATTTTTGGCAAATGAGAGAGAGGAAGGAAGTCACACCGTTCACAAACCGGATAGGCGCGAGTAGATTGAAAAAAAGTTGGGAAAAAAATTCATGATTCATTCACCACCATTACAATTTGAAAAATGGAAAATGGATTGCCACATTAAACTAAAAAAAGGAAGAAGAAGAACCCTCATGTGATTCTTTTCTCAACATGTTTCAATTCTTGAAAATATTACTTCTTGTCTAGTTGGTCTTAGTGGAAACGACAACGACACTCATGAAAGTTGGTACAATGGAAAAAATGGGCAAATAGAAAAACGAAAAAGAGAGCAGTTCGCAACACATGTTTCTGGGCCGCGTACACAATTGTTATGTATAGGACTATTCAGACTGTTTCCTTGTTAGTAGTGAAGGAATATGAAAAAAATCTTACACATCTTCATAGTTTTTTTGTAATATGGTGACTGCCACTTTGTTGGAAAAAAAATTGAAAAAAATACTGACGAGAAGAATAGATGACACATCTGGAGTCACGCAATATGCATCAAACGCATCAAACCCAAATTCTTAAAAAATATATTCATGGAAAGTAAAAATCTGAAATGAAAAATCAATCTTTATGCAGAATCATAGAAAAAAAGCTTAGTAAAAAAGTTTTCCCTGGAAAAAATTTTTTAACCACTTCTAGGCAAATATTACACATTTCATGAAACTTGTCCCAAGTAGGAGTTAATGAAACGTTCTATCCAATTTACTGGGAAACTGATTTTCCGAAAATGCTAAGAATTTGAAAAAATGCCTAGAAATTCTGAAAATTTTATGGAAATCCGTTAAAAAGTGACATTTTAGAAAACTATCCTACGAAATAAGCAGAAATCTCAAAAAGCTTGAAAATTTCAATCTCAAATAAAAATACTGATATTGGAATATTTCTGTTATGATAAACATTTTATCAGTTGACTGTTTTCTTATATATTTTACAGGAAACAAAATATATAAGCTCACAATTGACGATTTGGAGTGTATACTATCAGAGTGTTTACGGTAGTTGAAGGAAATTTGCAACGTTCGAAAAAAAAATCTAAATCAGTTCTGATCACTCAGAAAGCTACAGTTTTCTGGTAACTTATGATTTCTTTTGCCTTTACCCAACTTCACCATGAATTTTCAGGCTGAAATTTAAATTCGGAAACGAGAAACTGGAAGTTTAATAATTTTCTCAGGAACAACAGAGGGCAATATGTTACACCGGTCATCTAAGAAAATTGATTAATTTTCGAGAAATGACAAAACTCCGGTTTTTTAAAAGACAACTTTAATTGAAGATTTCATCACTTTTTTTAGAGACCCTCCCTTGTTCCTCCTTCATTTCCACCACGTCATCTTCCCAATCTCATCCCAAGGAAGAAATTGAGAGTGCTCTCAAGGAAAAAGTCCCCGTGAAAACGACATGAGTTACGGATGCACTCACCATCCTATCCTGATGGATGTGAGGAAGATGAATGGACCTGGAAAACCCGAAATTGGAGGAAAATGCATCTGTTGATTTATGAGTCAAAGGAGGACGTCCTCCTCGCGCCTTTTAACGGAAAATGGGAAGAAAATCTGAGAGCCCGAAGAGACCTCCAAAACCATCGTTCATTTAATTGGCGGCAATAAAATGGGGCATGACGACTCCCCAAAACCCTGGGTTCCTTTCATTCATATGAATTGAGGTCACCCCTCTCGAAAATGGGCTTTCTTTGGTTTTTCCGTTGGTTCTCGCTCTGGCCTAAAAATATTGATTTAGCTCATTTATAGGTCACTTTCCACACGCTTATTTTTTTTCAGAACCCTTGATTCTCAACAAACTTGGGCAATTAAAAACTATCTTTGAAGTTTTTCTACCTCCCGACGAAACTGTCAAAAGAACGCAAACATTGAAATAGCGTTAACCGTTTCGGCTTCATAGATAGTTCACCCAGTAGTGGGGTGTTATTGGGAAAAAATATCTGTCCAAATCCAATAATTGTTTCATTCCGCAAATGAGGCGAGCCGCCGGCTCCCATATTCGGACTGATCGTCAGAAGCTCGCTCTTTTGCAAAGAACAACTCTCAGCAGCCGGCAAATTGCGCCATCATTGAGGTCAGAGAAACAATCAGATAGCTTTTTAATTATATAATGTGTTTGTTTCAGATCCAATCATGTCCGGAAACTTCTTGCCAGCCATGAACAAGCTACGAAGCTGGTAGACGCCCTCCATACTCCATCTAAAGTCGACCGAGTCATTGATCGTCCTCCCGTGACTCGTCGTCATACTTCTCGGTAATTGCTTTTTATGTTCTCCTCTGTCGGCACGACGTGATAGCATTCTCATCTTCAAGTGGTCCAAATAAGATGTTGATCACATGGTTCTCATCGTGAATAACTTAGCAATTTTACTACACATTTGGTGAACTGGAAATCTTTTTCAAAAACAAAATTTTAGAGCTACAAAGTTTTGATCTCATCTGATTTCTGCTTTCAAGTTCTATTTTTGGGACTTAAATGATGCTAGAGGGCGTCCAACTGAAAAATTCTATAACCGACCTTTCGTCGAATAAAAAACGGTTTCCAACATTCATGCAATTTAATTTTCCCTGAATTTCTAATACCTTTTTATAGCATTCATGCTTTCCTATTCCTATTCACTTCTTCTTCTCTTTTTTACTACTTGCCCCAAAATTTCAAACGTCGCTCCAAAAAATGGAGGATAACTGCTGTTATAGAAGAGACGTAGAGCGCCAGCCGTCTCGCGGCCGGCCGACCCGACTCACACACAAACCAGCGTTCGTGGTTGGTAAATAAGTGCCATCGGTCTATGTCTCTCTCAGCGCTTCCGTAGCGCAGTAGGCAGCGCGTCAGTCTCATAATCTGAAGGTCGTGAGTTCGAGCCTCACCGGGAGCAAGCTTTTTTGAATCTTTTTTCTGGATTTGTGGAATGGTTTAATTGAAACATTTTAACGTTTTGAGTTTCACTAATGGGTTTATCCCATTTTAATGTAAACTACCGGTCGATAAAATAAACAAAAATTTATTTTCAGTTTATTTATTTTTACCATTTTTGAAGAGTCAAGTTTCCAATCATTTTAAAATTGTTGAGGGTGTAAGACAAACCTAGAATTAGAATACATAGAATGTTTTAAAGCACGTTACGTTGAAGCTATCAACCGTTTTCTAAAATACACTTATTTTGTCCTATTTTCAGCTTTAAAAAAACATTCCGAAATGGGAGGATTTTTTAAGAAATCGGCAAAAAACTGAAATGTGAATGCAATTTTCAAACAAGGTCTGTTTTATATTCTCCAAAATTTTCAAAGTCATTGGAAACTTGACAACCGAACTCCAGACTTCAGAAAATGGTCAAAATGACTGAAAATTGAACGAAAAATACATGAGAATGATTTGACCGATACTGTATGTCCCCAACCTTTCCAATATTTATGAACGAAGAATCGGTTCGAATAACATATTTTGTACGAAAAAAGCTCAAAAAATTCCAGTCAGTTGTTTTTTCTTATCAACACGGGCATTTTGTTAGTAATAGTAAAAACAAGAGAGACTCCTAATGAGCTGTTTTGTTACACAACCCCTCCTGTAAACCCATACCTATGTTTTACTTCTCTCGAGTTTACAGTCTTGTGATTTCTTTTTCGAATTTCCAAAAACTTCCAAAATAGTTAGCAAAAACTTTATTTCAAAAAAAGTCGCGCAACTCTGCGTAAATTCATGAAAAATTCACATTGAAATCACTTGAGAATTGCGTGTAAAGAGGAAACCGGAAGAATATACTTCTTTGATATCTGTGCACATATGTCCTTTGACGAATGTTTTCCTTGATGATGATGATGCGATGATTTTGTCGAAAATAGGCATGTCAAAGAGGAAGATAGAGATGATGCTCCTCGCAAGTAGTAGGAGGATATTTAGAGGTGTCTCGTATGTTCAAGTTGTGATATTTCCTGTGCCTATACTTGAAAAACGTCGCGTCTCCATTTTGATGTCTCATACTTTCCCATTCTCGGGAAACAATTCAAAAATCAAAGTGTGTCTTGGTTTAGTAAAAGTAATCCATCGGTTTTCCGTACTTCACCCACTCCTCTTTTCTTCTTTTTTCTTTATGTCACATCTCTGAAACATTTCGAAATAACTAAGAATGTTGTGCCCAAAACATAAAGTGCGTAATGACACTTTTGTTCAAAACTCCTTTTTTGCTGAGTATTCCTTGTTTTTTTTCCTATTTTTTCCTACAATTCCAGCGTTCTTATCCATAAGCTTTGTGTGTTCTCATGATGTCATTTTTTCTTACCACCGTGATTAAAAAAACCGAAAAGAGATTGAAAAAAATTTCAGTGCAGTTCTAAGCTTAAAGTGGAAAAAGTCGCCGAAAGCCAAGATCCATTTTTTCCAATTTCGGGTGAAAATACCCCATTTGTCGGCTCAACCCCCCTAACGACCTAATCAACGGCTCAGGGGGTAAAAGAATATTTGCGAACAAAAAAGAATGGAAGACATGGCGTCAGAAACGTCTGATCCTATTCAAATAATGATTGTGAGCACTCCAAACCTGCCTAAGACATCGATTTGCTTAACTGTCGAAGATTTTACAGAGCCATTACGGTAAAGTGTAAACTAAAATGTACACCAGATTTCTATCTGTGGGGTTTCCATATTATTGAAAAGTTATTTTTATTCACTAATACATAAAACGTTAACTAAAACATTTTTAAATATCTTTTGACGTGACATTTGAAATACCGTAGACACTATAACAGAAGGTCACCCTATACTTGCACTTTGAGATTAATTACCTCAAAAAAAGTGATCAGAAATGTGTCAACTAATAAAACGTTGATGATATTATGACAAACATTTCACCAGTTGATATATTTCCGTGTTTTCATTTAGAAAATGGTAATCGAAATAAAAGTTCAAATACACTGCAGCTTTCAATTAGAGTAAAGATAACATTTGCTTTAAAAACACACAAAACCAAAAATGAAAAATGTGTTCCTTGGTTTCTGTAACCTAAAAATACAATTAGGTCCAGAAATCGAATAGATTTACATCATCGCCAATTCTCCCAAGGTTCCGATGAATATTATATGTGATGAAACTTCATGAACAATATTTTTACCCAGAACAAAACGATGATGCTGAGAAAACAAAATCATTGTTAATCTAAAATGAGAACAAATTTTAGCCGTCGCTCGCTACCAAAAGAGGAAAGCCCACGAAGCGGTCTCAAACCACATGACACGTTGGGAGCAGATGATCGACGTCAATCTGCTTGCAGTTTGGCTGAGCGCCGAATCGAGGAGCACAGGTGCGTAGATGAGCCGTGGATTGACAAGAAGTGTCATAATCCAATGTTACGGATTGATTCTTGTTTTTGGGATTTGACGCGGGGCTCGGTGCCATTTGTTTCCATTTTTATTTTCAGTTTCAGTTGATCTGAAGCTGAAAAATAAGTATTCCTATACTTCTCTCTAGTTGTGTTTTGGTTCCCTGTTTTATAATATTTTTTAAGTTAATTTGTTGAAGATACATGAGACTCTACCGAGACATCTCTCTTAAAAGCTAGCACTTTACCCTTATAAAGTTAGTCGTCACGCTCTGACAACCTCAAAGCCATGAAAATAATTGCTATCCTCTCCCCTTTTTTCTTTTTTTACTTATATTCTTCTCCTTTCCAGAAAATACAGCTCCTACGGTATCGAGTCCCCTATTCCAATTGAGTTACCTTGCTCATCGTCACAACCGGAACCCGAGCGATCTCCATCGATTTGCTATTCAAAAAAACCTGTTCGAAGCTTATCAGCCGGGTGGCGAGAATCGTTCAGAGTAAGCGTACAAAGAGTCACTGTAAGATTTTCTAGTTTTTTTGAAAAATCGTTTTTGAAAATGCGGTTTTCTTAGTTAGTGGTCAGGTTTCTTGAAATAGCCTTCGTGTGAGATGATTTTTCTTTGTGCATCCAATTAACCAACTCAATCGCATTTTTGAGAATGGTTATCCTCCAATCTTAAACACAAAAGTGTTTTTTCTTATTTCAGAGGAAACTAAACGTGTTCCGAAGAGCCAGTCCATCCACACTGAGCACGCGTTCAACTCAACAATTCTTGGTTCCAAGTCCAGAAATGTCGTGCAAATCAAATCCAGAAACTGTCAAGGTGATCTGTGACTAATGACTTATTTTCAACTAGACAATTGCAGATGAAAAAGTCAATCTCGTTCAGTGAAACCACTCGCAATGCGTTCCGCCGATCGTTTCGTCAAAAAGTTCGTTGTTTTTCTGACCTCGCACATAATATTTTTCAGAGGGGATATGATCACATAATTTTTTCCAATGTTTTGATAAGAGAACCTTGACATCTTGTAAACTCAAATTTTGATGAAAATCTGAGGATAGGTTAAAAATTCACTGGACACTTCTGAACGTTTTAGAAGCCGGTCGCCCATTTCAGTCAAGTTATATCAGTTTGAGTACCTAAAATTGTGATGTTCAAGACCATTTTCTTACCTTCTAGCAGTGTGTGACTACCGATTGTCACTTACCGGTAACGGCTTTTTTGGTAATTTTACCGGTAATTTACCGGTAAAAATTTACCGAAATTTACCGGTAACCTACCGGTAAATTTGAAAACTACCGAAAATTTACCGGTATTGTACCGGTAAGTTACCGGTAAGGTACCGGTAAATTTTCGATGAAAATTTTTATTTTCCTCGAGGACTACATCAGTGTGTCTTTTCGAATAAACATTTCTAGAGAAATGCCTTTTTCGAGAAATTTTCGAGGAATTTTCAACAAAAATTTTTCGAGGAATTCCTCGAGGAATTTTTCAAGAAATGGATTCCTCGAAATTTCTCGAGAAACGACCCTTTCTTCTCCCCTTCTGATCTTCAGAATACGTACTGGCCCAGAATCCTGGAGACGTAACGAGCCACTAAAACTTCCATTCATCATATCTCGGTTCATTTTCACGCTAGAGAGTTCATCCCGGAATTTTTAGCAAGTATGGTTTTTTCCGGCTACTTTATGTGCTGAAGTGAATTTCATTGTGGTTAGCTTGGCGAGAGAGTTCGAATGGTGGGAAGATAAACTCTCTAGCGTAAAAATGAACCGAGTTATGATGAATGGAAGTTTTAGTGGCTCGGGACGTCTTCAGGATTCTCGGACAGTACGTATTCTGAAGATCAGAAAGCTCTATCTCTTTTCTGAAGCCAGGTATGGAGCCGTGAGCGCGAGCCCTCATTTGGAGGCGCACACACACAGAGAAGGGCGCAGACAAAGGGGGGGGGGGGGGAATTTCTCGAAAAATTTCGAGGAATTCTAAAAACGTCGCGGTTCAAAAATGTCGCGGTTCTAAAACGTCGCAGTTCTAAAACGTCGCGGTTCCAAATTTTGAAAAAAAGCAGAAATTTTTCCTAGAAATTACTGGTAGTTTTCGGTAAATTTACCGGTAGTTTACCGGTAAATTCACCGAAACCGTACCGATAGCACACACTGCCTTCTAGGACGTTTCGAAACATAAAATTGTTTTGTTATGCCTAATGGAACGAAATTTCATTTATTTCAAACATTTTATCAATAAAGTTGTTGGCTCGGATATTTTAACTAATCGGGTGACAGATTTATTTGAAAATTAGGAAAAAACTGACGAACAAATGTTTCAAATACAAAATTTCATTCAATTCTGAAAATAACACAACACATTTCATGATCTGAAACGTCCTAAAAGTTAAAAAAACCCACATCTGTTTATTTATCTAAACAGTCAGGGAGGTTTTGTTCGACATCGGATGATTTTATAATTTGAACGCTTCTTGAGAGCTATTTTTAGCTTTCGGGTTATCTTATCCTTCCAACTCTCTCATACTTACTAATCAACAACAGTTTCTTCTGTTTGCCAACTTGTCCCCACGTACAATTGACCTTGAAATAACTGCGTAGGTGGCAGTACTTTGGACCCATGAACGTTTTTTTTCGGTGGTCCGCCCGGGTCTTACCTCTTGATCAACTGCCGGTTCGACATTCTTTTCTTTCATAACGGCACGACCACACTGCGGCTGCTTCCTTGATGGTGGCAATGGTCGGAGGGGGAGGACGGGAAAAAGAAAGACCTTCTAATCCATTCATATATTTCATTTTTAGTTTGCTTTTCAATGGTCCTATTTTTGCTCTTTTTTTCTTCCAACCGCAAGGAGAAAGGATGAACAGTTGGGTGTGAAGTAGATCAAAAATCGGCAAACATCGAATGACGCGCGTATAGGTCAAATCACGCGGAGGATTCACATTGAGGTCTATTTGAACTTATCGAGCTCATTTTGTTTTATTTTTCGGGATACACAGTCTTTTTCAAGGCGTCTGGTGGCATTTTTATTTTTATTTACCGAATATTGCCAGATTATTTTTGATCTACAAGTGGCGTAGGTAAGTCCATTGGTATCCATTGGTTCTATTTACAATATCTAAACTTTTTTTTTCTGTTCGCTCATCGATATCTGTTACTGAAGTGGATGGATCAACTATAGAAAAAATGTTCCACTTTGATGTTTTAAATTGGTTTTTGACTAAAAAAAATTTCAAAAACGTTAACTTGAAATAATTGTTGACGAAAATAGGCTATAAATTGGCCTAGACTAATTAAGTTGATAATTGTCACCAGAATCCCAGAAAATTCCCAAATTGCCCAAACACCAAACAATTCAGTGTTGTCGCCCTTCCCCCTTTCAGAACTTCCAAATGATCTTTTGACACGCAAAAAGACAATAAAGGCGGAGCAACCACAATTGGAGGGGACAATGTTATAGACCCCGGGAGACTTTTTCCTTGTTTCTCTCCTGTGTCGATCCTCCTTCTGTGTCGGGTATTGTTAAGTGGTCTACACAAAACTCAAACGGCTCTCAATCTCACAAGTTAGCTGAACTGTTTGAACAAGCACCATTCGGATGTTAGGGGTTACTGCTGCCGCCTTATCCCTCCCCTGTTGCTGCTAAGCTCATTTTCCAGCGGTAAGAAACTCGTAGTGGTGAGGAGCAAATCTTTTTCCCACATTTACGATGTAATTTGACGATTTCGCCTTTCTCAAGCACCGTTATTTAATACATTGAATCTTTAGGCTCTTTGTATTCAAATACCACTAAATGTCAGATTGTGGGGTACTTCTTTTTTGAAGCTTCTCAAAACTCTGAACCTGAAAATTTTAAATTATTTTTTTCATTTTTCATTATGCCGTACTTCGTCAAATAGAATACCACCCAACTTGTCAACTTTTAGTTGAAATTATCTAAATTCCAAATATATTAAAAATGTTCCAACCGACAAAACAATTCTGATGTTATAATAAAAAATTCATCAGTTGACAATTTGTGAGGAACTTTGACAGGAACTGGGAAAAATTGGCTCAGATTTTGAAGTTAGGAAAGCCCTTCCTATACAGGTTTCATGGTATTCTCGTCATCTGCCTATCCTTTCCGACAAAGAACAACTAGTACAAGTTCTTTGAACTTTTCAAGTCTCGAGTTATAGCTTCTCACCATAGTTTATTATTCTATTGCTTCACTCACACTCACACAAGTTAGTGCTTTTCACAAAAAGATCTCTATCCCTCTTTAAAAACTAGCGGAAAACTCTTCAAGCTTTAAATCATGTGAGAACTTTTTTTCATTTTTTTTTCCAACCCGGGTCATCACTTTTCATACGGTGGTCATGAATAACTGATCACTTCTTTTTTCTCCGAGAGACGCATTCTGTCAACCGTGATTTGTCCCGGGTACGCGAGAAGGAAGATGCTTATTTTCGGTTCCTTTATTACATCATCATGCTTCACATCATCTGAATACACTCCAGGAAGAAGAGAAGACGTCAGATCCACTGTGTTATCTGTTCTGACAGCTAGCGCGATTCTTGATCTTTTTTGTTTTTCAGCAGTTACCGTAGCTTTTTGAAGTTTCGATAAAAGTATTCCAGAACCAAAAATTTTTTCTTTCGGGTCACACGTTTTGTCTGAGTAGGTCCTCGACAATTCCCTCTGATGGTTTAGTGCTCAACCATTTTTGAACTCAAGTAGCAGAGCAGTGAGTCTCTTGACAAAAGTTCAACGATTTCAAAAAATTCAGAAACATTTTTTCTCTCAATTTTTTCTTTTCAAAGTGACCCTAACTTATAATGGAGGTCTTCAACAAACTCCTCTTTATTTCATAATTTTCTTCTTTATGAGGAGCTATTAACTTTGTGTGCAATGACCCGGAATGTATATAGCATCTCTCTGTTTATTTTTTAATTTATATTCTTTCACTATTTCATTTTTTTCTTTTCTTTCATTTCTGCTCAAGTGCTCTAATATGGAATTCTGACACAATGCGCCAGACACAACGCTAAGTTTTTATTCCACCTAGAGCCAAACGTACCGTGGAGATTGGAGTCAATTCCCGAAGGTTCGGCCTCCAGAATATTCAAAACAAGCGATGTCGTCGTCGTGCTCAAAGGAATGAAATAATATCCTCGTATTCCATTTCATCCGAGCTTTTCCTTGTTTCCAATGCGGATGTGCGCACTCCTCCAAAAAACTTTCTTTCTCGTCTTTCATCAGAAGATGCTCCCTTGAGCCTGAGCCTCCTTCCAAAAACTTGCATTTCATGCACTTCCACCTACTCCTCCTTTTCTGGAACAACTATACATATAGACTACGTCATCAAGATGGGACCACCACGTGAGAAGTTTCAACACTCCCATTATTCTTATCTATCATGTCTTTTATTTTTGCATCTTTTCTTCTCCTTCATTTCGCGTTGTTTTTAAACTCTGCATTTTTGAAACTGAGAAAATATACCAAAGAAAAATGCTTTGGTATATTTTCAAAATTTTATATAATTCGTTTTTTTTTCACACCCAGAAAAAAAGTATTCATGGAAGTCTGAGAGTTGCGTCATTCCAGTTCTCTACCAAACCGAGAGAATAATAACATGCCTCAATGAACAAGGCGTTTTCAAAAAAGATCAAGAAAGAAAAAAATAATACATCGTCCCGTCAAACTCATTTTTTTTGTGTGAACTTTAACATGCAGAAAAGTGAAGAGCATTCGGTTTCCATTGTTGATTGTGATATGTGTTTGTGTTAGTGTCAATGTCAAAACCAATGGATGGGAAGGAGGAGCCGACGGCGGCGGGCGGCGGGTCGGTTCCCGGGCGGGAAAATGCTTTTTCTCTTTCTCCTGCACCCTCTAGCCGTTTGACTCCCATAGTCCCATTTTCTGTCTTGATCCTCTTTCCGACGGATCCCATCAAATTATTTTGGCTTCTCCTCCTACTATCCTCAACATTTCTGGGTTAATATGGAGACCCTTGGTCGTGTATGGAATCGTCTGTCTATTCGACGTCCCACTATAGCCACCCCTGAACCAGTAGAAGAAGAAGATGATATGACTCCTGAGAAGACTCGGGAAGTATTTCAAATGTTCAATGGCACGCCAACAAGAAGGAAAAGTGAAAGTGCTCATCATCATAGAGAAATTCTGAACCAAATGGAAAATCATCAACCGCGAAATGCAACTCAAAGTCCTAAAAGGCAACCGAGAATATCTGAAAGCTCGATGGACACTCCTGGAAGTTCTTTAAGGCGGAATTCAACAGAGACTCATGTATTCGCCAATCGAGCTCATCTTCATAGTGATATTGTAAGGTTTTTGTATGCATGTAATGTGGACATGTCTGTTTTTTTTTTGTTTTTTATGTTCGCCTTGGTCCCTTGTCAGTTTTGTTAGCCATTCGAAGATCATCATCTGATACTTGAAAATAGAATAGGTTCCGCATTCCTTCACCCCCTGAATACATGCCCTCCCGAGCAACTAGTTACAAAACTCTATTTTTAGCGTCGTCCTACAAGGCCATAGAATGCATGTTTCTTGTCATAAATCCAACAAAATCAAGAAAAAGTGCCAGCGGCTCGCACTGGCTCGCACCAACTTTTGTGCTCCACAGCCTGAAACCAGAAATATTTCTATTACATGGAACGTTGTGGCAACTCTCTAGTGGGCCATTTCCAAAAAAGCGCCCTCCTCCTCTTTCCAACAGCTTTTTAGGTTCATTTCCATGTTGGCGCTTCACGCTTATTCATGAGCCAAAAAAAGAATAAGTCTACTTTTTTTCTGCCAAAAACTTATTCTTCTTGTTCCCGCCCATTTTTGTCTTCTTTTTCTTGCGCCCATTTTTTTTCAAACTCTCTGAAAGGCATAATTGAGTGATGTCATCACCTCTATTCTTCTCTTCGAGGGTTTGGTCCCAAGAAAGTCGACGACAATTAGATCAAGTTCGAGTTTTCCTTTTTCTTCTGGAGCTCGATGATTTTTCATGTCTCTCCTTTTTATTGCTCTATTGCTTTACACCCTCACTTTTCTTGTTTTCAAGTGTTTTTAAGAAGTCTGTCAAGTTTAAAACTGATATTGTCATATGATTCGGGTCGTCATTGTCGTGGGTCCGAGAGAGTCTCTGGACGCTTCGGGGAGAAACTAAGTAGCACAACATAGCCGTGAGGAATGAGAAAAGAAAACATAGGGGGTACGGTGAGTTTGAGAACTAGCGGTTGGGACCTTGGATTCTAGGTGAATTTAAGACAAGATTGGATGTCTGTTTTTCTGAAAGATGTTTTTATTCCAACAACAGAGTGTGAGAATATGATCCGTGAATGAATGATGAATATGTTCTTCGGGACCTGGGATCTTTCATTTTCAAGCCTAAATGAGAAGCGTGGTATGTATGCACTCAAATCCTACATCCGGGTTTTAGAATTTCAATGGTTTCAGAGAAATGACACTTATTAATAAAGAGTTGAAGCCACTAGAGAAAAGCGATGTTCAAAGGCGAGACTGACCAATGATCCGAACAAGTGACTCAATTTCGAAACTTCTTTTTTTGGGTACTTCTGAATATATGTATTCTTCTCCTCCCCCCCCCCCCTCCTCTCTCTCTCTCTCTCTCTCTCTGCTCGGTCTTCCAAGAACTTGTTCTAATTCAATCTTTTCGAAAGCGCCCCTGGAGACCCTTCTCACTGAAAACAGCTCGTTTTACATCATCCATAAACGTCGACACGACTCCTACTAGTCAAAACACGGGTCGTCGGGTTTGTCGTCGAGGATGCTGTGCCACGCGGGTCACTCAAATTGAGAAAAGAAGAGGAGGAGTGGATGAAAAAATCCAAAATACTTGGGAAGATTGCGCACCAGACTCTAATTCAGACAAAAAAAGAGAGATCCCGAGTTTTTTTCCGTGCCTCTACCGCCTATTCTAAATTGCTTTTCCCGTTTACAACTACGTGTCGCATGACTGACTTGGCCAAATAAAAAAATTAGAATTATTCCAGAATGTGCCAGCGTGTTCCAGTGAAGACGATCGCATAAGTACCATACGACGAAACAGTTTATTTGTGAAACGCGGCTCCGTCACTATGGAACCCATCAAGAAGGTTGATCTGGAAGCGGTGTACACTGTAAATAAGCAAGTGAGTTGAAAAGGATTATTGTAACTAGAATTCGAAAATCTGTAGATTCAAAATAATATTTTCAATATTATTTCCAGTTGGGAACCGGTCGATTCGGTTACATCAAACTCGCAGAACACAAACAGTCCAAACATCGGATTGCTATTAAATTCTTCCCACGTCCACAGACCAAACAGGTAATATATATTTTTTGTTATAACGAATTCTAACCATGGGATTTCAGACGGACTTTGTTCGGGAGTACAATTACTCATTCTTCCTGTCCCCACATCAGAACATTATCGACACTTATGAAGGAATGTTCCAGTCTTCCGATGACACGGCCTACTTCTTCGTCCAGGAATTCTGCCCACGAGCATCACTTCGTGAAGCCGTCGAAGCTACCAACCAAGCAGGTCAGTGTGTAGATAACTTATAGGTTTTGATGGGGAAAATCCGAGCATCTGTCGCAAAGACTCACGGGGCGAAAAAAATTGTTTTATTCTCTTTCTCATGAGGCATCAAGAGAGGGTCTTTTGTCAAGATTTATGGGAATCTTAGCTGACATTACACATCAGAACCATCTTTTCCTTCTCATGCCTCTTCTTCCCATTGAAATGAGAATGAATGGGATTCCGGGGTTTGACCTTGTGTGCCTGAGATCCGGGGGGATTTTTATTGAAAAAACGTGTGTGTTGATTTGATCTTGATCTCTAAAATTTTTTTTGGCTCAAATCCAAATTTCGTGTGTGGGAATTAAAAAACAAACGAAAAGAAAAAAAGGACCCTTCAATTACAAGACATGAGACGGCATTCCCTCTTCTTATGTCTGATGTGAGAGGTCCTCTTGTGTGGGAAAAGATGATCAAAAATCTTATTGTTTTTTGAGCGTGTTTGAGTCAGACACTTATTTTTCATGTCCATTTTTTGAAGAAGCATAGATCTCTCAAGTTTTTTCTACATGCTTTTTTGAAAATAATTGAATTCAGGAATTGGAGAGGCTAACACCAAGAAGGTCTTCGCTGCGGTCCTTTCCGCCATCGAATTCATGCATGACGAGAATTTGGTCCACCGTAACCTGAAGGCCGAGAATATCCTCATTTTCGATGCTAACGACTACTCAAAGGTTTGTATAATTTAACAGGGAAACGTTTTTTTGTGTTGTTTGAAAGAAAACAAGAAAGAAAAGGTGTAAAACGTCATCGAAAGGTGTCCAATTTATGTAAGAATAGTTTATGTAAAAATAGAACAATGGAAGTGTGCTCGGCCACGCGTTTTGTTAGGAAAAAATACTTAAAAAATTTGAAGACAATCCGAGGGGATCTTTTTTACCTATTGCACGTAATGTTTTCAGGTGAAGGTCACCGACTTTGGACTGACCCGCAAAGTTGACACCACTGTCAAATATTTGGAATACGTTAACAACTATCATGCCGCCGAGCTTTGCGACACGGTCGTCAACGAGAAGTTGGTGGTTAACAAGAGCACCGATATTTGGGCACTTGGTAAGAGCGGTGTTCTGCAATGTAGAAAAAAGGTTGACATCATTTTTTATGAGTAGTTCAACGACTTTTGTTTTAACAAGTAGGCGGCTTGAAGTACTTGACATAGCTCATTGTTTTTGTGGTTTGTTTTCGGAACAGAATCAAAGGATTTGTTGACTTATGTCACGTATAGAACAGAACTAGGCGTTAATTGACTAAACACGAGTTGTTTGATAAGATTTGATGATCAAGGTACAGGACATAATTATCTTTCATTTTTTCAAGATTTGTTCTCGATCTTCATTCTCCAAAAAGTTGTGCAAAGGTCATTGAGACTTGCCGCGTGCTCGGTCGCCATGTGCAAAAAGTAAAACACATATCTCCCTTTTGTCTTTTTTGCCCTATCTCTTCTTCTCATTTTCAATATGAGGAGCACCGAAATCTGATAGACATGTGTTCCTCAATATGACCTGTGTGCCCGCCGCTACCAAAGCGTCGTTTCTATTTTGATTGGGAGCCCTGATTGACGTCATTGGTCGGGAGAGCGTCGCTTCCTACGCCAGTTTCCGATGGGACCCCGTACGTAAAATAGTTGCATCTGCAACTAATAATAGACACATTGCATCTTTTTCCGGGGTGACTCTGGCGGCGGCGTCTTCCGTTGAAGATAAATGACGATTTGAGAGATAGGAAGTCAAAAAAAACGTGAATAGTCATCTGTTACAACGGAAATCCTATTCTGCAGACATACGGAAGAAAAAACATCTGATGTTTTTGTTTCAGGTATCATCTTCTTCTACTGCATGAAGGGAAAGTTCCCATGGCAGAAGGCATCGATTATGTGTAAACCGTACTGGGAGTGGGAGCAGTGGCTGAAGAGGAAGAACCCAGCACTTCCAAAGAAGTTCAATCCTTTCTCTGAGAAGGCATTGAAACTGTTCAAAAAGTGAGAAAACTAAACATGAAAGGGAAGGAAACATTAAAAAGTGTTTTTAGATCCCTCACTCCACGATTCAAGGATCGATGGAGCGCAAAAGACATGCGAAAGTGTTTGGTCAAGGAGAAACTATTGAAATCAGTCAAGGTAGCGGTTCCCTACTACTGATAATCGTCGTGTTGTTATCCACCACCCACACAATTCCCCCACAGATCCTATATTATCCATCACACCTATTCAACCACAACTTTCCTACAAACCACTTGCTTTATGAAATGTTAGAAAATCACTTTTGCACATAAGACTATTTTATTGTCTTGTATGAAATCATAATTCGAATCCACAAAAGAGGAAAAATGTAACAGAAGGTAATAGTGTGGTTTGAAACTTCTTGCAAAATTAACTCTTCATTAATCGAGTTTGTCTTTATTCTCTCGAAAATTAATTCAAAAATGCTGCATGTCGTTTCTCTAAATAATTGTTATGCATCTAACCCCATTCAATGTTTTACTGCTTAAACTAACAGAATCAATTACAGAAACCGGATGAAGACTACTATGTTATGATTGACACTTCCACAAAGTCGAGACCATCAGCCGCATCTACTTCAAACGGTGAAAATCAGGAAGGCGCTGCTGGAGGAGCCCCAGCGACGGGTGAGAGGAAACAGAAGTCAACTCTCCAACAATGGATCAGCACAACGTTGACCGCGATGGCTGAGATCAGCGAGCAAGTGGTGTCAGCCAGAGACGATTGACAGTTTTTATTTGACTCATCTTTTTTCATTTTTTTTCATTCCCGCTGTCATTTCAATTATACAAGTAAGCCGGTGTCGCAATCAGTGACACACCGTAGTTTCATATTGTACGAGGTGACAATATATTTAGAAATCCCAAACACAAAAATTTCTGGTCCTCAAAATCAAACACTTCTTCGACCCCTCTGATCGTTCTCTTTTTTGTCCCTGTAATATTTCATTCGTCCGTGTTTGTCCCCAAAATTTTATCAGTTCTCTCTCTCTCTGTCTTATTGATTTTGTATGTGTATACCGTAAGCCTCGTAAGTTTTTTTTATATGTTCCCCCTCTTCGAATTTCTACAATTCGTCATTCATCAAACGTCTTCATTTTTCGCTTCCTTCTTTTTTTATATTCACAAGTTACCCATATCTTTGTGAACTTTTCTGATTTCTTTCCTCCTGTCTTTTCTCGAAAATTTATTGATATGAAATTTTTTTTAATCTGAAAAAAAAAAAAGTCTGATAAAAAAATCATCGGATAACTGATAAGCAAGGATAATCAAATTAAAGTTTACAGATAATCCAAAGACTGTGGTGAAAATTCATTTAATCAAGATTTTTCAGATTTTTCGGCTTTGTCACTCTATCATTCGGAAGTTCTGAAATGTTCAAGTTCTGAAAATATTAGATTTCGAGATGTAAAGTCAAGCTCTCTTGTGAACTATAACTCGCTTCTTGGAGCAAGTCAGAAGTTTATTATCAAACAAAATAAAACGCATTTTGAAAGAATTTGAAAAAAATCTCGTAATAACACATCATAATAACAAAACTTGCATGATTATATTTAGCGACTTTTTCCAGATTAGCGCATTTTTCCTATTTGAATTCAAAATTTTCGAAAGTCTATTCCTCCCCAAGAAGTTTTTCCTATTTCTTTTTTTAATTGCTTAATATCACATCTAAAAAGAAGACAAACGTTTTTGATGCCAAAGAAATTACAGTTATGCTTTTCTTCAGAAAATCAAAAGTTTGTCAGTGTTTGAACTTTCCACAAACACGGCGACACGTTAAAATTATTTAATTGATAATTTGGAATTTACACAAAAAAAGAAAACGCTGAACAATTAATCTTTCCCGAGAATCTTCCTTTTTATCGCATGCAGTGTTGATGTGCAAAATGAAAGATTTGAAATATTACACATTCAGATTTTTGAAATTTCGGGATTTCATCATACTTTGAGAATTTGTAAACATCGTGTTTTCGGAATAATTGGGTGAATTAGATAGCTTCCCAGTTTTCTAACATTTTGAAAAAACGTGACGAACTTTCATTTAAAAACATCTAACTTTTATAGACATAGAAACTCTCACAATTAACCAAAACTTCAATTAAAGTAACCTTCTCAATTAAAAAAAAGTATTTCTGGAAATATTCCGATTGGAGTTTCAATTCATGATTGGAAGAGTTTCTTCAAATCCCTTGCTCTCCTGGTTTCCCAAAAAAAATCTTTCGCAACTAAAATTCTAAAAGAAAGAGTCGAATCCCGACGCACAGCTCTTCTTCTTTCTTTTCCGTTCTTCCCGTTTCCCAAAACTACCGTATTTTTCCATCCATGAATCTCTCCATCTTTATGTCAACGTTTTGCCTCATAAACATCACTCATTCAGCTCCCATGCTCCGTTTATTTCGCACGACACCCAATTGTTCTTCCTCGCTCTTCTCGAATGCTCATTTACATTTTCTGACCATACTGGCGTTTTTGTGAAAAATCGACTGGTACACCCTTCATCTTTTTTTCCTCCCTTTATTCTGTTCTGTGTGAGAAACGACATATTCATTTGTCAAATAAGATCTCACTCTGAGCGTTTTTAATTTCCTCCCAATTTTTTCTGTTTGTCCGGGAGCTTTCTTTTTTTTTACTCCACCCGACTCCTTGGACCAACCTATTTTTGTTGGTGTCACTCTCTTGTGTGGATGTGAAACGGATATGATTGGCAAAAAGACAAAACCGAATTGTCCTTGTTTGTGAGCTGTGCAATTCAAGCATTGGAGCTTCTTTCCCGCCAGCACGTTTTGCCTCCCCCAGTGCCTGATTGATTTAAAACAAGTTCGAAGTGCGGTTATTTTTCACTGCTTCAAACATCACTGCCTCCAAAAAAGAAACGTCATGATTTCTTATTCTACGGATCATTTTCATACCCATGATAGATTGGTGAGTAGTTTCTTTTGAAATTTTGATTTTCCATTTAATGTCTCCAGAACCTGCCGACTTTCATCCATATCAGTTTGATGACTAATGAAGAGACTGATGAAAGAATCAATTTTCCATTCTCATACCGCTTGGAAGATCCTACTCTAGAAAGAATCGCAGTAAAAAAACTAAAATGCGTTGAGAAAGGATGTGAGTGTTAATTTCCAGTTTATAGGACTTTATGATTTTTCAGACGAATATCCCCATATAGATATTGTCTTTGCCAGAGGAGAAACAAATCTATCAAGAAACATTATTGTGGCACCCGAGGAGAATGAGAAAACTTGTGGTGAGCAATTAAAACTGCTGAAACTCGGAAGAGGTATCTTTTCAGGATTCTACAAAAGCGTTCAAACCATATCTCGCAGTCCCGAGTGCGAACTTCTTCCAGAGTATGAAACGGGGAGCAATTTGAATGGTAAGCGAATCTTTATTTGAGAAATCGAAACTTATCAAAATTCTAGGGTATATGGTTTTTGCGTACAAGACAATGGAGCACATGCACACTCCAAAGTTCACGAGCTCGTGGAAAACATGGTCCGGAGCTAGAATGCTGAGCACACGGATGCCTCTACCGCATATTGTCACAAAGTAGGTCGGATTTGTTGTTTTTCGGAAGGTACAGTCTGGACAAAAAATGATTCTTTCGTTTTTCAATGGAAAATATATATTTTGGAGTCATGAAAAATTTTTCCAAAACTGGTTTTTCACATTTGAAAAAAAAATCTGAATTTTAGAAATGTTCCGAATTCTGTAAAAAATATTATCAATGACACTTCATCTTGCAAACTTGTTATTTAGAAGAAATGCTGTATGAATTTTTTATTTATCAGGGTTTTTTCTGAGAAAAAAAATACTGGAAAGTTGGGCGGAACCAAGTCGGTTTGGGGACCAAGAAAACTCTGAACTAAAAGAACCCTGCTTGGCCCGGCTTGTTGCAAGTACGGTTTTTGAAGCAAAAATGAAGAAAAAACAAGACTAGCACTGGAACGAGAGTTTTTCCACTACTATTAGGTTGGTAAAAAAGTAATGCGCGTTTTTGATTCCTTTTAACATCATGCAAAACTAAAACAAGAGGACATCAATCAGAGAGCTTTTCTCCATGATTTGCGGTCACTTAACGCCAACGTATGATAAAAGTTTCGATACCTAACTTGAAGAACTACGCCGGCTGTAATTCGAAGTAATTATTACTAAACGCACATTACTTTTTTACCAACCTAATATAACCCTTATCTTGCTTTATATGATTATTATCATTTGACAGTCAATGTTTGCAAAATGTTTGTTAGTTTCAAAATTTGGTCTCTCGATTATGACCATTTTTCACACTTTAAATTATGCCAAAAATTGTTAAACAAAAAAACTTTTTTCCAGATTATCGTTTTTCAAAAAAGTCTCTGGACAGCTAAACTTCGAGTACATCCTAATTGCGAAAATCAAAAATATGATGGTAACATTTCAATTCCAGACTTAATATCTCACCGAGTTGTAATACAGGTGAACGCCGCTCCAGCACTGAACGTACTTCACTACATGAAGCCAAAAGTTTGTGCTTATGTTGGAGCCTATCGCAAAATATCGTTCGAGGTCTGTTCAAAAACTAATGAGTTCCCAGAACAAGTTTTCTAAAAAGCTTAATTGCTTTTTTGCAGGTTAACAAGAGTTTGTGCCGCAGTCTTGGACTTATGGATGCTAATTATGTGGACGCAATGACCAACCGATTCCGAGTCACCTACAGTAACAACACTGGTAATCATTTTCAAGGACTTTTTGAAAAATCTGTGTTTTGTTTCAGGGTATGTCGAGTTATCAGATTTCATCGAGTTTCGTTGCAAGGCGGAAGAGGAAGAGGCAAGAGAAGCCAAAGAGAGACACATCAGGAAGTCGACTCATGTTCAGACTGAACCGACTACATCATCGAAAAATGCACGGAGAACATTGCCAAGGTGAGGGGACGGGAAATTGAATTTCCGATAAATAAAGTGAATTAGGTTTGATAAAGTACGAAAATGAATTTTGGATTGACTAGAAAATAACTTCCGGGGTCAATTATAAACTACAGCAAATTCAAAAACCCAGATAACTCTTGCTTCATTTCAAATGTATTTTCAAAGCGACTGAAACTGGCAAAAAAGGGATGAAGAAGTCCGGTACATTGCTTTTCCTAAACTGACTTTTACCGGGAAGAGTAAAATAGAAATCATCACTGCACTTTGTGTATGGAAAAATGTTGTAAGCCGTGTGCTAACATTTTTGCCCCAGTATTTTTCGCGATCTTTAGCGATTTTTGCGATCTCTCACGTTTTTCAAATATGAAGTAAATTTTTCAAACGGAAAAAAACCAGCATCTTGTAGTATTCACCTAGTTATATGACATATAAAGTTTTAATTGTCTAAAAACGAACCTGAAAAAAAACCTTAAACCGGTCTTTGGACTGCATTTTTCCTAGTATGCTTGAAGAAAAATTGTCAAACAAAAATCAGCTCTAAAAGAGTTAACAGGATTTTTCTGTTCTCAAAAATAATAACGGCATGCATCGCTTGCCGCTTCAACTTGCGCCAACAGAGCTCAGCTGGTAGCGATGTGGCACCACCAACGAAAGGCCCTAGAGGTTCAACATCTCGAGGACCTCTTTAAACGAAATTTCAAGAAAACCATTTTTAAACGGACCCCACCTTGAATAATAATTTTAGAACCCTACCAAGCACACCGAGCAGCTCTAGTCGTTCTCCATCAACCTCTCACACATTTTACCCCTCTTATCCGTCACCGAACTCTGTGATCGGAAGTGTACTTCAACATAAGAGTCAGATTGTGACCGTTGGCAACAATTACCTCCTTGTCCTTGATAATCGCGGTAAGTGCGACACATGCAGGTCTTCAGTTTTTGATTAGAAAAAAGTGACGAGAGGAGGCTTGCAAAGATTATCTATTCGAAAGATCAGGATCTGTTTTTCCAGACTTGGAAGCACCAAGAGAGACAGTTATCAATGATCAACCAGGAACGAGCCAACCACAACCGATCGAGCACAAAACACATGTTAGTGAATTTCAGGATCATTGAATGAATCTTTAACAAACACTTATTTTTCTTTTTCAGCTATTTCAACGAAGCCCACATCAACACCATTCGAATAATGAGCTTCCACCACCAGTTCTCCATTTTCCGGCTCCCCCAGAGTAAGTTTCTGGAATTTTCTAGAGCATCGACCAACCAGATTTCCATTCATTAATTTTCCTTCGTGTTTTGATCTACTAGAAACTTGTACCTTTTTTTGAGTGCCACCTAGTGGAAATACTTCCATATTTTCATTCTGAGAAAAGTCAAAGTCCTCGTTCTAAAGGATCAGGTAACGCTATCATGAATGGAATACCTGAAATATTACATGGTAAAAGAAAGGAGCGCAGTTCAGTTTTTGTTTTTCAAAAATTGAATGAGTAAAAAAACAAAAGAGGATAATTTCTATTGTTTAGATTCAACGAGGAAACATTTTTAGAAATTTTAAATAAGTAGAAATTCTTAGAATAGCAATTATTTTTTCAGAGACGACGGGGCACTGCTTCGTCAACTCAAAACGAAGTACTTCAATTCAGAAGAATACACATCGGCCGAGTTTTGCGAACATGTTGCAGAATAGGCAATCCGTTTCAAGATACCCCTCTTATCCTATCCTCTCCCCTTTTTCTCTATTCTTTTTCCGATTTTATGAGTTTTTCGAGCAAAGCGTTTTGCGTCATCAATAACTTTTCAGATGATTTCTTTCTCCTTTTTTTCAACTTTTACGTTGTCTTTTTGCTTTTTGAAAGTTCCAATCCATATATGCTTTTTAATCCTTCTCAAAAACCATTCATTCAATTTCTCAAAGATCCCGGATTCACCGGAAATCAAAATTCAATAAAAGTATAGAGTAAAACGGATTTAATGACGACAGTAGGAGTGGTGTAGCTCCCGGATGAGCATCAAAAGCATCAAGCCGCTGACAAGTTTTACTCTTTTTGGTCTGTTTCGGGTTTTTATTTCCTTTCTTTTCTTTTTTGATTGAGTGTGTCTAACCAAATAGTCAAAACAAAATGAAAAAGTGGGATTTCCTTTCTGTGCTCATTTGAAAAATAGAAAAACGTAGTGAATGTGTCAATTACATGAGAACAGGAGGCAGTTGTTTTTTTTTTCGAAAAAAAGAGACACTTGGGAAAAAGACGCTTCGCTTTTTCAATTATCATTGAACTTAATGGTTTTCAGTTCATAGCATAGGAGTACAAAGTTTTGAATTTGAATGAAATTTAGTTTTTTTTATAGTAGTTCAGTTTACCGTAAGAATTTTTTGTAGTAATCAGAAATGTATAAGCAATAGCTTTCAATTACAAGAAAACGTCCAGACCTTGTAACCCCAGATTCTGATAAAAAGCGTGTTTTTCTAATTTTCGAACTTACCCACAACTTCGATAGAATTTAAAAATAAATAAAGCAAATTCAAAAGTTGTCCAAAATATGAGAATTTGTCCAATTGTAGTTTAATACAACAAATGTCATGTTTTAAAACGTCCCAGAGGATGAGAAAAACTTTAAAATTGTTGTTTTTGCACTGAAATAACGGTTGTAGTACTGTAACTTATATATTAGGTTGGCGGGAAAGTCTTTGTCACTTTTTCAATAGTTTATTTCTCAAAGAAAAAATAACCGAATAATTAATTATATTGTCCATCATTATCAACAACATGTCTCCAACGTTCCCTCAATTTATGGATTCCATTGCGGTAGAATCCAGCCGGGCGTGAGGCAAAGTATTGTTTGAGTGCCGCTTCGACCGCTCCACGGGAATTGAAGCTTCTTCCTTCGAAGGCACGTGTCATATCGCCAAATAACCAATAGTCGGAAGGAGCAAGATCAGGAGAATACGGGGGGTGAGGGAGAACATTCCATCCATATCCCATCAGCTCCTGCTTCACTTGTTTCGAAACATGTGGGCGAGCGTTATCATGTTGATAGTACACTTTCTTGTCTTTCAGGGCCGAACGGTCGACTGCTTTCTTGAGGTTTCGTAGTTGAGTAGTGTAGAGGCTCCAGTTATTGTTTTGCCCTCGGGCAGAAGTTCCCAGTAGATGGGGCCGTCCACTCCCCACCACACAGAGAGCATAACTTTTTTCGGATGAAGGTCGGGTTTTGGGACATCCTGTGGGCTCTCTCCTTCTCCAACCCACTGGGATTTCCTGTGGTGATTATCGTAGAAGACCCACTTCTCATCTCCGGTTATTAGCCGGTCCAGCCATCGATCGCCCGCGTGGAGAGTGAGAAGAGTAATCGAATCGTCGACTCGGCGGTCAAGGTTGGCTTGAGTCAGGTGATGAGGTATGAATCGACCAAAAAGTTTTCTCATTCCAAGAGACTTCAAACCTTCAAGGACTGTGCTATGGTGAACTCCGAATGTGACAGCTAGTTCACGGCTAGATTGAAATGGATCCGATTGCAATGCGTGCTTCAGCTTGTCCAAATCCAACTCACGGGGTCTCCCAGAGCGATCCTTTTCATCGAGCGAGAAGTCATCTTTTTCGAAACGATGGAACCAATTGCGAATAGTATTGTAGTGAGGGGCATGTGTGTTGTACACATTCTTCAAGAAAGTTTCCGAATCCTTCATCGTGGTGTGAGATAGGAAGAGGTAAATCAAAACATGTCTGATGTGAATAGCAGTGGGAACAAACATATCGTTTCAATTACAGATGAGGAGCAGGGAAGGAAATGGGGACTTGTTTATATGGAAGGTTCTTATCACCTTGTTATTCACTAGAGTCGATATCATACACAGCCTCCATATACGAGAACAGTGATTAAACAAACAGAGTGACAAAGACTTTCCCGCCAACCTAATAACTAGGGCTGTTTCTATCCTATCCTGAATTCATCATCACAATTGGGGCGTGCAAGCTTTTGACGTTCCATTGTTTGACGTTTCACCTTCGATTTCTCGGAATTGGCCTCTTCCTGGTTCATTTTTTTTTTATTTCTTGATAATTCAAAATTCTAACAAGCATCCATAAGACCTGTTAACTTTTCTCCTTGGTCCTATAGTATTCAGTTAGGCGTGGGAGGGTTTTTGTACATTTCAAATTCCCTTTTCCTTCTTCTCACTTTTGCATCAGCTCGGAAATTAAATCTGGCAAGTTTCTTGCTTTGAAGATGAATGTTGGCTTTTGAAGACACAAAGAATCACTGTTTGGAACGCTTTCTCTTTTCATTTTGTTTCCGAATTTACCCACTTAGTATTTTTTGAATGCTCCTATTTTCATATTTTCTTCCTGGAAAAGTTCAAAAAAATCCGCAATTCCTTCCTCGTTGATGGATCGTCGTATGTAGCCTCTTGAAATATTTTTTTAAAGACTTGCGTTCGTCTAGACTTTCAACAATTTTTCATATATGACTTTCAAGTATACCATTTTTTATCCTGTCAGTCTGTTATCTCAAGGAGTGTAATTAATGGGGGGCTCACAAACACAGGAAATGAGCACCGTATCCTGGATGACGTCAGAGAATTGAAACAAGGCACAAAGAAAACTGGAATAGGGTGTCATTGTGTAGAGGGAAGTTCCGGCATGTCTAGTATAACAGGAAAGAATTTAGATCTTCTTCATCGACTTTCTGAACCTCACAATTTTAAAGTGCGCTCAAAAATCACCCCATAACTTCTTGTCATTCATATCTGAGTGCATTTTTCATCGCAAAGCACTTTTTTCCTTTTTCATTGACCCTCAAGTGTTGCTTGTCTAGTTTTGTGTAATGGTATCATGATCCAAAAATTTTCCTCCGGTTCCATGCTCGGTTGTTGGAAATTCCATATTTCGACAAAACTTTTCTCACACAATTTGAAAAAAACAGGGTGCGCATGAAAGCTATTTCTCCGAATACTTGTGATATTTGGAAGAGACCACCGAGCCAACAACCCACGCATTTCTGTGTCCAAACATGTCTCAGCCGGAAATCAAAACAAAAACTGACAAGTTGGTAGAGGGATATTCTTGGGTTTTCCTTCGGCTTTCCAGACCAAGACTATGACGCTTTCCCATGTTTTAACTTTGGTCCCAGTTTTCGCAGACGTTCGGTAAAGCATCCTCATGAAAGAAACAAATCCGAATTCTCAAAAAACAAATACAAAAAATGTTTGAATATGCTTTGTTTTGTTTTCAGTACGAATAATTGCTTCTAGAAATACAAATTAATGTATCTGAAATAAGGTGTGATTAGACAAATTTTTCCAGACAAAACCTTTTCCCCCGCACCTCGTGATTGCTTTTTTGCATCTGAAAGTCACCAAACATTTTCCACCAACATTTGAAGAGATCACTAAGGTTTCGAATGTCCCAACATTGTAATTTTCATTTCTCAAACCGGGAACCTCGACACATTGTGAACCCATCTTTTGCTGAACTTAAGGATAGGATAGGACAATAGCCTATCTAGGCGCCTCTGAAAATGTAAGAAATCGCTAGCCAGTTTCAGTCAAGTAATATCAGTTTCAGTACTAAAAATCGCCTTTTCATTTCGAAAGCTGCAATTTTTTAAGACTATTTTTTCTTCTTATGGTACGTTTAAACACATTAATTCTGGTGTGTTGTACTTAGGATTCAACGAAATTTCACATTTCAGACATTTTCCAAATTTTTGAATTTTCCCACCACTCGGATTTATAGGATTTTCAAGAAATTTCATATTTTGAAACCTCCTAGAAGTTAGAAAAAAATTTCTTCGAAAGTTGTTTGTTTGCACTGAAAACGAAGATTTGTGGTACTGAAACTCATATCAGATGAACCTGTTCAGAGTTGACCAAATAGTATATTCTTAACTGGTCTTGTGATTTTCATCAAAATCTGGGTTTGAAGGTGTTGAGCTTTTTCTGTCCAACATTGACATTCAAAGAGAAGTCCACAATATTAGTTTTCTTATTTGTTCCTAAGGCCCTTCTTATTTGGTAAATATGCCAAAAGGATACACCTGCTACAAAAACAAAAATAAAGAACTAGACTGTGCTGTAAATAGTATGGAAAATGAAATCCGACCCATTTCCGTTTTCAAATTGCATTATCCTTTATTCCCAAAATAGGACATTTGTCTACCTTGGTTTTTGTCTACTGACGTATTTTGTGATGCGTTTTTTTTCAATTTCCATTTAGTTTCGGAATTTAGGTTCTTCTTCCCGAAGAGCTCAAAGATCTTCCTGTCCCCTACAACAAAAAATTAGAGAAGCGGTCACCAGACAGAACTATTTTCTTAAGGAATATATGAGTAAGACCACAAAAAATAAAAGAAAGTAAAAGATGAAATCATTGTCTCACCAGACTACTTTATCTAACTATCCAAGCACAGATTTGATTTCCTTATGTTTTTCTTCGGTGAAACCTCAAAAATTGATTCGAGGGAGTGAGAAAAAGGAAGAAAAACAGGAACCAGAAGGAATTCGAGTTTGAATAACGCAATTATTTATTCTCTTTGCGTTTCTCCCTTCTTCTTTTTGTTTTAGAAAGTTTCTTAGTTTTTCAAAAATGCTCACCTACTAGTTTTTGTTTCTTTTGAACCTAGAACTTCATTTTCACGTTTTCCAAAAAAAGCTTCCAAAAAAGAAGGACCCAAAAACTAATTTTCTTAATGTATTCCTAAAATGAGACTTCAGTTTTAACGACTTCTCAAAAAAGGGGGTTGCATTGTTTTGAAACACCGAAGGATAGAAAATGAGAAAGACAAAAAAATGGGTCCATCATTCTAATTCAGCCGGTCATTTTCTACCCCATCCAGACGGAAAACACCTCGTCATCTCATTTTTTTTGCTCTAATCGGGTTCTGCAGCCGGTGGTAAATTGATAACTTTGTTAATATTTAAAAAATCATGTACTTTTTGCAGTATGATATAAGTCAATCATATTTTATAGTTCCTCAAATCGAGGAATTTTGAACTTTCAACAAGTTGAAAAAGAGCTACTTTTCAGTTTCTCACGATATGAAAATTAAAGAAAAAAAGTCACCGACCAGTTGATCCCTGCTCGTGACTGATCAACGTGATTTTATTCAAGGCTAAATTCCAAATTCCGAAATCCAAAACTTCACATTGCAATCAACTGCTATTACTCCTGATTCATTGATAAAGGCTTCTAAATTTTTTCTCACGTCAGTATCCAACTTGCCATTAGAACGAAATTTGTGAGTGTGCCCGCCCTGGATTAAGAGCAAAGAAATGCTAGTTTGTGCTCTTTTCTCAAAAACCTTTTTACTACTCGACTAACTCTTCTTCTCCTTTCCTTCATCACGACGTCCATTCAGAAGACCAGGAGGTGTCTATCAGAGTCACGTGAACTACGCTCATCCCCTGTTGTGGACTTTGACACCTTTAATAAATGTGGTTTTCGTTCTTCCTGTTAGTCAGTGCACATTCACATATACATAACACAACACTTTCTGGTTTTGACACTTTTCGCAAGTTTTGGAACCTATCATTCCATCCAGTAGCTGAGAAAAGTGACGAGTTTGTGTTCTGTCTAGGATTTTCTTTAGAAAATTCTAAACAATTAGCAGATCAAGCACAAGACTAACCCATCATGAGCTATCCTGGCTTCATTCAGAAAGTGCCAACATCTCCAATTCCATTCTTTTTCATTTGTGATCTTCTCCTCCCTTTTCTTCATTAGCCATCTAACTTTTTTTTGACTCACACTCGTCATTCGATCCATTGCCACTGAAAGGACACCTCATTGGCAGGGATTATGCCTGTTGAATATTCCCAAAAAACTTAAGCGAGGAGGCTCCACCCCCTTTTTCTAAATCTCATCACTCATCAGAATGGGTGTGTTCTTTTCCTCTCCTTCGCGTCTACCGGAATACAATTCAATTACATTCATTATTATTTTTCGTTCTTGTTTTCATATCAAATAATCTAATCACAAATTTTTTTCTACAATTTTTTGTAGGTTAGTGACTCACAGTGATAAACTAATTGCTAGAGAGCCCGTGACACTATCTTTTAGGCATTTTTTCTCCTTTTTTTTGAGTTTTGTATTCACACTAATCGGCTGTTTTTCCAGACCTCCTGACTTAACATTATCATATCTCTTATCTCAGCGTTCTATTGCAATAGTATTGTTAGAAAGTAACTTCCGAAAAAATCATTGTTATCCTTTCCACGCATTAAAATACAAAACCACAGTAGCGCTGATTATGTAATTTTGAGAAGAGACAGTTTCTCGGAAGAATTCTAATCCAGGAAGAAAAAGTCCTCACCGTTTCAATTATCTAACGGAAATGGTCCCGGAAACCCGCACTTTTTCTAGAGAAGAGTAGGCTCTAATTAGTTTCACATCCCACCTATTCCCAATAGTTTTGAAAACACTCCGAGTGATCACCAAAAGCATGTCAGCACTTTTCAATTTTGAGTAGTAAGCTAATCCTTTTACTACAAATGAATCAGATAGTGACTATTCTTTCTTACTAATGATCATGATTGTATGTAAGCTCAAAATGCTTAAAATATTGCTCAAAATATCTTTTGTGCGTTTTTTGTGATTATACCAAATAGATCACGTCAATACTGCCCACAGGCTCTTTTCATTTTTTCTGTCTGGGTGATGAGACAAAAGACTATGAAAAGTCATTTGAATATCTCCTAGAGACACCGTCCAAAATTGGCGATTCAGCGAGATCCGAAAAATCCGCTGTCTTATGTTTTAGTCATTAGTCTCATTTTTAGTCAATACAATATTCCACTTCTCGTTCCTCATTCATATTAATTTTTTTTTTCTGTCCTCATGTCTTGTTTCAGCTCATCTCCCAGTACCTAGAAAAACTAATTCATAAGGTACAAAATATCAAACACCATTGCGTATGTGCCAGAAACCTAATCCTGTTTTGGTTCTTTGAGAACAATTCTAGAGAAACCCGGTGCCAATAAGTTTTAATACATGGCCTTTACTTCCAATCCAATATTGTTTGAATGTGCTAGATTGAGTCGTGATTAGAATTCTCAGAAACCCTCTCGCAGGTAAACAACAGATTGGCAATTTTCATACTGTAGTTGCTGGTTCCAGGATCTATTTCCTTTTTCCTCGTCACTTTTCTTTAAAGTATTGCTTATCTTTCGACTTTTCCGGAAGTGCATGATGTCGTTCGTTTCCGTTGGATGGGTTTTTCCGCGAACGATTGCAAAAAATGCCGAGTCTCATTCCTTCCTTCCAAAAACCGTAGTTCAATTTTCTTACATCTCCCAGCGGTCCGTGTTCTCTATTTTCTATCTTTTTTGTGCTTTTTTTGGTGCCTCTTCAAAAGTCCAGACCACTTTTTAGCCCCACCCCCTCCCCGGCGGAATAGACCCATTTTTCAAACTATCCCAAGTTCAACCCCCTCCTTTTTTTACGCCACGCCCATTTTGGGATGGTCCCGAAATTTTCATTTTCCATCCTTATTTTCATTTTGCTGTCTTACAGACATCAACTTGAGGCAACGACAATGAAAGCCTGTCTCGTATTAGCCTGTATTCTTGTGATCTGCGGGGCTGACTTCCTGCCAAAGCGAATGGATGCCAATGCGTTCCGTATGTCGTTCGGAAAGCGAAGCGTAAGTTGTAGACTGAGTTGTTTCTTCTGAGAATCTTATTTTTCTTTAGGGATCCGTTGATGCTCCATTTGAGGCAAAGCGAATGGATCCGAACGCCTTCAGAATGTCATTTGGAAAGCGTTCAGTGGAGCAGAAGGAATCTCAGGAGGAGAAGACCAACGAGATGTACGATGATGGCAAATTCGAGGAGGCCAAAAGAATGGACGCCAACGCCTTCAGAATGTCGTTCGGGAAACGCTCAGTAAGTTGACCTAATTAGTTGAAGCATTTATTGTTCTCTTTTTGCAGGCCTTCACAGGCAGTGAGGTAGACGGAGCTGCCGATGAGGAGTACATGATGGAGCCAGAGCAGAAGAGAATGGATGCTAACGCATTCCGCATGTCGTTCGGAAAGCGAGTCAACTTGGATCCAAACAGCTTCCGAATGAGCTTCGGGAAGAGAAGTGTGAGTTTTTGAAGACGGGAAATTTCAAAGTTTAATTTTCATATTTTAAGACTGTCGGGTATAACGGTGTGGACGCTCGGAACTACTTCGTCGGCCTTGGACGTCGTTAAACAAGAGAACATCATCACAAATTCGGATCATTCGCTTTCTTGTCTTCATTTCTACACTAGTCTCGTTGAACAAAAAAAAACCAAAAAACCATCTTCTCCTTCCCTCCTCGCCTGTGAATTTTTCCTTCTGTTTCCCTCTTCCCCTAATTTCAACTGTCCCAACTTGACGAAAAGATCTTCTTCTAGTTAATAAAGTTTTTGTGAACAAGAAAGAGTGCGTGGGTGTGAAACATAAATCTGTTGGAATATGAGCTAAAGACTAATTAAGAGAAGAAAATATTATATCCACAAGAATCTTTCTGCAGAGTTGTTTTGTTCTTCTCAAAAACCAAATATCCGGCGCATCTTTTTTCTGAAAGTGCTTTCGGATTTGTTTAACAGGATTAGCAATCAGATGATATTCTTGCGTGCACTTTGAGAAAGAAAAGTCAGTGGAAAAAAGTGACGAGGTGTATGTTACAAAACATAGGTCAACTCGGTCACATATTTGATGTCAAAAAGCAAAGGAAACAGTTCTAGAGTTTTCCGGACACACACTGATAATTTTTTAATGTGTTTCGACTGTAAAAACTGCGCGTCACCGAGAAAAAGGAAAAATAAAGAAAGAGAGGAAAAGAGAGGAGGAGGAATTCATTAAATTGGAATTCAGTTACGATAAGAGATTGTGGAGAGAGCATCTGTGATAACATTTTTTTATTGATTACATTTCCGCTATTCAGCGTTTCATCACTACTCTGAGAAAGCAAACCTTTTTTATTTGAACTATTTTCAAAATGGTCAGAAAAACTTTAGACTCGTAAGTTTACCACTTTTCTACTTTTCAAAACAATATTCAAAGTTCAGCGTTCCCGAACCAGTTGTTCTCCCCACCGAGCAAATCGTTCAAAAACGTATCAAACTCAAAATGGTTGATTTGGACGCTGAGATTGCCAAATTAAATATGCAAGTATGTTTTTATAGACATAAAACAAAAATCACATCACTTTTCGTTTTTTCCGCTTGTCTTTGCATAATTAAGGTGTTGAAAATGACAGCATATGTTATTAATAATGTGTGGATATGTAGTCTTATTTTGAGCTCAGTCAGTTCCGGAATTTTAGGGTGTTTTTAGATAGTTGGGGAATTTTCTTGGGAGCAGGAAGATTTTTAAAAAATTTGAGGCAGATTTCATGATGATATGTTACCTAATTCGTGGCAACCACCATGAGTTTTGTGGTTTTGAAATATTAATATTACCGATGAACAGAATTTTTTGAATTAAGTTTGAAATTTTTATAAATTTCCGATGTTCTAAGCTGATTATTATTTGTGTAGTCCCTCTAGGTAATGGAAAAAAATTTTTCAGAGTCTGGAAAGCAGTATTCAGATGATCAAGGACTTGGACCAGATGAACGTAGATGCGGTCCAAACTACAGCTGCTCTGGAAGACCAGGATGGTGGGTTCAATAGTTCAACACGGCATTCTTCGAGTTTTTGCGCTTCCCTTATCATTTTCACTCCCTATACAAACCCGCAATCAATAAATTTCAGAACAATTGGACAAAATCGAAGAGAATCTCAGCAAAGTGATCGACGACCTGAATGTAGTCTCAACAAACATCACCGCCATGGAGCATTACTGTGGCTGTGGAATTTTCCGAATTTTTTGGTTGGTCACTGATTTTTTTGCGACAACACGATAATGAAATGTTGTTATTTCAGCGCTCCATTCAAATATTTTCGAAAACGCGAGCGTGACATCATAAAGGAAGAAGTCTTGGAGTAAGAGTCAAACTTTTTATTGTCTCAAGTGGCCTGCATAGAAACAGTGTATTTCAGGAAAATGACGAGTCCGAAATTGCGTAGGAAGGAAGAGAGCAACACGGTGATTTTTAGGAGCTCTAATAAAAGAAGGGAGTCAACCGGGGATTTTATGAAAAGGTTTGTATTATATATGTACACTAACGGTCAATAAGATTTACAAAAACGTAACTTTCAGTTAATTTTTGACCGTTTCGACCATTTTCAGGAGTTTGGAGCTCGGTTGTCATATTCCCAATAACTCTGAACTTTTTGGAGGTAGTAAAACAGACCTAGATTGAAAATTTCGCATTCACAAAATTATTCAAAAATACCTAGTTTTTAAGCTATTTGCCGACTTCTCTAATAACTGTTTTCCGTCTTTTTCAGTACAAAACTGGACCAGAAAGGGGTGTCTTTCCGAAATCGGCATGAAAAACTAGCAACTATCAAAAAATTCTATGAATACAAAGTTTTCCATCTAGTCCTGTTTCACACCTTCCAAACTTTTCAAAGCGATGAAACACTCGACAGTCGAGCTCCAGTCTTCTGAAAATTTTCAAAATGGCCAAAAATCAACTGAAAAACACGTCTTTTTATAATAACCTTATTGTCCGGTATCGACGTTCTCAAATTGATTTTGAAGGGGTCAAAGTTTCTTTTTTTCAGATTAACATGCGACACAATCGAAGACGAATTAGAGCGTAATCTGATGCAAATCGATCAAGGGCTTGAATCTGTAAAAACTTGGCTGTTGATATGCACGTTCAACTCAAAATACAGGAACCAAAACTGAACAGAATCGAAGAGCTGGTACGTGTCGCGTCCCAATATAGTCTTGCACTTTGTCCCGCAAATCATCTGCTTATCAGTTATTATGTTTTGGTTTTTTTCCAGACCGAAACAAACGATTGTGTCGTGGAAGGTGTCAACGACAAGGTGAAAAAACTGCTGCATTAAGCCGTGTTGGCCAAAAAAGAGCATTCCACGGGCAAAATTCTCATGGGTATTACTATAAGTTAACAAAATATTTGATGACTTGCATTATTTACTTTCAATAAGAAGTTTAAAAGTTAAAGTAGAAAAAAACCAATAGCAATGAATAATGTTTCATCACAGTATACAAAAAATTGGTCAGTTCAAAGCAGAGTGTACGGTCGTTGTTCGCTGTTTTCCAGGACTGCACGGCAGTTCAAGAGAACGAGTAGAAGTAGCGGTGTGCTCCGTAGCGTGCTGAAAATTTTTCAGTAAGGTTTATGATCAGATGTTTAAAGTTTTCTCACCAGCTGGAAGGTAGACATCGGACCAATCCTTTCCACGACGTCCCAAAGCTGTTGGCTCAATCCATTTCTTATCCAGAGTCTTGAAATCAATGCATCCGTTTCTGTACAAGTCGATGGCAGTCTTCACGTTCTTGCTATAAAAATATTTACTAATTTTTTCTCATCCTGATTTATTTTCCCTACGTGTCGTATTGCCATGGTCTCCAGTTGTTCCAGAGTGGTCTATCGTAGTTCGGGTCACGATAACGTCTCCAGTAGGTTGGGTTGAGCCAGTCGGTGTACCACTTGTATCTGGACCAGAATGGAGCGTACTCGTGTCCCAAGCTGTTTGGAATTGGGTCCACATAAAGTTGACGACGAGCGGCGAAGCGATATGTTTGCCAGTAGAATGGAGTGTAGAAGGTGTAACGATCGATGGCTGCGTCATCCAACTAAAAAAAGGGGAAATTCCTATTGATATTTCTCTGGTTTGTTGTTGGGAAAATATATCCGTCAAGCGTCAAAAACCAGGTGGATCGAGAAAAAGAAGAAGAAAAAGAGGGAAAGAGAGACGACAATTGCAACGAACATTACACTTTTTAAGAAGGATGCCAACACTTTTTTCTATCTCTTCTTGGAAAAATGGCAGCAAAAAGTGGAATGGATCAGATTGAATTGTTGATCTCTATTGTAATATAGTAATCACTTACTGAATCGTAGTCACGACGATACTTATGAAGAGTCGATGGACGGTAGTTGGATCCGACACGGATGGTGGAGAGATTTGGAACAGAGGTCACTCTGGAAGTTTATATTTGGGGAAATAAAAAATATAAAATTTCGCTAGTCAAAATTTCAAGCTAGGGTTTTTAGAGAAAAAGTACTACAATTGAAATACTCCTAAAACTCACTTTTGAAGGCTTGATAAATAGGATATGATTTTTTTTTCTCATTTCATATTGGAGATATCGAAAATTCAATAAAACAATAAAAATGTCAAAAATACTTTGACCGTTTTGTGGTTTTCATTAAAGTAATCAAGATGAATTCGGTGAGATTTTACAGCTAATGGGCACCTCAATTATCTACATTTTTGTAGGAATTTTCAGTAATGTATGAAATGATACATTTTGGTACTGTTATAACAAAAATTTCATCAATAGACAAAAATTTTATATCTCCTATAATAAAAGAGCTCCAGTATAAAGTGGTCTTTTATTAGAGTGTTTACGGTATTTACTAGCATTCTTCTGGCCCAAAACTCAATTCAAAAATACTTTTAATGACGATACAAAATTACTTCAGCTCACAGACTTGAAGATTCAGAAAACACGAGCCCTGATTATTTAAAAAAATTTTAGAACATTTTTTTCCACACATTTTTATCCCTCAATCGATATTTGTAAAATCACTATCAAAACGTTACTATCAAATTATTGGAGCCACCTTATCCCCAGTTACCCTAATTTCACAGCACAACATCAACCGACATACCTGGTTAGTGTTCCAACAGTTCCGAATCGTTCGACGGATCTGGATCTCGGCAAGCATACCTGATTACGGGCTCTGAAAGCCACGTCGGACGGCATCGCACTGGTTGAGTCTCGACTGATCGCTCTCTTGCTCCTGTCGCCTGGGCCCCGATGGCATGGAGGAGGTTGGTCTCAGAAACACCCACGCGCTGCGCCCAAGGGAACCAAAACAGCTGGCTGCTCATACACAACAAACACACTTCAGATAGATACGTCCGTCTTTTTCCTTTCTTCTCAAGAACATGAAACCAATCTATACGGATATTTTTTCGACGACTCTCCGTCGGCAGATGTGTGCTTGGATCGAAGAGCATGTGTGAGTGCGGTAACGAGAAAAAGGACTGAAACCCCTGCTGTGACAATCAAGATGCGCCGACAACACAATATTGAGACTCCGAGGGTGTTAGTTGGATAATTACATGGTACCCAGATCTGTTCATCTTCAGACAATTTGCATACAGAATTTTTGCTAACCACAAAGAGGTGTTAGTCGTAATAAGAGGTTGAAGATGAAAAAATAACAATATGAACAGATGTCAAACTCAGCACGCAATCCACTTTTAAAACCATGTTAAAGGAATTAAGCCGACGATGAACCGAAAAAAGTGCATACGCAATCTTTAAAATCCCTGGGACACACACTAAATGACGTTTTTTCATGTACTGAAAGAAGCTACCGATACCCGTGTTTCCTTGCCTTTCAAAGGTAAACCGCCCCCGCCCCTCCTACCGTATCCTTTGACTTCTGCCGCGCGGACAGTAACCTATACCGCCCGAGTTTGCGTAATACTCCGACAAGTGACCACGATTAGTTAGTATATCCTTGTCGGCTCATCTGAGCAAACAATGTAGAACGAGAAGTGAACAAATTAGAGGATTATGGTAGTTAGATAGTTTGCCTAATCTGGTAAAAAATTACAAGGGTGAGTACGAACGGTATAATATTTTTTCGAATCAAACGAAACTTAATATTTAAGGCATTTTCTTCTTTTTTGCTTTCACATAAACCTCTCATTGTGAAAATTCGAAAATTTGAGAAAATAAGAACATGTCTGAAATATAAAGGTTCATCAGATTCTAAAAATAACATTACAAATTATATGTTCTTGAACGTCCTAGAACTTGAAAAAATTGTTTTTGAGAATTGTTGTTTTGTACTGAAAATGCGATTTGGTTCTGAAACTGATGTTATAAGACTGAAACTGGAATTTACACAAAAAAATGGTTATTGCAAAAATTTATTCAAAAGTTACAGACTAAAAATTTATAAATCTCTAATATTTTTGTTAAAAACAACCCACTTTGAATTTCCAGAAATTTGATAGATTTCGATAGATGAGACTGCAAATTTTTAGGTCTACTCAACAAGAAAAAAAAAACATCAATTTTGAAGTTAACAATTTCTGTGTAAAAATGCATTCAGATGATGTAAATCGCTAGAAATCGTCACTACTCTGAATACAATGGATTTCTGAAAATGTTAAAGTTTTTCAACCGGTATATCTCATTTGAATGGTACAAATAACTTGTCAACTACTAAATCGAATCTCTACTTCTGTTTAGTGGAACTGAAAATGTTAAGACTAGTCCAAAAAATTTTGCAGTAATTTAAATATATCCCAGGTTGACCGTTTGAACGAATAATGAAGTCGATAATCTTTCAGTAATACTTTATAAATGATAATACTGTATAATGTTATTTCTTCAAAAAGATTTTCAAGCTTCTTCGAATTTCTTTTCTCTCGTAGTTGTTTTCTAGGTTCCTTCTATGTTCATAATGTACCCTTGATGTTTAGTACCCTCCCGTGGTGTTACCATCTGTCCTCGTCACGGTCGATTATAGTTAGCCGTCCTCTTATTAATCGTTCACACCTACCTAACAGAAACCGATTCTGGAAAGAATTACTATTTAGGAATTTGTGCAAACACCGCGACTCTGTTTCATGTGATCCCTTATTCCCATCGTTGTTCTAAAAATTTGACACCGTTTTGAAGAGAGGCCCGTGCGAGCAGTCATTCACACCCTTTACAATAACATCCCGAATGAGCTGCTAGTGCTAATTGGGAACAAACGAGCAAGTGTATCGATATAAGCCGATAAAGCTGTTGTTCAATTTCGAAGTAACAAACACACATCATATAATTATGAGGCACATTCTCCCTAGTGCACATCCCAATCGTCATCTGTCGAACAGTTGGGGTAAATGAACCTGCCCTTTCGAACTCCTCAAAATATGCTACAGTAACCCTTGAATGTTACTTGGATACGGGAATTGAGAGCACCTGTTCTCAATTGTTGTAACTAGATGAACGGAAGGATTAGGATCAGACACATTAAATAATCTTCGAATAATATTTTGCTAGAAGACATGCGAGAATGACAAGTTAATGACAGTAAGTAGGGTTAGGATAAAGGTTTCTAGATTCCCAGGAGAAAATTGTTCAAGTGTTTGTAAATGGTTGTGAAAGGAAATTTGAAAAACAGGAATGTTTTAGTTTGTTTTAAATTCTATTCCTAAAATGATATGAAAATCAAGACCTTGATAATTTTGGTTGATTCGAAGGTTTACATATTTCTAACATCGTAGTCGTTTTCGAAGTATTGAAACTGAAAAACTTAAAATTTTGATTTCCACGTTTTTTTTGTAAAAAACTATCTTATCCTTCTATGTCTGCAAGTAAAAAATTGTTATAAAAAGTCCCAAAAAACTAGTATTCAAAAATATTCAACACTTTTTTCCTGTCCATCCATTATTAGGTTACCTGTTCCAAGTTGTACCAATTTGTGATGCTTCAAACCTGTAAAAACACTTTCAAGCAGTATCTGAAAATGTGATGTTCTCAGAAAATTCCCATTATTTCCTTCACTTCTCTAGTCTATCCATTTTTAGGTTACCGATTATTCTCAGTCCTCTCTGATTTTCCTTCCAGCACTCAACAGGCACTTATGACGTATTCCTCTCGGTAATTACCCATTGGCTTAGATGTTTAGACAATTTTTCCAAACAATATACCAATGAAAAGATTTATCGTGTTGAGAGCAGCACGCCTTGTTCGGTTACACAACTCTCCATCTGCCTCCTTGCCTTGTACAGTATGAGGGGTCATCCACTTTATGTGTATAGTCATATTTATGTTGGACTACAGTCACTATCCCTTTCTGGAAAATGGAAAAACGCCACCACCCACATTTTTCAAATTCTCAACTTGAGACCATAAGACGTAAACTCATGTTCTTTTGCCTTCTCACACTTCATTAATCCATCTAATTTCATAACAAAAGTCGGATGGAATGAAGTCTCAAAATAAACATAAATGGAATTTTGTGGAAAATGAAAATGAGGTAAACATACAAACACACTCCCCTCCCCCGGATTTCCGGTCCACAAACAAGTGCCAAAATCATAAATATGCCAGTTCTGATGGACCACCAATTGCAATCGATCATTGTAAATTTGTATCTTCCTCTCTGCCTCACAGGTTTATTGGCCCTCTGCGGTTTGACTGGCAGAACGGAGGAGCACCTGCTGTTGTCATCATCATCATCACCGACAGCCTCTTCTCATCCAACCGCAGTTGGAGTCAATCCGGTGAAGCTTCCGACTTTTACACCAAATCTTACCTTCAGTTTTTGAGGTCGGCCGATTGCTTCCAAAAGAATGTCAATATGATATGCCACACAGATGTTGTTGCTGATATCACTGTCTCTATCTGTCGGCGTGGGGGTCCTGAAATTTGAATCCACTTATTCCGCGCAGTGAGGAGACTCTCGAAAAAGTTTATGTTATAGTAACAGTAGCCGTTTTTCCCGGGTTTTTGGCGGCAGATAGTTTCTTAAGCTTCTGTCGGAGGAGATGGTAGGAAACTTGATACAGGTAGATTATAAACATTTTTTAGCCCTCGGGAGGGGTCAAGACCACCTCAGGTAAAGTAACAGATGTGTTGTGATTGGTTGTTAATAAGAAAACGATTATTTTTGTTTCCGGCAATCTGATTCTACTATACAGTCATTATTTCTCTTCTTTGATTCAATCTACAGTCGGCGTTTTAAAAACAAAACAGTGTTAGCAGCTGCCAGAGGCACATAAGGAACACCGATGCACAGCTAGATTACGTAATATCGGTACCTGAAGAGTCAATGTGACTAACGATTTATTTTGGAAACATTTAGAATTGCGACAAGAATATGAGAAGACAAATTGGTATACAAGCGTGGAATGGTAAAACAAGTAATAAAGCAACGAACACAGATCTATAAAAGAGAATACAACTAACATGCGATTGAAAAAATAAGGGAAGCTCAGAGAATGAATAATTTGGAATTCATTGCATTTCTACTACCCGATCAACAAGGAATAACTATTTTTTTAAGAATTTAAAAATGGGAAACAATAAGTTAAGGCATAGAACAGAAGGGCACCGAACTATATGAGAAGCTAACAAGAAAGGAGGACGCGGGTTACTGTAGTTTAGCGAATAAGCCTTGCTGTTGGTTAAGATACATTTGGATAAGCTCGGGTTGAGTAAAGACCGGAGCCAAACTTGGCATTGGCATCATTGGTCGAGGAAGGAAAGCAGTGGGGGGAGTGGTAATAAACGGGGTACGTGGCATGGGTGGAAGGCCGGGATTGAAGTATGGGAAAAGGTTGGCAGCGGCGGCACCGTACTGCTTGTAGGCATCCATTCTGGCACGAGATAGTGTGGAAGGACGACGACGAAGTTTTCCAGTAGCTCCACCAATGAAAACCTCATCTTCGCAAGTGGCATCGAGCATCCAGTAGTTGCCTGAAAAAAAGACCGTATTTTTCGAAGCTCTAACATCTAATTTTTTACCTTTTCCTGGATCATCGAAATTTCTTGGAACCTTGACGAAACATTTGTTGAGTGAGAGATTGTGGCGGATGGAGTTCTGCCATCCCTGCTTGTTATCCCGGTAGAATGGATAGTTGGTGAGGATGTAGTCGTAGATTCCAGCAAGGGTCAGACGTTTTTCCGGGCTATTTTTGATAGCCATCATTATCAAGGCGTTGTATGAGAATGGTGGCTTGTCATTCGGGGAGCTTGGTTTTTTGTCATCAGACGAGTTAGAGCATGGTGACTTCGAATCCTTGCTGGAAGTACTTTCCGACCTCTCATCGTCAACACTCTCGTCTAAAAGATAATCGCTGTTGTCATTGGCTGGATTGGACATGATGTCAGTGGTGGAGTCGATTGATGTGCACGGGTCGTTGATATCTGCAGATAAGAAGATTTGGTTTACGGTAGGAAATGGAGCATGTGGTGCAACAAAGAGATTATGAGTTTTGACGAGCTGCGGGTTTACAAATCCGCAACAACATGACAGCTGGTGGTGGCCACCGCCGCGACTCGATTCTCCTCGGTCCTACTGTCATTTTAGGTGAGCGGGCGAAAGATTCAAGCATTGGCTAGAGCGGGGTTGATACGAAAAACGAGAACGATGGCAAACATCAATCAACGACGACAACAAGTGCGGAGGGGCTCCAGGGGCAAACACACCGGGCCCCGGTTACAGTAGCCCCGAAGCACATATAGATGCATGTTTAACAGATAATCATCATAATAATATAACAAGAGTCGCCGCGCTTTCAAAATAGGTAACGGTGAGAAGAGGGAGGAACACTACATAGCGGGGTTACGGTAACAGGTTCTGACTGAATGTATCTAGGAAGCCTAGAAGCAAGCCATTTTGATCTATCTAATTTAGTATCTTTGCACATCTATGCACTCTAATATCAAAAAATTATCAAACAATGGGAATAAAAATAACTGATAAGTTAAGGATTAGTATACAGACAGAGTATCCCTAATCTGGGGATGAACTTCATGGGTGCCAGGATCTAGAAACGATGTATGGAACAAAAAGACGCGCTTAGCAGGAAACTATTAATAGCTGAAAAACCACAAACCTTTCTGAGCCTGAAGCTGGAGAGTTGATTGCATGGAGACCAGCCCGTTCTGAACATTCATTGCCTTCTCGACGAGATCTGGACACAGATCCAGGATGGAGAATCGAGCCATGATTAAGGGCCAGTAGAGGAACTTATTGGAGCAGGAACTGGAGATTTGATAAAGTTGGTATACTGAAGCAATTTGGTATGGAAACAATAACACGAAAAAGTGATGGGTGTCTTAGGTGGGAGGGGCGGGCCAACGCGGCCGACTCGGTGGAGGCGTGGCCTGGCGGGGGAAGATGGTAGTGGTAGGTGAGATGCGAAAGGGACCCCGCGCTTTGACTTGAAAGACGATGCCGGCGTGACCTCCGAAAAAAAAAAGAAGGTGTTAAACGGGTGTTGTATGAAGAATATGAAGAGCAGCAAGGTGTTGAAGAAACCGATATGCATAGGTATGTACACGCCTTTCTTCTGATCTTCATCGGGGGAAATCAAGGGAGGAATGGTGTTCAGTTAAGCGTGACAAAACGGAATATCACTGTCTGTCTGAACGGCTATGTCTATTGGAACGTGCATAAATTTGGTCAGATGTGTTCTAGACGGTGATGTTTCTGACGATTGTAAGCAAAAAAGATGAAAAGAGTGTGGGATTTTTCAGAGTTTTGAACACCATCAGTTATAATGGAATCAACTGAAAGAAGAAAAGATAATCAAGAATAAAAATATTACTGAAAATAAATATAGAATCAGCCGATTGGTGGTTGATGTAACCAATATCCTTAAGAATAGATATCGTGAACAATCTAATAGAGTGCCACCCGAAAAGTCATTTTTGAGCCCATATATCTCATCCTGTGTATAAAAAATACTAGTCAACTGATAAATTGTTTATCGTAATATCGGAAACAGTTTATCAGTTGGCTACTTTTTCATAAATCTTGCAGGGAATTAGATATGAATTCAAAGTTGAAATTTTGTGCTCGACTTCTTTACTCGCACTTGAACAAAAACTTTCTCGGTTTCTGAAAGATATACAAAAATCCTGCAAACTGATAAAATGTTGGTGATAAGTGGATAAACAATTTATCATTTGTCAGATTTGCGAAATCTCTCAAATAAGTCGAGATAATTGAGCTCAGAGGTAAAAAAGGCGTTGCATTTTTTTAACCGAGGAAATACGGTATGAAGAATTCTTAAATCTAGTTATTTTCCGTGATAAATCGCTTCAGAACAATATCAATTCAAAAAAAAATTGTGATCCAGCTCAAAAATTCAACAAAAAAAATCGTTAACAACTTTATCTAAACCATGTGATGTTGACAGCACCAACCAGAATTTTTTTTCAGGAAAAAAAATCTCAAGTGAGCTACACACTGATTACCTCTAGAATTATTGCCTCAAATGAATTAATTATCCAAAAAAAGATGAGAAAACAAACTCTTGACCAACACGGAACTTGGTAGTTTGATCTGTTGTACTAACACAATTTTTCAACAAGTTACATAATCTAAAGGATTAATGTATTTTACACATTGTTTTAATACAAACAGCAAGTTTTCATATTTTGGAGTACTGTAAAACAACAAAAAATATGATGTTTTGGAAAACGTATTAGCTTAAGACATCTGACCAACTAGAGCCACAGTTTCAAATATCGAAACCCGCAGGTCAAATAGTTTGTGTATGTGGATATCAGAAGAGTCGAAACAAACGAAAAGATTATCTAAACGCTGCGGTTAGCCCGGATGAGCAACTTCGCAACAACTCGTTTTGATTGACACCATTCAGCTGCTCGTCATATTATTGAACTAAGTGACTCTTCACAAACCTATTGTCCTAGGTGCCAACCCAATAATCCCGGAAGGCATGAATGCCTATAAAGACAGATGACGTTTGACAGTAGCGGATCATACTTACATACTTGCTAGTTAGGTATAACGATTTGTTTGGGAACATTGATGGGTGTCGATATTCCTACTGTTTTTGGAGGTTTCCAGATTAAATCAAATATCTCATCAGTTTCATTTATATCTATATACCGTTAGCAACGGAAATATTTTTAGATTTTAATTTTGTTTACGGTTAGTTTTTGTACATTGTAGGCGTCCTTGTCTTGTTGAAATTTTCTGACTTTTGATATTTGTCATTTTTCCCGTTTCATTAGACATTTTGTAACAATTTTTTGGAGAGTATACAATAACATAAATTTCAGATGCTGGGCCGGTCCGGTAACAGGTGGAAGTTTTCGAAAAACGGCCAAAAAAGTAACCTATGAATATTTGAATTTGAATATCCTCTAATGAAACAAAAACATATTAACATTCACTCCCTTATTCTAGTTTCAGAATTATTTCAAAATTTCTTGACCGGGTGGGACCGACCGGTCAAATTTAAAATTGGTTCCCCTCTACGACGAGGGGGAATGACAACGTGTAAACCCGACTTTTTTTTAGTTCAAAAGGTTTTTGTAAGATCAAGAAAAACTTCTGAAAGCGTTCAAAGACGTTTTTTTCTAAGAACGGATAATTTGGATCAGACAGATTTGCGAATCGAGAACGGAGGATTAAAGGGATTTAGCAACATTATAACCAATGCACAGGAGATTAAAAGTTGAGAACTCTGAAAGAAAAAGAGATGCAATTTCTGAAATAGCTCCTCCACAAAGAACCAATGAGTGGGAAAAAGGTGAAAAAAAAACTTGGAAAAATCGTTCTTTATATACATTATAAATTCAACTAGAAACTGATCAAAACGGCGTCATTCATCATAAGGTTAGGTGTGTTAAGTACAAAGTGGAAGTTTGCCAGAAGAAACCGACTAGAAGTTATCAAAATCCAGAAAAATTACAAGCATCACCAAATTGTTTTCACTTCCAATCTTCTAATGCTACGTAAGAATAAAGAAGAATACAAAAACTAGGTGACGACGTCAATTTTCAAGGCTCGTAAACATTGGTGATGATCCATACAATTCACAATGCATCAGGAGCGTCAATTTCAAGACAAACGGATAAAAAGTACATCTGATGATGGATGACTCAAAAAGATGTACAAATGTATTTGATGAAATTTTGAAAATCCGTTTTTTTCTCAACAAAAAAAAATTTGCCACTTGTTGCGCAATTGCTGGTACCTCATCATTGTAAATTAGCAACTACAGTAACCATAAAACCTCTGGCACTCCTCTCCACTAAAAACAGCCGTGCACAATTGTAAATTAGGGTTTATGGAGTGGACACTATTCTGGACAGAGTGGACACAGTGTTCGAATGCGATGTTTGAAACGAGGGACATGTACTGACAAACAAAAAACTCTGTTTTGCACTCGTACAATGAAAAATATCACATTGAAAGATGCCGCAAGTCCCTCAAAAACTCATTGAATGCCTTATACAAACTTGATGATTGAAGCGGAAGAAAAACGGTTATGTATCACATCATAATCCATATTGGATCCAAGTTTATTGCGGTTTCTTTTAAGGAGGAACCTGTCCATCTCCCGGCTCCCTCTCCTTTCACAAAGAAAGTTCATACAAGTGTGAAATTGCCGCGATGAACATATATGTCCCTCCTTGATGTCTAGTAGTTTATGTGGATACATAAAGTTGTGTGTTTGATTTTAAGGCACAAATGAGAGAAAGGGGGACGGACCAAATATTTTTGAAAATGAATTGAGAAATTGTTATAATGCTACACTTTGTATACATCTTTTGGAAGATAATGCTATTATTTATTTATAGCGTGAAACATAGTGCGAGCCTGATGACAGAGAGGAAAAAAACTGAGCATAGGAAGTGTGCTGCTCGGAAGTCGAGCATTTTCAGAGATATAAATAATATCAGAAGAGAAAATCTAATTTGTGATTGGATTATAAGGTACTTCTAACAATAGGAAGGGATTTGTGTAAGCTTCTCACCAATAGGTTCAGATGTTCTCTCAGATGTTGCAAGACCTAAAAATCTAACTTTGGTTATTCTTGAATATAAGAGGATGAACAGACATATATTTAATGAACCAATGATTTCCAGTGAATTTCAGAAGACAAGATACGTCATAAATGCACTTTTAGAAGTTTCTTAACCTTCTTCTGACACTCTCAATATTATGAAAACAAAAATTCGCATGGGAATTGAAAAAACAAAAATGAACAACAATCTTGCAAATGTTTGTAAACGGTACAGCATATGTCAGGAAACTGAAAAAAAAGAAAAAGTTAAGAATACTTTAGGTTTCTTCTACATATAACTGGTTTTATATCAGGCTAATGTCCGTGAACAATTTTTTTGGTGCTGATTAAATTCCATTTTTCCAACAAGGGAAACACGGTTTTTTTTGAATCTCTTAACTGCTTTTTGGAAAGATGAACTTGTGGGCGGAATACTTTAGGTTCCATACAGCAACCGGCTGAGCTACGAAGCCATATTGACAAGGACTCACCTCTATCGCATATTTTTGCAGCTACTTTCGTTTCAGGCAGTCTGATTATCACTATCACTTTCAAACTGTATAAACAACGTTGTTACCTTACTTATACGGGAACCACTCCATACATCACCCTGAGATTTTGATGAAACCTTGTATGCAGGCTATCCAAAACATCCACAAAATTATAGCTACACACGGAAAGATCGGACGACAAGACATTTCACGATTTTTTGTAAGTTTAGAGTCGGTACCGCTCAAGTGGCCATGCATATATATGAAAAAGATAAAATTTATTTTGATGTTTTTCAAGAAAATGTTCAGTTCATGCACATGAAACTTTGAAAACATTTCAAAAAATAGTTGTTTTGAGAATTTAAAAAATGCGAAGAAGCAACAAAATAAAATTCAAGAACTCACAAATGCATCTAAACACCTTGTTCATGAACTCAGAATTTAATGAAAGTTTTGGGATAGGCTGAGAATAACCTATCTAAACACTTACAACTTGTTAGAATCCGCTCGCGAGTTTCACCCGAGTTATATCAGTTACAGTATCGAAAAGTAAACAACTGTGACTTTCAAAAGCGAATTTATCCACTCCTCGGGCGTTTCAGAACATGAAATTTGTTGTTTTACTTTAAAAATTCAACGAAATTTTATATTACAGACATTTTCTAAGAAGCAAGTTCACTTGGATTTAATTTAAGTAGAAGTTATTGATTTTCGAATTGAATATCTCTTTCGAAAAATTTGAATTAAATCTCCCTTGTCACATGCTAGACCTATTTTTGAGCACATGTACGTAAGGCAATTGCCCTGAGGAGGCTGAGAAACGCGCCTTCTCCCTCAATGAATTTTTATCAAAAGTTTGAATTTTTGAATTTGATGGAGTTCAAAATTTCCATGTTTTCCATTTTCCTTATTTTACTTTAAAGGTGGCGCATAAGAGCGAGTTTCATTAATTCTTGTTAGTTTATCATCGTTTGGATGAGAAAGTTTTAACTCTAATCATGAAAATTAACAGTTTTGTTTTCTCAAACCAATTCTAATCTCACAAGAAATCATAAAATGCTTTTCCATTGAGACCTTTCGAAGTTCAGCTTTAGTTTTGTGGTAGTTTCAAGTAGCTTGTAAACTACTATTTATCATATAAGAAAGGGCTAATTTCAAATTTTTTTATTTTGTCCAAAGAAAATCATTTTTTGATATTAAAATGGGAGGGATACAGAATAAGATGGCATATTTCAAAACCCATAATATTCTGTGGAAAAAGAAGCACAAAACCAGAGTTTTATCATTCATTCATTATAAAGAAAATTTATGAGAAGTTTTTGGGTTTTCGATTGGAACTTATTGATTTTTAAATTTTCTATTCTCCTTCCTAATCACAGATTTACAGCAGATGTAAATCTGTGATTAGACCCACTTGTATTCATACAAGAGGGTACATTTGCTTTATTTTTTTAGTTATTTTTTTCTTGGATTTTCTGACACCAGAATATTGTTTTCAAAAGAGATTCCGAGTGGAATTGAACCCTGGCTGCTCAGATTGAGATTCAACTGCTTTATTCACTTCACTATTTAGGGCTACGTGAATAATACTATCAGTTGGTTGTTATATACTTAAACTTTTTTGAAGACGCGACAGTTCCTCAAAATTTCAATAATCGATTATATAATAATCATCTGATAGTATTATTCATGTAAATAGTGAAGTGCATAAAGCAGTTGAATTTCAATCTCAGCATCCAAGGTTCAATTCCACTCGGAAGCGAATATGTTTTGAAAACAATACTCTGGTGTCAAAAAGTCCAAGAAAAAAAGGACCAAAAAAATAAATAAAGCAAATACACCTTCTTGTATAAATACGAGTGCGTCCGTTTTTCTACTCACAGATTTACAACAGATGTAAATCTTTGGTTAAAAAATGTAAAAATAAAATTATGTCAATATAACATGGAGATATACATACATAATCATAATACAAGTCATTATATCAGATAAACCATCATTCTGTTAAATACGGCGATAAACTTTAATTTTTTTGAGACCCCAACAGAATTAACAGGCTCAATGAAGCACAATGCATTTTTGTGCTTTTCTAACGTTTTTTACATCGTTGTTGGAACTAACAAAACAAAATGAAACATTTTGAAATTAGCCCTTTCTTACATGTATGTTTTATTAGAATCCTACTAAAACAAACACACTGTTATTAGTGAATTTATCAAAAATTACTCGCTCGAAAATCCATAGTTTCAGGAGCTCTCCGAATTTTATTTTTCAAAAGGGTACAAGCAGCCAAAAACAAGTTTCCTATGCCGATCGTTATCTACAATTTACTTTATCTGTCTTTGAATATTATTTTGAGACGCTCCGAAAATTTCCTGTTCCCTTTGCGTTTGAAATTCTGGTAGAATTTCTTATTTTTTATTCGGAAACAGTCGTTTTTTCTTTTTTCTGTAACTGTTAAATGCTATTTTGGTGTCATATTTTTGTCCAGTTTCCTTTTTAAAAAATCTCAAATACTCCGCTTGCGTCAAATATCTCACAATATTGGATTCAATGCATAACAAGCATTTCTTTTCAATTTATTCTTCCTTTTTGAAATTGTATTATTGCAGGTTCACAGGAACATTGCACGTATGCCAATAGTAGTTGAATTATCATTTCAGTAATTTTGTTTTTGTGCCCTGCACCTTGTTTGAAGCACTGTGATTGTTGTGAAGTATAGTTGAAAAACAATTGTTTATCTTTTTTTGTTTGCTTCAAAATATGTTTTTCTCACCCAAACTCATTAACAATCCGCACATTTTTTTTCAGTCGATCTCTTTTCCCATCTTGCCATAAATTTCGAAAATAAAGTAGGCAGCAAAGATTGAGTTCATTAACTCTTCCAAGACGCTGCGTATTCTGTGCAAACACCGCCACGACGTTTTGCGGACTCTCCTCCACGTGCGCGTAAACTGCTCATTTATTAGCCTATTCGCGTTTTTAATTAACTTTATCAAAGTTTGTTCTTCATTTTTTCTTATTATTGCTCCTCTCAACTTATTTCTAAATTCAGGGTACTTGCCATATGCACAAGAAGGAGCCAGGAGTTGCAAAGAGTGTGTGCATCGCCGCCATTATAGCCGGTAGGTCACTTTTCTTATTATATTAGGTTGCGAGTAAAAACAAAAGAGAGGCCACCCATTGATCGATCGTGTGCGCGCGCATTCCCCCGCTTTCTACACTGTCGTTCTCCGTTCACTTCAAATTTTATTGGCATATCAAGGAAAAACGAGAAGAAGAAGGAGAAGAAGCAACAAAAGTGTCGATTTTTCACACTACGACAGTTGATTTCTTTTTTCTATTTTTGTTTCTGATTAAAACGGACAGAGGTCCAACCGTGCATCAGCCTGTCATGTAGGTTTCGGTTGCGACAGTTGGGCAGAGACTCCCATTAAACACATATTGAAAGACGCGGCGGGCCGATAAGTGCGGTCTCGGTCGGGAGAAGGACTATTATTGAGTGACCCCATTGTGAATCATCATCACTCAGGTTCGTCTATCCCGCCCGTTCGCCTTCTCGTCTCAACCTTTTTTTGTTCGATCTCTTTTAACTTATAATTTTTAGTATGAAAAGTCGTTTCCTTTGATAGAAACAAAAACAAGAATCGTTATATGTCTTCTTCCGCGCTCGAGATAGCCGACCATAGCTTGTCTTGTCCACTCAAAACCTGTTCGCAACTAGCCGCTGCTTCCCTGTCCGTCGAATTTTCCTTCTTCTTTCTTGTCTTTTTTGGTTATCCCAACACACACAGACATACACGCGTTTCGCTGTTTCTCACATCCAAATCCGCTTTTCTCTCTACTACTTTTCTTTTCATTTTGGACTGATTCTGTAACTAACAAGAAAAGAGAAAGTGTGACTCAAAATTTATCATCGTATCATCACCGTCGTCCTATTTTGTATTCCAGTTTCCCACATTACAAAAAAGTTTCTTATTTTTTTTGTGACGCTCTTCTTATTCCTTCTTTCTCTTTTGCAGTTCTTTATCGTTTCAGGAGTGTTTATGCTGTTCGTCTTGGTAGTTATCTTGGCGGTCAGTGCCGGACGGGGAAATGGGGAATCACTCTACGATAAAGACGATCCGATCCTCGAACTTGACGTCGACACGTTCAATCCAGCAATCTATGGAGTGGTGAGTCCGAATCCGAATCACTCAAGAATAAAAAAATATCTTTCCAGAAAAAGGCACATTTCGTCGAATTCTACTCATCATGGTGTGGAGCTTGTATTGGATACGCACCTACGTTTAAGAAATTCGCGAAGTAAGATTTTGTGCCGGATCTCGAATTCGTTGTTTACACGATTTGTGTTTATTTAAAATTTCGTCGTTTTTCCTACACATGTCAACGGAGCTAGGCAATGTAAATAATGAGAATTAGGTGACGTTAGATAATGAACCTAAGAAAAGACAGCTAGGAATTCCAAAACAAAAAAAAACTAATTTATAAGTAACTCATTTTTCAGACAGCTCGAAAAATGGGCTCCATTGGTCCAAGTTACGGTCGTCAACTGCGCCGATGACAAGAACATGCCACTCTGCAGAGAGCACTCTGTTAGCTCCTACCCATCTCTTAGAGTAAGACCAGGAATTTGGAGTCATCATCTGAATTAAAATTATTCCAGTACTTCAAATACAACTCAGCCTCCAAAGACGACGGTATGAAGTATAGCGGAGACAAGTATGATATCAATAAGCTGGCTCACGACATTGCTGGACTTGCTCAAGCGGATGCTCAACGACAGAATCCGGAAAACTGGCCAACTTTCCTTCCGCTATCAGAGTAGGATCTTTTCGTTTTCATAGCTCTTGGAAAAATAGAAGTTTCAGCTCGACAACCCTCGAAGACGTCTTCAAATCCATCGGAAGCACTCCATACCTTGCAATCGTTGTTCAGGATAGTCCATCTGTTATTGCTTGGTCCAACCTGATCAACTATCATGGGAACAATGCATTAAAGGTTGCTTATGTTGAGCAGAAACATCAAATCGCTTTGAAATTCTTCTCCGATGGCGGTGCGCACGCTCTGTTGTTCTCCAATGGAAATGCTGAGCCAATGTGGAAGAGTAGCAGTCCGATTGAGAAGTGGTTAGATGTGCAGGAGAAAGTTGAGGAGTTGATTGGAGACAAAATTGCTGCAAGAAGTCCGACTATTCAGCCAGTGAACGCAGCGGTATGTTTTTAGTTTAGTTTATTTACCCAAAAAAACTATATGTGTCGGCGGGCCGGCTGAAGGTTTGCTTCAAAATTAAAATTGTGGGCAAAAAAAATCAGATAGAGCTCGGCGAGCTGTACAACCTCTACTAAAAATCCTCCAGCACTTAAATCAGTAACCGGGTGCGGTCCGGCATTTGATGGTCGGGCTGGGCAAAAATTGCCGGCCCGAACTTAAAAATCAATTTTGAAGCAGAACGATTTTTACTGAAGATTGTATTGGGATCCTCTATCATCTTGTATGCAGTTAGGCTCATAATTTCAATTTTGAAGCGATTTATCATGTATGCCAAAGAGCATTTGCACTTGAATTAAAAAAAAAACGTTTACAACAAAAATTCAGAATTGGGCTTCAATGTGGAACAAATTTTGGCGAAATTTGAGACAAATTAAAGCAATTTTCGTGGTATGTGGATAGCATGGTGTGGTTAACTCTTCCTGCACCTTAATCCACCGTAGAAAATCTGAGATCTCCCCCTGTTTCACAGAGCCTTTTAATTTTCCTCTCTCAATTCAGAAAATTTTCTATTCTAGCCTGTCATCGCCGCACCGTCGAATCCACTGAACAACCAATTTGAAGTGCAACTCGTTGATCTGAAAAGTGCAATGAGCTACATGCTGTACAAAGAGATTCCAAGAAGAGAGGAGATCCGAGATGAGCCATTGGCCGCATTGAAGCAATGGATGCATACTTTGAAGAAGGTACAAATGTATATAAATCAATAAATTGACTACAAATGAATTACAGTATGCCCCTGGAACCACACCAATGCGTCGCCTGTTCTTCCGTCTTGACGAATGGATCCAACTTCGTTCAGTTGTAACGGCTAACGAATGGACGGCTAAAGTCGATGAGATTCAAGTGATTTTTATAGGTTTTTGTGTGATTAATGATAATTCATTCTTCAGCAAGCTCTCGGAAACCCACTTCCAAAAGAGATCACCTGGATGGCTTGTGCTGGATCCAAGCCAAATCTTAGAGGATACACATGTGGACTTTGGACATTGGCACATACGATTACTGTAGAAGCTTACAAACAGGAAAAACACAGTGAGAATTTTATTTTGAAGAAAGAAAAGATCACTATAATATTTCAGATACCGCCTTCAAGCCAGTGATCGACGTGCTCGAGCCGTTCCGTGCCTTCATCTTCCACTTTTTGAGTTGCTCCGAGTGTGCGCAGAATTTCACCAAGGAGGCTGAGAAGAATCAGCTCCACCTGGTCACTAGAGCTGAAGATGTGTATGCTTGGTTGTGGAGAGTGCACAATTTCGTGAACAAGAGACTGTCCGGCTCGTTGACCGATGATCCATCCTTCAAAAAGCAACAGTTCCCACCAAAATCGGTTTGCCCAGACTGCTACGACTCCAATGGAGAAATTGATGAAGCCAAGGCGCTGCCGTTCGTATTCAAATACTACTCAAATATCAAAACGGATCCAGCAGAAGTGAGTTTTATGAGGAATAATTTCAAAAATCGATCTTGATCTTCGAAGAGCTGGAAAATTTTTGTTCTAAGTATGAAAAACTTTATTCTAAAGCTCAGGAGACCAATTCCTTTTTCAAAAATTGTCAAATTCGTCTGAAATTCCCATGTGAAGGCAGTTTTCCTGCTGAAGATTAGTGAAAAATAGCTACACGTAATAAATACACAATCTGTGTTAACACCGTGATGGCGCATTGCGGACCGCCGCCTTTTGACGCGCAGAAAATTTTTTCTCCCGTTTACGAAAATATGGGTTTCTATGAGAAAAACCAATTGAAACTTGTATTTGATATCAAAATCGGAATTAGAAGAAAGGATTTAAGCTATTATGACAATAAATGAATACCAAATATGGAAATGAAAATGAAATAAGTGACGTTGCAGCAATTTTAAACCATAAAGTCAATAATTTTGGTCCTACCAAGAATGCTATTGGTCAACATATCTAACCATATGATATTTCCAGAACGTTCCTGGTTACAAAGTGGTTGAGTACAAGGAAGGAAAGACACTTTCCGCTGGTCAACGTCATCTGAACCCCAAGTTCCAAGTCCACGCTGGAAAAGTTGATCAACTAGAAGCCAACGAAAAAGTGAAAAATGTTCTTGACGCCAGCCCACAAAGAACGTGGAAGGATATCGATGGATACGGTATCTCGAATCACTCATTCTGTTCAAACATTTTAAAAATTTGTTTTAGACAATATTCCGGAATCAAGCCGCACACACTGGTATTTCATCTGGCTCTCGTTGATCGGAGTGGCGCTGATCGTTGTCTACTGCAAATACCGGAAGAACAGATCAAAGTTTTGGAAAACTTTCTATTATCAAAACGATTTCAAACTGTGATTATTTTTGCTGGGGGCTGTTGTTTCTTTTTTAATTTGATTTTGAGTTTTGGCTGCCGACGTATCTCCGTTTTTAAGTTTTGCGACAAATTTTATGTGTTGTCCTTTGTTATATTTGCATGCATCCATCTATTGCACGTTGCTATCATTCCATATTATCTCTCTGCTTGCATATTCGGTGTTCCTTTAGTCAGCTATCATGGTATTGTATTATTTCTTTTCTTCAACAAAACAATTGAGAAGAAATTCTCGGAAACAGACCGGTTTTAATTGGTTGCATGCTTGCGGCACTGACCTACTTCTAAATGTTGTGTTTTTCAAAAAATCAAGTCATAATTATTCTAGTGATTCGGTTTACATATTTTAATTTTTAACTTATTGTCATTTTCAAACATATGTATTGCATGCTTCTCCACCCACAATTTTTCCCTTCGCTACGTGTTCAAAAAAAAAATTCATTGGTGTTTTTTGTAAATGTCACTTTCTCCGGCTCTACACACTTGTGCTCGTGAATTAATGTAATAAACGTTTTCTTGAATTTCGAATAGAATTTTTGCAGTTTTTCAGCCAAAAAAATCAGATTTTCAATTGATAGATAAACAGAGGTACAGAGCTTGGGCAATTTATTGAACTTGGTATAGTTTTTTTTTGATTTGGGATTTTTCGTGTCCGTCTCAGTTTAATTGTTGTGGCTAACAGAATTAGATTTATAGTTGTTTGATTGATTGTGGCTCTAACAATTCTGCTTTATGCCCTAGAAGCACCCAACAGTAGGATAAAGGAGAAAATAGCAAATCTAAAAAAAAATTTTGGATTTATTGGTTTTTAGCAATTTCAACTTTATTTTAGATGTCCTTGGAGTTCATCACCAGTAAAGCAGAATATCGTCTAACCAATCACCGGATGAAGGATATCTGATCTCATTTCAGTTATCCCATAATATCACAAATCATTATTTCACTTTCTTTTTCCTGTTGTCCTTTCATTTATTTATTTTATTTATTGTTCATTCTCTAGTTTCTCCTCATTACTTGTGCTTTGTCGGATGATACCTTTTTTGTCAAAACTCGGCATTCTCACTCAACTGGCAGTCTCTTTGGTTACGGTTCTTTTTTGGAATTCAAAACAACAATAAAAATTTGTATGTTTATAAAAATTTTATTACTGTAGGATATTTACTCCAAAAAAGCTGTCACCAAGTTAAATCCCAGTTTGATTAATTTTATGTTTGATGGTTAATTGGGTTTGTTTCTCATGAAAAGGAGTATAAGCTACACTCATATTGTACATGGAGTAATCTGTAAAAGAATAGCATGACGATGGAAGAAAAACCGCTGTAATTGTTCTTGAGAGACGCGAAATGGACATTCAGTGATTCAATCATTTATGCTCGGTGCACACAAAATGATGGGGAGCTGCTAATCACTAAAATGGGGAGGGCATCATCTCTAGAACAACGAGAGATTTTCTTTTGTACATAGTTTCTGGCGACAAGCGAGGTTTGGGTAGAGAATAGAGAGGATAACTCGTTCGTCTGAAATTCTGGATTAGAAAAGGGGATTACTGTATGTTTAGGGGGACCGGGGGTGATTAGTTTTGACGGATCCAGTTGTCACGTCTTGGACGGGAGTCGGTGGTCTTGGATGCGTGATAGGCAGTGAGAACGATCTCATCAGCTGATCGCTCGCGTCTAGCTGGGACTGGAGACGATTGCTCAGATCTGCAATGTTTCATATTTTTGATGAAGGAAGAATGGTATATTTTTCACTATCTGAAACCTTTCAAAAACATGAGATTCCGCTTTCAACGCTGGCTAATTCTCATTGAAGATTATAGAGCTCTTCAAGCTCTATCATCTGGTATGATGTTTTGCCCAAAATTTCATTTTTGAAAAGACTAATGAATAGGCCCGTGCCGACCCGGAATGAGCCAGTCGACAAGTACATATGCTTGCTTCTACTTACCCACTGCTGGTCGCATAATCACTTCCCATTGATCTTGGGCTCAAATCATACTGTCTCTTCACATGGTAGGCACCATATCCGGTGGTTCTGTATGGCACATTGTCTCCCTTAATGTTCTTCGTCAAGACCTTGAGTTCGTTGGCACTGCTCGCCGAATCTGTAAGCTATTCTATTTTCGCTCCGCTGCTTCCGAAGTTCGGTTGGTTGACAAATGGAATGTTTGCATTTGGCACAGTTGGAAGGAAGGGCAGTAGTAAAAAACTTTTGAGAAATTACGCAAAATGGACTGTTGACATTTCTTCTAATGTTACTATTTAGCGACGACGCGCACATGACCTAATGGCTATGAGTTTAGAAGTTTTTTCTTTAGGTTTGCTTTAGACTTTAGTCACATACCTTTCTTCAAAAATTCTGGGTTGTATTCACTGTCGTACTGGCGAGTTCTGGAAGCTGGGCGTGGAGAAAGAGCTTGGGTGCGATGTGGTGGATTTTGTCCCTCGTCACCTGCAATTTTCATATTTTTATAGTGTGTTTAGAAAGAACAAAGGAGTCCGATAAGCTAATAATCTCTTCATTCTACAGAGTTGAGCATGGTAAAGTGCATTTGAGCAAGTATGTCAAAATAGTGGGGGCAAGCGAAACTCAATGAATCAAAAAAACTCAAGGGGAAAGAAAAAGTTGGTAGTGATTTTAAAGGTAATATTGACGGGAACGATGGTACTCTTCATGAATCTCACCGGTTGGCGATGGGCTGTGCGAAACGTATCCAGCATCTCCCCACTTGGTACCGTATCTGGTGATCGAGTCTGAAAATGTTGTTCATTGTAAGAGTCAAGTGATTTTTTGAGTCCTAAAAATTTATTAGCTTAAACAAAAGTCTTAACAATAACAATGAACAATAGTGGGGTTCAGAGTCCTTAAATCTAGTCTTATAGGACATATTCAGTTTCTACAATTCGAATCAAGGTTACTTTGGTTTCAGCTAGAGCCCACAATTTTCCTTCCCAATCAATTAGTCTAAGTTCGTCGGATTCAAAATCCGAACCACTTTCATAGTCAGAATCGGAAGAAAAGTAACCTTTGCGGTGTCTCTCGTATTTAGCGTATTTGTCGTAGACGGTTTGTCCTGGAGCCTCGATTGGCATTGGTGAGACGCTTCTCGAGCGATCTGGGATCGACAGCTTTCTCTTGTGGTGAGCTGGTCCTGTAAAATTGAAAAAAGTGAATGTTTTTCAAAAATTTTTGTCTTACCGTATCCAGCAGAGCGATGTGGGACAACTTCTCTTGGACTTGGTGGCACCTCGTCTTCCACAAAGACTGGTGGCTGAAGGACAAACTTCTTTGGGATCTTCTTCTCTTCCTTTGGTGGCTCCTCAGCTGGAGCAGATGACTTGGTCCATCCGACCATTCCGATAGCATCGATTGGTTCTTCGGTGATATCTCTCATTGGTACTTGGGCGTCGTTAAGTCTTTCAAGATGGTTGAAGGCAGCAGAAATGAATGGGATGCTCTTTCCAGAAAGGATCCATCTTCCCTCGATATCGAGTGACTTCAGACGGTTTGGTCCACGTCCTTGGATATGGGAATCCATATGGAAGTACTTAATGTCATCGGTATTGAGACCAAAATCAGACATGAACACGTTTGGAATGGTGGTTGGAGGAGCCATTGTTGGAAAAGAAGTAAGCTGAGCTGAGACGAGCTGAGCTGATGTAATGTCTGGAAGTGACCTTGACCTCGCTTTTATACCACGAACAGTTTTTTATTTTCTCGTTCTGTAGGCAACGCCCACCTCGCCTCCTCTACTGTGGTGAACTTGGTAAATGCGCACACATGCACTAAGCTCATCACAAATAAAAGAAAAAGAAGAAGTAGTAGAAGAAGAGGGAGTCGACCAACGCGTAGTAGGAATCGAGAGAGCACCGTATGTGTTTTTGGGGCGACGTGGAAACAAAAAAAACGACAGGGAGGTAGTTGGCGAAACAAAAAAAGAGAACCTCAACGAAACTGTTTAACACCGGATTACTGGTGCGGTGGCGTACGTTTTGGAAAATGATCAGTTTGGTCGATTTGTCAGCTTTTCTTCAAACAGTCGCAAGGAACTGACTAACAGTGAAGGAACGTGAAAATATTGGAGAGTTCGTCACATGTGGAAATGTTCAACAGCAAATGGTTGGGGTTAAGGGATTTATTTGGGATTTTTGACTCGAAATAACTTTTCATTTGATTTTTTTTCATTGTTTCACTGTTCAGTGCTCAGCTAAAACTTACTCGGACATTCAATAGGATTTAACAAGTTCGATAAATCATAATGAATCTTCAAACCTTGGTCGCTTTAAGTCATTCTTTTGGTGTTTAATGACGCACGTTTTATTAAATGTCTTCTAAAGTTTAAAATTGATTTTGTGAGCTACCGTAGAGAAATGTTATTTTACGTCAACTTTTAATGAAGTTTTGGAAAACTTTCATATTGCCTAATTTTTGTCAAGTGAATTACCGTAACTACTCTAATAGAACAACACCCTACATTTAGATGTTGCTTTGACCTCAAATGTCTCTAAACAGTACCGGTGGAAAAATTATACAAAACTTTATTTTTCCGTTGATTACAGGTAATTTTGATTATTTTCTGGAACCTGGAGCTCGACTGTCAAATTTCCGATTACTTTTAAAAATTTAGAGTGTGTAAAATATACCTTGGTTTAAAATTGTTCACATGATTCTTCTAATTTTTCTATTAGGTTGGCTAGAAAATAATGGTAGTTTTTATGACCAATTAATTTTGTTATAAAAAAGAAAGTAGATAATATTAATTCAAAATCTATTTGCCATAATTATCGACTACTTGTCGCTAACACCCGCGCAAATTTTCCGCACCTGTTCAACTTTCCAATTCGTGAAAATGGTCTTCGATAGTACCAATAGTACAAGGAAACGGTTCTGCAAGACTTCAAGTCGTTTTACAAGGATCCGATTCGTTTTCGTCTCTCAGGAATTCACTGTCAATGCTTTTTGGTCGACTTTTGTGTTCACGGTCTTCCAAGCTTTCATCACCATTAAGAAAACGTTCAAACCAACGTCGGCATTAATTCTTTAATAGAAAATCATTTTTGAATACTTTTGAGAGAGTACGAAGAGCTTGCGCGGCATTTTTGACCAACTTAAATTTGTACCCTTTTTGAAAGACATTCTCTAAACGATATTCCCATTCGCAAAGACAGGAAGACAAACTGATGACAGTCAAGTTCCAGACTCTTGAAAATGGTCAAATCTGCAGCAAATTAACTAGAAATATCTTTTATATATATATTATTGATCGATAGTGTATCTCGATTTCTGATCTGAATATAAAAATTTATAAATTATGAAAACAATTGCTCACAAAAATACTTACATTTTATTAGCTGTAAGATTTTTCACATTTCGCAGAAACTGCAAAACAATTAAGGTCAAAATGCATGTTTTAAAGAATTTACAGTATTGAAAATTAAATTTTTTTTAAACAACAAAACATTCTACACTAACTTCAATTCTCGAATATGATCTAAAAAACTTTATAAACATCAAATTTGTTTCCAACAACCAAAGACAAGTTTAAAATCAGACCCTATTCTAAAATTTTGAGGATATCAAATTTCATGGGTTTGTTTTTCAATTTGAAGAGTTTTCAAAGTTTGATCTAATTTTTCCATTTTCAAAATTTCTCATGGAAATAACACTACCGAACGGTGTGTTATTTACTTCCAACTTTTTTGTCTTTCTTACTCACCTACACACACACACAAACATTTTTGTTACCCCCACTGTTCATGGCCAACAAAACTGTTTACCACTGTTGACTTCTCCGCTTTACAGAACGTCAGTCATTTTTTGAGGAAATGGGCACAAACGAGTAAGGAATTCAGTGGTGGTGATGGTCGCGTTTTCTTTGCCCCAAACTGTTAGTTATTTACTCTTCACTGGTGGCCTCGGTTCTATTCTTTCAATCAAAATGGCTTTTTGTCTGTGGTTTCCGATGGTTGGTGTTTAATTTGACAGAGACGAATTTAGGTTTAAAACTTTTGAAAAATCAGAGTACCAGGAACATGTGGTTTTTTTGTTAATAGTCCACAGGAAATCAGTGAAGCAAGTGCTTGTAAAAGATCTAAAATCTAAAGTTTTCATGAACCAATAAAAGACAATAAAAGGATTTCAAAGTGGAAATCCATGAAACTCAAATTGAAACGAAATCTGAATAGTTCAAAAAATCAAAACATAATTGTTTCACAGTAAATCGAATCTTTTGAAATTCAAGTAAATTGGTTCCCCCTTTTTTTTCGAAAATCAAAAACTGAACCCCGGTTAGAAAACCAGTACAAATCACCCAGCCGACTACAGCAAAAACGTTCTTGTAAGTGTTCTGGTGGTTAAGTTTATGACAGCCTTTCCGAATGATTTATGGCAACAGGAAAACGTTTATTCCAGGAGAAATATGACTTCTGGGAAATCATAAATTCCGACGATTAAGTTTTGCTCTCATCAATCTCAATCAACAAGTGTTTTTTCAGGTAGATCGAAAAACTACACTTGAATTTACTGGATTCTATAATTTCAGAGAAACTGAAACTTTGAAGCAATTGACGGGGTTTGTTCTACTGAAAAAGTTTATATTCGGTTTCAAAACTGAATTACATCTGCAAAAGAAGTATGTTCACATTTTTTTGTTACTGATAATGTTTTAATAGAAGGCTACCGTATACCGTATTTCATCTAATAGAAGAACAACAAAACCGTCAACTTTGAGCTAAATTATCTCGATTCCTGTACAAGATATGTAGAGTTTGCCGACTGATGAATTGGTGACATTATGATAAACAAATTTGTCAAAAATATGTTGTTATCTTTCGAAAGAACCAAAATAATATCAAAAAAGTGTGAGTGATAACATGACTAACGATTTATCAGTTGACAGAATTATTGAATTCTTTATGAGAACCAATATAATTCAAAATGCAAGTATACGAAAGAATTTTGTGAGATCATTTAAGATAATTTCCCGAAGAAATAATGATTTGATGAAAAGAACGGAATATCTTTTTTCAAATATGAGATGATGGTCTTTTTATGGAAATATAACTAATTAGTGCGACATTCTGTTTCCGTTCCAGAACACAAAACATTCTCCAAACGATGACCTTTGGGGAATTCTGCGAACTCATCTCAATTCGAAGAAGGCTTATTTTCACACTGAAGATGAAACGTGAAATTCATAAATTCAGACGTAGCAGAGAAAAAAGAAGATGCAATAAAAGTATTATATGCAAGGTTTCCGGAACTTTTTCATTTTCTTCAACATTTTCGCTGCAATTCGCATTTTTTTCTTGGATTTTCTTTGATTCTTCAAAATGAAAGTTTGCGATATTGCGAATTTATTCATTTTTTCATCTTTTCATCCATCATCTATTTAAAACCGCCACATATATGGATAGCTGTTCAAATATTCCCTAAGCAGGGAGGTAGAAGGATAAGGAGAGCCATTAATATACACAATTCGTTGGCTTAACTTTTCTTTTTTATCTTTCCACATTGGCTCATTTACCCCTGTTTTTAATTCACGTTCCTCATATTCCATTTATGTCGTTGTATCCCTCTCTAGTTGCAAAACAGAAGAATTCATAATATTCCCATAAATACATCCAGGATCGGCTTTCACTTGCGACTGGTAAATTGAAAAATGGAGTAGAAGTATAGAGTAAAAAAGAGAATTCATAGAGTGGATCAAAAAAACATTTATAATTCGTTTTGAATTGCTTTCTATGTGTTATTTTGAATATCCAATTGGGCCGAAAATGTTGGCATCGGGCTAAACACACTAGAAATAGAAAATAGTAGGGAAATTCTACAAACACTTTTCAAATGTTTAGTGTTTGATGAGAATTTTTCGAATTATTTAATGTGAATAGGATTGGTCAGCTTCAGATTTAATAAATAAGTTCTGAACTCGTGAAAATTTTTTTTTTTCAATTTACCTGAAAATTTTGAAGTAAACTGAGCAAAACAAGAGCTTTTTTATTGTAATTATGTACTTATAATAGAACTAAGACTATATTTTTTCCTGCCGTGAAATGAAAAATAAAGTTCTGGTTTTGTTGATAGTAATATACCGTAAAACTTTATCAGAAGGGCCGGCCCTTTCATTGTTTCAGGGTAGCTCTGAAGGATCTTTCTATAGAAGGTACCCCTTTATATTCCCGGCTGTTTTTTTTTTAAATTTCTCACCTAAAAATTAGGTCGATTCTTGTTTGAAATCTACGAAAATCCCTCAACACTACTAAAATTGAAATGGGCATCCGCTAATTCCAAAATTTTTGAAATTTTTATATCAATCGATCCAGAATCATAGGTCGGGAAGAAAACTCTCTTGGAGGATTGTCCGAAAATCTCTCGTTCTTAAAATACATGTCACAAACACCTCAAAAAATCAACGTAGAGGGTGCAAATTAAGGAGCTCGACAAGAGGCAGAATCCTTGAGGGTGCACACAACGAAATGAATAAAAACGTGAATTATTTTTATCGGTGTTTGTTTCTAAAAGAGCATAGGTGTACAGTATGGTTAGAAGCTATCTTGAATTATGAATTTTCATGGTGAACAGGAAGTTTCGCAACACACTCCTGGCGTGTCGTGCGTGCGCGATTTTGCAGACCTTGCAGATTTTACAGATTTAGTACAGTACAGTTTTCATCCAAAGCATTCTTTATTCATTTCTTTGCAAGTTAAAAGGGGGGCCCATAGGTAAAAATTTGGACTAAGTTTCAAGTTTTTCGAATGATTCTATAAAAATTTCGTACTTTGCGCTTGTTCCCACAAAAATTTGTCACTTCAAAAAATTTCAGTTTAGGCCGGTTTTTTGTATGGACAACACTTTTTTTAAATTGTAACTGTGTAATTTGAAGTTATTCAACTAGTTTCAGATTTTTCCAGGCTTAGTAACAAAAAAATAGACAAAAAATATGCAAAAAATGACATAAACTGAAATTTTCCAAAAATTGTGAAAAGTGTTCAAATTTCGAAATTTTAATGAAAACGGTCACAAAACTTGAAAAAATTGGTAAATCTCAACTTAGTCCACATTTTTACCTATGGGCTCCCCCTTTTGACTTGGCCCGCCCCACCCTTTTCGCTTGGCCCCCCCCCTTGTCATAAAGAGCCATTTTTTTCCACAACAGGCAACATATGATTTTTGCCAGGTTCCGTTTATTTAATTAGTGTATATCTCAGAAAATCTAAAAGTCGGTTTCTATAATCAACAGAAGCTTTTTTATTTACTTTTGTACTCTTTCCATCTTTTTCAAAAGTTTTTTTTCTTAAAATACTAATGCTTATTGATCTCTTAACATTGTTTCCATTTCCCCTTTTTCTATCGAAAGTCACGTTGCAAACTGTGATAATGATAATTATTATGGTAAACAATATCTCTTATCATTTTGTATTCAGTTCCTACCAAACTAGCTGAATTTTTGTCTAATTTTTCTTTCAATGGCTTTATTTTAATGGAATCTGTGGTAGAGCTATCAAAAAACATAGAGAAAGAAATCCTTGACTTGTTTTGTATCAAGTTACTTGTTTTTTTTCACATCGACGTATATATTTTTTGTTCCACGTTCCAACAGTTGTGTTTTTGCTACTAACAATGATGCCACATTCTTTTCTCTTCTATTTTGTTATTCTAGTTTACCACCTTACTGAAATTCGCATCCAGTCGTTTTCCATTTTATTTTTTCGATTGCCCTTGTTCTCTTCCTTCTTATTCTCATTCTTTTATTTCTTAATCTATAAAATACAACAAACTGAGTTATGAATTTTACCGATCCCGATTGGTAGTCAGATAGTTGTGTGAATCAAAATTGCGTATTTGTATTACAATCGCTCTCAAAACAAATTGTACAGCAGTCATAGAGTATTTGAGTTGTGAGCCATAGGTTTTCGAAAAAGTCGCATGACGTGCTGCTCAGGAAGAGGAAAAGAAGGAGTACACCATCATATTATCTTCACTTTTCATCTCCTCCTCCTTTTCACTTATTTTAATCTTTGTTCACTTATAGCACCACTTTATACCAAACTCGTGCGCTTAAAAGTAGAAAACTCGCGAAATGAAAAATTTTCATAGACCTTTTCACATAATTATATCCTGCGAGACACTACTAAGCTGGATAAAATCAGCTGTTTCATTTTGCGAGGCTACTTGCCACTTTATTTTTTTGCCTTCTCTTTGTTAGTACTCCATCAAAATGTTGAAAAAAAATTTCAAACTTGAAACTCGACAACGAAAATTCCCTAGAAAAATATGACGCGTTGTTATCATCGTGGGGTCATAAAACCAACTGGTTTTTTGTTCTGAACATTTTGAAATTTCGAAACAAACCGAAACATATAAACAGTTCCCTTCTCAAGGATTTCTGGTGATTTGTGATTACTTAGCAGGAAAATGTGAAAACAAATCAAAATGATGAAATTTTTTCGCTTTAAATAGACCAACAAAAAATCTGGAAGCCATAGAATCCAGTTTCTCTCATTCCATAAAATGTTGAAATTGTTGTTTCGATGATAAGCTCTTTAAAATACTCGACTATATTCTGATTAATTCTCTTGGGTATTCATTTCAGACATTCCGAATTTCAACCTTGGATTCTCAAATTCATTTTGTTTCTCTTTTTGATTTTCTGCCAAAGATCTAGAACCTTCCAATATAGTATCAACCATTCAGCAAAGTTTGTACCTGCCACTTCCAATTTCAAATTTACTTCTCAATTCCTCCAAACCAGTCTAGATACCAAAACTACTTCAATTTCCTTCTTTTTGCCATTTTGGTTTTCCGTTTCCAAAAGTACGCGACCCCTTTGATGTCGATAATTTCCGGCCGATCAAACTAATCGAATAACGTTTTTCCTCGACTGACAAAACAGATTTGTTGTGTGTATGACTCGTTGTCTTTTTTCTCTCTCTCCACTCTCCTCGCTTTTCTCTTCTTTCTCCCCCCAACCGCCCAAAACGAACTCCGCCCATTGCGGCCACATCTCAGTCTCGGGGGCGCGTCTTCTCACCTCAAAACTCCTCTTCTTGTCATTGTGGCCCTATGGTGCACTTCTTCTGTAATACATCTTCTTCAAGCCGGTGCAGCATTTTTTTTCTAGAGGTCACATGCGCACACAGGCATACACCACGAGTGTATGTTTGTACGGAAAAGTTAAGATATAATACAACGAACAATGTTATTTGATGGCATTGCTTCGTCGTCTCATCTTTCTTAGATTTCGTGTCAGAGGGCGATAAAACAAGAGAAGAAAATAGTATAAAACCGCACTGGACTCTTTTTTCAACTAGTTCCTCTGCTCTCGAGCTCTTCTTCTCCTTTTTATGTCTTTCTCTTCAATTCCACTTCCTTTGATTAAAATTCTGACATCTTCCTCATCCTATACTTGACTTTTTCAGAGCATCATGGCCATCGAAATGCAGCAAATCATCGAGCTGATCCTCGCGATCTTCCTTCCAGTAAGTCTTAAGAATGAGCAATGTTTTAGAAAACTTTTTCGCAAAAGCAAAGATAGAATACGATTGAGCAATAATTCTGATAACGTATCACAATCCAATTTCTTTCCAGCCACTTGCCATCTTCATCCACGGATCCGACTGCAACATCCACGTCGCCGTCAACATCATCCTCTGCTTCTTCTTCTACCTTCCAGCCATCATCCACGCTCTCTGGTACTGCTTCTTCAGAGCTTAGATCAATCGCCACCATTTCCAAAAATGCCAAATCGATTTCCCATACCCACCAAAAAAATTGCATATTTTAATCTCCCGAACCACGCATTCACCGTTGCCTTATTTTCTCAGAAAAAATATTTCATTGAATGGCGTTTATCCTTTTTTTATATCCTACTATCTCGATTTTGGTCCCAATAATAAACATCCATGAAAAATGTAACTTCCTTGTTTTTTTTTTCTCAAAAAATCGATATCTATGAGAGCGATTTATTTATTGTGTTGTTGAGTGGGGGGAGATAAATGTCGAAGTTTTTCTCGGGTGGGGGAAACTGAGAAATGGCCCAGGGCGAGACGATTTACACTGTGTTATATGTTTGTGTGTGTGCCCACTTCATCGTGGAAATAGTGCAGCAATCAGCGGAGACGCCAGCGGCGGAGGCCCCCCGATTTTCGAAAAGTGAACAATAAAACTGCCCCGCGAGGTTGATGGGCTGATCGTTGTTGTGTACGTTACGTGTGGTTGAAGGTCGACAACACCTTCCGCCTTTCCTTCATGTTGACTTACAAGGCCTTCCGAGGACATTGTACGAGTGGATCGTTTTTGAAAAAAAATAAAGACAGCTAGATTTTGTCTATTTGAAATCAATTCAAATGTTTTGTACATTGGTATGCACAGTGCAAATGATCAAAGGGTTGTTTTGTTTTTAAAAAAAACAGGAAGCAGCTTGGATGGAAAATCATAAGATCGTTTGATTTCACAGAAAAAATGATAAACAGTCTAGATTTCCTATACTTGCACTCTGAGCTCAATTATCTCAATATCTGTGAGAGGCATGAAAAATTTGTCAATTGAGAAAATGTTCATGACAAGATGTCAAATATTTTATCAGTTGACAATTGTTTGATATATTTTTTAGGAACAGAGATAATTGAGCTTAACATGAAAATATAAAGTGAGGCACTATGAGAGAAATCACGATTTTATTTACTATAAATAAATACTTTAATTGAAAAAAGACCAAGTTTAACTTTTCAATGTGAATTTTATCAATCACCTGAATCTATATCTTTAAAATCTCTATTTCAGCACGATTTAATCAATTTTTAAAAGTTGGATTCAACCTAAACAGGATTCCACCTAAATTCGGTTCGGTTCTTTTCTTATCAGTTCATGCTCCATATTATTTCACAATTATCTAAATAATTTATTTTTATCGAATGTACAAGTAAATAGTCTCTAAATCTCTACCCGCCAAAAAGGTTAACAAACGAAAACAAGGTATAAATTAAATTGTGAACGTTTTCCCGGGTTCTAAGCCTTCATGTACGAGTCGCCGTCCATTTGGGTGTTAGCGAATACTGATAACGTCTTGTTTTCAATATTTTTCTGAAAAATATGAATTGAACTACAATTTTTCAAATAAAGCAAACTTCTTCAGAATCCGTTGCATTGCTCTTCGAACTTTTCGGAGAATCTCTCATTGGCTCCGTGTAACTGCCTGCATTGCTACTGTCATCATCTTCTTCTTCGTTGTTATTATTGTTGCTATTATTATTATTGCTGTTGTTGCCATTTCCATTGTTATTACCATTATTAGAGTTGCCACTAAGTTTTCTAAACTTTGCTGCCATGTTCTTGTATCTAAAAGTTTTCTCGTTGAGATACTTGAAAATGTATGGGAAATTGGATTACTTCAAACAGCAGAGGTTTTGTGAACATTGAACATATCCTGGCTGGCACTGACATGGGACTCCGCAAGCGACTACAACTTCAGCATCTGGAATTTTCTGGCTCAAAACTCTGGAAATAAATGGAACCCGGGTTAAGAAATTTGTCAAGAAAACGTTATTATCAGTTATAAAGTATAAAGCATAAGTTAGATACATATTCCAATGCATTCCACATTCATCTTTATCCCCTATTCTGACATGCACGACACCCTTGGGTGGGAGGAGGTGGTAGAGGTTGAGGCATCCGATTTTCTGTAAGATCCATGCGAACTCTGAACCCCCATACATCACACAGTCTTACGCTGTTGAACACATGTTGGTTGACACAGAGGCATACAAGCTGGAGCACATTGAATTGGTACCGGAGCATATGTCTGAACACATGTCGGACTGCAAGCGGGCATACAGGTTTGGACGCACGACAACTGGAAAACTTGGTGATGTGGGAAACTTTCCAATTTTCGTAGTGATACCCTAGCGATACAACTGCTCTCGCACATAGGCATGCATTGAGAAGCGCATGGGGATGGAGCCATTTGAACGGAGTACTGTTGAATACATCCCATATCACAACTTGGGTAGCACGGCTGTGGACACATTGATTGAACACAGGAAGATGTGCACGATGGCATACAAGCTGGAAGACACTGGGTTACAGGTCTGGAGACCTGGAGATTGGTGACACAAGCGTTGGTGCACATTGGGCGGCACTGTTGTGGGCACATTGAGTACTGTTGAACACAGGATGATGAGCAAGATGGCATGCACATTGAATCACATCGTGGGGGTGGTGGCATCTAAAAATAGAGCAAGGTTTTGCTGAAAGTAGTTTGCTGAAAGAAAAAGGATTCAGTTTCCCATAACATTTTTCCATTATTTATAATTGCCCAATTTCCCAAAATTTAATGGAAAAAGTGAGTCATTTCTCGTCTATTTTGAAAGTTGGTCAGCCACATTCCCATCAAAACTTTCAAAAAAGCAAAACAAGTTTCCTGAAACTTACTGGTGCGGGAACCGAAATTTGGATTTGTTGAATGCAGGTTGGTAGACATCTTGGCATACACTGTGGAATGCAGTTCGCTTGCCTGAACACATTAGGGGTTTTAGATTTTTTTTAGCGGAAAAAAAACGAAGGTCAAGAAACATACGTGCAGATGGAAGGACAGTTGTTTGTACAGGTACTGCATGTCACTGCTTGGACACAAGACTGTGTACAGGATGGCATGCATGCAGACACGCAGGACTCTTGTTTGATACTGATTTCATAGTCCTGAATGCAGGAAGAAGAGCAGGAGGGCATGCAGGACGGAGCACAAGTTGGGCGAATGGCTACTTGAATTGATTGGATGCATTGTGGAGTGCAGACAGGTTGACATTGTTGAGGGCAGCTAGGGAAGACTTGCTGGAAACATAGGCTTACATTTGTAAATTATAAAAATGACTATTTTTGGACCACATTGAAATCCCTAATCGGCTTAATTCTAGTTTCGAGGACAAAAATGTGTGTGTTTTTTGGGATCATCTGGCTGAAGTTTTTTAATGAGAATTGAAATGAATTTAGTAAAATGCATTAGGTTCTCAAAGAACCATTTTGTTAGTTTAAAACACTTCAAAATAGTTTTCAGGTAAAATTTTGTTATAGTGATTTTAGTCTTCAACTCAATGTTTTAAGTTGTTTCAGCTTTTATGAATTCTAGAGGTCTTGGTGGTCTTATGTGATTTAAAGGTTATGGAACATCGACTTTCTGAAAGCATGTGAGTCAAAATGAAAGGGATCCACTAATCACTGTTCTGACAGTATTATTCTCAAAACTTATACTGTAAGCTAATTTACCTCGGTCCTTGTTGAAGATATCAAAAATCAGTCAACTGACAAAATGCTTCCCATAATACTACAAGCTTTTTTATAGTTGACAATTTTTTATACCTCTTACAGTAAATTAGATAAATCAGTCCAAAGCATGATCATAAGGATACTTTCTTTGGAATTATTGGTAAATTGCTTTCCATAATACCAGCGATAAATTTCCGTAAACACTCTGATAGAAGGTCGCTCCAAACTTGCTCTTTGAACCGAATTCTCTCGGTTCTTGTTGAAGACATTAAGAAGTTATCTAAAGACAGGATTTTTGATATCATAACAAAGATTTTATCAGTTGAACACTTTTTGATACCTTTTGCAGGAAACGAGAAAAACTGTCTCAAAATTCAAGATGACTTTCTATTGGAATTATTACGGTGTTTGCGGGAAAATTGTGCTAACTTTAAAATAATCCAAAACATTCCATCAAAGCTAACGCTTTGGCATCTTTGCGGTAGTTCTCCACTTTACCAAACTCCTCACCTGAATACAAGACGATGAGCAAGAAGGCATACATTGTGGAGCACATTCTGTTGGTCCCTGGATAGCATTAATGCATGCTGGAAGACAAAGTGGCATGCACTGCTGGCCACATGCCGGTCCCTACAACACATCATAAACCATACATATTCCTATTAAATGATCTCTACCGATTTCACCAAATTTATACAAGCTGAATCGCATTTTGGCATGCATTGCTCCACACAAACTGAGGTCTAAAACAAAATGAAAATGAACTGAGAGAACTTAAAGGGGTAACAAAGGACCTTGGCCATAACACAAGCTTGTGTGCACATTGGTTGACACCGTTCGGGACAAGTGACCTTTAAAAGTTGAAGAGTGGAAGAACACAAAACTATCCAGAACTCACGAATCCATTGCACGAACCACATCCACAGTTACCTGATGGGCACATTGCACAACATTGTCTCTTTGACCTGACACGAGTGATTGAGGAACCGTTAGTTCTGAGAATCGGAGAAGTGAGAAGGGAGGTGGAGACCTGCATTTTATCAAGACTTTAATTAGGTCAAAACATTACATTGAAATTACCTCATCCCCTAAAGATAGTTGAACTACTGCTAGTGCAGCTACAAGATACTTCATTTTCACACTATCAGTAATAGAAATTCTTCTGCCAATCAGAGAAGGTAAGACAATGGAAAGTCTCGACGACTATGAGAATAATGTCCGGCACGGTGGTCAGTTCTCCCGCTATTTGTACCCATATATTTATAGAGATTGACACTTGCATTGTGCCTCGACGGCCACTTTTTGTGAACTTCTCTTTCTCGCGCCCCCCATCAAACACCATTTCGAATCGAGTCGCCAAACACTTGATTGCACACCGATATCCGGAAATCGCCCCTCCTGGTCATTATGCTCAATTTTTCAAGTGGGTATATGTGTCTCGCCATTGGAGAAAGGCGGATTTTGACACTTTTTGGCATCGAGCATTTTTTGATACACTTTTTTATATCACATATAATTTACGGAAAAGGATGTACGAGCTCAAGCAAAGACTATATCGAGTTCAGCTGAAGAACAACTGAAGAAATATGGAACGGATTTGGGGAAATGGAGGTTTAGTGTCGGAATTGTTTCCTGAATTTAAATTTTGCAGTAGTTTCAGGAAAAAATGTGAAAATTCAGAGAACTGTTAATGCATAGAACATTAACCCATACTTGTACTTTGAGCTCAACCAGCTTGATTTCTGTGAATGATATCAAACATCTGTCAATTGATAACTTATTTATCATTATTTTGGTGCTATTTTAGCAGACAATTTTTTGATATCTTTCAAAAGAACCGAGATAATTGAGTTCACAGTTAAAGGTTTAGGTAGACTTCTATTAGACGACGTACATTGTATCATTTTTTGTGATAAAATGTCACCCATACACGTGCACTTCGATCTCAATTATTTCGATTCAAAAATTTCCAGCACTTTTTGACGGATCTTTTATAGTTCGATCTTACACAGGAGTTTTATAGTTAGAAACGTATTTAGAAACTGGAAAAAACATTTATTACAATCTAACATAAATATGGATAAATTAAAACACTCAATCGCGGACCACCATATCAATCTGCTTCCTTTGAATCGCTACCGCATTCTTCTTCAACAATGTTTCTCGCTTTCTCCTACCGTAACCGAAACCTCCTCCACAGCCACACGACGATCCTCCGCCACTATAACATCCACCGGAAACGTAACTAGAACTATAACCACCTCCGTATCCACCACAACCTCTGAAATGACAAAACCACTTAGCAAATACAAATGTTCTTTTTTTAGTCGGTACCCTCTCATGCAAACCGGCATACAAACCGGCATACAGCAGCTACAGCAGTTGTTTTGTACAGGAACTGGCACAGGCTAAAAAGCATTTTTGAATGGGTAAAAGGGTCATAAATAGGGTTACAATACCACTGGCATCGGCATCGGCATCGGCATCGGCATTGGAACTGGAACAGGTTGCGGAACTGGCTGAGGAACAGGTACCGGGGCAGGTATGGGTACTGGTATTGGTGGTGGAATTGGTGGTGGAATAGGCATCTGGCAGCAAATCATTGTGGTGACACAGCAGCCACCACCTCCAAATCCAAATCCGCCGCCGAAACCGCCACCGAATCCGAAGCCACCGCCAAATCCGAATTGGCGTTTTTGTCGGATATGAGCATCTCCTACATTTGCCAAAGCTGTGGTGGTAGTGTTAAGTTTTTCCTGAATTGGATTGAATATTAAACTTGAAAATTTTTCTTTTTAGTTTCAGACACTAGTTGATCAATCCAAGGTACAATAAACTGGATTCGAACATTATTTCAAAACAGCATCTTTCAAAAAGCCAAACTATTTTCAAATTATCTCTGCAAAAATTAGCAACCAGTTGTCCGACACAAAATGATCTTGACTCAAGCATCAACAGCTTGTTCAGATGTGCCAAAGCGGCTGCTCAACGATCAAGCAAATAATTCTCATCACGTACTAAACAACTAATATTACCTCTAATCCTACTACTGTAGATGTTAAGAATATTAGTACTGTACTGAATAGAAACATCTGAAGCTTATGGTCGCGCACGCACCGCTTTGAACTGTTTTATACGAGGGTCAGCCAATGATGTTTACAAAAGGTTTCCGTAGTAGACTGGATATATCCAGAATTCTTAGTCATCAATGTTAGTTTCGTGAATTCTGAAGTGTACGGAGAAGAATTTTCTAAGAAGAACTTTCGGGTAGCTTAATGGAAAACAAACTAAATTCAATGCAAAAAAAAATTGGCAAAAAAACTGTCGAGGTGTCCCAGTTTCAAAATTTCCAAAAGTTTTGTAATTTTGCCCCAATATTTTTCTCCAGTTCAAAATAAATCAGTTAAATATCTTCCAGGTCAATGTGTACTCTTTGATCTCCGAATTTTCTTTTAAGCAAACCGGAACAAAAAATCAAAAGTTCTGTTTGATCATGCACTTCAAGCTCAAAAAACTAAACTATACTTATCCAGCTTGTTGCTTGCTCATTACTATTTTTCCCACTATCCCGTTCATTAGAATCACAAAAATTCCTATTCTTATTTTTCATCAACTAGCTCATAGGTGGATAGTTCAAATAAGACGGCAATCGGGAGAGCGAGAAATCCAGAATAGTATTTGCGTGAAACTGTATACTTTATAAATTCGATTGAAAAAACTCGAAAAAATTGGAGTTGGGATGAATGGTGCAGACGGTTTTTTTCGCATGTTTTAGAGATCAAATAAAGTTCAGAAAAAGATCGGAGTTCAGAAAGCTCAATATTGTCTAGCGTAATTGGAAATTGTATCTTGGTAGTTTGAACTATTGGTTTCTGCGAAAAAACATGTTTGTGGACAATAGCAATACGAAATTCTACTGATAATCTAGCTACAGTGTCAGACAAAAATGCGCCACGATTTTTGCAAAAGAAACACACCGACTTTAGAGCCCTGAAAAAGTATTTTAGCGGTTGCTTTAAAAATGTCAGACAATTCTAAAAAAAAATTTTTTTATAGCTTGAAAATGTTTTGCCAAACTCCATTCATATGAGATATGCCGTCTGTAAACGAAAAGAAATTCCTCAAAGTAACACTAAAATGTAAATTTTACTTCATTGAACTTACCTCGATGGGTAGGATTCATATAGGAAACTTGTCAATTATATAAACAAAGAGCTATTTTTGTTTAGTATATTCTGAAAAGTTCAGACAAATCAAGCAAATCTGGACCACTTTTGTAGGTTTCCAAAATTTTGTAGGACTCCAGTGGATAACACGAAATATGACTTTTTAGTCCTTTTTCATCAAAGTTAATTTTGGATGCCAAAATTATTTTTTTTTCTGATGGTTTGTGCTTTGTCCATTTTTTACGTTTTTCAGTCAACATATAAGAACGAACATCTTTGGCTGCAGCTCTCTCAAGTACATTTTGCCGACACACTGATAAAACAGAGCCGGGAAGCATATGAGTGCTCACGTACCGGTCTTCCTCTCACTTCACGTACGTGTATGATCCTCTTCTGTAACATGACCACCCCTGAGCTTTTAATCCGATTCAGTCGCAACGTTTTTGCTATTCAAAAGCTCTCACAAACATTTGCAACTTTTTTATCCAGCATCTCCTCAACTCAACCCCTGCCCTCTCCGTCAACCGGTATACAACTCTTTCAGGAGTGAGGGGGGGGGGGCTGAGTAATGAAGAATGTGATAATTGGGGTTCTTGATGTTTGTTTATTGGTGGAGAAAAGAATCAACGAAAGATTGGGCAAATTCAGTAGCAGCAGCTGGCGGAGGGCGTTAACCAGTTTTCAGTACATGTGTATTTCTTTTATGACGCGGCGGATCTCTATTTACGGTCTATTCCGGAGGGCAAACATAACGCATCATTTGAAGTTTTTTACATGAAGTGTTCGGAGATTGAAATTTCAATTCGAATGGATACAGTCACGTAGAAAGTTTTAAATACAGTAGCAAAGAAGATCGGAAACATTTTGCGAACAGACAATTCAAAAAAGAGACGATTCGGGAGTATAAATTTTTCCCTCTGAATAATATCGATCAAAAATGGACAAATCTTCAAGCAAGTCGGTTTCAAAAGGGCTAAAATCATACATGTCAACCAAGCACCAAGACAACTACAATCCTTTGCAAAACACTTTGAAAACTTGGAATTCCTTTTTAATCAGAAAGTCAAACTCACGAGATCTGGGTAATTATATTTGAATGAACTTAAACTCATTTTCTGCCTGAGATTTGAATCTTGGCATTCGAGTATGACTGAATTTTATGTTGGCGGAAAAATTTCATACTTTCGAAATGTCCCAGCCCAAAAAAGGTAGCAACTCGTATGAAAAATGAATCAAACGTTCAAAAAATTTAATGGACGAAAAGAAACAGAGATTTTCAGATTATTGAGAATTGGAAAAGTTATCGAAAAAAAACATCTACCGCCAATAAATATCTGGAACACCTAATTAATAAATAGAGAACACAACTGGAAACTCTGAAAAGTTTGTAAGAAAATTTACTGGAAGAGGGTCTAAATGGAAAAAGATAAAAAAGAATTTTCAGCCCCGAAAAAAGGAAAGAATGAATTCAATGAAGGATCATAAAGTACTGTCAGTCAGTTCCCATTCTGTGAATCGCACCTTTTTCGGCTATAGTGCAAAACTACCGTAATCCGACAATTGCGCACATTCTTAAAACAAACAAAACTTTTTTGGGGGAACACCGTTCTTCCGCATCCAACCGAAACTTTTTTGTTATTACTCATTCCTCTTCTCTAGTCCCACAATATACCATATTCCCACAGAGGTGCTCTAATCCGATCATCACCTACTCATCTGTGTTTGAAGCACAATTGAAACTGCCTTCGTCGGGTTTCTCTTTTTTTTTGTCAACTGTTCTTGCGCATGCCGGTCTTGCCCTCTTGCCATGACTCCTCCCGGCGGGCGCGTATAAATAGGAAGAGCACAACTCGAGTTGTCAGTAGTAGCTCGGCTCAGCAATACTCTAACAATAAGCAGCAACATGTTCCGCTCGGCTTTTTCTATCCTGGCTATTGTAGCTTTGGTATGTCTAAAACTTTTTATTACATTTATTTTACTTATTACCTTTTTCGTTTCTAGGCTCTTTCCGCTCCAACACTTCGTGAGAAGCGTCAAGCTTGCTCATGCGCCCCAGTTCAACAGCAACCATCATGCTGTCAGCAACAATCCACCATTAACGTCCAGGTTCAATACACCCAGACCCAGATCCAACAACAAGCCCCAGCTCAGGACCCATGCGCTTGCCAGCAGCAGCCTGCTTGCGACTGTGCTCCAGTCCAACAGAACCCATGTGCTTGCCAACCAGCTCAGGTATTTTTACTAGTTTTGAGGATAGTTAAAACTGAGAGTTTCATTTTTCAGCCAGCCTGTGATTGTGCTCCAGTTCAACAAAACCCATGCTGCCAACAAGCTCAACCATCCTGCGACTGCCAGCCACAACAGCAACAGCCAGCCTGCGATTGTCAACCACAACAGAATCCATGCGCTTGCCAGCAACAACAACCAGCCTGCGATTGCCAGGTACACTGATAACTCTTAATTTTCCATCTTTAAATTTCAGCCACAACAACAGCCAGCCTGCGACTGCGCTCCAGTTCAACAACAGCCAGCTTGTGACTGTCAGCAGAACCCATCCTGTGTGACCTGCATTCAAATCGAAATCCGTCAAATCCAACAACAACAGCCAGCCTGCGACTGCGCTCCAGTTCAACAAAATCCATGCTGCCAGCAAGCTCAACCAGCCTGTGACTGCCAACCACAACAACAACAGCCAGCCTGTGACTGCCAAGCTCCAGTTCAACAGAATCCATGCTGCCAACCAACTCCAGTCCAACAAGCTCCATGCTGCCAACAAGCTCAGGTAACTGTTTATTTATCTTATGAACTTAATTTTCTCATTTTTTTCAGCCAGCCTGCGATTGCGCCCCAGTCCAACAAGCCCCATGCTGCCAGCAACAACAGGTACTTGATTGAAAAAATACCACTAAACAGTACAAAATTTTAAAGCCATCCTGCGATTGCCAACCACAACAACAACAGCCAGCCTGCGACTGCGCTCCAGTCCAACAAGATCCATGCGCCTGCCAACAAGCTCAGGTAGCATTACTGTAGTTTCTCATACAAATCATCCTTCATTTCAGCCATCCTGTGATTGCGCCCAGCCAGCTCAGCCAACTTACCAAGTTCAGGTTCAACAGACTCAACAAATGAACCAATGCGTGCCAGCCTGTCAGCCAGCATGCCAGTCATCGTGCACCGCTTCTTACTCGAACCAACAATCCCAGTACTCTTCCGCCACTACTTCCTGCGATGCCAACCAATGCGTCTGCCAACGTGGATACGTCAAGTGCGCCGAGCAGACCTGCTGCCTTAGATACAGATACACTAACCGCAAGGCCAAGCGATCGATCGCCTAAACGAACTCTCTCATGACAATCGTCTTTCGAAAATTTGAAAACTTTTTCTTCTTCGCCAAATAACCCTATATTTGTACATTTTGGTAATATTATTGCCATTTTTTAAAATAAAGCATTTTTCAATTCATTCAAATTTTTGTTATGGAATGGGTGGTTCCAGAGGTGAGAATTTGGAACATGAGACCTGCTACAAATGAGAACTAGGAAATGAGCACTCAGTTTACCGGCTCTAGTTACCGGCCTAGGAACCAATTTTTTAGAAAGCTATTATCGAAATGGTTTTGTTCTTCACAATACTTTAAGATTTTTGAAAAAAAAATCCCGGTTTGACCTATATTTTACGAGTTCTTATTTGTACGTGTTCTTATTCGCAGCAGTTCTCATTTTCCGAGTTCTCATCCCTGGTACCACCATGTAATGCTCCAGAGACAGTCATACAGCAAACTTTTTTCGAAATTTCAAAGTTTTTTTAAAAGGATGAACTTTTCCTAGTCCATTTCTGATTTTTCTTCATTCAAATTTGTCGAACACTTTCTTGACATTTGTTCATTTTGAAAATCTAGAGCACCTATACAATTAAATAGAAGAAGGAATGGCAAACATAAGTGAATAGAAAATTTTGCAGAAGAGATCTTTTATATAAATTATTTTTTTTCACTACTACAATACATTTTTTGGCACATGAACTGAGATCTACTTCAATAAATTAGGTATCATCGTTGTTTCAGAGCAGCTCAATGTAGCTGACTGGAAGCTTTCCACGCTTTCCTCCCTTCTCAGCCATCACATACTCGGCATCCATTCCGGGAAGACGATACACGATGAGAATCTGCAATAAGTGGTGTTTCTTTCACTCTCTTGAGATTGTGAGACGTCATTTCACACCAGGTTTGGTTTTAAAATTGAAGAAGGAGACTCACATCATTCTGAATAACGCTAATCTCAGAAGGCAGCACCGCCTCGTAGTCCATGATCACTTTGGCTTGTTTGGTTCCAAGATCCTCGGGCAGCAAACCACTTGGCTGGAAAATTTAAAGAACAATAGAAGTTGTTATTCTCTGAAGTCTTAACCAACCTTGGCCGCTGCAATAGCCGCCGCCATCGTTCGTCCATTTGGCGGGTCGCCGCTATTGTTCACCAAAATTGCAGAGCTTCCGCGGAACGACATTGTACTGAAAAGGATTTGAAAAGTAATTTAGCAACACATGTTTGAACACGGACAGAAACGTTTATTTTTATAATCGAAAACTTAGAAAGGAGACAAAACGCACACAGCAAAAATAAGGACGACTAGTTTTTCAAAGAATGCCGGTCAACGGCTGTCAGAAGAATTTTAAAAGATGGAAAAGAAGAAAATATACACAAACATCCGAAAATGGGTCATTCAATCGACTATAATTACGCTAAAATTAAAAACAATAATTACGCTAAAATTAAAATCAAATACCGGGCAGGATAAGGGATGCTACATACAATACAATGAAGAACTAATCTCGTGTCTTTTTTTAATTGGCTTGGGTGAATATAATAACACATAATTGAATTTTGCGAAAAGAGAAAATAGGGATTCAAGTGAAATATTTTTGTTGAAAAAAATTGAATATATGTATATTTTGGATTCAAATCTCCAGCTCAAGATCACAATCACGGGGGGTTATGGCAACAAACAGTTGGTGTAGACAATCACTGATCTTGCTTTCCATAGTAAAGTGGCGAGGCGTCGTCAGCGAGAGAACTGAAACTTTTTGCATACACACATACCAGCTAATACAACAGAAAAGAAACGACGGTGATTCTAATAGAGATGGATGGGCGCATGCGACATGGAAACTCAATGAGGCTACTTTGACAACCTACCCGCTCAATTCGCGTTGCAAATCCGCCATGAGTTGATGAGCCTGCGCGTAGAATGACATTTGGGCCTCGACAAAGTCTCGAAGACATTTCAGTTGATTGTTCTGGAATGAATTATTGATGAAGATTGGCGTAATGAAGGGAGACCTTACATGTGCAGTTTGAATTCCTTCTAGAAGCAACTTAGTAATCTCCGATTGTTTATCGAATTCTGCCTGAGCAACACGCACGTCAGCTTCCGCCTGGAAAATGTTAACTAGGTAATAGGTAAGTTTTTTTAAAGACCAATCACTTTTACAAAAAGAAACTATCACAACATCTGAACAAACCTGCTCAACCGTAAACCCTCCTGAGGTTTTACTATTGGTCTGAAAACGTTTTTGAACATGTTTTTGATTCCCTAATTGCAAACTACGTCCCAAATTAAAATACTCACCACTGCCTGAGTATCCACATTCTTCGCCTTCTTCAATCGACTTTTGCATGCATCCAAATCGAGTCGTTTGCTATTGAGGACCTTTCTTTCTTTCTGTAATAGCATTTTTTATTACAAACGGATGTAGATTAATGGTGCATAGGGAGAGGGCGCAATGGCCTGAGGGCACCAATCGGATATGCATTAAAAGCCCTCACCTGAATTGTTTTCATATCGCCCTCTAAAAAACGTCGGATTGGGAGCAAAGTGTTTGTTGCGGCCTGAGCACAAAGTTCTCGTTCAGCTTGTCCCAGTCGGCTCTCGGTCTGTGCGACTTTCAACAAAGCCGTTCCATATGGGGTGGTCTCTCCAAACGTCTCGCCAGCCTCGGTCATCGCTGTGGATAGTTGCTCGAGATTGTTTTGTCGTACAACTCCATCTTTTTTGAGTTCCAGTTTTTCGTAAAAGACCTCTTCCATACGGACGGCTGCAAGAATCCTTTTAGGGGCAATCTTTTTTGAAAATCACTAACTTGGATTTGGCTGCAAATAACTCTCTATGGAAGAGAGAAGACGGCGGGTATGGTCCTCGGTCTTATCGGCACGTTTGAGAAGATTCTCGAAATGTGAGTCTAGTTCGGTACGTTCGGCTTTCAGAAAAGTTTCTTCGGTGAGCTGAAACAAGAAAAATGAATTTCTGAGAGCTATAGGAGTCCATATAAGCCCTAACTGAAGAAATTGAACTTAGAATTCCAAAAAAGAAAACCCGCCAATTACAACGAACCTGCTTAGCTCTGCTGAAGAATCCTCCAGCATCACTGGCAATCTTTTTGAAGTTGAAATCCATGGCTGAGACGTCGTCACACTAATCTGAAAGGAAGTTTTAAAACTGAGGAAAAAATCTCGGGTCGAGGGAAAAAAAGGATGAGACAAAAACAGAAAAATATGGGTTGCTGGCACACACACGTAGGGGCATCCACACACACACATAAAGGAGGACGACATTACTGGAAAAAAACGGGGTGAATAAGAAGAAGAAGAAGAAGAAGACGATGGGCAATGTCGGTGTTGGTGGGAGGGGAGGAAAGGGCCCGACTATGAGGCAGGCACAAAAAATCGATGCGCGACTGCGCGTGCCGTTTTAAAGAGAAAAACGGGAAACGAAAAGTGACGGAACAAGTGGTGAAGAAGACGAATTTTTGAAAAAAAAAAACGAAAAAAGATGCGTGTACAACAAAAAACCGCAAGAGGTCGTTCATCTTTCTCAACATTCGTGCATCCATTTTTTTCTCCTTTTGAGCACCAATTCAAGATGTTACATTTTGTGAGAAACGGGGTTGTTATACATGCAATCAAATCTGTGAGAAGTGCAGTTTTTATTCGATTTCAAGTTTCTGAATAGCATATTAATGAGGAAAAACATTCCGACAAGCACTTTTTTGGTGCTTGGCAATAACTAAAATTTCGTGCATTATACTGTTTATTCAGTATGACAAAACTTTAGTGAAAATAAAAAACTCACAATATATCAAAGAATAATCTTCATAATAGAAATTTTCAACAGACAATAGTCTCGGTAGTGAGCAATCGACAACAACAACAAACGGTGAGTAATTGAATAGAAGGAGAGGCGCACGTAGTGTGCAAACGAATCGCAAAACGCGCCTGCAAACAACGTTGACGCGTTACGTTTTCGCGTAGAAAAGAGATGGAAAATCGGGGAAAGATTGTGAAAATGGAATGAAATGAAGCTAATTACGGAATAATTTTGTAAATTTTTATTGGCAAAATTTACAAAACAAAATTGAAAAGGATAAGAATGAAAATTTTCGATTCTACTGTTCAATAGCACGGGAAAAATTGAAAAAAAAGACTAATATTTGCAGTTTTAGAGGTTTTGGCCAGTCCTTTTTCTGTACAGAGTCATATCAGAGTCTGAATCGGAGATATTGTTCCCAAAGCATCCATTTTCCGAACTTGATTTCCAATGTGGACTGTCTGTTCCGTATTCAGCCAGATCACGAGCAAAGCACAATCCTTGTTTGAAGCCATGCACAGTAAATTTTGTGAAGAATCCGTGTAAACTCGCCCTGAGTTGTGCATCCCACAGAATTGCGTGTCCTGAAAGAAAATGTTGGCTGTACGCATGACCTTCGGTGTATTTGAATCCCTCGAACCGTACTCGGCCTGACTGTAGTTTTAAAATGGAGAGGCAGTCAAGTCTAAAACAAAGCTTACCGGTTTTTTTTGGTTGATCCCATATCCGGCCCATTTTCACATACTTTCTCTTTCCAGGTGTTTTCATTCAGACAAGTCTACGAAACAACTCCATGCTCATTTGGGACGTGGAAGTTAAGCGATACTGCTACGTTCCTTGCTGACGATACGGTTGTCTGATTCTGTAGGCACTATGGGTTTGAGTTAATTTTACTCCTTTTCACGGAAGTCGAATAATGCGATTTCCGAATGCGATCTGGAAAATCAAGGTCTGAAACGAGGAAAATTGTTGTAGTGGTAAGAATGTATCAAACCTCGTTAATGTTTGCTGATTCTGATTTTAGCAATTTGAAAATTCCACCGGAAACTGGAAACGTGTTCCACAGATTTCAAGTTTAGATGTGAACATGTTTTTTATATATAGGTGTGGCAGACGCATGCTGACTATTCCCATTTTCTGCTCATAACCAATCTTCATTGACAACCGGCAAACTGAATAGGGAGAATGACCTTGGAATTTGTCTGAAATATGAAAATTTTGAAAAAATAATGTAAAAACTGTTGAAAATCGCGAAAATATTATATTCGGAAGAGAAAACACAAAACACCAGCGTATAATTCGTACACAATAGAGCGCGTTTGCATGTCAAGAAGGAGGTACAATAAAGTGGTGTGCAACACATTTAGTTGTTTTGCCAGATAGGTGGCAACAAATGAAAAATTTCAATGATTGCAATTAAGAGATGACCGATCTAAAATTTTGAAAAAAAAACTTTGTATAATTTCATAAATGAATTTGCAGAATTCCCACGTTTTCGGGCAACTAGTATTTCGCAATTTTTATAAACGAGAAATGATACTGTTTCAGTATTACATTCAGCTCAAAAGTTTGAAAGTACCAATAAACTACAAAGCTTGCAATACTTCCTTTCAAAAAGAATGAAAGAAGAAATTATATGTATGTCTACTTTTTTCAGTGGAAAATGGTCAATATGTTTTCCTGAAAAAATGTTCTAGTTTTCTTTCTGATTTTTGTCAGAATCAGATAATAGGTATACTGAACAAATTCAGAGCTCTACTTTTATTATTGCCAAATTATTCTGAACAGATTCAAAGACGATCGGCTTCACAAAGACATAATCATTTCAGTTTTAATTTTAAAATTTGCACATTTTTGGTTCCCACAGATTATCTCATCAGATTGGACTTTTATAAGAAGTTCAGCAACACTTGTCATTTTTTCTGTATGAAACACTCTATACTCTTCAGAGCAACGGAAACAAAAAGTCTGTAATATTTTTTAAAGACTCGAAGTAGACCATTTCCAATGCAAAAATACTGTATTTCGATTTGAAATTTCCAATCACGAATTCAATAATATGTTGAACTCAAAAATATTGAATTTTGTTTCTGAAAATATCGACAAAAGTGACTTTCATCCAATCCTTTTTTTTTCCTCACTGCCACTTGTTAGAAGAACGAGCTCTGATAGTTTGAAAGTTACTACACAATTTTAATTGCTTCCGTAGCACAAGAAATCCTGATGTACAGTCGCGTAAACACCATTTCCGATTAAAACATAGACTTTCCGGGGGATGTTTGAACTAACTAATGACTCAAACATTTTTGCAAAAAACTGATGTTCAAATACGTGTTAACTTGCATGTGGCAATCGAAATATAAAAAGCCGAAAAGGAAACGAAAAAGAGAATGGTTTGAACAGCTTGCGTGGGAAAACTGTCGGAAACCCCCGACCAGCCCGAAATCATTCTTACAGTTTTGACAGCGCGATGAACGCCGTTTCCTTCGCTCTCTTCCTTATTCTTGCCGTCTCGATGGTTCAGGTAATGTTTTTTCTCAGAAAGGATTATAAGATCGCTTTTTATATCTAGGGTCTCACTCTGGTCATCAAGAAGAACCGCAAGTACAACGATCCACCATTCTGCTTCGCTTACAACCGCGAGTACAACGAAAATGGTAAATTTTTTCAATAAATTTCAAGGAAATATTATAATGTAATTAATTTTCAGACGAGACCTCATCGTGCTCCGGATATCAATTTGATTGCTTCGACTCTGCCGGATCCCAGATTGGAGTAAGTTTGATAAGAAGCTTATCAAGAAAATAGAGCAAACTTCCAGAACAAAATTCCCTTCAACAAAAAGGACTGTGAGAATATGTCCGCATTCCGTTCCTACACAGATGCTGACTTCCAGAAACGTCTTGATGATGCTAGCAAATATGCCACAACCGTTGAAGCATCTGGCCACTGAAAAATATACCTTCTCTTCTCTATACCCTATACCCCCAAGTGTGTTACCTATTTGTATGTTGTCTTTTTTCTGTATTATTGATTGCCACGTGTCTTAGCGACACATCAAATTGTATGTTGTTGTTATATCACTTTATGTCATCATTCGGGATAAATCAATGGACACAGAAAAAGCGAAAACGTTTGGTGTTTCTCTGTTTTTCGATGTTTTCGCTCATTTTCTTTCCCTCCTTTCTCTCCTCAGGAATGAAGACGGCGACGGCACGGTGTAAACTAAGGAGCCTGATGCTCAACGTGCTTGTGTGGGGGCGCCCTTATGATCTCATGCGAAAGAAGAGCGTCGACCCGGGTTAGATTTTACTTTTTTTTGTTTGAATCTATTGTTTTTGGGGTTAAGAACACATAGAACTTCGTATTTCTTTGTGGTTTCTGCGACTCCCGAAAGATAGAGACAGAAAAAACCGTCTTGTTTCACAGTAGCGTTTTACAGTAAAAAATTTCAAATTTCAAAATCTAAGCTTTTATTTTGAATATTATAAAAAAAACGGATATGCTGAACACAGCCAGATCTGAAAATTTCTTTCTTTGTTATGAATTTTTATTCTTCAAGTTCCCACACATTTCATGACGTCTTCGCCTTTAAACATTTAGTTTCTATTCTATCAAATTTCAAAAAACATAATCTTTTGAAACTCTTTGTTCTCTATTATCCATGAGAATATTGATTCCTTTCATCGCTTTTTCTCACCCATCAATCTTTTCATATAGCTCTGCTTTTCTTTTCTTGTCCTTCTTCTCTGGTGCTCTCTCGTATCTCTATCACCTCTGGAACACAAAGGCACTTGTCGTCATGATATTTTTCAGAACAAAATGAGTCGGGCTCCGCCAACTCCAATCAAAAATCCGGCGAAAAAATGGAAACCGCCATGGGAGAGTGTTGATGAGGAAGAAGATCTAGAAATGGAAGTGGATACCGTTGAAGAGAAGCCGACACCAAAGTTGGAGAAAAAACCGAGTCTGAAACGGAAGGACGCCCCTACAAAACCTGCAGTATCTCCAGGTGCGCCGTCTCCAGCACCTGTCAAGAATCCAGTAAAAAAGTGGAGACCGCCATGGGAGGAAGATGAACCGATGGAAGAGAAACTTCCAAAACCAGAAGCTCCAAAGGAGACTGCCAAGAAAACCAGAGATCCTTCACCCAAAAAGGCAGTTGCCAAGAAAGATCCAGAACCCGTAGTACCTCCTACTCCAATCAAAAATCCCGCCAAAAAATGGAAGCCACCATGGGAAGAAGATGAAACGCCCACTGAAGAAGTGAAAGAAACCCCGAAAGCTCCAGAAAAGAAGACACCAGTTCTAAAGAAAAAGGATTCAGCAACAACAGTCAAACCCAGAGATCCTTCTCCCAAGAAAGCTGTTGCTAAGAAAGAACAAGAACCAGTTGTCCCACCAACGCAAATTAAGAATCCAGCCAAAAAGTGGAAGCCACCATGGGAAGAAGATGAAACGCCGACAGAAGAAGTGAAAGAAGCCGAGCCACCAGCACGTAAGGTTCCAGCATTAAAAAAGAAGGAACCAGTTGCAGAACCTGGAAAGAAGACACCAGCTACAACTGTCAAGCCGAGAGATCCATCTCCAAAGAAGGCGTTACCAGTGAAAAAGGAGCCAGAAGTTCCACCAACTCCAGTCAAAAACCCAGTTAAGAAGTGGAAACCGCCATGGGAGGAAGATGAAGCTCCCGTTGAAGACGTGAAAGCACCAGCAGCTCCAGAAAAGAAAACACCAGTTTTGAAAAAGAAAGAGCCAGTGAAAGAACCCGAGAAGAAAACCACAGCTCCGGCTGCCAAACCAGCACCTGTTGCCAAACCAAGAGGCCCATCTCCCCAGAAAGCCGCACCAGTCAAAGTTGAACCGAATACTCCAGAAGTTCCTCCGACTCCGGTAAAAAATCCAGTGAAAAAATGGAAGCCTCCATGGGAAACTGATGAGGATCCAGCAGAAGAAGTTGCTGCACCACCACCTCCCGAGAAGAAAACACCAGTACTGGCAAAGAAGACACCAACTCCGGCCGACGCAAAACCTAAAGAGGCTCCGAAAGCCAAAGCTCGAGATCCCTCTCCAAAAAAAGCAGCACCAGTTAAAGTCGAACCTAAGGCTCCCGAAGTTCCTCCAACTCCAGTCAAAAATCCAGTGAAGAAATGGAAGCCACCATGGGAAGCTGACGAAGATCCAGCTGAGGAAGTCGCAGCACCGCCTCCTCCTGAAAAGAAAACTCCAGTGCTGAAGAGGAAAGAGCCGGAAACTAAACCTTCAGCAAGCGATCCATCTCCAAAGAAAGCTGCACCATCAGCCCCTGCTAAATCAGCTGTTATACCAAGAGACCCTTCTCCCAAAAAGGCAGCGCCAGCCAAAACGAAGCCAAAGTTGCCGGAAGTTCCACCAACTCCAGTGAAGAATCCGGTCAAAAAATGGAAGCCTCCATGGGAACAAGATGAGGATCCAGCTGAAGAAGTTGCAGCGCCACCACCACCAGAAAAGAAAACTCCAGTATTAGCTAAGAAGGCTCCTGCTGCTGACGCAAAACCCAAAGATACTCCCAAACCAGAACCCGCAAAAGTAGCAGCCAAGCCTCGAGATCCTTCTCCAAAGAAAGCAGTTCCAACATCTACCAAGGTTCCCGAGAAAACCCCAGTCAAACCGAGAGATGCTTCACCAAAGAAAGCTGTAGCCAAACCTGAACCAGCTTCAAGTACCTCTCCTGCGGAAGATGTTGCTAAGCCTGTGGATGACAAGAAGACCCCTTCACTTGCCAAGAAAGCTCCATCACCTGCAAAAGAACCAGAGAAGTCTAAACCTGCTGCAAAACCTAGAGATCCATCGCCAAAGAAAGCAGCTCTTGCAAAACCAGCAGAAACGAAGACTCCAGAAGTGCCTCCTACCCCGGTAAAAAATCCAGTGAAGAAATGGAAACCACATGGGAAGCTGATGAGGATCCAGCTGAGGAAGTTGCAGCACCACCTTCTTCAGAAAAGAAAACTCCAATACTGGCAAAGAAAGAGCCAGCTCCCGTAGCCGATGTAAAACCTAAGGCAGCTCCGAAGGCGGAACCAAAAGTTGCAGCCAAACCACGAGATCCCTCTCCGAAAAAAGCTGTTCCAGCTAAAGAACCTGCGAAACCAGCTCCAACTCCAGAAGTGCCACCAACGCCAGTCAAGAACCCAGTCAAAAAATGGAAGCCTCCATGGGAGGACGACGATTCACCTGCTGAAGATGTATCTGCAACTGCGCCAGAGAAGAAAACACCAGTGTTAACTAAAAAAGCTCCAGCAGCCAAACCCGATGTAAAGCCGGAGTCCGAAAAACCCAAAACTACTACTCCTGCAAAGCCACGTGATTCGTCTCCCAAGAAAGTCGCACCAGTGAAACCGGAAGCCAAAACTCCAGAAGTTCCACCAACACCGGTGAAAAATCCAGTTAAAAAATGGAAGCCTCCATGGGAAGCAGATGAAGATCCAGCCGAGGAAGTCGCTGCTCCAGAACCAGAGAAACCGGTTCCAACGTTGAAGAAGAAAGAACCGACGCCTACAGCAAAACCAAGAGATCCATCACCCAAAAAGGCCGTGCCAGTGAAAGAACCTGTTAAAGATCCAGAGCAACCAGCTGCCGCTAAACCACGTGACCCGTCTCCAAAGAAAGCAGTACCTGCAAAAGTGGATCCAAAGCTCCCAGAAGCTCCCGTGACTCCCGTCAAGAATCCAGTGAAAAAATGGAAACCACCATGGGAGGCTGACGATGATGAGGATGATACGCCAGCTGAGCCAGTCAAAGAGCCGGAACCGGTAAAGAAAACTCCCGTTTTGGCAAAGAAAGCTCCAGCCAAGAAACCAGACACTGAAAAGCCTGCTGAACCAGTAAGTGGACCTACTGCGAAGGATCCAAGACTCAGTACTAAAGCTCCCGCTGAGAAGCCAAATCCTGCTACTGCTCCACCAAAAGATACACCAAAAGCTGTGGATCCACCAAAACCAGCTGCTCCAAAGAAATGGCGACCATCGTGGGAAGATGATCCAGATGACGAGCCAGAAGCTGATTTCACGGTACCTGCTCCAGCAAAAAAACCAGACACTGAAGACGCAGCTGGTCCATTAGGAGGTCCGAAATCGAAAACACCAGCACTTGGCAAAAAGGCGCCAACCGACAAGCCGAAACCAGCCAGCAAGAAGCCAGATACAGAAAACCCAGCTGATGCGCTAGGTGGTCCAACACCGAAAGATCCAAAACTAGCAAAGAAGGCTCCAGCGAAGAAACCAGAAGATAAACCAAAGGAAAAGCCGAAGGAAGCACCGAAGCCAGCTGAACCACCTAAACCTGCAGCTCCTAAGAAATGGAAACCGCCATGGGAACTGGATTCTGAACCAGAGGATGAGCCGGAAGCTGATTTTACTGTTCCAGCACCAAGCAAAAAACCTGATACGGAAGATCCCGCCGACCCGCTTGGTAGACCAAAGAAAACGGATCCAAAGCTTGCCAAAAAGGCTCCAGCAAAGAAGCCAGAAGACAAACCGAAGGAAAAGCCAAAGGAAGCGCCGAAACCAGCTGAACCACCGGAGCCAGCAGCACCAAAGAAATGGAAGCCACCATGGGAATTGGATTCTGAACCAGAAGACGAGCCTGAAGCGGACTTCACCATGCCAGCTCCTAAGAAGCCTGATTCTGAAGAACCTGCTGATCCATTAGGAGGTCCGAAACCAAAAGACCCCAAACTGGCAAAGAAAGCTCTAGCGAAGAAGCCGGAAGATAAACCAAAGGAAAAGCCAAAGGAAGTACCAAAGCCTGCCGAGCCTTCAAAACCAGCCGCACCAAAGAAATGGAAGCCGCCATGGGAAGAGTATCCAGACGACGAGCCTGAAGCAGACTTCACAGTTCCAGCTCCAAAGAAGCCAGAAGATTCCGAGGATCCGGCAGAACCTGTTAGTACACCTAAGCCGAAAGACCCGAAACTTGCCAAGAAAGTACCTACAAAGAAGCCAGCAGATAAGCCAAAGGATGCGCCAAAGGAAACTCCGAAGAAACTGGAAGAGCCACCGAAACCAGCTGCGCCAAAGAAATGGAAACCACCATGGGAATTGGATTCTGAACCAGAAGATGAACCTGAAGCAGATTTCACTGTTCCGGCACCTAAGAAACCAGAAGACTCAGAAGACCCTGCTGAACCTGTAAGTGCTCCAAAACCAAAAGATCCAAAATTGGCAAAGAAAGCTCCTACGAAAAAACCTGCGGATAAACCAAAAGACGCTCCAAAAGATGCTCCAAAGAAACCAGAGGAACCTCCAAAGCCAGCAGCACCAAAGAAATGGAAGCCACCATGGGAATTGGATTCTGAACCAGAAGACGAGCCTGAAGCGGACTTCACCATGCCGGCACCAAAGATGCCTAAAGATTCCGAAGACCCTGCAGAACCTGTAAACGCCCGGAAACCAAAGGACCCCAAACTCGCAAAAAAGGCTCCTACGAAAAAACCTGCGGATAAACCAAAAGACGCTCCAAAAGATGCTCCAAAGAAACCAGAGGAACCTCCAAAGCCAGCAGCACCAAAGAAATGGAAGCCACCATGGGAATTGGATTCTGAACCAGAAGACGAGCCTGAAGCGGACTTCACCATGCCGGCACCAAAGATGCCTAAAGATTCCGAAGACCCTGCAGAACCTGTAAACGCCCCGAAACCAAAGGACCCCAAACTCGCGAAAAAGGCTCCTACGAAAAAACCTGCGGATAAACCAAAAGACGCTCCAAAAGATGCTCCAAAGAAACCAGAGGAACCTCCAAAGCCAGCAGCACCAAAGAAATGGAAGCCACCATGGGAATTGGATTCTGAACCAGAAGACGAGCCTGAAGCGGACTTCACCATGCCGGCACCAAAGATGCCTAAAGATTCCGAAGACCCTGCAGAACCTGTAAACGCCCCGAAACCAAAGGACCCCAAACTCGCGAAAAAGGCTCCTACGAAAAAACCTGCGGATAAACCAAAAGACGCTCCAAAAGATGCTCCAAAGAAACCAGAGGAACCTCCAAAGCCAGCAGCACCAAAGAAATGGAAGCCACCATGGGAATTGGTTTCTGAACCAGAAGATGAACCAGAAACGGACTTCACCATGCCAGCTCCTAAGAAGCCTGATTCTGAAGAACCTGCTGATCCATTAGGAGGTCCTAAACCAAAAGATCCAAAACTCGCAAAGAAGGCTCCAGCAAAGAAACCTGCTGAAAAGCCGAATCCCAAAAACGCTCCAAAAGAAACTCCGAAAAAACCAGAAGAGCCACCGAAGTCAGCAGCACCAAAAAAATGGAAGCCTCCATGGGAATTGGATTCTGAACCAGAAGATGAACCGGAAGCCGATTTCACAATGCCAGCTCCTAAGAAGCCTGATTCTGAAGACCCCGCCGATCCACTTGCAGGACCAAAGCCTAAAGATCCAAAACTTGCAAAGAAGGCACCAGCGAAGAAGCCAACAGACAAGCCAAAGCCAAAAGATGCGCCTAAGAAGGCTGATCCAAAACCAGAAGAGCCACCAAAACCAGCAGCGCCAAAGAAGTGGAAGCCACCATGGGAATTAGATGATGAGCCAGAAGATGAACCTGAAGCCGACTTCACAATGCCAGCTCCCAAGAAGCCTGATTCTGAAGACCCCGCCGATCCACTTGGAGGACCAAAGTCTAAAGATCCAAAACTTGCAAAGAAGGCACCAGCAAAGAAACCAACAGACAAGCCGAAGCCAAAAGATGCTCCTAAAAAAACCGATCCAAAACCAGAAGAGCCACCAAAGCCAGCAGCACCAAAGAAGTGGAAACCACCATGGGAATTAGATGATGAGCCAGAAGATGAACCTGAAGCCGACTTCACAGTTCCATTGAAACCTGATGAAGAGGATGAAGAGGAACCTGAAGAGCCAGATGATGAAGAGGAGCCAGAGGAGGAGGAACCAGTTGATGATCAGCCTAAGAAGAAGAAACCTAAAAAGCATAAAAAGAAACCAAAGAAGAAGAAGAAGCCAGTACTAGAGCCGGAAAAAGAGCCAACACCAGAGCCGGTAGTGAAGAAGGCACCCAAGTGGATTCCACCGATCAAGAAGATGGAGGACCCGATTCCAATGCCACCCAAAGAGAAAACAATCGCTGAAAGGAACAAGGAAGAGAGGATACCACCAGGTCTTCGGTATGCCAAGAAACCAAGAGAACTGTGAGTTTTGAAGCTATCACCTCAAAAAAAACGTAATCAATTTTTCAGAGAAGTCTACATTCCATTCGTTATACCATGGGAGCAAACAGCAGCGTTGATTACTCAAGAAGGTGAGTTCAATAGATTTTTTATTTCAAAAAATGTTTCTAAAATTGATAAATATAATTTTTCAGGAATGGGAGCTTTTGGTAAGAGCAGAGACGCGAATGTAGATATTAACTTTGGTGAGAAGCCACTTGTACAGGTTTGTCTTATTAATTTCAGAAAAGAAACTTTATTTTCTTAAATTTCAGGGAGCCGTAGATTCAAAGACAGTAATCCCATTGTGGAATGACGAGAGTAAATGTGCTAACCGAAGTGGTATGACACCGTTTGGTGGCAAACGAGCTGTTGATCAGGATGTCGTCGATCATCATGTATTCAATTTGATGGATGTAAGAGTTGCTGTGAAAACTTGTACACATATTCAGAAAATTGGTATTTCAGAAAGGTAAAAGTAACTCTATCATTCCGTTGCTGGCAAAGGGAACTACGTACCACCCACATGGAGAATATGGAACTATTAGAAGACAGGCAAGTCTTAGAACTATCAAAAATGAATTTTATTTAAAAAAATATTCAGACTGCTGATGTTAAGTACAAAGATGGATGGAAACCTGGAATGGATGCCGAATCTCATGGTTTCATTTCCCGACAATTTATTGCCAATTCGAAGGAGAAAGCAGGAAGCAACTTATTGGACAAACGAAGAACCATTGTGAGTCCCTTTCTTACAAACTTCCAGTTTCCTTGAGTCACGCCATATTGAATTTCCTTGACGTCATGCACCTTGCGAAAACAAGGCCTTTATCAGAAAAATCATCAAAGAATAATCAGAAAACATAATATGGTGTATTTTTAATGACTCAACCTGTACCCAATTTGGCAATCAAAGCAAACAGTTTAATGTCATCTAAGCGAAAAAAAATTTCATAAAAGGAATGAGTTATCGATTACAGATATCTGACGCATTGCCACAATCCAAAGAATGCGAGGCCATGATTCCATTGATGTTTGATGGAAGATCTGTGGAGACTAGAGAAGGCAGTGAATTCGGATCATTCCGACCGTTGGTATCAAACTCTACCGGAGGATATATCATGTCTTATCAAGATGAACTCAAGTGTCGAAATATTATTCCTTTCCAGGTAACCATTTTTTGAATGACAAGGAAACCTCAACATCTTTTTAGATTTTGATGATAATTTCAGGAAAGGTAAAAACAGCCCCCTGAAAATTTCAGAATCCGCTTGCCAGTTTCAGCCGAATTATATCAGTTCTAGTGCAAAAAAATCGGTTTTCAGTGCAAGACAGAGAAGATTTTTTAGTTTCTAGGATTTTTAGAAACACAAAACTTGTTGTGCTATACTTGGAATTAGGTAAAAGTTCATATTTAGATATTTTCTCAAGTTTTCTCAAATTTTCGAATTCTCCACGACTTTGATTTGTTCAAAAGTTGATAAAAATATAATTAAGTGTTATAAAATCTGGAATATGTAATTTCAGTAAACTTTCAATATAAAGCAACGAATTGCATGTTATAAAATGTCTTAGATACTGAGAAACCCAGAAAAATAACTGTGCTGAAACTGGCGAGCGGATTCTTAAATTTACATACGTTTAAAGATAAGCTGGCTGTTCTCAGCCTATCCTGGAATTTTCATCAAAACCTTTGCTCGCAAGGTGTTGAAGTTCCCTCATAAATATGAAAAAAAAATCAATTCTTTAATTCCTGAAGCTTTCTTTTAGACTGCACCTTCGTTAGTCGCCTAGAGGAATCCCACAAGTTTCTTTTTTTTTCAAATTTGAAACTTTTACTTTATTACTGCTTTTTTATCAAACTTTCGAATGACTAGAAATGTATACATATATATTTTGAAAACTTAGTATATGTTGTTCTTAACAAAAACCCCATTGTATTATCTTAACTTTTCTGTTAAACACGCTTCTTTCTCTTTTTCTCTTTCTAGATTTGATGTTTGTGTCTACAGGTGCTTATTTTTCCAAATAAAACTGCACGTTTTTGATCTACGTCATGGGCAATTTAGTGACTTTGACCCGAAGAATAGGCAAAATAGTTTTTGCTATTCATGAAATAGCAAAATTACTCTGCAAGTGGTAGCAATTTTATTAGGCTACCAACTTCTGTACATTTCCCCCTCCTCCAGAGCTCACTGTGTTTATTTTTAAACTTTTCTAGCTTTTTTTGAGTATGTGCATAAATGAGTGGGTCTGTCTGTGAAGCGAAACAAAGGAAGAACAATAGACTTGTACTTTTTGCCGCCTTTACTTCTGAAAACATACTTTTGAACATTGAAAGGTCTCTTCCGGGGAGTAGAATTTTTCAGTTTCAAGGTTCAGAGTTCTCGCATAGAGGAATCTCTATTTTTTGGCTGTAAACAACAAGTAGAATTCTTTGGCCTTAAAAAAAGAGTTTGTGTCCTTCCCTATTTTTTAAATGGAATTGTCAACCACAACAACAACAACCACTTATTTTGTATTCAAATTTTATTCCAAAGTCGAGTAAAAACGGAAGAAGAAAGGAAAGTCACAAAACCGCACGGAGAAAAGGTTTTGTGAAATACAATTAAAGAGGAAGAAAAAACAGTTTTTCGAAATAAAAAAAATTGGTTCAGGGGGGAGAAAAAAGAGGACAAAGATGATGAAAAATGGGTTGTTTTTTGAAAAAAAATGACAAAGGAGAATAGGAATTGATTGGAAGAACGGATCTGATGATTTTGATTTGGTATAAAACTCAGAAACGATCGTGATGGTGCATCGAACCGGTAGCACGGAGAGTTCACACGGTTTAGAAGGGACTAATATAATAATCTGATTCAGGAAGGGATGAAATGAAATAGGGGTATGTGGATAATCAATGATTCCATGATGTAGTGGTAGGAGGGGAGTTCAGTAGATCGGTGTGAATGTTGTGAATCGATGGATACTCAGCACAATAGAGTCGCAATGGGTATACTAATACTACTCGAATCGACACATACAACGGTGAGGCTAAAGCCTTGAAGAATGACAGTAAAGACAGAAGAAGAGAGATGAGAGGGGCAACTGGTGCATAGAAGGAAAGCGTTCATAAAAAAGGAACAGGTTCATAGAATAAGGATAGGCAGAAGAAAAAACAGAGGAAGAAGAACTGTAGCTAGAAAGGATTTTTGGGATGGGGAGAAGAGATAAAGTGTAAAGGATTGGTATGACTTCACAGCGAGATTTTGGAACGAGCTGATTGGGGATGGGAGATGGTTACTAATTTAGTAAATTGAATGGAAAAAGCAACTTATTTCCAGGCTTATTTCCAGGAGTACGTGTGGAGACTCGTGTTTCAACTACAAGTATTAGGGGCGCTAGGGTCCACACTGCTGATGTGTGTTTGTGTTTTGTCTGTGTGAATGAATGGGATTTGAGATGAAGAATGGGGAGAAGAAGCGAAGACTAATTAAAGAAATTGAGGTCTAGAAGACTCTTGGTGCATAGAAAAGAGACGGTTGGTATAGGAAAGGGCTGAAAAAAGAAAAAAAGCAAACGATGATTTCAGTTCATAGGGGTCGATGAGACGGAGGATTTGAGTTGGTAACACGAGATCAATGCATGTGCAGAACTAAAAGGAGCACAACCAACATGATGAAGAATATCGACGCATAGAAAATGATTTTTCCAAAAGAATCAGTGCCTACTGAAGAAGAAAAGACTGATTCTCAGTCTTGATTGGGGAGAGGGATGGGCTTCCAATTGGGACCTGGTTTTGGTTCAAGTTGTTGAGATTGGCCAAAGAGAGGAGAGCTCCAAGCTGTGGGTTGATTTGCATCAAAGTGTTGGCAAGAAGGCTCTGGATGTTAACATGGTTGTCTTGGACCAAGTCTGAAAAATCGAATAATTAGAATGATAAGCTTGCTTTGAGTATCTTACTGTTGCGGTAGCTGTTTTGAAGAAGTCCAGCCTTGTAATCCATATTGCTCAAAAGTTCCAAAACGTTGAGTCCTGGCAACAATGGATTCTGTGGATTCTCATTTGGTGGGGATGGGTTTGATGGGCTTGGAGAGGAATCTCCGCTTCCCGAGCTACCATCATCTCTGGATAGTGTTCGTGTAGTATCGATTCTCTTGGCGACTGGTTTTGGTGCTTGACGATTCCTCCTTCGGAGTGTTTGTTTGTCGCTAAGCTCAGGTACAACTGTCCAGAAATGTCCTGAAAAATAAATTATATTTTCCTCATATTTTCAGATGCATTTTTGATGTTATTCAAGATGATGTTTGTCGTTGCTTCTTGTTTTTAATGCCATGGCCCGACTTTTGACCCCATCCGTTTTTTTTTTCCTAGTAAACATTCGGCGCCCACTACTAAACTAGAAAAAGATGATGACAAAAAGCGAGTTGCTTATGTTATCGTGAGTATTTTTTTCTTCTCTCGGGTTTCACTGACCCTTCCTGCAGAGCTCATAAAAAAAAGAAGGAGAAGATGATGAAGAAAAAATAGGTTCAAGTTTCATTTTCAGAATCCCTTCTTTTTTTATTGTGTCCCACTCCAGTTCTTTTTGCTGGTTGTTTGTTGCTTTGCCTTCTGCCACCCAAGAAACTTTAGAATATAAGATCGGGGCGTCACTCAAAACTGGTAAACAAACATACACATCAGCCCGCCACAAAGAAAAGAAGAATTCTCAACGAGAAGAAGGAAAAACAGCCAAAACAAAAACACTGGTCTATCTCCTTGACCAAAAGGACTTCCTGGTATAGAACACAAGAAATATATCTATAAAAACCCTGGAACTACAAAAATGGATGGACATGCGCCAATACACATATCCATTTCACAATACTAAAAAAATAAGGGAGCCTGGGAGCCTGGGACCAATCGCAGCTGCTGCCTCGGTTCGTAAATTAAAAACATGTTTTGTCGTTTGGAAAGGTCAACGTTTATTGTCTCATTTTTCTATTTTCAAGTAAATTGGCAAGAGGTAATTGAGCTTTAGCTCTGGAACGCGGAAAAAATAATTGAATATTTAATGTACTTCCTAATGAATCATTCAGACAAATTTTCTCTGAAAAACATTTTTTTCCCAAAGTGATTCTTGAACTAAAGTATTTGTGCTATAGGTATGCTTCTCATTGCTATCTGTTTAGTTTTACCGCCGCACTTGAAGGTTTCACTATTTTTTTTCACTATATCACCTACAATTCCCCGTGTAATTCCCTTTTCACTTGTTTCCCTTCGCTGATAATCAGCCCATTTTCAAACAATCACATGAAAAAAAATAAAGAAGGACAAATTGATAGTAGGCCTCGCGTACTATTCTAATCGTGTTGTATGTTTTTGATAAAAAGTGTATGAAAACAAAGGGAGAATGTATTTCCACGTACCGACAACTCCGCTTGCAGACGTTTGTTTGAGTGGCAATTTGACAAAGCAATCGTGAAGGCTCAAATTGTGTCGTATTGAGTTTTGCCATCCCCATTGGTCGGGCCGGTGTCTGTAGTAAGGGTGCAGCAATCGGATTACCTGGAAAGAAACTCTGTTTTCTCACAGTTTGAGGGTTGAGTCATCAGGAAAACACTGAAATATGATGACTCGGGGGAAAATAATATTTTGGCAATGTCAGCACTGTTTGTTTTCATATTTTTGCCTATTTTTTTTCAACCAACTCGGTTCTTAAACACACGGAAAAGAAAAAGCAAACATGGTTGCCTGAACTTCGAACTCCTTTTTCATTTTGCCGTTTTAGACTCTCTTTTGCATCAATGCTCTCGGAGCCTTGTGTCATACTGTAGCTAGACAAACATTTGATGAAAAACAGCCTCGAAATCATGAGGGGTTTTTGGAACGAGAGGAAAAACTTTGTGGTTAAAGAGTCGCGGCATAATATTTGACATAGAAAAAAAATCGAGCTCTCTCTCTCTGTCACTCAAATAACTTGTGATTTGTTTCAAAACTCTCACTCTCTCTCGCTGTTTTTTCAGCATCGGTGTGTTTGTTTTTCGATTTATTGGAAAATAAACTAGTGGATTTGTGCCAAACTTGTGGTGTTTGTTTATACATATGTGTGTATGTGCAGAATTTTCTGGTAGCTTCCTATTTCAAAAAAACACGGAGTTGACGGAAGGAATAACAATTCTGCTGCTACTAGTCCTAACATGACTAGACGGGTCTTTCGTCCGAAAGTTCTGGTGCCCTTTCCGTAGCGGAGACCGAGTAAAAGTAATTCAGTCTTTCTGAACGTTACCAGAGCTCAAAATTCACCTACTTTAGTCTGAATGGAAGTGCAAAAATATTGAATTTTTTCTGAAGAAGATCAATCAACATACCTGATAGATTTCATTCAATTTTAACCGTTTTTCCGGACTCCTATCTATCGCTTCTATGATAAGATCTTTATAGGATAGGGAGGGTCGTTCAAATCCGTCTGATGTGGCTGCTACTAATGGTGTCTGGAGGGGCGACTGAATCGGTGACGGCTGTGATGATATAGGTGATGTCGAGCTGTCTGTGTTCATCATTGCGTCTGAGGCTGAGGGCATCTGGATGGTGGACGCCAGTAATTCCATCTGAAAAACAGTAACTTTGAATAAGTGTAGATGTTAATGAGTTGAGACATCTGAATAAGCAATGAGTAATCAAAAAAGAAAAAAAAAGAAATCAAAAAGTTTTGATTTCCGTAGATCGGAGAATAAATTGATAATGAGAGAATGAAACCGAGTCAAGAGCAAAAAGAGAAAGTGTGAGAGCTGGTGGGAGTTGTGTTATTATGTTTTGAGCAAGTACCTCTTATTGCTACAGTTTGCCGAAATGGGCGGAGACTTGGCATACGGAAAAAAATGTGCAGAAACAGAGCATACAAAAAAGTGATGTTGTATGATTTTTCAGCTCAAAACTGCTGTGCTTTCTTATCAAGTTTTTAGGGGAAAGAGTGAGAAGTGATAAAGTTTCTTTTTTTTTCCTTGACTCGAAAAACTTGTGCCAAGTGTGTGACATCACGAATCGGATAAATTATGCATGTTTTCAAAATCCTCCTGGACTTGGAGATACTTGTAAAATCTTACTTCTGGGATCTGAAGAAGCCAAAACACTTTGCATGTTTCAAGGAAGAACTTTAGCGTTTTTTTTCCACGACGGGAAGCTCGGGACTCAAACGGCCAAACAGCCAATTGGTAGAGCGGAACAAATTCAATTTTCGAAACATTCCGTGGTCATTTCCTTTCTATGAAAATTTTTATTCCCGAAGAGAAGGAGGGATAGGATGGAAATTGAAAAATTGGCGGAGAGAAGCAAAAAAACACATACAGAAAACAGAAAACATGGGTTTTATCCAAGCTTGTTCTCCCCAATGTTCCGTTTTATCCGACACAAAACATAACGAAACAAAAACAGGAAAAGTTTTCCAGGTGGATGATGTTAGAGACAGCTACCGTAACCCCTGGATGAAATCTTGGTTGGTTTGGATAATAGAGTAATATGAGGATTATCCCTACATGTTGGCAAATGAAGAAAAATAGAAGCAGAGCAAAAAATAGATTAGGCGAGAAAAACAGGAAAAAGCAATCCCAGAATGTTTTGAAGACATAAATCAGTTGTAATCATTTCACAATAAAACGTTTGTTTCTTTTTTGCAGCTGCTCGTTTTTTTCACTAAAATCCCAGGCGCTTTTCGCACTCTGAAATCCAAAAATCTTCTGTCTGCAATAGCTCCTTCTTCCAATATGAATCGAAAATCCGAATGTCCAGTGGTTCGCTCTAAAGTGTTTTTGTTTTCAAATATGGATGACCCCTTGGGGGTCTAGTGGAGAGTTTTTTTTTTGCTCGTCGGGACCCCAGTGTCCATGTGTGAGCCCCACCAACGTTTCAAATTGCTTGCCTGCGGGTGCATACATGCCTGACTGAATGCAAAACAAACAGACAAAAACAGATGGAAGGAAATAGGGTGACAGCCCCTGGAAAAATGAGACCCCGGCCGCCTGGAGTCGGACTACATGGTCCTTTCCCGAAAACATCAGGATTCTGTCCTTTGTCCTCGAAAACACCTCTTTGCTCTCCACTGTCGCAGTTTATTCCATTTTCATTTCGCCCTTTTCCTTTCACATAAATGAAAATTCTGGAGCAGAAAAGGTCCAAATTTCGATGGAGCATTTTTTTAACCAAAAAATTTTTTCTTTCGAACCCCAGTCTTTGAAAACAAGACCTAGGAAACAAGACGCAATTTAGGGTTACTGTAGTCGGTTTACAGCTTTTGATTGAGAGGTTTGATGATAAGAAGTAGAAGAAACATATGATGTAAGTATAGTAAGAAAAACATGTCAAAACACTTAAACTTGTGACAAAAACAGGACATCATCACCAGTTTTAAGATCGAAGTTCGGAGGAAAAGAAGATAAGGGTTGATGTGAGAAAGTGATATATATTTTTCTATCTCTTCCAGTCCGCGAATGAATAAGGAACTTCTATCATAGTGTGTGGGAAGGCCATTCCTTCTATATCTCTTCCTCATTTTTTCATCCAATGAATATTTAATTTATTAGTTGCTGCTGCTGCTCCACGAGCATCCCAGAATACAGGAACCGAAAAAGGAGAAGAAAAAGGGGAGGAGCCTAGGAGAAAAAAACAACCAAGAAGAAGAAGAAAAAAAGAAGAAGAAAACGTGGTGTGGGTCCACAGGACCAAGTCAAAAGGAAGAAAAATGAGAAAAAACGTGTAGTTGAAGTTCTGAGGAGTAGTCCAAAAGAAGAAGAAGAAGAAAAAAAATAACAATGAGAACAACACATATGTAGAAAAAAGGGAGTCGAGGAATTGTTGTGCTCCTGATGGACGCGACGGCCACGCCCATTTCACGCATGGGTCGCAAAACACGAGAGAATAGGCGAACAAAAAAGTTTTTCAAAGAAATGGGGGGAGGAGAAGGACAAAAAAATGGTTGAAAAGGACGGGAGGAGCAAAATTTGTTTCTATCGTCTTTTTTTGATGGTCATGTTTTTGCCGAAGCAAATTTTATTTAGGGGCGGGGAGAGCAGGACTATGAGGAATCGAAATTCAAAAAATATGACGAAGGGTCAAAAAAGCAAGGTTCAAGAAGAAGGTCTATCTAGGGGGTAAACCTAGTCGTTCCACAGAAAGTTAATTAAAGAATTTTTGGGACCCGAAAGAAGAACGGAAGGAGAACAAATTTTTAGCCCCTTCTTTTTCTTATCTCTCCGTTTTTTTCCTGGATGGTCTTCGAAAATGTCTTTCCTGCAATTATATCTGTTTGATCCAGAGAGTAAGATGTTTATCTCTCTAGTCCTCAAGGAAAACAACTTCTGTTGTCGCCACCCCCACTTCAATTTATCTCTTCCGATGTTCGCTACTTGGAAAAGCCAGGTGAAAGAGAAGGCAGCGTAGAACACGCCAATCGAGTGTATGAAAAAAAAACGAGGGAGATGACACAAGAAAAAAATGAAGAAGCAGAACGAAAATTGGGTAATTAGATGTTCTCAAAGATCTCGAACTTGACGCTTATTCTTGTTGCAAAAGTATCATATTAATAAAAAAAAACAAGGATTAGGAAGCTTATTTGAGAAACTAGAGCTTATCAACAGCGCTGGAAATGATAAATTTCCGGAGTAAAATTAATATGGGAGGTCTGAAAATATACATAGGTCTGGAAGAATTAAGAAAGAAAACATTGGTTTGAAGAAGGTTGGAACAGTGGCTCTGACACATTCAGCTAGACAACTGTACTCAGACAAAAGCGTCGGGCCTGGAGGGAAACATGACATCACTATTGCTGAACTTTCAAAAATTTTTGGATGAAGGACACTTTTTTTGGAGGTAAGAATTCTGTCATGTTTCTTTCTCACTCGCAGGCAATTTTTGAAAAGAAGCAGAGAAAAAGTCCACGGATCGGCGTACGTCAAGTGAATCAGTCCGATCTGGCAAATATTGCGACAAAACAAACACTAGATCCTTGCCATTGTCGGTCTGTTGCTCTTGGTGGGAGTGTCTGGAAAAAAACGCCTGTCTCGCAATTCAATTGTCATGCCCTGAGGTTACTGTACCTAGAAGGACAGTTCAGTTTTCAACGTACTTCGTCATCTAGACACGCGTTTTTCATCAGAGACAAGAATTACACGAAAAAAAAAACAAAGTGCACTTCTTATCAGCTTGGGAAAATAGCGACACAGTCCACGATCGCGCGATGATAATACGACATTAAAATGTTGCGTTATTACCTCGCTGCAGAAAAAAAAGCACTGATTACATACGTACACACGAGCTGAAACTCGGTTTTAGAATAATACAGTGGAGAAACAAGAAACAGAAAAACAGATAACACTCTCGACTTGATGCTTGCTTTGACGTGCAAACCGTCGAGGCGCCAGCTAGGCAAACGAAGCTCGAAAAACCGACGTTAAACGACAAAAATGACATAGGAGAAGCATAAAAATGAAAAATTGAAGACGATGAGGAATTTTGGGAAAAATAGAGAAAACATTGGAGCAAGCTAGAAAAGCTTGAAATTCGAAATTATTTTGATGAGAACATGGAAAGGGTGAAAGACTTTTACTGAAAGTCAACGGAAGATCCTAGAATCATATAAAATGTGAAATGAGAAAATAAGCAAAAGCACAGATGCTCACGGCCGTCAACGTGATCGGGATCGGAATGTTTCAAGCGCTACCTACAATTGGCGGGGCGCCGCCGCGCGGGTGGCGCCCGGGAGGAGAAGGCAAATACATGAGGTAGGCTTCAGAGTGCGCGACAGATGGGACGACCAGTTTTCTTGAAAAAAAATAATAAACATTTCGAAACACCAGAACCCGGTTTTTTCGGGGGCACTCACTCGTCGCGCTCTTTGCCGTCTGCTGCCGTTGCTGCTTCCTTACGCGCCTCTCCCGCGCCCTCGGGTTTTTTTTTCTGTCCGCGCGGTAAAAGAATTGCCCCATCGCGCTCGCATTTCCACGCGGAAAACTGTGTGCCCTCATCCCGTACGTGTACTTAGGCGACGCCCGTCTACAGTGTCTTGCGCTCCTAAGCGTGAAAAAAGAACTACGCAAAACGGATATTTGTATTGGCAAACATCATTGGATATGCGTCACTGATTTGGGACAGGTTGATGATAATAGTAGGTATCCAGAAATTCAATATGCTAATATTCTGGATCTGTCTTTCTCCTAATTTGTATTCATAGATTTTGAGAAGCTTCCAATGTTAGCGATTTGTATTCAAGCCTCCTGTCGGCTACAGTAGCCTTATTTCAATTTATAAGAATCTGGAACCACTTGAACTTCATTTTCTACGTCATCAACACTTTCACTATTATGATCACAAGATTCTGTCAAAACTTCTTCCTTATCAGGTGTAAAAAGTGAAAAAATGCGGCAAAGTGCAATCATATCGAAATAGAAGTATGATTGAACTTTTGAAATCGGATGTCACATCAATTGAAATAAAAATAACAGAGAAAAAGAATACTGTGCCATGCGTGCCCATCAAACAAAAATGTATATATAATCCTCTGTGAGGGAAAAAGAGAGATAGTTCCAAATGATATCGTCGCGGGGTATTTTTTTAAACA